TGGCATGCGGGAACCCTTGTTCTTTCGCCTCGTGGATAATCGGAAACCTCTGTTCGGCCGGTTTCTGTGGCTGCGGGAACCTCGGTTCGACCTCCTCGTTATGAATCGGGACACCCTGCTCGACCGCGTTCTTGCGGAAACCTCTGTTCAACCGTTGTAATCCTAGGCCTCCATATCGTCCCCGAACACACCGCGCACTGAGGGTCATCGCTCACTCAGTGCTAAATGCGTGTCCTCATGGGTTTGCTCACGGAACTGACGTAGGGCCAGTCAGATGATGCAACCAGAAGGTGAGTGACAACCTCATTCACGTCATTTCCATCTCGGCTTTTGATAGACTGAGACAACCAATCTATCTTTGGATGATACCGTGACAGTCAAGGTATCACTACGATGCAACCAAAATTATGTTTCGTCTCGTAAACAAAGATTTTATCGTAGCTCTGGACACCGTCGAAGTGTATAGTAACACAACAGTCTTGCGAGGAACAAGTTGTGGTTGTCCGTAAGCAATCTTGACGACGATGTCCTCTGTATCATCACGCACAGTGTCCGTGGACGGGAGAATGGGCAAACAGGATGCTGAAAAGAAATTTTTGGATGCGCCAGAATCCAACGACGCTCAGAGTGAACGCTTTACTCCGGCGACGATGAGACTGATGATTATCAGTCATGAATAGTTGCGTTTGGTGGTGGCATTGAAGTAAGTGTGAGTCATTTTAGGGCTAAGAGCCTGAGCTGCCATCCGAGTACTCGGGGCTTCATTCCTGCCAGTATGACTCCCCGTGCCTACTGGAACTTCTCTTTTATAAAAGGGTCATCGACTACACAGCTCCCTTTGTGAGACTGCGATTTCATGACCACTGGCGCTAGTGCACAGCAGAAGGCCGCGCGATGGCCTGTCTTGCCACATCAAAAACACCTTAGCGTTCTTGGACCCCGATTTTAGCGGCTGAATAAATTTGCTATGATTTCGTGAGAGCTCGACCACGTCGATCTCCATCGTCTCCGGACTCGACATCCAGGGACGTGGCGACGCCTCGTGCAAGTGTGACGACGCAATGGTGTAATCTTCGCGAAGCTAAGGGCATATGCATCATTGAGGGTCTTCGGTTCAGCAAGTGTGAGGCAGTAACGCGTCATGTCCTCCTGTATACCGAAGATAAGGACATGGACTTGTGATGCCATGTCGATCGGCTGCGTAATGATGCACGAAGCAAGGTGACGTGTATTCTGCACCTGATCACGAAGCATCGATAGCTTGACTGTCGACGCGAGAAGAAGTCTGCACGCAGTCGCTTCTCATCTTGAGGAGTCTCGAATGCCAGTCGTAAGTCGCACTGGATGGAAACCAGCGTAGAGAACGCCAACTCGTCGACGACAAGCTTCCCTCGAGTCCATTATATGGCCTTTCTAGCAATCCTAGACAGCAGATCATTTTACCATATCCGTTGGCGCGTCAATTAAACTTGACGAGATCACGATATCTATCTCGCGGAACCAGCGGGTAAACTGGAGGCGATCCGGGCTATCTCCGTAGTATGGTGAAGCCTCCATCTTGACAGCATCGTGGCGCGAGGAAGTCTATACTCGCCAATTCGCATTGGCGAGCTCGCGTAACCGGTACTTTGAATGGCTTCACGATGTTGTTTAAGCGTCGCTGTGTAGTAGCAACGCTACAGAGAACTCACCAGACACCTTCGCGAGAAGTAATAGCGCTTTCCATTCCACGACCGTAATTTTGTGAGACCACATGTTACAGCAACACCGCTGGAGCTTCCGAAAACTCGTTCATGTTCATCTCAAATATGGTCATTGAAAAGACTACGAAGTGCTATCAGGTGTAACGGGGTGAGATTTACCGTTACCGTCTCACACTATGGACTTTATGGAAGCGCTGTTATTCTATGAGGTAAAATTGACTCTGTTTATTTTGTCTTTTGATCGGACTAGGTACTTCATAATTGACCAAATAAAACACGACGCGCAGTACCCGCTAATCAGATACTGACTATGCCTACTTACCTAATTATGTATAATCGCTATAACTACTTATGTAATCGATTGCCTCTATTAAAGAGTGTCTAAGACACAATATATCGAAAAATTCTACGATATGTATCCCCTTAATAGTCTAGCTCGCATTATTTATGAAATTATGAGCACCAATGTGGTTAGTCGTATCATTATGACCTGGAGTGTACCTTGTGTGTTAGGGGTTAATCTACATACATGTACAGTCACTTCTCAAAATAACCCATTTCCTCATATCTCAATACTCATACAATGTAAAAATATTACCTTTTTTTCCTTTCTGTGGCAGCTGACTCATAACTTATAGCCCATGACTAGTTGGTCTAGTTTTACTAAGTCTTAGACTCAGCAGACACATTTACTGTAAGGTAGCAAATATAATTAATTATCGGGTTATGGTGCGTTGTACACAAGAAACTGTGGTGGGGTGACAATCGCTCATTTATGAGGCGTTTCCGACTCTCCACTGGTCCCAGACGACCGAATATCGGCGAGGGAACTCCGTTTCTTTACCTTGTATTTCGTTCCTCACCTTGTGTACCTGTCGGTTGGGCGGGCTGCAATCTTCTCGGTGGAACTGTGTCAAAAGAAAACTTGACCGTGTTGGGAATGGAATTCGTAATCTCGCGGAAACCTTCACACGATCACGGGTATACTCGTAGGTTTTTCGATGTGAGCCACCTAAATCTCAACAAAATTGCCTTGTCCACTGTGCGGATTCTTGATTCGCGAGTCTTCTGACCACTTGAGCTGTCTTACGATCTTGCGCCTTGTCATTTACAGTCTTGCTGTGCTCAGCTGCAGTTGGAGCTGTCTCTAGAATTCTTGATCCCCACCCAATTATCCTAAAAACACTCAACTTCAGTATATGCGGTTTCTTGACGTCGGGAGGCCAATTTCAAGTCCAGAAGGGACGTCAACACGTTTACTAAAAAGCAAATAGAATTATGTTTAAGGTCAACCAAACAAAAGCTAAAACTATAAACGTGCCTGTCTATACGCCAGTATATGCTGCTACATGTCTCATACATTCTATTGATGGTTTCTTCGCATACTTGGTCCACTTCAGGTAGATCACCGATCTCCTTGAACGACCTCCAATCTCCTTGGGTGATATCTAATCTCATTACCTGATCGTCGATCTCCTCGGTTGATCATCGATCTCCCCAAACGCCGCTCTCCCCAATCATCGATCTCCTTGTTCAATCTCTTTTCAATCCATCGTTGATCTCCTGGTCGTCGATCACTCTCTAGGACTGTGATCCCTGCCAATTTGAAATAATAGAAAATATCGAAAGTTATATAAATTATATATTTTCCCGATACAATTTAGCAATGTCAATGATCAGAAGAGTAAAAAGTGAATACAATCATGTTAAACCACTCATTTCTTTGCCACTCCTAAAAGAAATTCTTTTTAAAATCAGCTAAATTATAGCCTCAGAGTTCGCTAGCACGGAATCTAACCTTTGGTTTTAACCGTATGTTCAGGTTGTCCCTCGACTTTAATAATACTTAGCCCTCCGAGGGGTGTGCTGAGCTTGACTTTTTTCGAAAGAAACGGTGTACTTTTTTGCTGCCTGTCCACAGACAAAAAAACTCGTTTGGAGCGGACGAGAAACCTTGAACAGAAGTCAATTAATAAATGATTCTAAATTCAGGGTAGGAGAACTACCATAGCATCTGTGATGAGGTCAATCGTGGATAAGTCAAGCTGGAGTATTGGGAGACTGCAATAATGCTGGCGGACATCATGACTAAGGGACTTCCACGACCACGCCACAAAGACATGACGGTAGCTGTCTGTATTGAAGCGTGTTCGCATTGATAGGGAGTATTGCGGGTTATCGATTGAGGTGATTTGTATCAGTTACCCTGCCCGATCCGACCTCGCGTCATTTTAGTACGTCTATGACGTCATATCGATGGCGTCACTTAGTGATATGACGAGCAGAGCGATTGGACGCACATAAATCAGATTGATTAGATGCAACATACGATTAGATACAGTCTAGAGTAGGAAGAGCTAAGACATACAAATCAGTCACTTCCAAGCATTCTCTCCTCCACTCAAGTCATTTTCACATTATGCAAAGACATCTTTCGTGCTCCAAGCTTCTCTTCAAGTGCTCGTAACTATGCAACACTTCTTGATGCAATCTTCACTCTCCGACTTTTAATGCAGACAAACTCCTCCAAGCATCCGCTGGCTTCATCAAAAAAGGCAGCAGATACTTTCTGCCACCCAGATACTTTCCTTTCATCGGCTTGTAGATGTCGAAGTGAAGTATCTCAAGGGTGTTATAGATGTGCTTGTCGCGGTTAATCGGGAATGGATTTTGGACCAGATTTTCTTGTTGACATATTCGACACATACTTGGTCCATTCGATTTAGGCAGGGATAATGCATCATTGACCGTGATGTTGGCCACCATCTTGCAAAGAACTTTGACTGGAGCATGGCCCATTTGCGCATGTTGGTCAATCGTATTGCCACTTAATGCCGCAATGACCTATCGCTGCGTCGTGCGAAGCCAGTTCAGTCCATCTACAACATCGGCAATTTCCAACACTTAGTTTAAATCGTTGCGAGTAACATGCATGATGGCCCCATCAAACACCACTTGGAAGCTGCCGTGCCTGTTATTCTGCGGCACCGAAAGCAGATTGTGATTAATGCTGAGATTATATAGCGCGTTCTTTATCTCGATTTCTCGCTCTTTACCGTTGGGCAGGATCACATTTTCTACGATGGTTCCTACACCTTTAATGGCCACCTTGTCGCCATCATCCGCCGATAGTTCGCCATCATTGCGCTCTGCCAAACCTCCAATTTGGTCTTGTCGTGGCAAATGTGATGCGTTGCATCGCTTTTGAAAACTCACATTCCTGACACATCCTAGTTCGACGGAATTTCGCATCCGAGCGAAACTGCAAACGCCACTCGATCGTAGCCATTGCCTTCGTCATAATGTCACCACTGGACTGTTTGCCCCACGTCCGCGACCATTGCCACCGCGTGGGGCTCCTCGACCTTCATCCTTTTGCTTTTTCCACCAATGCTCTGCCATGTGTCCCACATTGCTGCAATATTTGCATCGGTAGGGCTGGAGCTTAGTACTGAAGGCTTTGGTTCCATATTCAGTTTTCAGCGTCGTCATCTTCTCGCCTTGTCGCTTGGCGTGCTCGTTCGTCACCTTGACCTCATTTTTCACATGCAGCTCTGCATTGCTCATCTTCAAGTTCAAAACCACGTTCTTAAAGCACTTCGGGAGACTGAGCAGTAAGTAGATCGCAACGTCTTCATCTTTCATCTTGGCATCAATGTTACTTAGGTTGGCGCCGATGTTCAGGAATTTAATACAATAGTGCAAGACGTTAATGCCTTTCACCATCTAGACGCTGAATAGATGGCGTTCGAGGTAGATGCGTCCAGCTTTCCGCAACCTACCTTTAAGCATCTTAAAACGCGACCACGCGACCCATGCTTCTTCACAGTCGTCAACCGCATGGTAGTATTTTGCGTCCATTAAAGCAACATTAATCCGAATGCGATCTTGTTCGCCTTAACATATTCATCAGACGCTCGCGTGTCGGTGAAGTTTGGATTCTTTTTAAGGTTCATGACGTGTCAGACTGACTTCGTCAGGAAGATACCGCACATGTAAAGACACCAGGTTGTGTAGTTGTCGCCATCGAACTTGTCGATGGGGACACAAGTCGAGTTGCTATTAAATGACATGGCACTCTGCTCAGTACTTGTTGTAACTTAAGCAGAAGACGAACGGAAGAGACGGAGCGGAGTGACCGTAGAGAACAGAGCGATATAAACTTGTTCATTTAAGAGAGATTTAAAAGTGATTGATTTATTGAAGCTTATTTCTCTTCACCCCTTAACCACATATAAATCATGCGCGATCGTTCACTACCCTAACTAGACGTGTCCACGTATAAATCATTCATGTCTTCCAGATAATTTTAAATGTCCAATCACCATTGAGGTAATGACGTCCTAGGAACTGTGCCGTAAGAGCAAACCTTCCTAGATCGCATTGTAGTATTACCCTCAATAGCTGCAGTAAGCGCCACAGGTAACAGCGTCGATGTGCGGATAAATATAGTTTCGGCAAAAACGGAGTTGATACAGTTCTCAGGCAAGGATCGGGAAAAAAATCGAGCACGGGGTCAATCGGCAACGCTTATTCAGCAACTGTTCGAGATCTAGCACCATATGATTAGACGCATTTCGTTTTTTAAGAGTACTGGTGATTCCGGTCTGCTACTCGAATCGCCAACCAAGTAAATCGTTCAATTCAAGTGAAAGGATCTGACGAAGAATGATTAGGTTGAGCATGCTGGAAATGGAGTACAGGTCAATTGACAATACTAGTAGGCGATGAAATGACCTAACAAATCCCCTTTCGAATATACTTACCGTCTCAACACGATTAGAATGTAATCTAAGATATCAGTGAAGAACAGATGTCCAGCATTTCAATAGGATTATATTAACCATATTATCGATACTGGACGATCTCGATCTCACCCGCAAACTTTTTCTCTTGAATGTGGAAGGCACAGAAACAATGCAAGTGTATTCGCGTTAATACTAGAGTGATAGATCACACCACAGGAAGTAAATGGGACCACGTTTCGGCAGAAGACAGCGAAAGATCCGACGCCCTCTAGAATTACGCGTGCATTAAGGGACATCTAAGCTGGGAGCAGTAGCAAGTCGGTTAAATTAGAATTTTGTGGATCGGAACAGGATAATCATCTGCGATTGATCCATATAACAACTGCTTCAGATCAGCAGAGGTATTGAAGGTTATCGTAACAACCCTGACTCTGAGGTGTAGCTTTTACAGGATAGTTTAAGTAAGAATACGCAGGAATGATTAGACGAGCAGGATGACCAGACGCGCCGACTGATTTATATGTGGACATATAAATCAGGGCGTAGGTAGATAAGCTCCGATAATCAATAACTTTCCAATCTTCCATCAACTACACAAGTGTCTTTTCCGTTCTTCCGAATAGACTCCCCAGCATCCTTACCAGTTTCGGTCACCAAGCTTCACACCTTTTAACGAGAAGCAGCCAAGAAATTATTCAGCACGCCTAAGATCGACAGACCCCATTGATCACCAAGAGTATCAGGAACGTGGTATATCCACAAAGCCGCGTAATCACTGAGGATTAATCAATCACGACGATCTGGGATAATAGAAGCGGCTCACGGGCCAAAAATTCCGTCGTAATAAGCATCCTTTCGACAATTTTTTCGTTGTGTGCCGGGCTTGTCGTGAGATGCGTGATCCGTAGAATTTCCCGGTGAATGAGTTTTATAGCATGATCTGACAGTGCATGTCTTCACTAACCATGCAGGGATGTTGCCAAAGAAGTCCAAGAAGGTGTTGTAGTAGGACGCTCGCCAGGTTGGAATCGGGTACAAGCCAAGAATTCTTGCCTTTTTTCTCTCGCAATTGTGGGCAAAACGGATGGATCGTGAAAAAAAAACAGCAAGTAGACATATTAAAACCACTAAAGACTACAGCGTTTTGCGTACATTTATAATTTGGAAAAAAATGGATGAGTGTTTAAAGTCTGAACCAACGATAAAGATCAAACTTGCTCATTGGGAACCGCGACGATAAAAAAAAAGCTGAAAATTGGTTGTAGCAGGCAAAACCTTCTAACAATGAAGCGAGAGTATGCTATATTAATCTGGTGCTAAATCATGTATCATCTACACCGCCTTTGCTCATTAGGTTGGTTCTGTCATCGGCGAAAGCCATCGACAAGAATTATAAAGGTTATCTGTTAAGGTACTTCGTACCGGTTACTGGTTACCCTGCCCAATCCAATCTCGCGTCACATTGGAAAGTGTATGACGTCATCTCGATGACGTCACTCACATTACCGTGCGCGATCATTTATGGGGTATAAAGCAAGAATAGGATCAGGAGATCGCCAGTCATCGTGCGTTTTTAAGCACACTGAATCAAAGGTTATTACGATCTTAACGATGACCGCACCCAAAGGACCCGCACCCAGGAGTATCACTCTGTCCAGCTCAGAGGTTCACATTGCCCGTCAAAGGTCGGGGTGGTGATCAACTACTTAACAGTCTAAAGACGGCGTCTTCAATCTAGATGTCAATTTCGTTATCCTTTTTTCAGTTGCACTAAGACTCAAGTTCTAAATTTGAACCCAACGAAATCCCCAGCGAAATCTTTGGCATCTGTCACTTCAGCCACACTCCAATTTTTGAGTCAATCATTTCCATCTCCCTCATTCACCCTTCTTCGTCCGATGTTGTATCGTGTTGATAGGTGTAAAGCTTGACGACCGAAACTGGGAGTGATGCTTGGAGTCCACTCGGAAGACAGGAGAAGACACTTGGGTTTAGATGGAAGATTGGAAAGTGATTGATTATCGGGGCTTACTACTTGCTACATGATTTATATGTGGTGCACATATAAATCATGTGAAGCGTCTCATCATCCTACGCGTCTAATCAACTATGGTAATTACCGTAAGAACTACGTCGTAAATACTAAGCTGAACAGGCGGTTCGGATTGGACCGGTCACGGTTACCAGTACTGGTAGAAACCGATGACCGTCAACACGCCCACTCAATCCGAATGCTCACGAATCCCGAGAGCCGTCGTCATCTCCTTGTGGCGTGGTCCATGAAGTCCCTTCGTCATGATGTCCGCTAACATCACCGCAGTTTCACAGTACTTGAGCTTTACTTCACCGCGCTTGACCTCATCACGGATGTGATGGTACTTGATATCAATGTGCTTAGCGCGGCCATGATTCACCGGATTCTTCGTCATCTTGATGCACGACTGGTTGTCTTCACGGATGACGAGGTCCGGTCCTGGTTCGTTTGCAGCCGCCAAAATCTCGCATAGCAGGCGATGCACCCACTTGCCTTCCTGTATGGCCAGACTTAGCGCGATGTATTCCGCTTCACTTGTCGACAGTGACACGCTTGACTGCTTCTTGCTTCCTCAACTTATGGGTGCACCGAGAAGTACGAACGCGTAACCCGAAGTTGATTTGCGATCAGCATAGTCGCCGGCCCAGTTCGCATCAGAATATCCGCGAAAGTCGATCTTGTCGCTTGGCTGGAAGCGGAGTCCGTGCGACTTGGTCCCTTGCAAGTAACGAAAGATGCGCTTCACCGCCGTCCAATGTTCTTGCTGCGGATTCTCCATGAAGCGCGAGACGTACCCCACAGCATACGCGATATCTGGGCGCGTTGCAGTCATCAAATGCATCAAAGCTCCCACAGCTTCAAGAAACGGAACGTCGATCTTGGCCGCTTCGCTGCTTGCGACAAGCCGAGTGCTCAAGTCGACCGGACTTGCTGTGGCCTTGCACTCATCCATGCCGAAGCGCTCGAGGATGTCGTTGACATACCGTCGCTGGCACATCGTCACGCTGCCATCCGATTCGTCCACCACTTCGATGCCCAGTACAAAAGTACACTTGCCACTGTCGGTCATCTCGAAACGCGTCTTGAGGTCGGCCTTCGTCTGCGCAATCGACTCGAGTGAGCTGCCGGTGACCAACACGTCATCCACGTAGACCAGCACGAGCACACAGTGACCGTCGACAATCTTGATGTAGAGACATGGGTCGAACGCCGACACTTCGAAACCGATAAAGCATACGAACTCGTCGAAAGTCTCGTTCCACACACGTGAAGCTTGCTTGAGACCGTAGATCGCCTTCACCAACTCGAGACAGTCGAAGTCGCCATCCATCTCGACGCCTTCTGGTGTCACGCAGTACACCTTCTCCTTCATCACTCCGTAGAGAAAGGCTGTCACCACATCGAGTTGGTCCAGTGGCCAGTCGAAATACTTGGTGATCGCGATCACCATACGCAGTGTCACGTACTTGACCACGGGCGAGAACGTCTCTGTGTAGTCGATGCCGTACTTCTGCTAGAAGCCCTTGGCAACGAGACGCGCCTTGTATTTCTCGACCGATCCATCCGCTTTGTGCTTGCCAGTCTGCTTGTAGACGGTTTGACGCACGTCGTCCTCGTTGATCGCCAGGAGGTCGAGGTCCAACTCCACATCTTCATCATCGTCACTTGGTCGGTCCATCGAAAAGTCAAAAGTCGATTCGTCGAAGGTGATGTCACGACTGATCACCACTTGGCCCGCCTCAATGTCGTACACTCGATAAGCTTTTGACGCTTCTTCGTAGCCCATGAACATCCCTTCACGAGCCTTCGGGTCCCACTTCAATCGCTTCTCCCTTGGTGTCAGGATAAACGCCCGACATCCAAACACGCGCATGTGCTTGACACTTGGTTTCGACTTGTACACGATCTCGAACGGAGTCTTGTGGTCAATCTTGGGTGAAGGCAGGCGGTTCTTGATGTAGATCGCCGTCATTGCCGCTTCAGCCCAGAAACACTTCTCCAGCTTTGCATGATGCAACAAGCTGCGTCCGATCGTGACGATGGTCCTTATCGCGCGTTCTGCGGTGCCGTTGGTCTGGTGTGCATACGGCACCGTGATCTGTTGTTCAATACCATGATTTTCGTAGAAGGTCTTGATCGAGTTGATCGCAAACTTATGCGCTCCATCGTGCCGAACAAACTTGATCTTCGTGCCGAACTGAGTTTGAATCTTGATGATGTGGTCCTTGATACAGACTTCACTCTCAGACTTGGACCGCAGACAGAAGCCCTTCATGCAACCGCTGGCTTCGTCAACCACAAGCAGTAAGTATCTGCTGCCGCCGATCGAGACTTGTTCCATTGGCCCGCAGATGTCGAAGTGCAGCAACTCGAACACACCATATTGGCGCTTGTCACGGTTGGTTTGGGAATGGTTTTTGGACCATCTTTCCTTGCTGGCAACCGCGACACACACTTGGACCAGTCGAGTTGAGAGGTGCCTTTGCGTCCTTGATCATGCCGGTGGCCACCATCTTGCGCAGAACTTCGAGGGGTGCATGACCCATGCGCGCATGCAAGTCGATAGTCCCATTGCGTGTTGCTGCATTTGCCGATCGTTGAGGAGTCCGCATCCAGTAAAGTCCATCGACGAGATCCGCTGTTGCCACGACTTGTGTGGAATTCTTGCGCTTCACTTGCATCTTGGATCCATCGAACACGACTTGAAACTTGCCACCCTTGTAAATCTGCGGCACCGATAACAGATTCTTGCTCATACTTGGTACGACCAGTGCGTCCTTGATCTCGATGTCGCGTTCGTCACCATTGGGCAGAACCACCCGTTCCATGATGGTTCCCACACCCTTGATCGCAGCCTTGCTGCCATCAGCCACTGATAGTTCGCCTTCCTCTCGCTCATTCAGGCTTGCAAACTTGGCTTTGTCGTTGCAGATGTGATGCGTCGCACCGCTGTCGACTGCCCACATCCCTGGCATATTCTTGCCCGTCGAAAGTCCAGCCTCCAGCGAAACCGCGAACGCAACTCGATCGTAGTTGTCGTCGTTGCTGTTGTTGGTTCGCCACTGAACGTTGTTGGCTCCGCGTCCACGAGCATTGTTGCCGCCGCGTCGAGCTGCACCTTGATTTTCGTCCTTCTGCTTGGTCCAGCACCGCTCCGCCGTGTGCCCCAATTTTCCGCAGTATGTACACTGGCGAGGTTCACGCTCGGTACTGAACGCCTTCGCCGCGTCTTCAGTCTTCACCGATGTCGTCTTGTCACCTTGCCTCTTGATGTGCTCATTCGTGAGCACTCTCACGACGTCTCGCGATCGCAGTTCCGCGCTGCTCATCTCCAAGTTGAGAACGACGTTCTCGTGGCTCTTGGGGAGGCTGCGCAACAAGCAGATCGCCACTTCCTCGTCCTCCATCTTGGCGCCGATGCTGCTGAGCTTCGCGCTGATGTTGAGGACTTCGTTGCAATGATGCATCACATTGCCGCCTTCCGCCATCTCCATGCTGAACAGCTGGCGCTTCAAGTAGATGCGTCCAGCCTTCTGCGACCCGCCGTACAGCGTCTTCAAACGCGCCCACGCGACCCACGCCTCTTCACAGTCATCAACCACGTGATGATAATCCGCGCTCATGTGCAGCAGCATCAAGCCGAACGCAATGTTGTTCGTCTTGACGTAGTCGTCACTGGCGCGAGGATCGGCGAAGGTGGGGGTGGTCTCCCGGTTCACCACGTGCCACGCCGATTTGGTCAGGAACACGCCACGCATGTAGCGGCTCCATGTCGCGTAGTTGTCGCCGTCGAACTTGTCAATGGAGATCTTGGTGGTGGCATCATAAGCAGAGGACATCGTGCTTGGGCTCATAAACTGTTGAAAGGTGTGAAGCTTGATGACCGAAACTGGGAGTGATGCTGGGGGTCCACTCGGAAGACCGGAGAAGACACTTGGGGTTAGATGGAAGATTGGAAAGTGATTGATTATCGGGGCTTACTACTTACTACATGATTTACATGTGGTGTACATATAAATCATGTGAAGCGTCTCATCATCCTACGCGTCTAATCAACTATGGTCATTACCGTAAGAACTACGTCGTAAATACTAAGCTGAACGGGCGGTTCGGATTGGACCGGTCACGGTTACCAATACTGGTAGAAACCGATGACCGTCAACATACCGGGTGGTGGAGGCTCATTTGGATCCAGTTTGGACGATCATGCGCCTTTCGTATCATCGAAGTCCAAATCAGCTGTTCGTCGTAAAGATGGGTCGACATGTCGCCCTACTTAATCTGTTCAGACGCCAGCAGTTTTTCTTGATCCTACATCACCAATGTCGGCTGCTTCGGTCTAAGCGTTTTTAAGAACACCGTCACTCAATCGGCCCGAGCCTCGATTTATGTCATATACGGCGACTGTTGATCCAGTAATTAAGTTTAAGGACGACAACGCTTTAGACGATTCGGACTATCCGACAGTTGGGATTGCAGCAGGTGAAAACAACAATTATGTTTTTTAAATACCCTGGCGTTTTCTCGGCTCACCATGCATCGGATAGCGATTGCAGTATAACGTTTTCGGTACACAAGGGATTCACACCCGTTTTAGATCTAATTGATATTGCATTGTAGAGGGTGGAGCGAAGAGAAGGGAGCGGAAAGACCGAAGGGAGTAGAGCGAAGACACTTGCTCACTAGTTGGAAGATTCGAAAGTAATTGATTATCGGGGCTTATGTGGTGTACATAACAATTATGTGTAATGTCTCATCATCCTACGCGTCTCATCAACGATGGTAATTACCGTTAGAACTACGTCGTAAATACTAAGCTGAGTAGGCTGTTCGGATTGAACCTGTCATAGATACCAGTACAGGTAGACAAGCGATGACCATCAACCATTAAGTCTGCCACTCTTTAGTCCCTCCAACAAAATCAACATTTATGTATTTTAAATTTTTGAACACCGTCTCGTCGAGACCCTACCAAGATTGATTGCTGTACAGCATCATGAATTGTTACAGTTTGTGTGATAACTATAATCGTCTATCTGCTTTTTCACCGATATTCGACGCTAATCATTTTTCGTTCTACATTGTATACATGGTCTAGATCAGCCCAATGGGACTTTGTCTAAAACAATGATCTTGCATCGGCACATCAAGCACTTTCTTGATTACTTTTCTTGGAATGCGAACATGGTGCTTGTCGATCCCATGCCATTTAGCATGACGGGATGGAATCGAGTAATGAATCGTCGTTACATAAAGATCGAATCGATCATCGACAGTCCTTGTGTAAATTCACTCATGCTTGCCCTGACGCCTAATTTCAGCGTCTTCTGGATCAATTCAAAAGGCTTTCTGGCTGCAGCGCAAGCAGCACCGGTCCCGCTATCATCATTCTGAAACTTTCCTAAAAAACCTTTTATTAGGGGACGATAGCTGGTCTTAACTATCTGGACCTTTTGTTGGACCCCTACTTTCTACATCATCCGCGCTTCCATAAATAGCAAGTTTTATACTCTGGTAAGTGCCGTATAGTCGGCCCGGCTGACTTGTTTGCGGAATTCGTTCGAGGAGAACGAAGAATTAGTACGTAACAAGTATTGCAACTCTAGTCGGGATTACCTGAATCGAGACATCGAAGTCTACACGAAAAGGTCAAGCCTGTTGTTAGTATTAGGTTAAGATCGGGTCGTGGTCTTAAAATCCCAGTTTGTTAATTTTAAATCGGACCTGCCTTTCATCTCTCACTAACTTGTTTATATCTATTTCCCACGTTAAACCGATCGTGATCTCCATCAACAAGCTGGTAATAACACAAATTACTATTCGCAAACAAACAACCCTATCCTCCAACGTGTGCTGCGAGCGCACTTTTAATCCCCTATTGCAGAAATTTTCCGATTTACTCGCACGCACATGCACCATTCCGAAATGACTTTGATTTTATCGATAATTTTAAGCTCCTACAAGTGAGACCCACATCTCAGGCTAGCTTCACATACCCAGCTCAATTCGGGATATCATTTCCATAGTACTAAAACTAAATTTGTATTCGCCCATGGTGAGTCTCCGGCCAGGTTGCACAAAAATTAGAATCTCCACTTCAGACTCATTCTCGCCGATATCGACCGAACAGCTGCCTACCTAAAAATTAAAGAGCTTAATCAAAATCAAAGCAACATCATTCTCTCGCCTCCATCTCGCCTTTCTGTAGGTATAGGAAATCCCTTAGCCGTTTCAACTTCATCAGATGCACGATAGGGAACAGCCGAAAAGGGGCGTCGGCTATCTTCAGTAGCACTGCGTGATCGCCGCATAGTTATTTCAACCGATAGAACCCATACCGCTTTTGCGCCAACTCTCTCGCCTTCCCTTCGCAAACATGATTCAGGTACAGCCACACTTTCGAACATACTTTAATCTCAAGTTGGTCTAGATCGCCCTATTGTCAATCTGATCGTTCTTGTATTGCAAATTTATTTGACCTTTCACTTCCGATTAAGCGCTTTCAGATTGCCTCAGTAAACGATATTGCCACATATTTTTAACCGCGATCTCGCGCTCCTTTATTTCTCAAGGACAACTTAGATTCTGTTGTGGGTTATCGGTGAAGGTACTTTGTACCGGTTACCCTGCCTAATCCGGTGTCGCGTAATTTCGGTAAGTCTGTGACTTCATCGAGATGATGTCACTTAATAATTAGACGAGTACAATTTATTGGACGCACATGAATCAAATTGATCAGATGTACCATGTGATTGAATGCAGTCTAGAGTTGGCAGAGCTAAGACAAATAAATCAGTCACTTCCAAACAATATGTCATCTATGCAAGACCTCTTAACCCCTCGGTATATACTTCTTTCTCGCTCAAAGCTTCCTTTCAAGTATCTTCCAATGCGACGATTTATGAGCCCAAGTTCCACGGCGTATGATTAAGATGCCACAAACAAAATCTTCGATGTTAGGTTCAATAGAGACAACCAAGAGACTTGGAGCCGGTAGATGCGTGGCGTGTTCCTTACCGAATCAACAACATGACACGTGATAAATTGTGAACCACCCCAAACTTGGCGGGCCTGTTGACGGTCATCGGTTTCTACTAGTATTGGTAACCGTGACTGGTCCAATCCGAACCACCTATTCAGCTTAGTATTTACGACGTAGTTCTTACGGTAATTACCATAGTTGATTAGACGCGTAGGATGATGAGACGCTTCACATGATTTATATGTACACCACATATAAATCATGTAGCAAGTAGTAAGCCCCGATAATCAATCACTTTCGACTTCTCCTTCTGCCGAGCAAGTCTTTTTTGCTCCGCTCCTCAAGCCTCTTCGCTCCCTCCGGTCTCTTCCGGTCTTCTCGTCACTCCCGTTTCATACCTTCAACAGTTATGAGCCCAAGCGCAATGTCTTCTGCCGGCCACGCATCCTCCAACGCCCTCATCGATAAGTTCGATGGGGACAACTATTCGACCTGGAGTCGATACACGCGTGGCGTGTTCCTATAAAAGTCAGTGTGGCATGCTGTCAACCGGGAGAGCTCCCCGACGTTCGCGGACCCTCGAGCGCAGGACGACTACGTCAAGGCCAACGACATCACGTTTGGAACGATGTTGTTGCACATGGGTGTGGACTACCACCATGTGGTCGACAACTGCGAGGAAGCGTGGGTTGCGTGGAAGAGTCTGAAGATGCTGTACGGTGGATCCCAGAAAGCGGGAAGGATCTACCTCAAGCGTCAACTCTTCAGCATGAAGATGGATGAAGGCGTCAACGTCATACATCACTGCAACGAGGTCCTGAACATCGCTGCCAAGCTTAGCAGCATCGGTGCGAAGATGGAGGACGAGGACGTCGCAATTTGCCTGCTGCTCAGCTTCCCTAAGAGTTTTGAGAACGTTGTTCTCAACCTGGAGATGAGCAACGCGGAGCTTCGTACCCAAGATGTTGTGAAGGTGCTCACATATGAGCACACCAAGCGCCAAGGGGAGAAGGTGACAACAACAGCGACGATGGTCAAGAGTGAAGATGCAGCCAAGGCCTTCAACACTGAGCGCGAGCCATACAAGTGCACCTACTGTGGGAAGGTGGGACACAACGTCGATCGCTGTTGGACCAGGCAGAAGAATGAAAGTCGAGGAGCCCGACGCGGCGGCAATGGTCGTGGACGCGGGGCGAACAATGTCCAGTGGGGACAATATCGTGATGAATACAGCGACTACGATCAAGCAGCGTTTGCAGCTTCGCTAGAGTGTGGACTCTCAGCGAAGAAGGACGTGTCCGGAATGAGGGCCGTCGACAGTGGTGCAACACACCACATATGCCACGACAAGACTAAGTTGGCAAGAGTGAACAAGCGCAACGACGGTGAAATCTTGGTGGCGGATGGCAACAAAGTGGCCATCAAGGGTGTTGGAACCATCTTTGAAAAGGTGGTTCTGCCCGACGGTGAAGAGCACGAGATCGAGATCAAGAACGTCCTTTACGTGCCAAGCACGAGCAAAAATCTACTTTCGGTACCGCAGATCAACAAGCACGGCAAGTTTCAAGTCGTGTTCGACGGGACCAAGATGTTTGTCGCTCGCAAAGGATCGCAACAAGTGGTGGCAACAGCAGATCTTGTGGATGGCCTTTACTGGATTCACACAGCTCATCGATCGGCCAATGCGACAACAAACGGATGCAACGGTGTCGACTTACATGCGCGGATGGTACACGCTCCAGCTGATGTGCTTCGCAAAATGGTGGTCACGAACATGATTAAGGATGTGAAGGTACCTCTCACTTCAAGTGGATCAACCGCATGCCGAGGATGTCAACAAGGGAAAATGGTCCAAAAACCATTCCCATGCAACCAGGACAAGCGCAGATACGACACCTTCGAGCTACTTCACGTCGACATCTGCGGACCCATGGAGATGAATTCTCTGGGTGGCAGCAAATATCTACTGCTGATCGTTGACGAAGCCAGTGGATGTATGATGGGCTTCTGTCTACGTGTGAAGTCGGAGAGTGAAAACTGCATCACACGATACATCAAGATGGTGCAAGCGCAGTATGGCAAGAAGGTCAAGCTCGTCTGACACGACGGAGCCCGCGAGTTCGCAGCCAACTCGCTTCAAGAATTCTACGAAGATGAAGGCATTGAGCAGCAGACGACGGTGCCATATGCACACCAGACCAACGGCACGGAAGAGCGCGCCATTCGGACTATCGTCACAATTGGTCGCAGCATGCTCCACCATGCGAAGTGGAAAAGTGCTTCTGGGCCGAAGCAGCAATGACGGCAATCTACATCAAGGACCGTCTGCTGTCGCCTAAAGTTATGCACAAGACTCCGTTCGAGATCGTCCACAACTCCAAGCCAAGTGTCAAGCACATGCGGGTGTTCGGTTGTCAGGTTTACATACTGACACCGAAGGAGAAGCGGCTCAAGTGGGACCCCAAGGCTCGCACTGGGATATTCTTGGGCTACGAAGAAGCATCCAAAGCGTACCGCGTTTATGACATCGAGGCGGGGCAGGTGGTCATCAGTCGCGATGTCAACTTTGACGAGTCCGCCTTTGGACTTTCGCCGCCAATTACCGCTGAACATGCCGATGACATTGACTTCGACTCCCTCGATCTGGATGATGAAGCGCCAGGTCAAGCGCAGTACAAGAAAACAGGCAAGCGCAAGAGTCGTCCCCATGATGAAGAAGTACCAGCTCCCCCACGCACACAGTGCAATAACGGCATGGACTAGAAGAATCAAGTGCGCCAGACAATCACACGATCCACCAAAAAAGAAGATGAAGAAACAAAGAATGCTGATGCATCGACTCCGCCTGTGTTTTGGCGTTCGAGTGCGAACGCCATCGAAACAGCAGTAGACTTATCCGAGCCCTCAACATTTGAAGCTGCGGTGAGCGGTCCTGATCAAGTGCATTGGCGCGAAGCTATCCGTGCGGAACTTGAGTCGATGCGACTTTGTGAAGTATTCCGCGCAGCCAAGCTACCTAAAGGACATCGCGCCATTGGCACGAAGTGGGTCTTCAAGATCAAGCGCAAAGCGGACGGATCAATTGACAAGTACAAGGCGCGTCTTGTGGCAAAGGGTTTCAATCAACAATATGGGATGGACTACACGGAAACATTCTCGCCCGTCGTCAAGTACGTGACGACACATATGGTGATTGCAGTCGCCAAGTATTTCGAATGGACCATCGACCAAATCGACGTGGTGACGGCATTCCTGTATGGTGTCATGAAGGAACAAGTGTTCTGCGTCATCCCTGAAGGCGTGGAATTGGAGGGCTCCTTCGATTGTCTGGAGTTGGTGAAGGCAATCTACGGACTAAAGCAAGCGTCGCGCGTATGGAACGAAACGTTTGACGAGTTCGTGTGTGCTATGGATTTCAAGCGTCAAGCCTCGACCCGTGTCTCTGCATAAGGATTGTGGAAGGGCAATGCGTACTGCTGCTGGTGTATGTGGATGACGTGTTGATCACCGGTAGCTCATGCGAGCTAATTGCACACACCAAGACCAACCTGAAGACACGATTCGAGATGACTGACAGCGGCAAGTGTGCATTTGTGCTTGGAATCGAGCTTTTGGACGGTGCAAATGGAAGCGTGACACTATGTCAGCGTCGGTATGTAGATGGCATACTCAAGCGCTTTGGCATGGATGATTGCAAGGACTTCGCAAGTCCAGTCGACATGAGCTCTCGACTTGTTTCAATTGATGCAGCCACCAAGGTCGATGCTCCTTTTCGCGAAGCTGTTGGTGCGTTGATGCACCTGACCACTGCAACGCGCCCGGATATTGCGTTCGTTGTGGGCTATGTGTCGCGGTTCATGGAGAACCGCCAAGAAGAACACTGGGTTGCGGTCAAGCACATCTTCAGCTACCAACAAAGCACCAAGATGCACGGAATCTGCTACAAGCCAAATGCGAAGATCGACTTTCGTGGCTACTCGGATGCAGACTGGGCCGGTGACCTCGCAGATCGCAAGTCGACGTCTGGTTACGTATTCATGCTGTTGGGTGCGCCAGTGAGTTGGGGCAGCAAGAAACAGCCAAGTGTTTCGTTGTCCACGACTGAAGCTGAATACATCGCACTCAGCTTGGCGATTCAAGAGGGCAAGTGGATTCATCGTCTGCTTTGTGAGATCGTGATGGCTGCCAATGAAGAAGGACCGTAACTCATGATCCATGAAGACAATCAGTCGTGTATCAAGATGACGAAGAACCCGGTCAACCACGGCCGCGCCAAGCACATTGATATCAAGTACCATCACATCCGTGATGAGGTCAAGCGCGGTGAAATGAAGCTCAAGTACTGTGAAACTGCGGTGATGCTAGCGGACATCATGACGAAGGGACTTCATGGACCACGCCACAAGGAGATGACGGCGGCTCTCGGCATTCGTGCGAGTTCGCATTGAGGAGGCGTGTTGACGGTCATCGGTTTTCTACCAGTATTGGTAACCGTGACCGGTCCAATCCGAACCGCCTATTCATCTTAGTATTTACGACGTAGTTCTTACGGCAATTGCCATAGTTGATTAGACGCGTAGGATGATGAGACGCTTCACAAGATTTATATGTGCACCACGTATAAATCATGTAGCAAGTAGTAAGCCCCGATAATCAATCACTTTCGAATTCTCCTTCAGCCGAGCAAGTCTTTTTTGCTCCGCTCCTCAAGCCTCTTCGCTCCCTCCGGTCTCTTCCGGTCTTCTCGTCACTCCCGTGTCATACCTTCAACAGGACCCTCGCGCGATGGACGAGTACGTCAAGACCAGCAGCATAGACTTTTAACTCATGATGCTGCACATGGACTCATACTAACATCACGTGGTCGACAGTTGCGAAGGACAATGGGTGGCATAAACGCGATTGAAGACGCTATAAAGTGGATCGCTGAAGGTTAGGTGCATTCTTCAAGCTCCAGATTTTCAGTATGGAGATGGTGTAAGGAGCTTACATATTACATTACTGCAATGGAGTTCTTATCATCAGTGTTAACCTCAGTAGTATAGAGGTTAAGATGGAGGATAAGAATGTAGCGATCTGCTTGTTGCGCAGTTTCCGCAACAGCTACGAAAACGTAGTACTCAACTTGGAGATGAGCAGCGCGGAACTGCGGACGCATGACATTGGGAATGTGCTCATGAATGAGAATATCAAGAGACAAGGCGAGAAGAAGACGTCGGTGAACACTGAGGAAGCAAGCAAGACCATCGGTACCGAGCGTGAGTCTCGCCAGTGTACCTTCTGGAGGAAAAAAGAGCATACGGTGGATCGATGCTGGACCAAGCAAAAGGAAGAAATCGAGGAGCTCGACGCGGCGGCAATGCCCGTGGACGCGGAGTCGATCGAGTTCAGTGGCAGGAATACAGCAACAACCATTTCTTCGGCCGAGTGGCGTTTGATGTTTCGCTTGAATGCGAGCTTTCTTCTGGCAAGGGCAAGTCTGGTATGTATGCAGTCGACAGCGGCGAGGCGCACCATATCTACTACGACAAGAACAAGTTCGCAGCTCTCAGTGAAAGCGATGAAGGCGAAGTATCGGTTGCGAATGGGAGCAAGACTGCAATCATGAGAATCGAGGACACCGTGGGCATGTGGTTCTGCCCGACGACCGTGAAATTTAGATCAAGAACACGATCTACGTACCGAGGATGAACAAGAATCTGCTGTTCATTCTTCAGATTCACAAGAGCGGACAGTTCCAAAAGTGATATACGATGGAACCAAGATGAACGTGACGCGTAAAGGCACCGTGCAAGTGGTGGCGATAGCAGAGCTCGTAGATGTATCGTACTGGCTACGAACGTTTGAACGGTCCGCAAATGCTGCATCACGATTGCGATTCGAGGACCTCTATGCGCGTGTTGACAGTCATCGTTTTTTTTACCAGTGTTAATATCCAAGACAGGTTCAATCCGAACAGCCTGCTCAGCTTAGTATTTACGACGTAGTTCTAACGGTAATAACCATAAGTGATGAGACGCGTAGGATGATGAGACGTAACACAAAATTTTTATGCACCACATCTAAATCATGTAATAAGCTCTGATAATTAATCACTTTCACATCTTCCAACTAGTGAGCAAGTGTCTTCCGCTTCCTTCGCTTTTCTCCGTCCTCTACAATGCAACAGATTATGAGCTTTAGCGCCATGTCGTCCACCATCTACGCATCCTCTAACGTCTTTGTTGATAAGTTCAATGGAGATAACTATGCGACTTGGAATCGGTACATGCGCGGTGTGTTGTTGACGAAGTCCGTCTGGCACGTCGTAAGCCGTAAAAAGACTCCAACCTTCACCGACACGTGGGCGTCCGTTAAATACGTCAAGGCGAGCAACATCGCGTTTGGTATGATGCTGCTACACATGGGTGCGTATTAACACCACATGTGGTTGACAACTGTAAGGAAACGTGGGTCGCGTGGTCACGCCTGAAGACATTCTACGATGGTTCGCAGAAGGCAGGACGCATCCACCTGAAGCGACTACAACTTAGCACATAAATGGCTGAATACACGAACCCCATGCATCTCTGCAACGAGGTCCTCTATATCTTCAACAAGCTTAGCAACATCGGTGAGAAGATTAATGACAGTGACATTGCGATCTTCTTGCTGCTAAGTCTCCCAAAGAGCTACGAAATGTGGTACTTTGTTGTTGAAGATGCTCCTCGTCCAGCGAGCGACAAAAGAAAGGTACATTCTGGTAATCAGTAGTTCGCTTATCCCATGAGTAATACCAAATGTATGGATTAATCACGTGCGACTGTCTGATGAGTAAGGTGTATAGAGTAGATTACTCATGTGCGACTATCGATGAGTATCTGTATAGAGTAGATTGCTCATGTGTGACTATATAAAGAGCAATGCGCGTAGTGTCCATAAATGTTGTCTAGTCGAAGAATCCATAAGGCTAAGAGTGTCAAGAAGGAGTTGAAAGCTAAGGACCTGCATACATTCACTTTGCATTTTGCATTCACCTCGACAAGCACCTTACCAAAATACTCAGCATGGAATTGAGCAGTTTCGACCACAATACACAGGACGTGGTGAAGGTGCTGACGAATGAGCACGCCAATGTTGACGGTCATCGGTTTTCTACCAGTATTGGTAACCGTGACCGATCCAATCCGAACCGCCCGTTCAGCTTAGTATTTACGACGTAGTTCTTACGGTAATTACCATAGTTGATTAGACGCGTAGGATGATGAGACGCTTCACATGATTTATATGTACACCACATGTAAATCATGTAGTAAGTAGTAAGCCCCGATAATCAATCACTTTCGAACCTTCCAACTATTGGGCAAGTGTTTTCTGCTCTACTCTCTTCGGTCTCTCCGCTCCGTTCGCTCCGCTTTCCTCGCTCCGATCTACAATGCAACAGGTTATGAGCCCAAGCGCCATGTCGTCCACCAGCAACGCCTCCATTGACAAGTTCAACGGAGAAAATTACGCAACGTGGAGCCGGTACATGCGCGGTGTGTTTTTGACGAAGTCCGTCTGGCACGTCGTCAACCGTGAAGTGACTCCGACTTTCACCGACCCGCGAGCGTCCGATGACTACGTCAAGGCAAGCAACGTCGCGTTTGGTATGATGCTGCTGCACATGAACGCGGACTACCATCATGTGCTGGACAACTGCGAGGAAGCCTGGGTTGCGTGGACAAGTCTGAAGACGCTGTACGGTGGGTCGCAGAAGGCAGGACGCATCTACCTCAAGCGACAACTTTTCAGTATCAAGATGGCTGAAGGCGCGAACGTCATGCATCACTGCAACGAGGTCCTCAACATCTCCGCCAAGCTTAGCAGCATCGGTGCGAATATGGAAGACGAAGACGTTGCAATTTGTCTGCTACTCAGTCTTCCGAAGAGCTACGAAAATGTGGTGCTCAACATGGAAATGAGCAGCACCGAGCTTCGCACTCAAGATGTGGTGAGAGTCCTGACGAATGAGCATGCCAAGCGTCAAGGAGAAAAAGGGACAACGACAGCGACTACGGTGAAGGCTGAAGATGCAAGCAAGGCATTCAGCGCCGAGCGTGAGCCCTACCTATGCACGTATTGTGGCAAGGTGGGACACACGGTGGATCGTTGCTGGACAAAGCAGAAGAACGAAGGTCGGGGAGCCCGACGCGGCGGCAATGGTCGTGGACGCGGGGCTAACAACGTCCAGTGGGGACATTATGATCAAGGCAATGGCTGCCATCAAGTGGCGTTTGCAGTCTCGTTCGAATGTGGAGTTTCGACGAGCAAGGACGTGTCTGGAATGTGGGCCGTTGACAGTGGTGCAACGCACCACATTTGCCACGACAAGACCAAGTTCGCAAGTTTGGCAGAGCGCAATGAGGGCGAACTCTTGGTGGATGATGGCAACAAGGTGGCCATCAAGGGTGTGGGAACCATCATGGAAAAGGTGGTTCTGTCCAACGGTAAAGAGCGTGAGATTGAAATCAAGAACGCGCTATATGTTCCAAGTATGAGCAAGAACCTGCTCTCGGTGCCACAGATTAACAGCCATGGCAAGTTTCAAGTCGTGTTTGACGGGTCCAAGATGTATGTGACTCTCAAGAACTCACAGCAAGTGGTGGCGACAGCGGATCTCGTGGATGGACTCTACTGGCTTCGGACGACTCAACGATCAGCAAATGTGACAACAAGTGAAACCAGTTGTGCCGATCTACATGCGAGAATGGGTCATGCTCCAGTCGATGTACTTCGCAAGATGATCGCGACCAACATGATCAAGGATGTGCGAGTCCCTCTCAAGTCGGGTGGAGCAACTACATGTCGAGGATGTCAACAAGGGAAAATGGTCCAAAAACCATTTCCAAGCAACCGAGACAAGCGCAGCTACGATACGTTTGAGCTACTTCATCTGGACACCTGCGGGCCCATGGAAAAGGATTCGCTCGGTGGCAGCAAATATTTGCTGCTGATCATCGACGAAGCCAGTGGATGCATGAAGGGATTTTGTCTACGAGTGAAGTCCGAGAGTGAAGACTACATCCGGAAATAAATCACCATGGTACAAACGCAATTCTGTAAGAAGGTCAAGTTCGTGCGACACGACGGAGCTCGCGAGTTTGCAACCAACTCGCTTCAACTGTTCTACGAAGACGAAGGCATTGAACAGCAGACAACGGTGACGTATGCACATCAAACAAACGGAACAGCAGAGCGTGCCATTAGGACTATTGTCACGATCGGCCGCAGCATGCTTCATCATGCCAAACTGGACAAGTGTTTCTGGGCCGAAGCAGCGATGACGGCCATCGACGTCAAGAATCGACTGCCGTCACCTAAAGTCGTGCACAAGACCCCGTTTGAGATCGTCTACAACTTGAAACCAAGCGTCAAGCACATGCGAACATTCGGGTGTCAGACATACATACTGACGCCTAAAGAGAATCGACTCAAGTGGGATCCAAAGGCTCGCGCTGGCATATTCGTGGGCTACGAAGAAGTTTCGAAGGCATATCGTGTTTATGACATCGAGGCGGGGCAGGTGGTTATCAGCCGCGATGTCAACTTCGACGAGTCCACCTTTGGACTTCAACTGCCGATCACTGATGAAGATGTCGATGACCTGGACTTCGAATTGCTGGATCTTGATGACGAAGAGCTGCGTCAAATGGAGTACAAGCAAACAGGCAAGCGCAAGAACCGACTCAATGATGAAGATACAGCAGCTCCACGACCGCGTGCAGTGTGTCAACGACCAGGACTAGAAGAGTCAAGCGCGCCGGAAAACAACTCGTCACGCCAAGAAGAAGACGAAGAAACGAAGGATTCTGGTGATTCAACACCGCCTGTGTTTTGGCGTGCGAGTGCAAATTCTGTTGAAACAGCAGTGGATTTGTCGGAGCCGTCGACATTTGAAGCAGCAGTGACTGGCCCTGATCAATTGCACTGGAGAAAAGCAATTCATGCAGAGCTCGAGTCAATGCGACTTCGCGGTGTGTTTCGTGCAGCCAAGCTGCCCAACGGACAACGCGCCATTGGCACAAAATGGGTGTTCAAGATCAAGCGTAAAGCGGACGGATCTATCGAGAAGTACAAGGCACGTCTCGTGGCAAAGGGCTTTCGCCAAAAGTATGGAATCGACTACACGGAGACGTATTCGCCCGTGGTCAAGCATGTGACGCTGAGAATGGTGATCGCAATTTTCAAGCATTTTGGATGGCCCATCGACCAGCTTGATGTGGTGACAGCTTTCCTGTATGGCGTCATGAAGGAACAAGTGTTCTGCTTGATTCCTGAAGGCGTCGAACTTGACAGTACGTTCGACTGCCTGGAATTGGTGAAGGCAATTTACGGCCTGAAGCAAGCTTTGCGAGTATGGAACGAGACTTTTGACGAGTTTGTGTGTTCCATTGGATTTCAAGTGTCAGACTTCGACCCATGTCTCTACATCAAGACTTCGGACGGCCATTGCGTGTTTATACTGGTCTACGTGGACGACGTCTTGGTGACTGGAAGCTCGCTCGAGCTGATTCACAAACCAAGAACGACCTGAAGACGCGGTTCGAAATGACGGACAGCGGCAAGTGTGCGTTTGTTCTTGGGATCGAGCTTTTGGACGGTGAAGATGGCAGTGTGACACTATGTCAGCGTCGGTATGTCGATGATATCCTCAAGCGCTTTGGCATGGATGATTGCAAGGCAGTCGCAAGTCCAGTCGACATGAGCTCTCGACTTGTTTCAAGTGATGCAACTACCAAGGTCGATGCTCCTTTTCGCGAAGCTGTTGGTGCGTTGATGCACCTGACCACTGCAACGCGTCCGGACATTGCGTTTGCTGTGGGCTATGTGTCGCGGTTCATCGAAAATCCACAAGAAGAACACTGGGTTGCAGTTAAGCGTATCTTTCGCTACCTACAAGGCACCAAGACGCATGGAATTTGCTACAAGCCAAGTGCAAGGATCGACTTTCGTGGATATTCGGATGCGGATTGGGCTGGTGACCTTACCGACCGCAAGTCAACATCGGGGTACACGTTCATGCTACTCGGTGCGCCAGTGAGTTGGGGCAGCAAGAAGCAGCCAAGTGTTTCGTTGTCCACGACTGAAGCTGAATACATCGCACTCAGCTTGGCGATTCAAGAGGGCAAGGAGATTGATCGTCTGCTTTGTGAGATCGTGATGGCTGCCAATGAAGAAGGACCGGAACTCATGATTCATGAAGACAATCAGTCATGTATCAAGATGACGAAGAACCCGGTCAACCACGGCCGTGCCAAGCACATTGATATCAAGTACCATCACATCCGTGATGAGGTCAAGCGCGGTGAAGTGAAGCTCAAGTACTGTGAGACTACGGTGATGTTAGCAGACATCATGACGAAGGGACTTCATGGACCACGCCACAAGGAGATGACGACGGCTCTCGGGATTCGTGAGCATTCGGATTGAGGGGGCGTGTTGACGGTCATCGGTTTTCTACCAGTATTGGTAACCGTGACCGATCCAATCCGAACCGCCTGTTCAGCTTAGTATTTACGACGTAGTTCTTACGGTAATTACCATAGTTGATTAGACGCGTAGGATGATGAGACGCTTCACATGATTTATATGTACACCACATATAAATCATGTAGTAAGTAGTAAGCCCCGATAATCAATCACTTTCGACTTCTCCTTCTGCCGAGCAAGTCTTTTTGCTCCGCTCCTCAAGCCTCTTCGCTCCCTCCGGTCTCTTCCGGTATTCTCGTCACTCCCGTTTCATACCTTCAACAGTTATGAGCCCAAGCGCAATGTCTTCTGCCGGCCACGCATCCTCCAACGCCCTCATCGATAAGTTCGATGGGGACAACTATTCGACCTGGAGTCGATACACGCGTGGCGTGTTCCTATAAAAGTCAGTGTGGCATGCTGTCAACCGGGAGAGCTCCCCGACGTTCGCGGACCCTCGAGCGCAGGACGACTACGTCAAGGCCAACGACATCACGTTTGGAACGATGTTGTTGCACATGGGTGTGGACTACCACCATGTGGTCGACAACTGCGAGGAAGCGTGGGTTGCGTGGAAGAGTCTGAAGATGCTGTACGGTGGATCCCAGAAAGCGGGAAGGATCTACCTCAAGCGTCAACTCTTCAGCATGAAGATGGATGAAGGCGTCAACGTCATACATCACTGCAACGAGGTCCTGAACATCGCTGCCAAGCTTAGCAGCATCGGTGCGAAGATGGAGGACGAGGACGTCGCAATTTGCCTGCTGCTCAGCTTCCCTAAGAGTTTTGAGAACGTTGTTCTCAACCTGGAGATGAGCAACGCGGAGCTTCGTACCCAAGATGTTGTGAAGGTGCTCACATATGAGCACACCAAGCGCCAAGGGGAGAAGGTGACAACAACAGCGACGATGGTCAAGAGTGAAGATGCAGCCAAGGCCTTCAACACTGAGCGCGAGCCATACAAGTGCACCTACTGTGGGAAGGTGGGACAAACCGTCGATCGCTGTTGGACCAAGCAGAAGAATGAAAGTCGAGGAGCCCGACGCGGCGGCAATGGTCGTGGACGCGGGGCGAACAATGTCCAGTGGGGACAATATCGTGATGAATACAGCGACTACGATCAAGCAGCGTTTGCAGCTTCGCTAGAGTGTGGACTCTCAGCGAAGAAGGACGTGTCCGGAATGAGGGCCGTCGACAGTGGTGCAACACACCACATATGCCACGACAAGACTAAGTTGGCAAGAGTGAACAAGCGCAACGACGGTGAAATCTTGGTGGCGGATGGCAACAAAGTGGCCATCAAGGGTGTTGGAACCATCTTTGAAAAGGTGGTTCTGCCCGACGGTGAAGAGCACGAGATCGAGATCAAGAACGTCCTTTACGTGCCAAGCACGAGCAAAAATCTACTTTCGGTACCGCAGATCAACAAGCACGGCAAGTTTCAAGTCGTGTTCGACGGGACCAAGATGTTTGTCGCTCGCAAAGGATCGCAACAAGTGGTGGCAACAGCAGATCTTGTGGATGGCCTTTACTGGATTCACACAGCTCATCGATCGGCCAATGCGACAACAAACGGATGCAACGGTGTCGACTTACATGCGCGGATGGTACACGCTCCAGCTGATGTGCTTCGCAAAATGGTGGTCACGAACATGATCAAGGATGTGAAGGTACCTCTCACTTCAAGTGGATCAACCGCATGCCGAGGATGTCAACAAGGGAAAATGGTCCAAAAACCATTCCCATGCAACCAGGACAAGCGCAGATACGACACCTTCGAGCTACTTCACGTCGACATCTGCGGACCCATGGAGATGAATTCTCTGGGTGGCAGCAAATATCTACTGCTGATCGTTGACGAAGCCAGTAGACGTATGATGGGCTTCTGTCTACGTGTGAAGTCGGAGAGTGAAAACTGCATCACACGATATATCAAGATGGTGCAAGCGCAGTATGGCAAGAAGGTCAAGCTCGTCTGACACGACGGAGCCCGCGAGTTCGCAGCCAACTCGCTTCAAGAATTCTACGAAGATGAAGGCATTGAGCAGCAGACGACGGTGCCATATGCACACCAGACCAACGGCACGGCAGAGCGCGCCATTCGGACTATCGTCACAATTGGTCGCAGCATGCTCCACCATGCGAAGTGGAAAAGGGCTTCTGGGCCGAAGCAGCAATGACGGCAATCTACATCAAGGACCGTCTGCCGTCGCCTAAAGTTATGCACAAGACTCCGTTCGAGATCGTCCACAACTCCAAGCCAAGTGTCAAGCACATGCGGGTGTTCGGTTGTCAGGTTTACATACTGACACCGAAGGAGAAGCGGCTCAAGTGGGACCCCAAGGCTCGCACTGGGATATTCTTGGGCTACGAAGAAGCATCCAAAGCGTACCGCGTTTATGACATCGAGGCGGGGCAGGTGGTCATCAGTCGCGATGTCAACTTTGACGAGTCCGCCTTTGGACTTTCGCCGCCAATTACCGCTGAACATGCCGATGACATTGACTTCGACTCCCTCGATCTGGATGATGAAGCGCCAGGTCAAGCGCAGTACAAGAAAACAGGCAAGCGCAAGAGTCGTCCCCATGATGAAGAAGTACCAGCTCCCCCACGCACACAGTGCAATAACGGCATGGACTAGAAGAATCAAGTGCGCCAGACAATCACACGATCCACCAAAAAGAAGATGAAGAAACAAAGAATGCTGATGCATCGACTCCGCCTGTGTTTTGGCGTTCGAGTGCGAACGCCATCGAAACAGCAGTAGACTTATCCGAGCCCTCAACATTTGAAGCTGCGGTGAGCGGTCCTGATCAAGTGCATTGGCGCGAAGCTATCCGTGCGGAACTTGAGTCGATGCGACTTTGTGAAGTATTCCGCGCAGCCAAGCTACCTAAAGGACATCGCGCCATTGGCACGAAGTGGGTCTTCAAGATCAAGCGCAAAGCGGACGGATCAATTGACAAGTACAAGGCGCGTCTTGTGGCAAAGGGTTTCAATCAACAATATGGGATGGACTACACGGAAACATTCTCGCCCGTCGTCAAGTACGTGACGACACGTATGGTGATTGCAGTCGCCAAGTATTTCGAATGGACCATCGACCAAATCGACGTGGTGACGGCATTCCTGTATGGTTTCATGAAGGAACAAGTGTTCTGCGTCATCCCTGAAGGCGTGGAATTGGAGGGCTCCTTCGATTGTCTGGAATTGGTGAAGGCAATTTACGGCCTAAAGCAAGCTTTGCGAGTATGGAACGAGACTTTTGACGAGTTTGTGTGTGCTATGGATTTCAAGCGTCAAGCCTCGACCCGTGTCTCTACATAAGGATTGTGGAAGGGCAATGCGTACTGCTGCTGGTGTATGTGGATGACGTGTTGATCACCGGTAGCTCATGCGAGCTAATTGCACACACCAAGACCGACCTGAAGACACGATTCGAGATGACTGACAGCGGCAAGTGTGCATTTGTGCTTGGAATCGAGCTTTTGGACGGCGCAAATGGAAGCGTGACACTATGTCAGCGTCGGTATGTAGATGGCATACTCAAGCGCTTTGGCAAGGATGATTGCAAGGACTTCGCAAGTCCAGTCGACATGAGCTCTCGACTTGTTTCAATTGATGCAGCCACCAAGGTCGATGCTCCTTTTCGCGAAGCTGTTGGTGCGTTGATGCACCTGACCACTGCAACGCGCCCGGATATTGCGTTCGTTGTGGGCTATGTGTCGCGGTTCATGGAAAATCCACAAGAAGAACACTGGGTTGCAGTTAAGCGTATCTTTCGCTACCTACAAGGCACCAAGACGCATGGAATTTGCTACAAGCCAAGTGCAAGGATCGACTTCCGTGGATATTCGGATGCGGATTGGGCTGGTGACCTTACCGACCGCAAGTCAACATCGGGGTACACGTTCATGCTACTCGGTGCGCCAGTGAGTTGGGGCAGGAAGAAGCAGCCAAGTGTTTCGTTGTCCACGACTGAAGCTGAATACATCGCACTCAGCTTGGCGATTCAAGAGGGCAAGTGGATTCATCGTCTGCTTTGTGAGATCGTGATGGCTGCCAATGAAGAAGGACCGGAACTCATGATTCATGAAGACAATCAGTCATGTATCAAGATGACGAAGAACCCGGTCAACCACGGCCGTGCCAAGCACATTGACATGAAGTATCATCGCATCCGTGATGAAGTCAAGCGCGGTGAAATGAAGCTCAAGTACTGTGAAACTGCGGTGATGCTAGCGGACATCATGACGAAGGGACTTCATGGACCACGCCACAAGGAGATGACGACGGCTCTCGGGATTCGTGAGCATTCGGATTGAGGGGGCGTGTTGACGGTCATCGGTTTTCTACCAGTATTGGTAACCGTGACCGATCCAATCCGAACCGCCTGTTCAGCTTAGTATTTACGACGTAGTTCTTACGGTAATTACCATAGTTGATTAGACGCGTAGGATGATGAGACGCTTCACATGATTTATATGTACACCACATATAAATCATGTAGTAAGTAGTAAGCCCCGATAATCAATCACTTTCGACTTCTCCTTCTGCCGAGCAAGTCTTTTTTGCTCCGCTCCTCAAGCCTCTTCGCTCCCTCCGGTCTCTTCCGGTATTCTCGTCACTCCCGTTTCATACCTTCAACAGTTATGAGCCCAAGCGCAATGTCTTCTGCCGGCCACGCATCCTCCAACGCCCTCATCGATAAGTTCGATGGGGACAACTATTCGACCTGGAGTCGATACACGCGTGGCGTGTTCCTATAAAAGTCAGTGTGGCATGCTGTCAACCGGGAGAGCTCCCCGACGTTCGCGGACCCTCGAGCGCAGGACGACTACGTCAAGGCCAACGACATCACGTTTGGAACGATGTTGTTGCACATGGGTGTGGACTACCACCATGTGGTCGACAACTGCGAGGAAGCGTGGGTTGCGTGGAAGAGTCTGAAGATGCTGTACGGTGGATCCCAGAAAGCGGGAAGGATCTACCTCAAGCGTCAACTCTTCAGCATGAAGATGGATGAAGGCGTCAACGTCATACATCACTGCAACGAGGTCCTGAACATCGCTGCCAAGCTTAGCAGCATCGGTGCGAAGATGGAGGACGAGGACGTCGCAATTTGCCTGCTGCTCAGCTTCCCTAAGAGTTTTGAGAACGTTGTTCTCAACCTGGAGATGAGCAACGCGGAGCTTCGTACCCAAGATGTTGTGAAGGTGCTCACATATGAGCACACCAAGCGCCAAGGGGAGAAGGTGACAACAACAGCGACGATGGTCAAGAGTGAAGATGCAGCCAAGGCCTTCAACACTGAGCGCGAGCCATACAAGTGCACCTACTGTGGGAAGGTGGGACAAACCGTCGATCGCTGTTGGACCAAGCAGAAGAATGAAAGTCGAGGAGCCCGACGCGGCGGCAATGGTCGTGGACGCGGGGCGAACAATGTCCAGTGGGGACAATATCGTGATGAATACAGCGACTACGATCAAGCAGCGTTTGCAGCTTCGCTAGAGTGTGGACTCTCAGCGAAGAAGGACGTGTCCGGAATGAGGGCCGTCGACAGTGGTGCAACACACCACATATGCCACGACAAGACTAAGTTGGCAAGAGTGAACAAGCGCAACGACGGTGAAATCTTGGTGGCGGATGGCAACAAAGTGGCCATCAAGGGTGTTGGAACCATCTTTGAAAAGGTGGTTCTGCCCGACGGTGAAGAGCACGAGATCGAGATCAAGAACGTCCTTTACGTGCCAAGCACGAGCAAAAATCTACTTTCGGTACCGCAGATCAACAAGCACGGCAAGTTTCAAGTCGTGTTCGACGGGACCAAGATGTTTGTCGCTCGCAAAGGATCGCAACAAGTGGTGGCAACAGCAGATCTTGTGGATGGCCTTTACTGGATTCACACAGCTCATCGATCGGCCAATGCGACAACAAACGGATGCAACGGTGTCGACTTACATGCGCGGATGGTACACGCTCCAGCTGATGTGCTTCGCAAAATGGTGGTCACGAACATGATCAAGGATGTGAAGGTACCTCTCACTTCAAGTGGATCAACCGCATGCCGAGGATGTCAACAAGGGAAAATGGTCCAAAACCATTCCAACGCAACCAGGACAAGCGCAGATACGACACCTTCGAGCTACTTCACGTCGACATCTGCGGACCCATGGAGATGAATTCTCTGGGTGGCAGCAAATATCTACTGCTGATCGTTGACGAAGCCAGTGGATGTATGATGGGCTTCTGTCTACGTGTGAAGTCGGAGAGTGAAAACTGCATCACCCGATATATCAAGATGGTGCAAGCGCAGTATGGCAAGAAGGTCAAGCTCGTCTGACACGACGGAGCCCGCGAGTTCGCAGCCAACTCGCTTCAAGAATTCTACGAAGATGAAGGCATTGAGCAGCAGACGACGGTGCCATATGCACACCAGACCAACGGCACGGCAGAGCGCGCCATTCGGACTATCGTCACAATTGGTCGCAGCATGCTCCACCATGCGAAGTGGAAAAGGGCTTCTGGGCCGAAGCAGCAATGACGGCAATCTACATCAAGGACCGTCTGCCGTCGCCTAAAGTCGTGCACAAGACTCCGTTCGAGATCGTCCACAACTCCAAGCCAAGTGTCAAGCACATGCGGGTGTTCGGTTGTCAGGTTTACATACTGACACCGAAGGAGAAGCGGCTCAAGTGGGACCCCAAGGCTCGCACTGGGATATTCTTGGGCTACGAAGAAGCATCCAAAGCGTACCGCGTTTATGACATCGAGGCGGGGCAGGTGGTCATCAGTCGCGATGTCAACTTTGACGAGTCCGCCTTTGGACTTTCGCCGCCAATTACCGCTGAACATGCCGATGACATTGACTTCGACTCCCTCGATCTGGATGATGAAGCGCCAGGTCAAGCGCAGTACAAGAAAACAGGCAAGCGCAAGAGTCGTCCCCATGATGAAGAAGTACCAGCTCCCCCACGCACACAGTGCATCAACGGCATGGACTAGAAGAATCAAGTGCGTCAGACAATCACACGATCCACCAAAAAGAAGATGAAGAAACAAAGAATGCTGATGCATCGACTCCGCCTGTGTTTTGGCGTTCGAGTGCGAACGCCATCGAAACAGCAGTAGACTTATCCGAGCCCTCAACATTTGAAGCTGCGGTGAGCGGTCCTGATCAAGTGCATTGGCGCGAAGCTATCCGTGCGGAACTTGAGTCGATGCGACTTTGTGAAGTATTCCGCGCAGCCAAGCTACCTAAAGGACATCGCGCCATTGGCACGAAGTGGGTCTTCAAGATCAAGCGCAAAGCGGACGGATCAATTGACAAGTACAAGGCGCGTCTTGTGGCAAAGGGTTTCAATCAACAATATGGGATGGACTACACGGAAACATTCTCGCCCGTCGTCAAGTACGTGACGACACATATGGTGATTGCAGTCGCCAAGTATTTCGAATGGACCATCGACCAAATCGACGTGGTGACGGCATTCCTGTATGGTGTCATGAAGGAACAAGTGTTCTGCTTCATCCCTGAAGGCGTGGAATTGGAGGGCTCCTTCGATTGTCTGGAGTTGGTGAAGGCAATCTACGGACTAAAGCAAGCGTCGCGCGTATGGAACGAAACGTTTGACGAGTTCGTGTGTGCTATGGATTTCAAACGTCAAGCCTCGACCCGTGTCTCTACATAAGGATTGTGGAAGGGCAATGCGTGCTGCTGCTGGTGTATGTGGATGACGTGTTGATCACCGGTAGCTCATGCGAGCTAATTGCACACACCAAGACCGACCTGAAGACGCGATTCGAGATGACTGACAGCGGCAAGTGTGCGTTTGTTCTTGGGATCGAGCTTTTGGACGGTGAAGATGGCAGTGTGACACTATGTCAGCGTCGGTATGTCGATGATATCCTCAAGCGCTTTGGCATGGATGATTGCAAGGACTTCGCAAGTCCAGTCGACATGAGCTCTCGACTTGTTTCAAGTGATGCAACTACCAAGATCGATGCTCCTTTTCGCGAAGCTGTTGGTGCGTTGATGCACCTGACCACTGCAACGCGTCCGGACATTGCGTTTGCTGTGGGCTATGTGTCGCGGTTCATGGAAAATCCACAAGAAGAACACTGGGTTGCAGTTAAGCGTATCTTTCGCTACCTACAAGGCACCAAGACGCATGGAATTTGCTACAAGCCAAGTGCAAGGATCGACTTCCGTGGATATTCGGATGCGGATTGGGCTGGTGACCTTACCGACCGCAAGTCAACATCGGGGTACACGTTCATGCTACTCGGTGCGCCAGTGAGTTGGGGCAGCAAGAAGCAGCCAAGTGTTTCGTTGTCCACGACTGAAGCTGAATACATCGCACTCAGCTTGGCGATTCAAGAGGGCAAGTGGATTCATCGTCTGCTTTGTGAGATCGTGATGGCTGCCAATGAAGAAGGACCGGAACTCATGATTCATGAAGACAATCAGTCATGTATCAAGATGACGAAGAACCCGGTCAACCACGGCCGCGCCAAGCACATTGATATCAAGTACCATCACATCCGTGATGAGGTCAAGCGCGGTGAAGTGAAGCTCAAGTACTGTGAAACTGCGGTGATGTTAGCGGACATCATGACGAAGGGACTTCATGGACCACGCCACAAGGAGATGACAACGGCTCTCGGGATTCGTGAGCATTCGGATTGAGGGGGCGTGTTGACGGTCATCGGTTTTCTATCAGTATTGGTAACCGTGACCGATCCAATCCGAACCGCCTGTTCAGCTTAGTATTTACGACGTAGTTCTTACGGTAATTACCATAGTTGATTAGACGCGTAGGATGATGAGACGCTTCACATGATTTATATGTACACCACATATAAATCATGTAGTAAGTAGTAAGCCCCGATAATCAATCACTTTCGAATCTTCCAACTATTGGGCAAGTGTTTTCTGCTCTACTCTCTTCGGTCTCTCCGCTCCGTTCGCTCCGCTTTCCTCGCTCCGATCTACAATGCAGCAGCCAAGCGTCAAGGAGAGACAGTAACAGCGACTATGGTGAAGGCTGAAGATTTAAGCAAGGCATTCAGCACCGAGCGTGAGCCATACAAGTGCACCTACTGTGGGAAGGTGGGACACACCGTCGATCGCTGGTGGACCAGGCAGAAGAATGAAAGTCGAGGAGCCCGACGCGGCGGCAATGGTCGTGGACGCGGGGCGAACAATGTCCAGTGGGGACAATATCGTGATGAATACAGCGACTACGATCAAGCAGCGTTTGCAGCTTCGCTAGAGTGTGGACTCTCAGCGAAGAAGGACGTGTCCGGAATGAGGGCCGTCGACAGTGGTGCAACACACCACATATGCCACGACAAGACTAAGTTGGCAAGAGTGAACAAGCGCAACGACGGTGAAATCTTGGTGGCGGATGGCAACAAAGTGGCCATCAAGGGTGTTGGAACCATCTTTGAAAAGGTGGTTCTGCCCGACGGTGAAGAGCACGAGATCGAGATCAAGAACGTCCTTTACGTGCCAAGCACGAGCAAAAATCTACTTTCGTTACCGCAGATCAACAAGCACGGCAAGTTTCAAGTCGTGTTCGACGGGACCAAGATGTTTGTCGCTCGCAAAGGATCGCAACAAGTGGTGGCAACAGCAGATCTTGTGGATGGCCTTTACTGGATTCACACAGCTCATCGATCGGCCAATGCGACAACAAACGGATGCAACGGTGTCGACTTACATGCGCGGATGGTACACGCTCCAGCTGATGTGCTTCGCAAAATGGTGGTCACGAACATGATCAAGGATGTGAAGGTACCTCTCACTTCAAGTGGATCAACCGCATGCCGAGGATGTCAACAAGGGAAAATGGTCCAAAACCATTCCAACGCAACCAGGACAAGCGCAGATACGACACCTTCGAGCTACTTCACGTCGACATCTGCGGACCCATGGAGATGAATTCTCTGGGTGGCATCAAATATCTACTGCTGATCGTTGACGAAGCCAGTAGACGTATGATGGGCTTCTGTCTACGTGTGAAGTCGGAGAGTGAAAACTGCATCACACGATATATCAAGATGGTGCAAGCGCAGTATGGCAAGAAGGTCAAGCTCGTCTGACACGACGGAGCCCGCGAGTTCGCAGCCAACTCGCTTCAAGAATTCTACGAAGATGAAGGCATTGAGCAGCAGACGACGGTGCCATATGCACACCAGACCAACGGCACGGCAGAGCGCGCCATTCGGACTATCGTCACAATTGGTCGCAGCATGCTCCACCATGCGAAGTGGAAAAGGGCTTCTGGGCCGAAGCAGCAATGACGGCAATCTACATCAAGGACCGTCTGCTGTCGCCTAAAGTCGTGCACAAGACTCCGTTCGAGATCGTCCACAACTCCAAGCCAAGTGTCAAGCACATGCGGGTGTTCGGTTGTCAGGTTTACATACTGACACCGAAGGAGAAGCGGCTCAAGTGGGACCCCAAGGCTCGCACTGGGATATTCTTGGGCTACGAAGAAGCATCCAAAGCGTACCGCGTTTATGACATCGAGGCGGGGCAGGTGGTCATCAGTCGCGATGTCAACTTTGACGAGTCCGCCTTTGGACTTTCGCCGCCAATTACCGCTGAACATGCCGATGACATTGACTTCGACTCCCTCGATCTGGATGATGAAGCGCCAGGTCAAGCGCAGTACAAGAAAACAGGCAAGCGCAAGAGTCGTCCCCATGATGAAGAAGTACCAGCTCCTCCACGCACACAGTGCATCAACGGCATGGACTAGAAGAATCAAGTGCGCCAGACAATCACACGATCCACCAAAAAGAAGATGAAGAAACAAAGAATGCTGATGCATCGACTCCGCCTGTGTTTTGGCGTTCGAGTGCGAACGCCATCGAAACAGCAGTAGACTTATCCGAGCCCTCAACATTTGAAGCTGCGGTGAGCGGTCCTGATCAAGTGCATTGGCGCGAAGCTATCCGTGCGGAACTTGAGTCGATGCGACTTTGTGAAGTATTCCGCGCAGCCAAGCTACCTAAAGGACATCGCGCCATTGGCACGAAGTGGGTCTTCAAGATCAAGCGCAAAGCGGACGGATCAATTGACAAGTACAAGGCGCGTCTTGTGGCAAAGGGTTTCAATCAACAATATGGGATGGACTACACGGAAACATTCTCGCCCGTCGTCAAGTACGTGACGACACATATGGTGATTGCAGTCGCCAAGTATTTCGAATGGACCATCGACCAAATCGACGTGGTGACGGCATTCCTGTATGGTTTCATGAAGGAACAAGTGTTCTGCGTCATCCCTGAAGGCGTGGAATTGGAGGGCTCCTTCGATTGTCTGGAATTGGTGAAGGCAATTTACGGCCTAAAGCAAGCTTCGCGAGTATGGAACGAAACGTTTGACGAGTTTGTGTGTGCTATGGATTTCAAGCGTCAGGCTTCGACCCATGTCTCTACATAAGGATTGTGGAAGGGCAATGCGTGCTGCTGCTGGTCTATGTGGATGACGTGTTGGTGACAGGAAGCTCACCCAAGTTAATTGCACACACCAAGGAAGACCTGAAGACACGCTTCGAGATGACTGATAGCGGCAAGTGTGCATTTGTTCTTGGAATTGAGCTTTTGAATGGAGAAGATGGAAGCGTTACATTGTGTCAGCGCAGGTATGTGGATGACCTACTCAAGCGATTTAGCATGAGTGATTGCAAGGCTGTGTCAAGTCCAGTGGACATGAGCTCTCGACTCGTTTCAAGCGATGCAGCTACCAAGGTCAATGTTCCGTTTCGTGAAGCAGTTGGTGCTTTGATGCATCTGACCACTGCAACGCGTCCGGACATTGCGTTTGCTGTGGGCTATGTGTCGCGATTCATGGAGAATCCTCAAGAAGAACACTGGGTTGCAGTTAAGCGTATCTTTCGCTACCTACAAGGCACCAAGACGCATGGAATTTGCTACAAGCCAAGTGCAAGGATCGACTTCCGTGGATATTCGGATGCGGATTGGGCTGGTGACCTTACCGACCGCAAGTCAACATCGGGGTACACGTTCATGCTACTCGGTGCGCCAGTGAGTTGGGGCAGCAAGAAGCAGCCAAGTGTTTCGTTGTCCACGACTGAAGCTGAATACATCGCACTCAGCTTGGCGATTCAAGAGGGCAAGGAGATTCATCGTCTGCTTTGTGAGATCGTGATGGATGCCAATGAAGAAGGACCGGAACTCATGATTCATGAAGACAATCAGTCATGTATCAAGATGACGAAGAACCCGGTCGACCACGGCCGCGCCAAGCACATTGATATCAAGTACCATCACATCCGTGATGAGGTCAAGCGCGGTGAAGTGAAGCTCAAGTACTGTGAAACTGCGGTGATGTTAGCGGACATCATGACGAAGGGACTTCATGGACCACGCCACAAGGAGATGACAACGGCTCTCGGGATTCGTGAGCATTCGGATTGAGGGGGCGTGTTGACGGTCATCGGTTTTCTATCAGTATTGGTAACCGTGACCGATCCAATCCGAACCGCCTGTTAAGCTTAGTATTTACGACGTAGTTCTTACGGTAATTACCATAGTTGATTAGATGCGTAGGATGATGAGACGCTTCACATGATTTATATGTACACCACATATAAATCATGTAGTAAGTAGTAAGCCCCGATAATCAATCACTTTCGAATCTTCCAACTATTGGGCAAGTGTTTTCTGCTCTACTCTCTTCGGTCTCTCCGCTCCGTTCGCTCCGCTTTCCTCGCTCCGATCTACAATGCAGCAGCCAAGCGTCAAGGAGAGACAGTAACAGCGACTATGGTGAAGGCTGAAGATTTAAGCAAGGCATTCAGCACCGAGCGTGAGCCATACAAGTGCACCTACTGTGGGAAGGTGGGACAAACCGTCGATCGCTGTTGAACCAAGCAGAGGAGTAAAGGTCGAGGAACCCGACGCGGCGGCAATGGTCGTGGACGCGGGGCGAACAATGTCCAGTGGGGACAATATCGTGATGAATACAGCGACTACGATCAAGCAGCGTTTGCAGCTTCGCTAGAGTGTGGACTCTCAGCGAAGAAGGACGTGTCCGGAATGAGGGCCGTCGACAGTGGTGCAACACACCACATATGCCACGACAAGACTAAGTTGGCAAGAGTGAACAAGCGCAACGACGGTGAAATCTTGGTGGCGGATGGCAACAAAGTGGCCATTAAGGGTGTTGGAACCATCTTTGAAAAGGTGGTTCTGCCCGACGGTGAAGAGCACGAGATCGAGATCAAGAACGTCCTTTACGTGCCAAGCACGAGCAAAAATCTACTTTCGGTACCGCAGATCAACAAGCACGGCAAGTTTCAAGTCGTGTTCGACGGGACCAAGATGTTTGTCGCTCGCAAAGGATCGCAACAAGTGGTGGCAACAGCAGATCTTGTGGATGGCCTTTACTGGATTCACACAGCTCATCGATCGGCCAATGCGACAACAAACGGATGCAACGGTGTCGACTTACATGCGCGGATGGTACACGCTCCAGCTGATGTGCTTCGCAAAATGGTGGTCACGAACATGATCAAGGATGTGAAGGTACCTCTCACTTCAAGTGGATCAACCGCATGCCGAGGATGTCAACAAGGGAAAATGGTCCAAAAACCATTCCAACGCAACCAGGACAAGCGCAGATACGACACCTTCGAGCTACTTCACGTCGACATCTGCGGACCCATGGAGATGAATTCTCTGGGTGGCAGCAAATATCTACTGCTGATCGTTGACGAAGCCAGTAGACGTATGATGGGCTTCTGTCTACGTGTGAAGTCGGAGAGTGAAAACTGCATCACCCGATACATCAAGATGGTGCAAGCGCAGTATGGCAAGAAGGTCAAGCTCGTCTGACACGACGGAGCCCGCGAGTTCGCAGCCAACTCGCTTCAAGAATTCTACGAAGATGAAGGCATTGAGCAGCAGACGACGGTGCCATATGCACACCAGACCAACGGCACGGAAGAGCGCGCCATTCGGACTATCGTCACAATTGGTCGCAGCATGCTCCACCATGCGAAGTGGAAAAGGGCTTCTGGGCCGAAGCAGCAATGACGGCAATCTACATCAAGGACCGTCTGCCGTCGCCTAAAGTCGTGCACAAGACTCCGTTCGAGATCGTCCACAACTCCAAGCCAAGTGTCAAGCACATGCGGGTGTTCGGTTGTCAGGTTTACATACTGACACCGAAGGAGAAGCGGCTCAAGTGGGACCCCAAGGCTCGCACTGGGATATTCTTGGGCTACGAAGAAGCATCCAAAGCGTACCGCGTTTATGACATCGAGGCGGGGCAGGTGGTCATCAGTCGCGATGTCAACTTTGACGAGTCCGCCTTTGGACTTTCGCCGCCAATTACCGCTGAACATGCCGATGACATTGACTTCGACTCCCTCGATCTGGATGATGAAGCGCCAGGTCAAGCGCAGTACAAGAAAACAGGCAAGCGCAAGAGTCGTCCCCATGATGAAGAAGTACCAGCTCCCCCCACGCACACAGTGCAATAACGGCATGGACTAGAAGAATCAAGTGCGCCAGACAATCACACGATCCACCAAAAAGAAGATGAAGAAACAAAGAATGCTGATGCATCGACTCCGCCTGTGTTTTGGCGTTCGAGTGCGAACGCCATCGAAACAGCAGTAGACTTATCCGAGCCCTCAACATTTGAAGCTGCGGTGAGCGGTCCTGATCAAGTGCATTGGCGCGAAGCTATCCGTGCGGAACTTGAGTCGATGCGACTTTGTGAAGTATTCCGCGCAGCCAAGCTACCTAAAGGACATCGCGCCATTGGCACGAAGTGGGTCTTCAAGATCAAGCGCAAAGCGGACGGATCAATTGACAAGTACAAGGCGCGTCTTGTGGCAAAGGGTTTCAATCAACAATATGGGATGGACTACACGGAAACATTCTCGCCCGTCGTCAAGTACGTGACGACACGTATGGTGATTGCAGTCGCCAAGTATTTCGAATGGACCATCGACCAAATCGACGTGGTGACGGCATTCCTGTATGGTTTCATGAAGGAACAAGTGTTCTGCGTCATCCCTGAAGGCGTGGAATTGGAGGGCTCCTTCGATTGTCTGGAATTGGTGAAGGCAATTTACGGCCTAAAGCAAGCTTTGCGAGTATGGAACGAGACTTTTGACGAGTTTGTGTGTGCTATGGATTTCAAGCGTCAAGCCTCGACCCGTGTCTCTACATAAGGATTGTGGAAGGGCAATGCGTACTGCTGCTGGTGTATGTGGATGACGTGTTGATCACCGGTAGCTCATGCGAGCTAATTGCACACACCAAGGAAGACCTGAAGACACGCTTCGAGATGACTGATAGCGGCAAGTGTGCATTTGTGCTTGGAATCGAGCTTTTGGACGGCGCAAATGGAAGCGTGACACTATGTCAGCGTCGGTATGTAGATGGCATACTCAAGCGCTTTGGCAAGGATGATTGCAAGGACTTCGCAAGTCCAGTCGACATGAGCTCTCGACTTGTTTCAATTGATGCAGCCACCAAGGTGGATGCTCCGTTTCGCGAAGCGGTTGGTGCGTTGATGCACCTGACCACTGCAACGCGCCCGGATATTGCGTTCGTTGTGGGCTATGTGTCGCGGTTCATGGAAAATCCACAAGAAGAACACTGGGTTGCAGTTAAGCGTATCTTTCGCTACCTACAAGGCACCAAGACGCATGGAATTTGCTACAAGCCAAGTGCAAGGATCGACTTCCGTGGATATTCGGATGCGGATTGGGCTGGTGACCTTACCGACCGCAAGTCAACATCGGGGTACACGTTCATGCTACTCGGTGCGCCAGTGAGTTGGGGCAGCAAGAAGCAGCCAAGTGTTTCGTTGTCCACGACTGAAGCTGAATACATCGCACTCAGCTTGGCGATTCAAGAGGGCAAGTGGATTCATCGTCTGCTTTGTGAGATCGTGATGGCTGCCAATGAAGAAGGACCGGAACTCATGATTCATGAAGACAATCAGTCATGTATCAAGATGACGAAGAACCCGGTCAACCACGGCCGCGCCAAGCACATTGATATCAAGTACCATCACATCCGTGATGAGGTCAAGCGCGGTGAAATGAAGCTCAAGTACTGTGAAACTGCGGTGATGTTAGCGGACATCATGACGAAGGGACTTCATGGACCACGCCACAAGGAGATGACGACGGCTCTCGGGATTCGTGAGCATTCGGATTGAGGGGGCGTGTTGACGGTCATCGGTTTTCTATCAGTATTGGTAACCGTGACCGATCCAATCCGAACCGCCTGTTCAGCTTAGTATTTACGACGTAGTTCTTACGGTAATTACCATAGTTGATTAGATGCGTAGGATGATGAGACGCTTCACATGATTTATATGTACACCACATATAAATCATGTAGTAAGTAGTAAGCCCCGATAATCAATCACTTTCGAATCTTCCAACTATTGGGCAAGTGTTTTCTGCTCTACTCTCTTCGGTCTCTCCGCTCCGTTCGCTCCGCTTTCCTCGCTCCGATCTACAATGCAGCAGCCAAGCGTCAAGGAGAGACAGTAACAGCGACTATGGTGAAGGCTGAAGATTTAAGCAAGGCATTCAGCACCGAGCGTGAGCCATACAAGTGCACCTACTGTGGGAAGGTGGGACAAACCGTCGATCGCTGTTGAACCAAGCAGAGGAGTAAAGGTCGAGGAACCCGACGCGGCGGCAATGTTTGTGGACGCGGGGCTAACAACGTCCAGTGGGGACATTATGATCAAGGCAATGGCTGCCATCAAGTGGCGTTTGCAGTCTCGTTCGAATGTGGAGTTTCGACGAGCAAGGACGTGTCTGGAATGTGGGCCGTCGACAGTCGTGCAACGCACCACATTTACCACGACTAGACCAATCATGCAAGTTTGGCAGAGCGCAATGAGGGAGAACTATTGGTGGCTGATGGTAACAAGGTGGTTATCAGGAGTGTGGGAACCAAATCATCAAAAAGGTGGTTCTGCTCAACAGTGAAGAGCGCGAGATCGAGATCAAGAACGCGTTATACGTTCCAAGTATAAGCAAGAAACTGCTTTCGGTGCCACAGACTAACAGGCATGGCATGTTCTAAGTCGTGTTTGACGGGTCCAAGATGTATGTGACTCTCAAGAACTCACAGCAAGTGGTGGCGACAGCGGATCTCGTGGATGGACTCTACTGGCTTTGGACGACTCAACGATCAGCGAATGTAACAACAAGTGGAAACAGTGGTGCTGACCTACATGTGCGAAAGGGTCACGCTCCAGTCGAGGCACTTCGCAGGATGATCACTACCAACATGATCAAGGATGTGCGAGTCACTCTAAATTCGGGTGGAGAAACTGCACGTCGAGGGTGTCGGCAAGGGAAAATGGTCCAAAAACCATTTCCAAGCAACCGAGACAAGCGCAGCTACAATAAATCCGAGCTGCTTCAGCTGGACATCTGTGGTCTTATGGAAAATGATTCGCTCGGTGGCAGCAAATATTTGCTGCTGATCATCGACGAAGCCAGTGGAGTATGAAGGGCTTTTGTCTACGAGTGAAGTCCGAGAGTGAAGACTACATCCGGAAATATATCACCATGGTACAGACGCAATTCTGTAAGAAGGTCAAGTTCGTGCGACACGACGGAGCTCGCGAGTTTGCAACCAACTTGCTTCAACTGTTCTACGAAGACGAAGGCATCGAATGGTAGACAACGGTGACGTATGCACATCAAACAAACGGAACAGCAGAGCGTGCCATTAGGACTATTGTCACGATCGAACGCAGCATGCTTCATCATGCCAAACTGGACAAGTGTTTCTGGGACAAAGCAGCGATGACAGCCATCGACGTCAAGAATCGACTGCCGTCACCTAAAGTCGTACACAAGACTCCGTTTGAGATCGTCTACAACTTTAACCCAAGCGTCAAGCACATGCTAGCATTCGGGTTTCGGACGTACATACTGACGCCGAGAGAAAGTCGACTCAAGTGGGATCCAAAGGCTCGCGCTGGCATATTCGTGGGCTACGAAGAAGTTTCGAAGGCATATCGTGCTTACGACATTGAGGCGGGGCAGGTGGTTATCAGTCGCGATGTCAACTTTGACGAGTCCACCTTTGGACTTCCGCCACCGATCACTGATGAAGACGCCGACGGCATTGACTTTGCCTCCGTCGAGCTGGACGATGAAGCGCCGGGTCAAGCGTAGTAGAATCAAACAGGCAAGCGCAAGAGTTGTCCCCATGATGAAGAAGTACCAGCTCCCCCACGCACACAGTGCATCAACGGCATGGACTAGAAGAATCAAGTGCGCCAGACAATCACACGATCCACCAAAAAGAAGATGAAGAAACAAAGAATGCTGACGCATCGACTCCGCCTGTATTTTGGCGTTCGAGTGCGAACGCCATCGAAACAGCAGTGGACTTATCCGAGCCCTCAACATTTGAAGCTGCGGTGAGCGGTCCTGACCAAGTGCACTGGCATAAAGACATTCGTGCGGATCTCGAGTCAATGCGACATCGAGGTGTGTTTCGTGCAGCCAGAAGGATAACGGACGACGCGCTATTAATACGAAGTGAGTTTTTAAACTCAAGCATAAAACGGATGGATCATCGAGAAGTACAAGGCGCGCCTTGTTGCGTAAGGGTTCAAACCGAAGTATGGCATCGACTACACGTAAACAGTCTCGCCCGTGGTCAAGTATGTGCCGCTACACATGATCATTGCAATTGCCAAGCACTTTGGATGGACCCTCGACCATATTAAACTTGTCGCGGAGTGGGTTGTCAAAAAGTTTTGACGAGACCCCAAACCACTCACTGTACCGGGCTGCCGACGGTCGGAGGGGGTACCCCGATGCAGCTTGTGTACCTTGACTCAACTTTTGTACCCGTCGGATGGCGGGTTCCACTTTTCGGAGGACTTGATGATGACTGTAAACGTCGGCCTTGATGGAGGTCAACCTTGAGGGGTCGAGTGGATATATTTAGTCGGGGTCCATAATTTAGGCGGCCACTATATTGCATTAGTCGAGAGTGGTCTTCTTACCAGTTGTCGCAGGTATTGTTAGTGCCTGACCTTACTTGTCTCAGTTCTGTTTTTCGCCTGGCCGTTGCGTTTCTTCTCCTTTACCACTATGGTATGGAGACCGCTTCCTATAGCAGGCTTGAGTGGGGGGGTGCTACTCCACGAAACCACTGGCCAAAATACTTCCTGGGGTTCTAATAATACTTGGGTCTTACTGACAACTGTCTATTCGATAGGTGGACGAAACAGATCCCTGGCCCCGAACAGGTCGATAGACTTACAATTTTCTTAGCGCACGACACGTCGTGCAACTAAGATCGCGAATTAAGTAGTTTATAAAATTGCCCTATCATTTAGACTCATTTACTCCATCTTTGCCTTGCACCTGGGTTCTCTATAATGAGTGACCAGGAGCCACCAGATCTTGAAGGGCGAAGTCGACGCACGGGTGACCAAGTAGATATACAAGTGACCGGGGCCTACCTTGGGTGACCAGGCCGACCGACGAGCGGTTGAGAGCGATCCATATCGATAACGTTTACTTGTTTCGTATGTTGACCTTCATACACAGCGACGAGCACTCGCTTCCGCCAAATGTCATGATCCTAGGTTCGACTCAAGCGAGGGTATTCACCGCCAGTGAAGTGGCGCCTTGGTCGATCGGCCTGGTCAGCTCCTGGCCGATCATCACCACGACGCCTGGCGACCTGACCGATCAATCAGAGTTGCTTTGGGGTTGGTTCGGACCACCAGACGGAAAACTTAAAGGTCCAGCGAAGTGGAGATCTTCGCTGGTCACTCATCCCATGGTCGGGAGCCCGATGGCTTCAATACATTGATTGGCGGCCAAGGTCTCCCTTCCCTCTGTGTCTTTTAAAGTGGTTGGCTGGTTCGCCGGCCTAATTGAAACTTACACGGCTTTTGAGGCAGAACAAGCTCAGGATCTCTGACAGGCTACCCACCGCCTCTGGATCTCAAAGGACCAAGCCCGCGCCAGCCCCTTCCTCACTTCATACTACAACGTCCGGAACAAACGGCGGAGCAGGGCGTTGTTGTCGTGGCGTGAGATCGTTGGTTGGATATTCGCAGGGATGGCTGTTCATCAATGTGACATCGACATCTTCCTGGACCCTTTCTTCTGTCACCTGCCTCGCCCTCGCCGCGTAGTTTATTGGTTCCTTGGGTGTGAAGAAGGGTTGGACTCGGTCGGTCGCACCGATCTCGATTTGTCTTCGGAATCGGGGTCTTTGCTGTGCGGAAATCTTCACTCAGCAAATAAAAGTCCTGCGTCGATCTTGCCTTGGGATCGGTCCGATCTTGCCTTGGGATCGGTCCGATCTGGTCTTGGGATCGGCCGATCTTGCCGGAATTGCGCAATTTGGGTAGATCGGTGTCTTGTTTCGCCAAAATGAAACGTGCCGATCTGTCCAGGGGATCGCTTCGATCCTGCTCGGTCTTGTCTTGAGCGCCTTGTCCAGATCTTCTGACCACTTGAGCCGTCTCGCGATCCTGTGTCCAAAATCCTTTTCCTTTTCCGTTGTGTGCTGCTACCCTAGCAGTTGAGTTGAGTGTGAGTACTTGATCGATCCGGGCCAGATATCCCGGGATCGCTCTTCTCGATCTTGGCCAACAATCCAAGATCGGTCTTCTGTGTCCTTGTAACACGCGTGCCTTGACCCGCCGGGGAAGCCAAATCAATCTTGCCCGTAGAAGAGGGGAGGAGAACGTGTGTCGTAAGCAGAAGAAGTAGAGTTCAAGTCAGTTCATTAACCAGCCAAAATAATAGCCAATCTATCTTTAAGCCTATTCCCAACTGTAGGTCACTCTCCAAGTCGATATCACCTTTAAGCTTGACCGCCCCCTCGAACACGTGTCGCAATTTTATGACCTGTACTCCAAAGATAGCGCCAATATCCCGATATCGTACCTAAACGCCAAAAGAGGACCAAATCCCAAATGTGGTACCAAATATCCATTTTTGGTACCATAGAGCTCGAAATAGTGCCCAAATGCCGCATGCGTCTAAATCCATTTTGCGACGTCAATTTAACCGGCTTCCACCGGCTCTTTCGATCTGAACTTTTTAGACACCACTCATGGACCTTCAACAGTTTGTCATGATCTAAAAGCTTCATCAACGATATATCCATAATCAGTGGGGAACATGACAGATTTGATGTCCAATTCGAGATCGTCTAGGATCGACACAGTACAATCCGGCCTTATATGTTCTTCCGTTCATTGTGTGCACTTCGATACCACCCCCAGGGTTTATCTGCTCAATAGGACTATCCACAGTCCTTCCAACGGTCCCACGGACTCCCACAAACATCCACAGTTCCCGATCGAGTCATAATTAACCTAAATCAGTACTCCCTTTGGGAGACCCGTAGAGAGTGTCACCGATCTGCAGGATGTTGCACCTTTGTCACAGAGTCATATCACATCACCCGGTCCCAGATCTTTGTCCCAGATCGGTCCATGGAAATCGTTCTATCAGTCGTCTTGTCCCAGATTGCTCCGTCACAGATCGTTCCATACCCATCAGTCTGACGACAGTTGGATCTGATCGCCGATCCCCATTGAGACCGCCTTCCATCTCGCTATCGGATCGCCAGGTCCCATGGCCTCATTTTCCACCAGTAAGTGGCGTCTCAAATATGTAGCCACCAATCTTCGTACAAAATTTGGATTAGTGACTTCGCCACACGAGTGTTCGGCTGCTAAGTGTTTATGCTGACCCCCAAAGAAAAGCGGTCGAAATGGGATCCGAATGTGTTGACGGTCATCGGTTTCTACCAGTATTGGTAACCGTGACCGGTCCAATCCGAACCGCCTGTTCAGCTTAGTATTTACGACGTAGTTCTTACGGTAATTACCATAGTTGATTAGACGCGTAGGATGATGAGACGCTTCACATGATTTATATGTACACCACATATAAATCATGTAGTAAGTAGTAAGCCCCGATAATCAATCACTTTCGAATCTTCCAACTATTGGGCAAGTGTTTTCTGCTCTACTCTCTTCGGTCTCTCCGCTCCGTTCGCTCCGCTTTCCTCGCTCCGATCTACAATGCAACAGTTTGCAGTCTCGTTCGAATGTGGAGTTTCGACGAGCAAGGATGTGTCTGGAATGTGGGCCGTCGACAGTGGTGCAACGCACCACATTTGCCACGACAAGACCAAGTTCGCAAGTTTGGCAGAGCGCAATGAGGGCGAACTCTTGGTGGCTGATGGCAACAAGGTGGCCATCAAGGGTGTGGGAACCATCATGGAAAAGGTGGTTCTGCCCAACGGTGAAGAGCGTGAGATCGAAATCAAGAACGCGCTATATGTTCCAAGTATGAGCAAGAACCTGCTCTCGGTGCCACAGGTTAACAGCCATGGCAAGTTTCAAGTCGTGTTTGACGGGTACAAGATGTATGCGACTCTCAAGAACTCACAGCAAGTGGTGGCGACAGCGGATCTCGTGGATGGACTCTACTGGCTTTGGACGACTCAACGATCAGCGAATGTGACAACAAGTGAAACCAGTTGTGCCGATCTACATGCGAGAATGGGTCATGCTCCATTCGATGTACTTCGCAAGATGATCGCGACCAACATGATCAAGGATGTGCGAGTCCCTCTCAAGTCGGGTGGAGCAACTACATGTCGAGGATGTCAACAAGGGAAAATGGTCCAAAAACCATTTCCAAGCAACCGAGACAAGCGCAGCTACGATACGTTTGAGCTACTTCATCTGGACATCTGCGGGCCCATAGAAAAGGATTCGCTCGGTGGCAGCAAATATTTGCTGCTGATCATCGACGAAGCTAGTGGATGCATGAAGGGCTTTTGTCTACGAGTGAAGTCCGAGAGTGAAGACTACATCCGGAAATATGTCACCATGGTACAGACGCAATTCTGTAAGAAGGTCAAGTTCGTGCGACACGACGGAGCTCGCGAGTTTGCAACCAACTCGCTTCAACTGTTCTACGAAGACGAAGGCATTGAACAGCAGACAACGGTGCCGTATGCACATCAAACAAACGGAACAGCAGAGCGTGCCATTAGGACTATTGTCACGATCGGCCGCAGCATGCTTCATCATGCCAAACTGGACAAGTGTTTCTGGGCCGAAGCAGCGATGATGGCCATCTACGTCAAGAATCGACTGCCGTCACCTAAAGTCGTGCACAAGACCCCGTTTGAGATCGTCTACAACTTGAAACCAAGCGTCAAGCACATGCGAACATTCGGGTGTCAGACATACATACTGACGCCTAAAGAGAATCGACTCAAGTGGGATCCAAAGGCTCGCGCTGGCATATTCGTGGGCTACGAAGAAGTTTCGAAGGCATATCGTGCTTATGACATCGAGGCGGGGCAGGTGGTTATCAGCCGCGATGTCAACTTCGACGAGCCCACCTTTGGACTTCAACTGCCGATCACTGATGAAGATGTCGATGACCTGGACTTCGAATTGCTGGATCTTGATGACGAAGAGCTGCGTCAAATGGCGTACAAGCAAACAGGCAAGCGCAAGAACCGACTCAATGATGAAGATACAGCAGCTCCACGACCGCGTGCAGTGCGTCAACGACCAGGACTAGAAGAGTCAAGCGCGCCGGAAAACAACTCGTCACGCCAAGAAGAAGACGAAGAAATGAAGGATTCTGTTGATTCAACACCGCCTGTGTTTTGGCGTGCGAGTGCAAATGCCGTTGAAGCAGCAGTAGACTTATCAGAGCCCTCAACATTTGAAGCAGCAGTAAGCGGCCCTGACCAAGTGCACTGGAGAAAAGCAATTCATGCAGAGCTCGAGTCAATGCGACTTCGCGGTGTGTTTCGTGCAGCCAAGCTGCCCAACGGACAACGCGCCATTGGCACAAAATGGGTGTTCAAGATCAAGCGTAAAGCGGATGGATCTATCGAGAAGTACAAGGCACGACTTGTGGCCAAGGGTTTCCGTCAAAGGTATGGCATCGACTACACGGAGACGTTTTCGCCTGTGGTCAAGTATGTGACGCTGAGAATGGTGATCGCAATTTCCAAGCATTTTGGATGGCCCATCGACCAGCTTGATGTGGTGACAGCTTTCCTGTATGGCGTCATGAAGGAACAAGTGTTCTGCGTGATTTCTGAAGGCGTCCAACTTGACAGTACGTTCGACTGCCTGGAATTGGTGAAGTCAATTTAAGGCCTCAAGCAAGCTTCGCGAGTGTGGAACGAGACGTTCGACGAGTATGTGTGCTCCATCGGATTTCAAGTGTCAGGCTTCGACCCATGTCTCTACATCAAGACATCGGACGGCCATTGCGTGTTTATACTGGTCTACGTGGACGACGTCTTGGTGACTGGAAGCTCGCTCGAGCTGATTGCACAAACCAAGAACGACCTGAAGACGCGGTTCGAGATGACGGACAGCGGCAAGTGTGCGTTTGTTCTTGGGATCGAGCTTTTGGACGGTGAAGATGGCAGTGTGACACTATGTCAGCGTCGGTATGTCGATGATATCCTCAAGCGCTTTGGCATGGATGATTGCAAGGCAGTCGCAAGTCCAGTCGACATGAGCTCTCGACTTGTTTCAAGTGATGCAACTACCAAGGTCGATGCTCCTTTTCGCGAAGCTGTTGGTGCGTTGATGCACCTGACCACTGCAACGCGTCCGGACATTGCGTTTGCTGTGGGCTATGTGTCGCGGTTCATGGAAAATCCCCAAGAAGAACACTGGGTTGCAGTTAAGCGTATCTTTCGCTACCTAAAAGGCACCAAGACGCATGGAATTTGCTACAAGCCAAGTGCAAGGATCGACTTCCGTGGATATTCGGATGCGGATTGGGCTGGTGATCTTACCGACCGCAAGTCAACATCGGGGTACACGTTCATGCTACTCGGTGCGCCAGTGAGTTGGGGCAGCAAGAAGCAGCCAAGTGTTTCGTTGTCCACGACTGAAGCTGAATACATCGCACTCAGCTTGGCGATTCAAGAGGGCAAGTGGATTCATCGTCTGCTTTGTGAGATCGTGATGGCTGCCAATGAAGAAGGACCGGAACTCATGATTCATGAAGACAATCAGTCATGTATTAAGATGACGAAGAACCCGGTCAACCACGGCCGTGCCAAGCACATTGATATCAAGTACCATCACATCCGTGATGAGGTCAAGCGCGGTGAAGTGAAGCTCAAGTATTGTGAAACTGCGGTGATGTTAGCGGACATCATGACGAAGGGACTTCATGGACCACGCCACAAGGAGATGACGACAGCTCTCGGGATTCGTGAGCATTCGGATTGAGGGGGCGTGTTGACGGTCATCGGTTTTCGACCAGTGTTGGTAACCGTGACCGGTCCAATCCGAACCGCCTGTTCAGCCTAGTATTTACGACGTAGTTCTTACGGTAATTACCATAGTTGATTAGACGCGTAGGATGATGAGACGCTTCACATGATTTATATGTACACCACATATAAATCATGTAGTAAGTAGTAAGCCCCGATAATCAATCACTTTCGAATCTTCCAACTTCAGAGCAAGTGTCTTTTGCTTCGCTCTCTCTTCGGTCTCTCCGCTCTGTTCGCTCCGCTTTCCTCGCTCCGATCTACAATGCAACAAGCAGTAAGCGGCCCTGACCAAGTGCACTGGAGAAAAGCAATTCATGCAGAGCTCGAGTCAATGCGACTTCGCGGTGTGTTTCGTGCAGCCAAGCTGCCCAACGGACAACGCGCCATTGGCACAAAATGGGTGTTCAAGATCAAGCGTAAAGCGGATGGATCCATCGAGAAGTACAAGGCACGACTTGTGGCCAAGGGTTTCCGTCAAAGGTATGGAATCGACTACACGGAGACGTTTTCGCCCGTGGTCAAGCATGTGACGCTGAGAATGGTGATCGCAATTTCCAAGCATTTTGGATGGCCCATCGACCAGCTTGATGTGGTGACAGCTTTCCTGTATGGCGTCATGAAGGAACAAGTGTTCTGCGTGATTTCTGAAGGCGTCCAACTTGACAGTACGTTCGACTGCCTGGAATTGGTGAAGGCAATTTAAGGCCTGAAGCAAGCTTTGCGAGTATGGAACGAGACGTTCGACGAGTATGTGTGCTCCATCGGATTTCAAGTGTCAGGCTTCGACCCATGTCTCTACATCAAGACATCGGACGGCCATTGCGTGTTTATACTGGTCTACGTGGACGACGTCTTGGTGACTGGAAGCTCGCTCGAGCTGATTGCACAAACCAAGAACGACCTGAAGACGCGGTTCGAGATGACGGACAGCGGCAAGTGTGCGTTTGTTCTTGGGATCGAGCTTTTGGACGGTGAAGATGGCAGTGTGACACTATGTCAGCGTCGGTATGTCGATGATATCCTCAAGCGCTTTGGCATGGATGATTGCAAGGCAGTCGCAAGTCCAGTCGACATGAGCTCTCGACTTGTTTCAAGTGATGCAACTACCAAGGTCGATGCTCCTTTTCGCGAAGCTGTTGGTGCGTTGATGCACCTGACCACTGCAACGCGTCCGGACATTGCGTTTGCTGTGGGCTATGTGTCGCGGTTCATGGAAAATCCCCAAGAAGAACACTGGGTTGCAGTTAAGCGTATCTTTCGCTACCTAAAAGGCACCAAGACGCATGGAATTTGCTACAAGCCAAGTGCAAGGATCGACTTCCGTGGATATTCGGATGCGGATTGGGCTGGTGATCTTACCGACCGCAAGTCAACATCGGGGTACACGTTCATGCTACTCGGTGCGCCAGTGAGTTGGGGCAGCAAGAAGCAGCCAAGTGTTTCGTTGTCCACGACTGAAGCTGAATACATCGCACTCAGCTTGGCGATTCAAGAGGGCAAGTGGATTCATCGTCTGCTTTGTGAGATCGTGATGGCTGCCAATGAAGAAGGACCGGAACTCATGATTCATGAAGACAATCAGTCATGTATTAAGATGACGAAGAACCCGGTCAACCACGGCCGTGCCAAGCACATTGATATCAAGTACCATCACATCCGTGATGAGGTCAAGCGCGGTGAAGTGAAGCTCAAGTATTGTGAAACTGCGGTGATGTTAGCGGACATCATGACGAAGGGACTTCATGGACCACGCCACAAGGAGATGACGACAGCTCTCGGGATTCGTGAGCATTCGGATTGAGGGGGCGTGTTGACGGTCATCGGTTTTCGACCAGTGTTGGTAACCGTGACCGGTCCAATCCGAACCGCCTGTTCAGCCTAGTATTTACGACGTAGTTCTTACGGTAATTACCATAGTTGATTAGACGCGTAGGATGATGAGACGCTTCACATGATTTATATGTACACCACATATAAATCATGTAGTAAGTAGTAAGCCCCGATAATCAATCACTTTCGAATCTTCCAACTATTGAGCAAGTGTTTTCTGCTCTACTCTCTTCGGTCTCTCCGCTCTGTTCGCTCCGCTTTCCTCGCTCCGATCTACAATGCAACAAGCAGTAAGCGGCCCTGACCAAGTGCACTGGAGAAAAGCAATTCATGCAGAGCTCGAGTCAATGCGACTTCGCGGTGTGTTTCGTGCAGCCAAGCTGCCCAACGGACAACGCGCCATTGGCACAAAATGGGTGTTCAAGATCAAGCGTAAAGCGGATGGATCTATCGAGAAGTACAAGGCACGACTTGTGGCCAAGGGTTTCCGTCAAAGGTATGGCATCGACTACACGGAGACGTTTTCGCCTGTGGTCAAGTATGTGACGCTGAGAATGGTGATCGCAATTTCCAAGCATTTTGGATGGCCCATCGACCAGCTTGATGTGGTGACAGCTTTCCTGTATGGCGTCATGAAGGAACAAGTGTTCTGCGTGATTTCTGAAGGCGTCCAACTTGACAGTACGTTCGACTGCCTGGAATTGGTGAAGTCAATTTAAGGCCTCAAGCAAGCTTCGCGAGTGTGGAACGAGACGTTCGACGAGTATGTGTGCTCCATCGGATTTCAAGTATCGGACTTCGACCCATGTCTCTACATCAAGACATCGGACGGCCATTGCGTGTTTATACTGGTCTACGTGGACGACGTCTTGGTGACTGGAAGCTCGCTCGAGCTGATTGCACAAACCAAGAACGACCTGAAGACGCGGTTCGAGATGACGGACAGCGGCAAGTGTGCGTTTGTTCTTGGGATCGAGCTTTTGGACGGTGAAGATGGCAGTGTGACACTATGTCAGCGTCGGTATGTCGATGATATCCTCAAGCGCTTTGGCATGGATGATTGCAAGGCAGTCGCAAGTCCAGTCGACATGAGCTCTCGACTTGTTTCAAGTGATGCAACTACCAAGGTCGATGCTCCTTTTCGCGAAGCTGTTGGTGCGTTGATGCACCTGACCACTGCAACGCGTCCGGACATTGCGTTTGCTGTGGGCTATGTGTCGCGGTTCATGGAAAATCCCCAAGAAGAACACTGGGTTGCAGTTAAGCGTATCTTTCGCTACCTAAAAGGCACCAAGACGCATGGAATTTGCTACAAGCCAAGTGCAAGGATCGACTTCCGTGGATATTCGGATGCGGATTGGGCTGGTGATCTTACCGACCGCAAGTCAACATCGGGGTACACGTTCATGCTACTCGGTGCGCCAGTGAGTTGGGGCAGCAAGAAGCAGCCAAGTGTTTCGTTGTCCACGACTGAAGCTGAATACATCGCACTCAGCTTGGCGATTCAAGAGGGCAAGTGGATTCATCGTCTGCTTTGTGAGATCGTGATGGCTGCCAATGAAGAAGGACCGGAACTCATGATTCATGAAGACAATCAGTCATGTATTAAGATGACGAAGAACCCGGTCAACCACGGCCGTGCCAAGCACATTGATATCAAGTACCATCACATCCGTGATGAGGTCAAGCGCGGTGAAGTGAAGCTCAAGTATTGTGAAACTGCGGTGATGTTAGCGGACATCATGACGAAGGGACTTCATGGACCACGCCACAAGGAGATGACGACAGCTCTCGGGATTCGTGAGCATTCGGATTGAGGGGGCGTGTTGACGGTCATCGGTTTTCGACCAGTGTTGGTAACCGTGACCGGTCCAATCCGAACCGCCTGTTCAGCCTAGTATTTACGACGTAGTTCTTACGGTAATTACCATAGTTGATTAGACGCGTAGGATGATGAGACGCTTCACATGATTTATATGTACACCACATATAAATCATGTAGTAAGTAGTAAGCCCCGATAATCAATCGTACTTTCCAATCTTCCATCTACCCCCAAGTGTCTTCTCCGGTCTTCCGAGTGGACTCTCAGCATCCCTCCCAGTTTCGGTCGTCAAGCTCTTCACCCCAATCAACAGGTTATGAGCCCAAGCACGATGTCCTCTGCTCATGATGCCACCACCAAGATCTCCATTGACAAGTTCGACGGCGACAACTACGCGACGTGGAGCCGCTACATGCGTGGCGTGTTCCTGACCAAGTCGGCGTGGCACGTGGTGAACCGGGAGACGTCGCCGACCTTCGCCGATCCTCGCGCCAGTGACGACTACGTCAAGACGAACAACATTGCGTCCGGCTTGATGCTGCTGCACATGAGCGCGGATTCTCATCACGTGGTTGATGATTGTGAGGAAGCATGGGTTGCGTGGGCGTGGATCAAGACACTGTACGGCGGATCTCAGAAGGCTGGGCACATCTGCTTGAAGCGCCAGCTCTTCAGTATGGAGATGACAAAAGGCGGCAATGTGATGCATCATTGCAATGAGGTCCTCAACATCAGCGCAAAGCTGGCTAGCATCGGCGCCAAGATGTAGGACGAGGACGTTGCGATCTGCTTACTGCGCAGTCTGCCCAATAGTTTCGAGAACGTGGTTCTCAACTTGGAGATGAACAGCGCGGAACTGCGATCGCGAGACGTCGTGAGAGTGCTCACGAATGAGCACATCAAGAGGCAAGGTGACAAGACGACATCGGTGAAGACTGAAGATACGGCGAAGGCGTTCAGTACCGAGCGTGAACCTCGCCAATGTACATACTGCGGAAAATTGGGGCACACGGCGGAGCGGTGCTGGACCAAGCAGAAGGACGAAAATCAAGGTGGAGCTCGACGCGGCGGCAACAATGCTCGTGGACGCGGAGCCAACAACGTTCAGTGGCGAACCAACAACAACAACAACGACGACAACTACGATCGAGTTGCGTTCGCGGTTTCGCTGGAGGCTGGACTTTCGACGGGCAAGAATATGCCAGGGATGTGGGCAGTCGACAGCGGTGCGACGCATCACATCTGCAACGACAAGGCCAAGTTTGCAAGCCTGAATGAGCGAGAGGAAGGCGAACTATCAGTGGATGATAGAAGGCTGCGATCAAGGGTGTGGGAACCATCATGGAACGGGTGGTTCTGCCCAATGGTGACGAACGCGACATCGAGATCAAGGACGCACTGTTCGTACCAAGTATGAGCAAGAATCTGCTTTCGGTGCCACAGATCAACAAGGGTGGCAGGTTCCAAGTCGTGTTCGATGGATCCAAGATGCAAGTGAAGCGCAAGAATTCCACACAAGTCGTGGCAACAGCGGATCTCGTCGATGGACTTTACTGGATGCGGACTCCTCAACGATCGGCAAATGCAGCAGCACGCAATGGGACCATCGACTTGCATGCGCGCATGGGTCATGCACCCCTCGAAGTTCTGCGCAAGATGGTGGCCACCGGCATGATCAAGGACGCAAAGGCACCTCTCAACTCGACTGGTCCAAGTGTGTGTCGCGGTTGCCAGCAAGGAAAGATGGTCCAAAAACCATTCCCAAACCAACCGTGACAAGCGCCAATATGGTGTGTTCGAGTTGCTGCACTTCGACATCTGCGGGCCAATGGAACAAGTCTCGATCGGCGGCAGCAGATACTTACTGCTTGTGGTTGACGAAGCCAGCGGTTGCATGAAGGGCTTCTGTCTGCGGTCCAAGTCTGAGAGTGAAGTCTGTATCAAGGACCACATCATCAAGATTCAAACTCAGTTCGGCACGAAGATCAAGTTTGTTCGGCACGATGGAGCGCATAAGTTTGCGATCAACTCGATCAAGACCTTCTACGAAAATCATGGTATTGAACAACAGATCACGGTGCCGTATGCACACCAGACCAACGGCACCGCAGAACGCGCGATAAGGACCATCGTCACGATCGGACGCAGCTTGTTGCATCATGCAAAGCTGGAGAAGTGTTTCTGGGCTGAAGCGGCAATGACGGCGATCTACATCAAGAACCGCCTGCCTTCACCCAAGATTGACCACAAGACTCCGTTCGAGATCGTGTACAAGTCGAAACCAAGTGTCAAGCACATGCGCGTGTTTGGATGTCGGGCGTTTATCCTGACACCAAGGGAGAAGCGATTGAAGTGGGACCCGAAGGCTCGTGAAGGGATGTTCATGGGCTACGAAGAAGCGTCAAAAGCTTATCGAGTGTACGACATTGAGGCGGGCCAAGTGGTGATCAGTCGTGACATCACCTTCGACGAATCGACTTTTGACTTTTCGATGGACCGACCAAGTGACGATGATGAAGATGTGGAGTTGGACCTCGACCTCCTGGCGATCAACGAGGACGACGTGCGTCAAACCGTCTACAAGCAGACTGACAAGCGCAAGAGTGAAGCAAGACCCGGCATGTCACGTTCAGCTCGCCCTCGAACTGGGTTGGAACAAGCAAGTGCGCCGGAACACGTCTCCAACCGTCACCAGAAACGACGATCAAGTGCTCCAGAAACGATGTCTGATGACGAAGAAGATGCAAGCGTCTACGATCAAGATGACGACTCGACGCCTCCAACATTTTGGCGTGCAAGTGCAAACGCAGTGGAAGCAACGGACCTAGCAGAACCTGTGACTTTTCAAGACGCGATCAATGGTCCTGATCAAGCTCACTGGCGAAATGCTGTATAGGCGGAACTCAAGTCGATGCATCTTCGTGGAGTTTTCCGTGCGGCAAAACTACCAAGAGGCCAAGGCGCGATCGGCACCAAGTGGGTGTTCAAGATCAAGCGCAAAGCGGATGGATCTGTCGAGAACTACAAGGCGCGTCTCGTTGCCAAGGGCTTCAAGCAGAAGTACGGCATCGACTACACAGAGACGTTCTCGCCTGTGGTCAAGTACGTGACACTGCGTATGGTGATCGCGATCACCAAGTATTTCGACTAGCCACTGGACCAACTCGATGTGGTGACAGCCTTTCTCTACGGAGTGATGAAGGAGAAGGTGTACTGCGTGATACCAGAAGGCGTCGAGATGGATGGCGACTTCGACTGTCTCGAGTTGGTGAAGGCGATCTACGGTCTCAAGCAAGCTTCACGCGTGTGGAACGAGACTTTCGACGAGTTCGTATGCTCCATCGGTTTCGAAGCGTGGGCGTTCGACCCATGTCTCTACATCAAGGTTGCGTATGGTCACTGTGTGCTGCTACTGGTATACGTGGATGACGTTTTGGTAACAGGCAGTTCAATTGACTTGATTGCACAGACCAAGAGTGATCTCAAGATGCGTTTCGAGATGACCGACAGCGGCAAGTGTACTTTTGTACTGGGCATCGAACTGGTGGACGAATCGGATGGCAGCGTGACGATGTGCCAGCGACGGTATGTCAACGACATCCTCAAGCGCTTCGGCATGGATGAGTGCAAGGCCACAGCAAGTCCGGTCGACTTGAGCACTCGGCTTGTCGCAAGCAGCGAAGCGGCCAAGATCGACGTTCCGTTTCGTGAAGCTGTGGGAGCTTTGATGCACTTGAAGACTGCGACGCGCCCGGACATTGCGTATGCTGTGGGGTACGTCTCGCGCTTCATGGAGAATCCGCAGCAAGAACATTGGACGGCGGTGAAGCGCATCTTTCGTTACTTGCAAGGGACCAAGTCGCACGGACTCCGCTTCCAGCCAAGCGACAAGATCGACTTTCGTGGCTACTCGGACGCGGACTGGGCCGGCGACCACGTTGATCGCAAGTCGACTTCGGGTTACACTTTCATGCTGATGGGTGCTTCTGTGAGTTGGGGAAGCAAGAAGCAGTCAAGTGTGTCGCTGTCGACGAGTAAAGCGGAATACATCGCACTGAGTCTGGCCATCCAGAAAGGCAAGTAGGTGCATCGCCTGCTATGCGAGATTTTGGCGGCCGCAAACGAACCAGGGCCGGACCTCGTCATCCGTGAAGACAACCAGTCGTGCATCAAGATGACGAAGAATCCGGTCAACCACGGCCGCGCCAAGCATATTGATATCAAGTACCATCACATCCGTGATGAGGTTAAGCGCGGTGAAGTGAAGCTCAAGTACTGTGAAACTGCGGTGATGTTAGCGGACATCATGACGAAGGGACTTCATGGACCACGCCACAAGGAGATGACGACGGCTCTCGGGATTCGTGAGCATTCGGATTGAGGGGGCGTGCTGACGGTCATCGTTTTTATACCAGTATTGGTAACCGTGACCGGTCCAATCCGAACCGCCTGTTCAGCTTAGTATTTACGACGTAGTTCTTACGGTAATTACCATAGTTGATTAGACGCGTAGGATGATGAGACGCTTCACATGATTTATATGTACACCACATATAAATCATGTAGTAAGTAGTAAGCCCCGATAATCAATCACTTTCGAATCTTCCAACTATTGGGCAAGTATTTTCTGCTCTACTCTCTTCGGTCTCTCCGCTCCGTTCGCTCCGCTTTTCTCGCTCCGATCTACAGTGCAACACTCCGGTCTTTCAAGTGAATCCCTTCGTTTTAATCCACCCTCTTCGACGTTCAAGATTCATACCTTTCACCAGGTTATGAGCCCAAGCACGATGTTCTCTTCTCAAGATTCCGCCAGCAAGATCTGCATCAACAAGTTCGACGGAGACAACTACGCGACATGGAGCCGCTACATGCGTGGCGTGTTCCTGACTAAGTCGACGAGGCACGTGGTGATCCGCGAGGTGACACCGACCTTTGCCGATTCGCGATATATGGAAAACTACGTCAACGCAAGTATCATCGCTTTTGGTCTGATGCTACTGCCTATGGACGCGGACTATTATTACGTAGCTGATAATTGCAAAGAAGCATGGGTCAGAAGGCGGGGAGGATCTTCTTGAAGCGCCAGCTGTTCAGCATGGAGATGGCGGTAGGCGGCAATGTGATGCATCATTGCAACGAAGTCCTCAACATCAGCGCGAAGCTCAGCAGCATCGGCGCCAAGATGGAGGACGAGGACGTGGCGATCTGCTTGTTGCGCAGGCTCCTTAAGAGCTACGATAATGTCGTTCTCAACTTGGAGATGAGCAGCGCGGAACTGCGATCGCGAGACGTCGTGAGAGTGCTCACGAATGAGCACATCAAGAGGCAAGGTGACAAGACGACATCGGTGAAGACTGAAGAAGCGGCGAAGTCGTTCAGTACCGAGCGCGAGACTCGCCAGTGTACATACTGCGAGAAATTGGGGCATGCGGCCGAGCGGTGCTGGACCAAGAAGAAAGAATAAAATCAAAGGGGATCAATGCGGCGGCAACAATGGTTGTGGACGCGGAGCCATCAATGTTTAATGGCAATACAACAATATTGGTGAAGACTACGATCGAGTTGCGTTTGCGGTTTTGCTGGAGGCTGGACCCTCGACGGGCAAGCATATATCAGGAATGTGGACGGTCGACAGTGGCGTATGATAAAGTCCGAAGAGCACTTGGTGAGAGTTCTGGAACTTTGCAGAACGCCGAAGAAGTCTGCACTGCAAAGTGAAGACGACTTGTGCTGAAAAAGGAATGTTTGGAAGTGAACTAATCTGTGGGTTTGCTTAAGCTACCTGATTTATCTGTGTTCTGATCTATATTGTTGAATGGTGAAAAGCTTGACGACCAAAACTGGGAGTGATGCTGGGAGTCCACTCGGAAGACCGGAGAAGACACTTGGGGGGTAGATGGAAGATTGGAAAGTGATTGATTATCGGGGCTTACTACTTACTACATGATTTATATGTGGTGCACATTGTTGCATTGTAGATTGGAGCGAGGAAAGCGGAGCGAACGGAGCGGAGAGACCGAAGAGAGTAGAGCAGAAAACACTTGCCCAATAGTTGGAAGATTCGAAAGTGATTGATTATCGGGACTTACTACTTACTACATGATTTATATGTGGTGTACATATAAATCATGTGAAGCGTCTCATCATCCTACGCGTCTAATCAACTATGGTAATTACCGTAAGAACTACGTCGTAAATACTAAGCTGAACAGGCGGTTCGGATTGGACCGGTCACGGTTACCAATACTGGTATAAAAACGATGACCGTCAGCACGCCCCCTCAATCCGAATGCTCACGAATCCCGAGAGCCGTCGTCATCTCCTTGTGGCGTGGTCCATGAAGTCCCTTCGTCATGATGTCCGCTAACATCACCGCAGTTTCACAGTACTTGAGCTTCACTTCACCACGCTTGACCTCATCACGGATGTGATGGTACTTGATATCAATGTGCTTGGCGCGGCCATGATTCACCGGATTCTTCGTCATCTTGATGCACGACTGGTTGTCTTCACGGATGACGAGGTCCGGCCCTGGTTCGTTTGCGGCCGCCAAAATCTTGCATAGCAGGCGATGCACCCACTTGCCTTCCTGGATGGCCAGACTCAGTGCGATGTATTCCGCTTCACTCGTCAGCAGCGACACACTTGACTGCTTCTTGCTTCCCAAACTCACAGAAGCACCCATCAGCATGAAAGTGTAACCCGAAGTCGACTTGCGATCAGCGTGGTCGCCGGCCCAGTCCGCGTCCGAGTAGCCACGAAAGTCGATCTTGTCGCTTGGCTGGAAGCGGAGTCCGTGCGACTTGGTCCCTTGCAAGTAACGAAAGATGCGCTTCACCGCCGTCCAATGTTCTTGCTGCGGATTCTCCATGAAGCGCGAGACGTACCCCACAGCATACGCAATGTCCGGGCGCGTCGCAGTCTTCAAGTGCATCAAAGCTCCCACAGCTTCACGAAACGGAACGTCGATCTTGGCCGCTTCGCTGCTTGCGACAAGCCGAGTGCTCAAGTCGACCGGACTTGCTGTGGCCTTGCACTCATCCATGCCGAAGCGCTTGAGGATGTCGTTGACATATCGTCGCTGGCACATCGTCACGCTGCCATCCGATTCGTCCACCAGTTCGATGCCCAGTACAAAAGTACACTTGCCACTGTCGGTCATCTCGAAACGCGTCTTGAGGTCGGCCTTCGTTTGCGCAATCAACTCGAGCGAGCTGCCGGTGACCAACACTTCATCCACGTAGACCAGCACGAGCACACAGTGACCGTCGACAATCTTGATGTAGAGACATGGGTCGAACGCCGACACTTCGAAACCGATGGAGCATACGAACTCGTCGAAAGTCTCGTTCCACACACGTGAAGCTTGCTTGAGACCGTAGATCGCCTTCACCAACTCGAGACAGTCGAAGTCGCCATCCATCTCGACGCCTTCTGGTATCACGCAGTACACCTTCTCCTTCATCACTCCGTAGAGAAAGGCTGTCACCACATCGAGTTGGTCCAGTGGCCAGTCGAAATACTTGGTGATCGCGATCACCATACGCAGTGTCACACACTTGACCACGGGCAAATACGTCTTTGTGTAGTCGATTCCATACTTCTGCTAGAAGCCCTTGGCAACGAGACGCGCCTTGTATTTCTCGACCGATCCATCCGCTTTGTGCTTGCCAGTCTGCTTGTAGACGGTTTGACGCACGTCGTCCTCGTTGATCGCCAGGAGGTCGAGGTCCAACTCCACATCTTCATCATCGTCACTTGGTCGGTCCATCGAAAAGTCAAAAGTCGATTCGTCGAAGGTGATGTCACGACTGATCACCACTTGGCCCGCCTCAATGTCGTACACTCGATAAGCTTTTGACGCTTCTTCGTAGCCCATGAACATCCCTTCACGAGCCTTCGGGTCCCACTTCAATCGCTTCTCCCTTGGTGTCAGGATAAACGCCCGACATCCAAACACGCGCATGTGCTTGACACTTGGTTTCGACTTGTACACGATCTCGAACGGAGTCTTGTGGTCAATCTTGGGTGAAGGCAGGCGGTTCTTGATGTAGATCGCCGTCATTGCCGCTTCAGCCCAGAAACACTTCTCCAGCTTTGCATGATGCAACAAGCTGCGTCCGATCGTGACGATGGTCCTTATCGCGCGTTCTGCGGTGCCGTTGGTCTGGTGTGCATACGGCACCGTGATCTGTTGTTCAATACCATGATTTTCGTAGAAGGTCTTGATCGAGTTGATCGCAAACTTATGCGCTCCATCGTGCCGAACAAACTTGATCTTCGTGCCGAACTGAGTTTGAATCTTGATGATGTGGTCCTTGATACAGACTTCACTCTCAGACTTGGACCGCAGACAGAAGCCCTTCATGCAACCGCTGGCTTCGTCAACCACAAGCAGTAAGTATCTGCTGCCGCCGATCGAGACTTGTTCCATTGGCCCGCAGATGTCGAAGTGCAGCAACTCGAACACACCATATTGGCGCTTGTCACGGTTGGTTTGGGAATGGTTTTTGGACCATCTTTCCTTGCTGGCAACCGCGACACACACTTGGACCAGTCGAGTTGAGAGGTGCCTTTGCGTCCTTGATCATGCCGGTGGCCACCATCTTGCGCAGAACTTCGAGGGGTGCATGACCCATGCGCGCATGCAAGTCGATGGTCCCATTGCGTGCTGCTGCATTTGCCGATCGTTGAGGAGTCCGCATCCAGTAAAGTCCATCGACGAGATCCGCTGTTGCCACGACTTGTGTGGAATTCTTGCGCTTCACTTGCATCTTGGATCCATCGAACACGACTTGAAACTTGCCACCCTTGTAAATCTGCGGCACCGATAACAGATTCTTGCTCATACTTGGTACGAACAGTGCGTCCTTGATCTCGATGTCGCGTTCGTCACCATTGGGCAGAACCACCCGTTCCATGATGGTTCCCACACCCTTGATCGCAGCCTTCTATCAGCCACTGATAGTTCGCCTTCCTCTCGCTCATTCAGGCTTGCAAACTTGGCTTTGTCGTTGCAGATGTGATGCGTCGCACCGCTGTCGACTGCCCACATCCCTGGCATATTCTTGCCCGTCGAAAGTCCAGCCTCCAGCGAAACCGCGAACGCAACTCGATCGTAGTTGTCGTCGTTGTTGTTGTTGTTGGTTCGCCACTGAACGTTGTTGGCTCCGCCTCCACGAGCATTGTTGCCGCCGCGTCGAGCTCCACCTTGATTTTCGTCCTTCTGCTTGGTCCAGCACCGCTCTGCCGTGTGCCCCAATTTACCGCAGTATGTACACTGGCGAGGTTCACGCTCGGTACTGAACGCCTTCGCCGTATCTTCAGTCTTCACCGATGTCGTCTTGTCACCTTGCCTCTTGATGTGCTCATTCGTGAGCACTCTCACGACGTCTCGCGATCGCAGTTCCGCGCTGCTCATCTCCAAGTTGAGAACGACGTTCTCGTAGCTCTTGGGGAGGCTGCGCAACAAGCAGATCGCCACGTCCTCGTCCTCCATCTTGGCGCCGATGCTGCTGAGCTTCGCGCTGATGTTGAGGACTTCGTTGCAATGATGCATCACATTGCCGCCTTCCACCATCTCCATGCTGAACAGCTGGCGCTTCAAGTAGATGCGTCCAGCCTTCTGCGACCCGCCGTACAGCGTCTTCAAACGCGCCCACGCGACCCACGCCTCTTCACAGTCATCAACCACGTGATGAGAATCCGCGCTCATGTGCAGCAGCATCAAGCCGGACGCAATGTTGTTCGTCTTGACGTAGTCGTCACTGGCGCGAGGATCGGCGAAGGTTGGCGACGTCTCCCGGTTCACCACGTGCCACGCCGACTTGGTCAGGAACACGCCACGCATGTAGCGGCTCCACGTCGCGTAGTTGTCGCCGTCGAACTTGTCAATGGAGATCTTGGTGGTGGCATCATGAGCAGAGGACATCGTGCTTGGGCTCATAACCTGTTGAATGGTGAAAAGCTTGACGACCGAAACTGGGAGTGATGCTGGGAGTCCACTCGGAAGACCGGAGAAGACACTTGGGGGGTAGATGGAAGATTGGAAAGTGATTGATTATCGGGGCTTACTACTTACTACATGATTTATATGTGGTGTACATATAAATCATGTGAAGCGTCTCATCATCCTACGCGTCTAATCAACTATGGTAATTACCGTAAGAACTACGTCGTAAATACTAGGCTGAACAGGCGGTTCGGATTGGACCGGTCACGGTTACCAACACTGGTCGAAAACCGATGACCGTCAACACGCCCCCTCAATCCGAATGCTCACGAATCCCGAGAGCTGTCGTCATCTCCTTGTGGCGTGGTCCATGAAGTCCCTTCGTCATGATGTCCGCTAACATCACCGCAGTTTCACAATACTTGAGCTTCACTTCACCGCGCTTGACCTCATCACGGATGTGATGGTACTTGATATCAATGTGCTTGGCACGGCCGTGGTTGACCGGGTTCTTCGTCATCTTAATACATGACTGATTGTCTTCATGAATCATGAGTTCCGGTCCTTCTTCATTGGCAGCAATCACGATCTCACAAAGCAGACGATGAATCCACTTGCCCTCTTGAATCGCCAAGCTGAGTGCGATGTATTCAGCTTCAGTCGTGGACAACGAAACACTTGGCTGCTTCTTGCTGCCCCAACTCACTGGCGCACCGAGTAGCATGAACGTGTACCCCGATGTTGACTTGCGGTCGGTAAGATCACCAGCCCAATCCGCATCCGAATATCCACGGAAGTCGATCCTTGCACTTGGCTTGTAGCAAATTCCATGCGTCTTAGTGCCTTGTAGGTAGCGAAAGATACGCTTAACTGCAACCCAGTGTTCTTCTTGGGGATTTTCCATGAACCGCGACACATAGCCCACAGCAAACGCAATGTCCGGACGCGTTGCAGTGGTCAGGTGCATCAACGCACCAACAGCTTCGCGAAAAGGAGCATCGACCTTGGTAGTTGCATCACTTGAAACAAGTCGAGAGCTCATGTCGACTGGACTTGCGACTGCCTTGCAATCATCCATGCCAAAGCGCTTGAGGATATCATCGACATACCGACGCTGACATAGTGTCACACTGCCATCTTCATCGTCCAAAAGCTCGATCTTAAGAACAAACGCACACTTGCCGCTGTCCGTCATCTCGAACCGCGTCTTGAGGTCGTTCTTGGTGCGCGCAATCATCTCGAGCGAGCTTCCAGTCACCAAGACATCGTCCACGTAGACCAGCACAAAAACACAATGGCCTTCCGAAGTCACGATGTAGAGACATGGATCGAATCCCGACGCTTGAAAACCAACCGAGCGTATGAACTCGTCGAAGGTCTCGTTCCAAACACGCGAGGCTTGCTTGAGACCGTAGATCGCCTTGATCAGCTCGAGACAGTCGAAATCACCTTCCATCTTGACGCCTTCCGGAACAGCGCAGAACACCTTCTCCTTCATCACTCCATACAGGAACGCAGTCACCACATCGAGCTGGTCGAGGGGCCATCCAAAGTGCTTGGTAATGGCGATGACCATTCGCAGCGTCACATACTTGACCACGGGCGAGAACGTCTCCGTGTAGTCGATGCCATACTTTTGGCGAAAACCCTTGGCCACAAGTCGTGCCTTGTATTTCTCGATCGACCCATCCGCCTTGCGCTTGATCTTGAAGACCCACTTTGTGCCAATGGCGCTTTGTCCGTTGGGTAACTTGGCCGCACGAAAGACACCGCGAAGCTTCATCGAATCGAGCTCCGCATCAATTGCCTTGCGCCAGTGTACTTGGTCCGGGCCAGACACTGCTTCTTCAAATGTCGACGGCTCCGAAAAATCGACCGCTGCTTCGACGGCGTTTGCACTCGCATGCCAAAACGCGGAGGAATTCGGTGTGTCATGTTGTTCCTCCGACTTCCTTTCTTCATCTTCGTTGGCTCGACGTGAAGAGATGTCATCCGGCGCACTTGACTCTTCCAATCCGGGTCGTTGGCGCACTGCTCGGGGCATGCTTGCGTCGTCATTGTCGTGACTGGGTTGGGCCTTGCGCTTTCCTGTTTGTTTGAAGTGTCTCGGACGCGGTTCTTCATCATCAAGATCGATCGATTCGAAGTCCAGGCCATCAACATCGTCATCGGAAATCAGCATCGACATTCCAAAGGCCGACTCATCGAAGTTGACATCGCGACTTATCATCACCTGCCCCGCTTCGATGTCATAAACTCGATACGCCTTGGACACTTCTTCGTAGCCCAAAAACAATCCAGCCCGGGCCTTGGGATCCCACTTGAGTCGTTTCTCCTTCGGGGTCAAGATGTATGCTTGGCACCCAAAAACGCGCATGTGCTTGACACTTGGCTTAGAATTGTAGACAATCTCGAACGGTGTCTTGTGTGGAATCTTGGGTGACGGCAAACGGTTCTTCACATAGACGGCCGTCATTGCCGCTTCAGCCCAGAAGCACTTGTCCAACTTGGCATGATGGAGCATGCTACGACCGATGGTGACGATAGTTCGAATCGCGCGTTCAGCAGTTCCATTGGCTTGATGTGCGTATGGCACCGTGGTTTGTTGCTCGATGCCTTCGACTTCGTAGAAATCTTGAAGCGAGTTCGTCGCAAACTCGCGGGCTCCATCGTGTCGCAAAAATTTGACCTTCTTGTTGAACTGCGTCTGTATCATCGTGATGTACTTCTTGATGCACTCTTCGCTCTCTTACTTGGAATGCAGACAAAAACCCTTCATGCATCCGCTGGCTTCATCCACGATCAGCAGCAGATACTTGCTGCCACCCAGAGTTTTTTCTTCCATGGGTCCGCAGATGTCGAAGTGGAGCATTTCGAAGGTGTTGTAGGTGCGCTTGTCACGGTTGCTCGGGAATGGTTTTTTTGGACCATCTTCCCTTCTTTCTTGGCATCCTCGAACACACTTGATCCATTCGGCTTGGAAGGGATGTGAGCGTCCTTGATCATGTGGCTTGTCACCATCCTGCGAAGCACGTCGACTGGAGCATGGCCCATTTGCGCATGTAGATCAACAGTGTTGCTGAGTGATGTCGCATTGGCCGATCGCTGCGTCGTGCGAAGCCAGTAGAGTCCGTCTACAAGATCCGCAGCTGCCACCACTTGATTGGAATCCTTGCGAGCGACGTACATCGTATCCCCGTCAAACACCACTTGGAAGTTGCCGTGCTTGTTAATCTGCGGCACCGAGAGCAGATTTTTGCTCATGCTGGGCACATAGAGCGCGTTCTTGATCTCGATCTCGCGCTCTTCCCCGTTTGGCAGAATCACCTTTTCCACGATGGTCCCCACACCTTTGATGGCCGCCTTGTTGCCATCAGCCACCAGGATCTCGCCATCATTGCCTTCGACCAAGCTTGCAAACTTGAACTTGTCGTGGCAGATTGATGTGTTGCGTCCCGCTGTCAACGGCCCACATTCCTGGTCCATTCTTGTTCGTCGAAACTCCGCATTCGAACGAAACTGCAAACGCCACTCGATCGTAGCTGTTGCCTTCATCATAATGTCGCCACTGGACATTGTTTGCCCCGCGTCCACGACCATTGCCGCCGCGTTGGGCTCCTCGACTTTCATCCTTTTGCTTCGTCCAGCAACGCTCTGCCGTGTGCCCCACCTTGCCGCAGTATGTGCATTGGTAGGGCTTGCGCTCGGTACTGAATGCCTTTGTCGCATCTTCAGTCTTCACCGTTGTCGTTGCCGTTGTCATCTTCTCGCCTTGTCGCTTGATGTGCTCGTTAGTCAGCACCTTGACCACATCTTGCGTGCGCAGCTCTGCATTGCTCATCTCCAAGTTCAGAACCACGTTCTCGAAACTCTTCGGGAGACCGAGCAGCAAGCAGATCGCAATGTCTTCGTCTTCCATCTTGGCACCGATGCTGCTGAGCTTGGCGCCGATGTTCAAGACTTCGTTGCAATGGTGCAAGACGTTGGCACCTTCCGCCATCTTGATGCTGAACAGCTGGCGCTTGAGGTAGATTCGTCCCGCCTTCTGCGACCCACCATAGAGCATCTTCAACCGCGACCACGCTGTCCATGCTTCTTCACAGTTGTCGACCACATGGTGGTAGTCGGCGTCCATGTGGAGCAACATCAACCCGAACGCGATGTTGCTCGCCTTGACGTACTCGTCGGAAGCTCGCGTGTCGGTGAAGGTTGGAGACGTTTCGCTGTTCACGACGTACCAGACTGACTTCGTCAGAAACACGCCGCGCATGTAGCGACACCAGGTTGAGTAGTTGTCCCCATCGAACTTATCGATGGAGACACTGGCCGAGGTGTTGTTGGACGACATGGCGCTTGGGCTCATAACCTGTTGTAACTTGAGCGCGAGGCGAAGAGAAAACGGAAGCGGAGAGACCGGAGAGAACGAAGCAGAGAACACTTGCTCACTTGAGGGAGGATTCGAAAGTGATTGATTTATAGGTCTTAACTTCTGCCTACCCTAGACTGCATCCAATCACATGGTGCATCTAATCAACCTGATTTACACGCGTCCAATCATCCTACGCGTCTAATCATCTCTGAGGTAATTACCGATGTAAAAACTATCTCGTAAGAACTACGCGCTAGGTTCGGATTGTACCGGTAACCCTCAATAATCTTGAACACCCATTTTGTGCCAATGGCGCGTTGTCCGTTGGGCAGCTTGGCTGCACGAAACACACCGCGAAGTCGCATTGACTCGAGCTCTGCATGAATTGCTTTTCTCCAGTGCACTTGGTCAGGGCCGCTTACTGCTGCTTCAAATGTTGAGGGCTCTGATAAGTCCACTGCTGCTTCAACGGCATTTGCACTCGCACGCCAAAACACAGGCGGTGTTGAATCACCAGAATCCTTCGTTTCTTCGTCTTCTTCTTGGCGTGACGAGTTGTTTTCCGGCGCGCTTGACTCTTCTAGTCCTGGTCGTTGACGCACTGCACGCGGTCGTGGAGCTGCTGTATCTTCATCATTGAGTCGGTTCTTGCGCTTGCCTGTTTGCTTGTATTGAGGGTTACCGGTACAATCCGAACCTAGCGCGTAGTTCTTACGAGATAGTTTTTACATCGGTAATTACCTCAGAGATGATTAGACGCGTAGGATGATTGGACGCGTGTAAATCAGGTTGATTAGATGCACCATGTGATTGGATGCAGTCTAGGGTAGGCAGAAGTTAAGACCTATAAATCAATCACTTTCGAATCCTCCCTCAAGTGAGCAAGTGTTCTCTGCTTCGTTCTCTCCGGTCTCTCCGCTTCGTTTTCTCTTCGCCTCGCGCTCAAGTTACAACAGGTTATGAGCCCAAGCGTATGTCGTCCAACAACACCTCGGCCAGTGTCTCCATCGATAAGTTCGATGGGGACAACTACTCAACCTGGTGTCGCTACATGCGCGGCGTGTTTCTGACGAAGTCAGTCTGGTACGTCGTGAACCGCGAAACGTCTCCAACCTTCACCGACACGCGAGCTTCCGACGAGTACGTCAAGGCGAGCAACATCGCGTTCGGGTTGATGTTGCTCCACATGGACGCCGACTACCACCATGTGGTCGACAACTGTGAAGAAGCATGGACAGCGTGGTCGCGGTTGAAGATGCTCTATGGTGGGTCGCAGAAGGCGGGACGAATCTACCTCAAGCGCCAGCTGTTCAGCATCAAGATGGCGGAAGGTGCCAACGTCTTGCACCATTGCAACGAAGTCTTGAACATCGGCGCCAAGCTCAGCAGCATCGGTGCCAAGATGGAAGACGAAGACATTGCGATCTGCTTACTGCGCAGTCTGCCCAATAGTTTCGAGAACGTGGTTCTCAACTTGGAGATGAGCAATGCAGAGCTGCGCACGCAAGATGTGGTCAAGGTGCTGACTAACGAGCACATCAAGCGACAAGGCGAGAAGATGACAACGGCAACGACAACGGTGAAGACTGAAGATGCGACAAAGGCATTCAGTACCGAGCGCAAGCCCTACCAATGCACATACTGCGGCAAGGTGGGGCACACGGCAGAGCGTTGCTGGACGAAGCAAAAGGATGAAAGTCGAGGAGCCCAACGCGGCGGCAATGGTCGTCGACGCGGGGCAAACAATGTCCACTGGCGACATTATGATGAAGGCAACAGCTACGATCGAGTGGCGTTTGCAGTTTCGTTCGAATGCGGAGTTTCGACGAACAAGAATGGACCAGGAATGTGGGCCGTTGACAGCGGGGCAACACATCACATCTGCCACGACAAGTTCAAGTTTGCAAGCTTGGTCGAAGGTAATGATGGCGAGATCCTGGTGGCTGATGGCAACAAGGCGGCCATCAAAGGTGTGGGGACCATCGTGGAAAAGGTGATTCTGCCAAACGGGGAAGAGCGCGAGATCGAGATCAAGAACGCGCTCTATGTGCCCAGCATGAGCAAAAATCTGCTCTCGGTGCCGCAGATTAACAAGCACGGCAACTTCCAAGTGGTGTTTGACGGGGATACGATGTACGTCGCTCGCAAGGATTCCAATCAAGTGGTGGCAGCTGCGGATCTTGTAGACGGACTCTACTGGCTTCGCACGACGCAGCGATCGGCCAATGCGACATCACTCAGCAACACTGTTGATCTACATGCGCAAATGGGCCATGCTCCAGTCGACGTGCTTCGCAGGATGGTGACAAGCCACATGATCAAGGACGCTCACATCCCTTCCAAGCCGAATGGATCAAGTGTGTGTCGAGGATGCCAAGAAGGGAAGATGGTCCAAAAACCATTCCCGAGCAACCGTGACAAGCGCACCTACAACACCTTCGAAATGCTCCACTTCGACATCTGCGGACCCATGGAAGAAAAATCTCTGGGTGGCAGCAAGTATCTGCTGCTGATCGTGGATGAAGCCAGCGGATGCATGAAGGGTTTTTGTCTGCATTCCAAGTAAGAGAGCGAAGAGTGCATCAAGAAGTACATCACGATGATACAGACGCAGTTCAACAAGAAGGTCAAATTTTTGCGACACGATGGAGCCCGCGAGTTTGCGACGAACTCGCTTCAAGATTTCTACGAAGTCGAAGGCATCGAGCAACAAACCACGGTGCCATACGCACATCAAGCCAATGGAACTGCTGAACGCGCGATTCGAACTATCGTCACCATCGGTCGTAGCATGCTCCATCATGCCAAGTTGGACAAGTGCTTCTGGGCTGAAGCGGCAATGACGGCCGTCTATGTGAAGAACCGTTTGCCGTCACCCAAGATTCCACACAAGACACCGTTCGAGATTGTCTACAATTCTAAGCCAAGTGTCAAGCACATGCGCGTTTTTGGGTGCCAAGCATACATCTTAACCCCGAAGGAGAAACGACTCAAGTGGGATCCCAAGGCTGTTGTAACTTGAGCGCGAGGCGAAGAGAAAACGAAGCGGAGAGACCGGAGAGAACGAAGCAGAGAACACTTGCTCACTTGAGGGAGGATTCGAAAGTGATTGATTTATAGGTCTTAACTTCTGCCTACCCTAGACTGCATCCAATCACATGGTGCATCTAATCAACCTGATTTACACGCGTCCAATCATCCTACGCGTCTAATCATCTCTGAGGTAATTACCGATGTAAAAACTATCTCGTAAGAACTACGCGCTAGGTTCGGATTGTACCGGTAACCCTCAATACGCCCCCTCAATCCGAACACGCACGGATGCCAAGCGCCGCCGTCAAGTCCTTGTGACGCGGTCCGTGAAGTCCCTTCGTCATGATGTCCGCCAACATCAACGTCGTCTCGCAGTATTCAAGCTTCACTTCGCCGCGCTTGACTTCATCACGGATGTGATGGTACTTGATGTCGATGTGTTTAGCGCGGCCGTGGTTGACCGGATTCTTCGTCATCTTGATGCACGACTGGTTGTCTTCACGGATGATGAGCTCGGGTCCTTCTTCGTTTGCAGCCGCCATGATCTCGCACAGCAAGCGATTGATCCACTTGCCTTCTTGGATCGCCAGGATAAGCGCGATGTACTCCGCTTCGCTTGTAGACAGTGACACACTTGGCTGTTTCTTGCTGCCCCAACTCACCGGAGCACCCAATAGCATGAAGACGTAGCCGGACGTCGATTTGCGATCAGCAAGGTCACCGGCCCAGTCTGCATCTGAATAGCCACGAAAGTCGATCTTCGCACTTGGCTTGTAGCAGATTCCATGCATCTTGGTGCCTTGTAGGTAGCGGAAGATGCGCTTGACTGCAACCCAGTGTTCTTCTTGGGGTTTCTCCATGAACCGTGACACAAAGCTTACAGCATAGGCGATGTCCGGTCGCGTTGCAGTCGTCAGATGCATCAAAGCACCCACTGCTTCACGGAATGGGACATCCACCTTGCTTGCAGAGTTGCTCGGAACCAGTCGAGAGCTGACGTCCACCGGACTTGCCACAGCCTTGCACTCATCCATGCCAAAGCGCTTGAGGACATCGTCGACATAACGGCGCTGACACATAGTCACGCTGCCATCTTCACCGTCCAATAACTCGATCCCAAGAACAAAGGCACACTTGCCGCTGTCCGTCATCTCGAAGCGTGTCTTGAGGTCGTTCTTGGTGCGCGCAATCATCTCGAGCGAGCTTCCAGTCACCAAGACATCGTCCACGTAGACCAGCACAAAAACACAATGGCCTTCCGAAGTCATGATGTAGAGACATGGATCGAATCCCGACGCTTGAAAACCAATCGAGCGTATGAACTCGTCGAAGGTCTCGTTCCAAACACGCGAGGCTTGCTTGAGACCGTAGATCGCCTTGATCAGCTCGAGACAGTCGAAATCACCTTCCATCTTGACGCCTTCCGGAACAGCGCAGAACACCTTCTCCTTCATCACTCCATACAGGAACGCAGTCACCACATCGAGCTGGTCGAGGGGCCATCCAAAGTGCGTGGTAATGGCGATGACCATTCGCAGCGTCACATACTTGACCACGGGCGAGAACGTCTCCGTGTAGTCGATGCCATACTTTTGGCAAAAACCCTTGGCCACAAGTCGTGCCTTGTATTTCTCGATCGACCCATCCGCCTTGCGCTTGATCTTGAAGACCCACTTTGTGCCAATGGCGCTTTGTCCGTTGGGTAACTTGGCCGCACGAAAGACACCGCGAAGCTTCATCGAATCGAGCTCCGCATCAATTGCCTTGCGCCAGTGTACTTGGTCCGGGCCAGACACTGCTTCTTCAAATGTCGACGGCTCCGAAAAATCGACCGCTGCTTCGACGGCGTTTGCACTCGCATGCCAAAACGCGGAGGAAGTCGGTGTGTCATGTTGTTCCTCCGACTTCCTTTCTTCATCTTCGTTGGCTCGACGTGAAGAGATGTCATCCGGCGCACTTGACTCTTCCAATCCGGGTCGTTGGCGCACTGCTCGGGGCATGCTTGCGTCGTCATTGTCGTGACTGGGTTGGGCCTTGCGCTTTCCTGTTTGTTTGAAGTGTCTCGGACGCGGTTCTTCATCATCAAGATCGATCGATTCGAAGTCCAGGCCATCAACATCGTCATCGGAAATCAGCATCGACATTCCAAAGGCCGACTCATCGAAGTTGACATCGCGACTTATCATCACCTGCCCCGCTTCGATGTCATAAACTCGATACGCCTTGGACACTTCTTCGTAGCCCAAAAACAATCCAGCCCGGGCCTTGGGATCCCACTTGAGTCGTTTCTCCTTCGGGGTTAAGATGTATGCTTGGCACCCAAAAACGCGCATGTGCTTGACACTTGGCTTAGAATTGTAGACAATCTCGAACGGTGTCTTGTGTGGAATCTTGGGTGACGGCAAACGGTTCTTCACATAGACGGCCGTCATTGCCGCTTCAGCCCAGAAGCACTTGTCCAACTTGGCATGATGGAGCATGCTACGACCGATGGTGACGATAGTTCGAATCGCGCGTTCAGCAGTTCCATTGGCTTGATGTGCGTATGGCACCGTGGTTTGTTGCTCGATGCCTTCGACTTCGTAGAAATCTTGAAGCGAGTTCGTCGCAAACTCGCGGGCTCCATCGTGTCGCAAAAATTTGACCTTCTTGTTGAACTGCGTCTGTATCATCGTGATGTACTTCTTGATGCACTCTTCGCTCTCTGACTTGGAATGCAGACAAAAACCCTTCATGCATCCGCTGGCTTCATCCACGATCAGCAGCAGATACTTGCTGCCACCCAGAGATTTTTCTTCCATGGGTCCGCAGATGTCAAAGTGGAGCATCTCGAAGGTGTTGTAGGTGCGCTTGTCACGGTTGCTCGGGAATGGTTTTTGGACCATCTTCCCTTCTTGGCATCCTCGACACACACTTGATCCATTCGGCTTGGAAGGGATGTGAGCGTCCTTGATCATGTGGCTTGTCACCATCCTGCGAAGTACGTCGACTGGAGCATGGCCCATTCGCGCATGTAGATCAACAGTGTTGCTGAGTGATGTCGCATTGGCCGATCGCTGCGTCGTGCGAAGCCAGTAGAGTCCGTCTACAAGATCCGCAGCTGCCACCACTTGATTGGAATCCTTGCGAGCGACGTACATCGTATCCCCGTCAAACACCACTTGGAAGTTGCCGTGCTTGTTAATCTGCGGCACCGAGAGCAGATTTTTGCTCATGCTGGGCACATAGAGCGCGTTCTTGATCTCGATCTCGCGCTCTTCCCCGTTTGGCAGAATCACCTTTTCCCAAGATGGTCCCCACACCTTTGATGGCCGCCTTGTTGCCATCAGCCACCAGGATCTCGCCATCATTGCCTTCGACCAAGCTTGCAAACTTGAACTTGTCGTGGCAGATGTGATGTGTTGCCCCGCTGTCAACGGCCCACATTCCTGGTCCATTCTTGTTCGTCGAAACTCCGCATTCGAACGAAACTGCAAACGCCACTCGATCGTAGCTGTTGCCTTCATCATAATGTCGCCACTGGACATTGTTTGCCCCGCGTCCACGACCATTGCCGCCGCGTTGGGCTCCTCGACTTTCATCCTTTTGCTTCGTCCAGCAACGCTCTGCCGTGTGCCCCACCTTGCCGCAGTATGTGCATTGGTAGGGCTTGCGCTCGGTACTGAATGCCTTTGTCGCATCTTCAGTCTTCACCGTTGTCGTTGCCGTTGTCATCTTCTCGCCTTGTCGCTTGATGTGCTCGTTAGTCAGCACCTTGACCACATCTTGCGTGCGCAGCTCTGCATTGCTCATCTCCAAGTTCAGAACCACGTTCTCGAAACTCTTCGGGAGACTGAGCAGCAAGCAGATCGCAATGTCTTCGTCTTCCATCTTGGCACCGATGCTGCTGAGCTTGGCGCTGATGTTCAAGACTTCGTTGCAATGGTGCAAGACGTTGGCACCTTCCGCCATCTTGATGCTGAACAGCTGGCGCTTGAGGTAGATGCGTCCCGCCTTCTGCGACCCACCATAGAGCATCTTCAACCGCGACCACGCTGTCCATGCTTCTTCACAGTTGTCGACCACATGGTGGTAGTCGGCGTCCATGTGGAGCAACATCAACCCGAACGCGATGTTGCTCGCCTTGACGTACTCGTCGGAAGCTCGCGTGTCGGTGAAGGTTGGAGACGTTTCGCGGTTCACGACGTACCAGACTGACTTCGTCAGAAACACGCCGCGCATGTAGCGACACCAGGTTGAGTAGTTGTCCCCATCGAACTTATCGATGGAGACACTGGCCGAGGTGTTGTTGGACGACATACGCTTGGGCTCATAACCTGTTGTAACTTGAGCGCGAGGCGAAGAGAAAACGAAGCGGAGAGACCGGAGAGAACGAAGCAGAGAACACTTGCTCACTTGAGGGAGGATTCGAAAGTGATTGATTTATAGGTCTTAACTTCTGCCTACCCTAGACTGCATCCAATCACATGGTGCATCTAATCAACCTGATTTACACGCGTCCAATCATCCTACGCGTCTAATCATCTCTGAGGTAATTACCGATGTAAAAACTATCTCGTAAGAACTACGCGCTAGGTTCGGATTGTACCGGTAACCCTCAATAAAGGCCCGGGCTGGATTGTGTTTGGGCTACGAAGAAGTGTCCAAGGCGTATCGAGTTTATGACATCGAAGCGGGGCATGTGATGATAAGTCGCGATGTCAACTTCGATGAGTCGGCCTTTGGAATGTCGATGCTGATTTCCGATGACGATGTTGATGGCCTGGACTTCGAATCGATCGATCTTGATGATGAAGAACCGCGTCCGAGACACTTCAAACAAACAGGAAAGCGCAAGGCCCAACCCAGTCACGACAATGACGACGCAAGCATGCCCCGAGCAGTGCGCCAACGACCCGGATTGGAAGAGTCAAGTGCGCCGGATGACATCTCTTCACGTCGAGCCAACGAAGATGAAGAAAGGAAGTCGGAGGAACAACATGACACACCGACTTCCTCCGCGTTTTGGCATGCGAGTGCAAACGCCGTCGAAGCAGCGGTCGATTTTTCGGAGCCGTCGACATTTGAAGAAGCAGTGTCTGGCCCGGACCAAGTACACTGGCGCAAGGCAATTGATGCGGAGCTCGATTCGATGAAGCTTCGCGGTGTCTTTCGTGCGGCCAAGTTACCCAACGGACAAAGCGCCATTGGCACAAAGTGGGTCTTCAAGATCAAGCGCAAGGCGGATGGGTCGATCGAGAAATACAAGGCACGACTTGTGGCCAAGGGTTTTCGCCAAAAGTATGGCATCGACTACACGGAGACGTTCTCGCCCGTGGTCAAGTATGTGACGCTGCGAATGGTCATCGCCATTACCAAGCACTTTGGATGGCCCCTCGACCAGCTCGATGTGGTGACTGCGTTCCTGTATGGAGTGATGAAGGAGAAGGTGTTCTGCGCTGTTCCGGAAGGCGTCAAGATGGAAGGTGATTTTGACTGTCTCGAGCTGATCAAGGCGATCTACGGTCTCAAGCAAGCCTCGCGTGTTTGGAACGAGACCTTCGACGAGTTCATACGCTCGATTGGTTTTCAAGCGTCGGGATTCGATCCATGTCTCTACATCATGACTTCGGAAGGCCATTGTGTTTTTGTGCTGGTCTACGTGGACGATGTCTTGGTGACTGGAAGCTCGCTCGAGATGATTGCGCGCACCAAGAACGACCTGAAGACACGCTTCGAGATGACTGACAGCGGCAAGTGTGCCTTTGTTCTTGGGATCGAGCTTTTGGACGATGAAGATGGCAGCGTGACTATGTGTCAGCGCCGTTATGTCGATGATATCCTCAAGCGCTTTGGAATGGATGAGTGCAAGGCTGTGGCAAGTCCGGTGGACGTCAGCTCTCGACTGGTTCCAAGCAACTCTGCAAGCAAGGTGGATGTCCCATTCCGTGAAGCAGTGGGTGCTTTGATGCATCTGACGACTGCAACGCGACCGGACATCGCCTATGCTGTAAGCTTTGTGTCACGGTTCATGGAGAAACCCCAAGAAGAACACTGGGTTGCAGTCAAGCGCATCTTCCGCTACCTACAAGGCACCAAGATGCATGGAATCTGCTACAAGCCAAGTGCGAAGATCGACTTTCGTGGCTATTCAGATGCAGACTGGGCCGGTGACCTTGCTGATCGCAAATCGACGTCCGGCTACGTCTTCATGCTATTGGGTGCTCCGGTGAGTTGGGGCAGCAAGAAACAGCCAAGTGTGTCACTGTCTACAAGCGAAGCGGAGTACATCGCGCTCAGCCTGGCGATCCAAGAAGGCAAGTGGATCAATCGCTTGCTGTGCGAGATCATGGCGGCTGCAAACGAGGAAGGACCCGAGCTCGTCATCCGTGAAGACAACCAGTCGTGCATCAAGATGACGAAGAATCCGGTCAACCACGGCCGTGCTAAACACATCGACATCAAGTACCATCACATCCGTGATGAAGTCAAGCGCGGCGAAGTGAAGCTTGAATACTGCGAGACGACGTTGATGTTGGCGGACATCATGACGAAGGGACTTCACGGACCGCGTCACAAGGACTTGACGGCGGCGCTTGGCATCCGTGCGTGTTCGGATTGAGGGGGCGTATTGAGGGTTACCGGTACAATCCGAACCTAGCGCGTAGTTCTTACGAGATAGTTTTTACATCGGTAATTACCTCAGAGATGATTAGACGCGTAGGATGATTGGACGCGTGTAAATCAGGTTGATTAGATGCACCATGTGATTGGATGCAGTCTAGGGTAGGCAGAAGTTAAGACCTATAAATCAATCACTTTCGAATCCTCCCTCAAGTCAGCAAGTGTTCTCTGCTTCGGTCTCTCCGGTCTCTCCGCTTCGTTTTCTCTTCGCCTCGCGCTCAAGTTACAACACATCAAGATCCAGCAATTCGAAGTCCAGGTCATCGACATCTTCATCAGTGATCGGCAGTTGAAGTCCAAAGGTGGACTCGTCGAAGTTGACATCGCGGCTGATAACCACCTGCCCCGCCTCGATGTCATAAACACGATATGCCTTCGAAACTTCTTCGTAGCCCACGAATATGCCAGCGCGAGCCTTTGGATCCCACTTGAGTCGATTCTCTTTAGGCGTCAGTATGTACGTCTGACATCCGAATGTTCGCATGTGCTTGACGCTTGGTTTCAAGTTGTAGACGATCTCAAACGGGGTCTTGTGCACGACTTTAGGTGACGGCAGTCGATTCTTGACGTAGATGGCCGTCATCGCTGCTTCGGCCCAGAAACACTTGTCCAGTTTGGCATGATGAAGCATGCTGCGGCCGATCGTGACAATAGTCCTAATGGCACGCTCTGCTGTTCCGTTTGTTTGATGTGCATACGGCACCGTTGTCTGCTGTTCAATGCCTTCGTCTTCGTAGAACAGCTGAAGCGAGTTGGTTGCAAACTCGCGAGCTCCGTCGTGTCGCACGAACTTGACCTTCTTACAGAATTGCGTCTGTACCATGGTGATATATTTCCGGATGTAGTCTTCACTCTCGGATTTCACTCGTAGACAAAAGCCCTTCATGCATCCACTGGCTTCGTCGATGATCAGCAGCAAATATTTGCTGCCACCGAGCGAATCCTTTTCCATGGGCCCGCAGATGTCCAGATGAAGCAACTCGAACGTGTCGTAACTTCGCTTGTCACGATTGCTTGGGAATGGGTTTTGGACCATTTTCCCTTGCTGACATTCTCGACATGTACCTGATCCACTTGACTTGAGAGGCACTTCCACATCTTTGATCATGTTGTTGGAGACCATCTTGCGAAGCACGTCGACTGTAGCATGACCCATTCTCGCATGTAGATCGGCACAACTGGTTCCACTTGTTGTCACATTCGCTGATCGTTGAGTCGTCCGAAGCCAGTAGAGTCCATCCACGAGATCCGCTGTCGCCACCACTTGCTGTGAGTTCTTGAGAGTCACATACATCTTGGACCCGTCAAACACGACTTGAAACTTGCCATGGCTATTAATCTGTGGTACCGAGAGCAGGTTTGTTGATTGGTGAAAAGCTTGACGACCGAAACTGGGAGTGTATTGTGGGTTGACGGTTGAGGTACTGCTATCAGCTACCATGGGAACCGTAAACCTGTCCAAGTCGATCCCGCGTAATTACGGTGAGTTTTTACCAATGATTAGACGCATAGGATGATTGGATGACCTACATGATTTATGATTCATGATTTATATGTGGACAACATATAAATCAGTGCAGAGATAAATCAGGTAGCTTTAACGAAACCCACAAATAAATTCACTTCCAAATATTCCTTCTTCAGCACAAGTCGTCTACACTTCGCAGTGCAGACTTCTTCAGCGTTCTTCAAGCTTCGTTCTCTCGTCCAGTGCTCTTCAGAATTTAACAGGTTATGAGCCCAAGCACGATGTCCTCTGCTCAAGATTCCGCCACCAAGATCTCTATCGATAGATTCGATGGAGACAACTACGCGACGTGGAGCTGCTACATGCGTGGCGTGTTTCTGACCAAGTCGACGTGGCACTTGGTCAACCGGGAGACCACCCCCACCTTCGCCGATCCTCGCGCCAGTGATGAGTACGTCAAGACGAACAACATTGCGTTCGGCTTGATGTTACTTCACATGAGCGCGGACTATCATCACGTGGTTGATGACTGCGACGAGGCATGGGTTGCGTGGACACGGTTGAAGACTCTCTACGGCGGATCGCAGAAGGCGGGACGGATCTTCTTGAAGCGGCAGCTGTTCAGCATGGAGATGGCGGAAGGCGGCAATGTGATGCATCATTGCAATGAAGTTCTCAACATCAGCGCCAAGCTCAGCAGCATCGGCGCCAAGATGGAGGATGAGGACGTGGCGATCTGCTTGTTGTGCAGCCTCCCCAAGAGCTACGAGAACGTCGTGCTGAACTTGGAGATGAGCAGCGCAGAACTGCGGACGCAAGACGTCGTGAAAGTGCTGACGAATGAGCACATCAAGAGACAAGGGAAAAAGACGACATCGGTGAAAACTGAAGAAGCGACCAAGGCCTTCAGTACCGAGCGTGAGGTTCGTCAGTGTACGTTCTGCGGAAAATTGGGGCACACGGTGGAAAAGTGCTGGACCAAGCAGAAGGAAGACAATTGGGGAGCTCGACGCGGCGGCAATGCACGTGGACGCGGAGCGAATCAAGTTCAGTGGCAAGGCTACAACGGCAACAGCAACTGTGACTATGATCGAGTGGCGTTTGCTGTTTCGCTGGAATGCGGACTTTCAACGACCAAGAGCATGTCTGGAATGTGGGCGATTAATAGCGGTGCAACACATCACATCTGCTATGACAAGTCCAAGTTCGAATTTCTGGACGAGCGCAATGAAGGCGAAGTGTTGGTTGCAGATGGGAACAAGGCTGCGATCAACGGTGTCGGGACAATCATCGAAAAGGTGACCCTGTCCAACGGTGAAGAGCGCGAAGTCGAGATCAAGAACGCGCTTTACGTCCCAAGCATGAACAAAAACTTGCTTTCGATACCACAAATCAACAAAAGCGGCAAGTTTCAAGTGGTGTTTGATGGTGACGAGATGAAGATTTCGCACAAAGGCTCCAAGCAAGTAATAGTGATGGCCGATCTTGTGGATGGCCTCTACTGGCTTCGTACATCCCAACGATCGGTGAATGCGGCTTCAGGACCAAGAGTCGAAAACCTTCATGCGCGTATGGGCCACGCACCGATTGATGTCTTGTGCAGAATGGTCTCCAAGGGCATGATCAAGGATGCCAAGAACCCAGCAAAATTGAGCGGATCAAGCGTGTGTCAAGGTTGTCTAGAAGGAAAAATGGTTCAACGACCGTTCCCGAGCAATACAAACAAGCGCCACTACGATCCGTTTGAGCTTCTACACATCGACACTTGTGGTCCAATGGAAGTCGACTCGCTAGGTGGAAGCAAGTACTTGCTACTGATCGTCGATGAAGGTAGCGGATGTATGAAGGGTGTCAGTCTGCGCGCCAAGTCCGACAGCGAAGAGTGCATCAAGAAGTACATCATGGAAGTACAGACGCAGTTTGACTACAAGGTCAAGTTCGTTCGCCACGATGGTGCACGCGAATCTGTGGCAAATTCGCTCAAGGCATTTTACGATGATCAAGGAATCGAGCAGCAAGTTACCGTTCCATATGCGCATCAGACCAACGGCACGGCGGAACGGGCAATTCGGACCATTATGACGATCGGGCGCAGCATGCTTCACTACGCCGAGCTGGACAAGTGTTTTTGGGCTGAAGCAGCAATGACGGCAATCTACATCAAGAATCGCCTACCATCGCCCAAGTGCCAAGATCAAACCCCGTTCGAGATCGTCAACGGATTTCGACCAAGTGTGAAGCACATGCGGGTTTTCGGCTGCCGAACGTTTGTGCTGACCCCTGAGGAAAAGAGATCGAAATGGGATCCAAAGGATCGTAAAGGACGATTCATGGGGTACGAAGAAGTGTCGAAGGCATATCGCGTTTACGACATTGAAGCGGACCAAGTGGTGATATCTCGCGATGTCACATTCGACGAATCAACGCTTGGTTTCTCGCCGAGGCTACCACAAGAAATTGTTGATGACACTGCGCTGGATATCGAATCGATGAACATCAGCGATGAGCCTCACCCCATGCAGTTCAAGCAAACTGGAAAACGCAAAAGCCGTTCAAACAGTCAAGAACAAGTTCTACAACGGACACTTCTTGAGCGTCGTGGAACCGGGTTAGAAGAAGCAAGTGCCCCGGATGACTCTGAATCGCACCAAGCGAAGCGACGATCAAGCGCTCGAGACAATCTGGACGAAGAGCAAAAGGGCAGTGACGAAGATAACGAGGATGCTACACCTCAAGTCTTTTGGCGAGCGAGTGTCAACGCAGTCGAAGGTACTGACTTGTCTGAGCCGACAACGTTTGGAGATGCTGTTGGTGGACCAGATCAAGTGCATTGGCGTAAGGCAATCTGTGCCGAGTTGGACTCGATGAAACTTCGTGGCGTGTTTCGAGCGACCAAACTGCCGTCTGGACAGCATACCATTGGCACCAAGTGGGTATTCAAGATCAAACGGAAAGCTGATGGATCCATCGAGAAATACAAGGCGCGCCTCGTGGCAAAAGGGTTCAAGCAGAAATATGGCATCGACTACACGGAAACGTTTTCGCCGGTAGTCAAGTACGTGACGCTGCGCATGGTGGTTGCAATCACGAAGTACTTTGGCTGGACACTGGACCAACTGAACGTGGTGACAGCTTTCCTTTACGGACAAATGAAGGAAAAGTTATTCTGCGCGATCCCAGAAGGAGTCGAAGTTGATGAAGACTTTGACTGCTTTGAACTGGTCAAGGCGATCTACGGACTAAAACAAGCATCGCGCGTATGGAACGAGACTTTCTATGAGTTCGTCTGCTCCATTGGATTTCAAGTATCCGATTTTGACCCGTGTCTTTATCTCAAGATTACAAGTGGCGAGTGCGTGCTTTTGCTGGTATACGTCGATGATGTGTTGGTGACTGGCAGCTCGACCGAACTGATTATGCGCACCAAGAGTGACTTAAAGGCGCGTTTCGAAATGACCGACAGTGGGAAGTGCGCATTCGTGTTGGGCATCGAGCTGGTGGACAACGACAACGGTAGCGTGACGATGTGCCAGCGACGCTACGTGGAAGATGTTCTCAAGCGTTTTGGCATGAGCGACTGCAAAGCCGTCACCAGCCCAACAGACATCAGTTCTCGACTCATACCAAGTACCGCAGCAACTAAAATCGACGCCCCGTTTCGTGAAGCAGTAGGCGCTTTAATGCACTTGATGACCGCGACACGACCGGACATTGCCTTTGCTGTGAGTTACGTTTCGCGCTTCATGGAGAACCCCCAAGTCGAGCATTGGATGGCGGTCGAGCGCATTTTGCGATACTTACAAGGGACTAAGTCGCACGGTATTTGTTTCAAGCCTGATGACAAGATAGACTTCTGTGGCTACTCGGATGCAGACTGGGTCGGCGACCATGCAGACCGCAAGTCGACTTCAGGATATGCGTTTATCCTAATGGGTGATCCGGTGAGCTGGGGAAGCAAAAAGCAGTCAAGTGTGTCGCTGTCAACAAGTGAAGCTGAGTACATTGCACTAAGTCTGGCGATTCAAGAAGGCAAGTGGGTGCATCACCTGCTATGCGAGATTTTGGCGGCCGCAAACGAACCAGGACCGGACCTCGTCATCCGTGAAGACAACCAGTCGTGCATCAAGATGACGAAGAATCCGGTGAATCATGGCCGCGCCAAGCACATCGACATCAAGTACCATCACATTCGTGATGAAGTCAAGCGTGGTGATGTCAAGTTGGAGTACTGTGAGACTACGATCATGTTGGCGGACATCATGACGAAGGGACTGCCAGGACCGCGTCACAAGGACTTGACGGCAGCGCTCGGCATACACGCGTGTTCGCATTGAGGGGGCGTATTGTGGGTTGACGGTTGAGGTACTGCTATCAGCTACCATGGGAACCGTAAACCTGTCCAAGTCGATCCCGCGTAATTACGGTGAGTTTTTACCAATGATTAGACGCATAGGATGATTGGATGACCTACATGATTTATGATTCATGATTTATATGTGGACAACATATAAATCAGTGCAGAGATAAATCAGGTAGCTTTAACGAAACCCACAAATAAATTCACTTCCAAATATTCCTTCTTCAGCACAAGTCGTCTACACTTCGCAGTGCAGACTTCTTCAGCGTTCTTCAAGCTTCGTTCTCTCGTCCAGTGCTCTTCAGACTTTAACAGAGTGATGCTGGGAGTCTACTCGGAAGACCGGAGAAGACACTTGGGGGGTAGATGGAAGATTGGAAAGTGATTGATTATCGGGGCTTACTACTTACTATATGATTTATATGTGGTGCACATTGTTGCATTGTAGATTGGAGCGAGGAAAGCGGAGCGAACGGAGCGGAGAGACCGAAGAGAGTAGAGCAGAAAACACTTGCCCAATAGTTGGAAGATTCGAAAGTGATTGATTATCGGGACTTACTACTTACTACATGATTTATATGTGGTGTACATATAAATCATGTGAAGCGTCTCATCATCCTACGCGTCTAATCAACTATGGTAATTACCGTAAGAACTACGTCGTAAATACTAAGCTGAACAGGCGGTTCGGATTGGACCGGTCACGGTTACCAATACTGGTATAAAAACGATGACCGTCAGCACGCCCCCTCAATCCGAATGCTCACGAATCCCGAGAGCCGTCGTCATCTCCTTGTGGCGTGGTCCATGAAGTCCCTTCGTCATGATGTCCGCTAACATCACCGCAGTTTCACAGTACTTGAGCTTCACTTCACCGCGCTTGACCTCATCACGGATGTGATGGTACTTGATATCAATGTGCTTGGCGCGGCCATGATTCACCGGATTCTTCGTCATCTTGATGCACGACTGGTTGTCTTCACGGATGACGAGGTCCGGCCCTGGTTCGTTTGCGGCCGCCAAAATCTCGCATAGCAGGCGATGCACCCACTTGCCTTCCTGGATGGCCAGACTCAGTGCGATGTATTCCGCTTCACTCGTCAGCAGCGACACACTTGACTGCTTCTTGCTTCCCAAACTCACAGGAGCACCCATCAGCATGAAAGTGTAACCCGAAGTCGACTTGCGATCAGCGTGGTCGCCGGCCCAGTCCGCGTCCGAGTAGCCACGAAAGTCGATCTTGTCGCTTGGCTGGAAACGGAGTCCGTGCGACTTGGTCCCTTGCAAGTAACGAAAGATGCGCTTCACCACCGTCCAATGTTCTTGCTGCGGATTCTCCATGAAGCGCGAGACGTACCGCACAGCATACGCAATGTCCGGGCGCGTCGCAGTCGTCAAGTGCATCAAAGCTCCCACAGCTTCACGAAACGGAACGTCGATCTTGGCCGCTTCGGTGCTTGCGACAAGCCGAGGGCTCAAGTCGACCGGACTTGCTGTGGCCTTGCACTCATCCATGCCGAAGCGCTTGAGGATGTCGTTGACATATCGTCGCTGGCACATCGTCACGCTGCCATCCGATTCGTCCACCAGTTCGATGCCCAGTACAAAAGTACACTTGCCACTGTCGGTCATCTCGAAACGCGTCTTGAGGTCGGCCTTCGTCTGCGCAATCAACTCGAGCGAGCTGCCAGTGACCAACACGTCATCCACGTAGACCAGCACGAGCACACAGTGACCGTCGACAACCTTGATGTAGAGACATGGGTCGAACGCCGACACTTCAAAACCGATAGAGCATACGAACTCGTCGAAAGTCTCGTTCCACACACGTGAAGCTTGCTTGAGACCGTAGATCGCCTTCACCAACTCGAGACAGTCGAAGTCGCCATCCATCTCGACGCCTTCTGGTATCACGCAGTACACCTTCTCCTTCATCACTCCGTAGAGAAAGGCTGTCACCACATCGAGTTGATCCAGTGGCCAGTCGAAATACTTGGTGATCGCGATCACCATACGCAGCGTCACGTACTTGACCACGGGCGAGAACGTCTCTGTGTAGTCGATGCCGTACTTCTGCTTGAAGCCCTTGGCAACGAGACGCGCCTTGTATTTCTCGACCGATCCATCCGCTTTGCGCTTGATCTTGAACACCCACTTGGTGCCGATCGCGCCTTGGCCTCTTGGCAGTTTTGCCGCACGAAAAACTCCACGAAGATGCATCGACTTAAGTTCCGCCTTCACAGCATTTCGCCAGTGAGCTTGATCAGGACCATTGATCGCGTCTTGAAAAGTCACAGGTTCTGCTAGGTCCGTTGCTTCCACTGCGTTTGCACTTGCACGCCAAAATGTTGGAGGCGTCGAGTCGTCATCTTGATCGTAGACGCTTGCATCTTCTTCGTCATCAGACATCGTTTCTGGAGCACTTGATCGTCGTTTCTGGTGACGGTTGGAGACGTGTGCCGGCGCACTTGCTTGTTCCAACCCAGTTCGAGGGAGAGCTGAACGTGACATGCCGGGTCTTGCTTCACTCTTGCGCTTGCCAGTCTGCTTGTAGACGGTTTGACGCACGTCGTCCTCGTTGATCGCCAGGAGGTCGAGGTCCAACTCCGCATCTTCATCATCGTCACTTGGTCGGTCCATCGAAAAGTCAAAAGTCGATTCGTCGAAGGTGATGTCACGACTGATCACCACTTGGCCCGCCTCAATGTCGTACACTCGATAAGCTTTTGACGCTTCTTCGTAGCCCATGAATATCCCTTCACGAGCCTTCGGGTCCCACTTCAATCGCTTCTCCCTTGGTGTCAGGATAAACGCCCGACATCCAAACACGCGCATGTGCTTGACACTTGGTTTCGACTTGTACACGATCTCGAACGGAGTCTTGTGGTCGATCTTGGGTGAAGGCAGGCGGTTCTTGATGTAGATCGCCGTCATTGCCGCTTCAGCCCAGAAACACTTCTCCAGTTTTGCATGATGCAACAGGCTGCGTCCGATCGTGACGATGGTCCTTATCGCGCGTTCTGCGGTGCCGTTGGTCTGGTGTGCATACGGCACCGTGACTTGTTGTTCGATACCATGATCTTCGTAGAAGGTCTTGATGGAGTTGGTCGCAAACTCATGCGCTCCATCGTGCCGAACAAACTTGATCTTCGTGCCGAACTGAGTTTGAATCTTGATGATGTGGTTCTTGATACAGTCTTCACTCTCAGACTTGGACCGCAGACAGAAGCCCTTCATGCAACCGCTAGCTTCGTCAACCACAAGCAGTAAGTATCTGCTGCCGCCGATCGAGACTTGTTCCATTGGCCCGCAGATGTCGAAGTGCAGCAACTCGAACACACCATATTGGCGTTTGTCACGGTTGGTTGGGAATGGTTTTTGGACCATCTTTCCTTGCTGGCAACCGCGACACACACTTGGACCAGTCGAGTTGAGAGGTGCCTTGGCGTCCTTGATCATGCCGGTGGCCACCATCTTGCGCAGAACTTCGAGGGGTGCATGACCCATGCGCGCATGCAAGTCGATAGTCCCATTGCGTGTTGCTGCATTCGCCGATCGTTGAGGAGTCCGCAGCCAGTAAAGTCCATCGACGAGATCCGCTGTTGCCACGACTTGTGTGGAATTCTTGCGCTTCACTTGCATCTTGGACCCATCGAACACGACTTGGAACCTGCCACCCTTGTTGATCTGTGGCACCGAAAGCAGATTCTTGCTCATACTTGGTACGAACAGTGCGTCCTTGATCTCGATGTCGCGTTCGTCACCATTGGGCAGAACCACCCGTTCCATGATGGTTCCCACACCCTTGATCGCAGCCTTGCTGCCATCAGCCACTGATAGTTCGCCTTCCTCTCGCTCATTCAGGCTTGCAAACTTGGCTTTGTCGTTGCAGATGTGATGCGTCGCACCGCTGTCGACTGCCCACATCCCTGGCATATTCTTGCCCGTCGAAAGTCCAGCCTCCAGCGAAACCGCGAACGCAACTCGATCGTAGTTGTCGTCGTTGTTGTTGTTGGTTCGCCACTGAACGTTGTTGGCTCCGCGTCCACGAGCCTTGTTGCCGCCGCGTCGAGCTCCACCTTGATTTTCGTCCTTCTGCTTGGTCCAGCACCGCTCCGCCGTGTGCCCCAATTTTCCGCAGTATGCACACTGGCGAGGTTCACGCTCGGTACTGAACGCCTTCGCCGCGTCTTCAGTCTTCACCGATGTCGTCTTGTCACCTTGCCTCTTGATGTGCTCATTCGTGAGCACTCTCACGACGTCTCGCGATCGTAGTTCCGCGCTGCTCATCTCCAAGTTGAGAACGACGTTCTCGTAGCTCTTGGGGAGGCTGCGCAACAAGCAGATCGCCACGTCCTCGTCCTCCATCTTGGCGCCGATGCTGCTGAGCTTCGCGCTGATGTTGAGGACTTCGTTGCAATGATGCATCACATTGCCGCCTTCCGCCATCTCCATGCTGAACAGCTGGCGCTTCAAGTAGATGCGTCCAGCCTTCTGCGACCCGCCGTACAGCGTCTTCAAACGCGCCCATGCGACCCACGCCTCTTCACAGTCATCAACCACGTGATGATAATCTGCGCTCATGTGCAGCAGCACCAAGCCGAAAGCAATGTTGTTCGTCTTGACGTAGTCGTCACTGGCGCGAGGATCGGCGAAGGTGGGGGTGGTCTCCCGGTTCACCACGTGCCACGCCGACTTGGTCAGGAACACGCCACGCATGTAGCGGCTCCACGTCGCGTAGTTATCGCCGTCGAACTTGTCAATGGAGATCTTGGTGGTGGCATCATGAGCAGAGGACATCATGCTTGGGCTCATAACCTGTTTATTGGTGAAAAACTTGACGACCGAAACTGGGAGTGATGCTGGTAGTCCACTCGGAAGACCGGAGAAGACACTTGGGGGGTAGATGGAAGATTGGAAAGTGATTGATTATCGGGGCTTACTACTTACTACATGATTTATATGTGGTGTACATATAAATCATGTGAAGCGTCTCATCATCCTACGCGTCTAATCAACTATGGTAATTACCGTAAGAACTACGTCGTAAATACTAAGCTGAACAGGCGGTTCGGATTGGACCGGTCACGGTTACCAATACTGGTAGAAACCGATGACCGTCAACATAGTCAACTCCGAATTTCTGTGAGAATCCTTTGGCCACAAGTCTTGCCTTGAAACGTTCAACTTCGCCATCTTGATTCTCCTTTACACGAAAAACCCATCGGCACCCGATGGCCTTGCGACCTTTCGGAAGAGGCACGATTTCCCACGTGTTGTTTCTCTGAAGCGAGTCAAACTCCGAGTCACACGCTTCTTTCCACTTGCCGGAGTCGCTTGATTCCATCGCCGACTTGAATGTAGTCGGCGTTTCCCCCACTGAATCAACGATGTAGGCTGCTTCAAAATCCATTGCAGCCGCTGACACATGCTCAAGCGACGGACCTCTGTACGTTCTTCGCTTGGGACTTGGAATGACGGTAGCTTTCTCAAGTGATTGAGTGCGCGTGTGTCTCTTGATGTTGCTCTTCGAAGACCTGGTGTCTTCGTTGTCATCGTCGCTCGAGTCCATGTCGTCGTCAGTTTTACCTTCTTCTTTTTCTTCGTCCTCGTCTTTGTTGATTGGTGAAAAGCTTGACGACCGAAACTGGGAGTGATGCTGGTAGTCCACTCGGAAGACCGGAGAAGACACTTGGGGGTAGATGGAAGATTGGAAAGTGATTGATTATCGGGGCTTACTACTTACTACATGATTTATATGTGGTGTACATATAAATCATGTGAAGCGTCTCATCATCCTACGCGTCTAATCAACTATGGTAATTACCGTAAGAACTACGTCGTAAATACTAAGCTGAACAGGCGGTTCGGATTGGACCGGTCACGGTTACCAATACTGGTAGAAACCGATGACCGTCAACATAGTCAACTCCGAATTTCTGTGAGAATCCTTTGGCCACAAGTCTTGCCTTGAAACGTTCAACTTCGCCATCTTGATTCTCCTTTACACGAAAAACCCATCGGCACCCGATGGCCTTGCGACCTTTCGGAAGAGGCACGATTTCCCACGTGTTGTTTCTCTGAAGCGAGTCAAACTCCGAGTCACACGCTTCTTTCCACTTGCCGGAGTCGCTTGATTCCATCGCCGACTTGAATGTAGTCGGCGTTTCCCCCACTGAATCAACGATGTAGGCTGCTTCAAAATCCATTGCAGCCGCTGACACATGCTCAAGCGACGGACCTCTGTACGTTCTTCGCTTGGGACTTGGAATGACGGTAGCTTTCTCAAGTGATTGAGTGCGCGTGTGTCTCTTGATGTTGCTCTTCGAAGACCTGGTGTCTTCGTTGTCATCGTCGCTCGAGTCCATGTCGTCGTCAGTTTTACCTTCTTCTTTTTCTTCGTCCTCGTCTTTGTTGATTGGTGAAAAGCTTGACGACCGAAACTGGGAGTGATGCTGGGAGTCCACTCGGAAGACCGGAGAAGACACTTGGGGGGTAGATGGAAGATTGGAAAGTGATTGATTATCGGGGCTTACTACTTACTACATGATTTATATGTGGTGCACATATAAATCATGTGAAGCGTCTCATCATCCTACGCGTCTAATCAACTATGGTAATTACCGTAAGAACTACGTCGTAAATACTAAGCTGAACAGGCGGTTCGGATTGGACCGGTCACGGTTACCAATACTGGTAGAAACCGATGACCGTCAACACGCCCCCTCAATCCGAACTCGCACGAATGCCGAGAGCCGTCGTCAAGTCCTTGTGACGAGGTCCCGAAAGTCCCTTGGTCATGATGTCCGCCATCATCACGGAAGTCTCGCAATACTCGAGCTGCACTTCACCGCGCTTGACCTCATCACGGATGTGATGGTACTTGATGTCGATGTGCTTGGCGCGGCCATGATTCACCGGATTCTTCGTCATCTTGATGCACGACTGGTTGTCTTCACGGATGACGAGGTCCGGTCCTGGTTCGTTTGCGGCCGCCAAAATCTCGCATAGCAGGCGATGCACCCACTTGCCTTCCTGGATGGCCAGACTCAGTGCGATGTATTCCGCTTCACTCGTCGACAGCGACACACTTGACTGCTTCTTGCTTCCCCAACTCACAGGAGCACCCATCAGCAGGAAAGTGTAACCCGAAGTCGACTTGCGATCAGCGTGGTCGCCGGCCCAGTCCGCGTCCGAGTAGCCACGAAAGTCGATCTTGTCGCTTGGCTGGAAGCGGAGTCCGTGCGACTTGGTCCCTTGCAAGTAACGAAAGATGCGCTTCACCGCCGTCCAATGTTCTTGCTGCGGATTCTCCATGAAGCGCGAGACGTACCCCACAGCATACGCAATGTCCGGGCGCGTCGCAGTCGTCAAGTGCATCAAAGCTCCCACAGCTTCACGAAACGGAACGTCGATCTTGGCCGCTTCGGTGCTTGCGACAAGCCGAGTACTCAAGTCGACCGGACTTGCTGTGGCCTTGTACTCATCCATGCCGAAGCGCTTGAGGATGTCGTTGACATACCGTCGCTGGCACATCGTCACGCTGCCATCAGATTCGTCCACCAGTTCGATGCCCAGTACAAAAGTACACTTGCCACTGTCGGTCATCTCGAAACGCGTCTTGAGGTCGGCCTTCGTCTGCGCAATCAACTCGAGCGAGCTGCCGGTGACCAACACGTCATCCACGTAGACCAGCACGAGCACACAGTGACCGTCGACAACCTTGATGTAGAGACATGGGTCGAACGCCGACACTTCGAAACCGATAGAGCATACGAACTCGTCGAAAGTCTCGTTCCACACACGTGAAGCTTGCTTGAGACCGTAGATCGCCTTCACCAACTCGAGACAGTCGAAGTCGCCATCCATCTCGACGCCTTCTGGTATCACACAGTACACCTTCTCCTTCATCACTCCGTAGAGAAAGGCTGTCACCACATCGAGTTGGTCCAGTGGCCAGTCGAAATACTTGGTGATCGCGATCACCATTCGCAGTGTCACGTACTTGACCACGGGCGAGAACGTCTCTGTGTAGTCGATGCCGTACTTCTGCTTGAAGCCCTTGGCAACGAGACGCGCCTTGTATTTCTCGACCGATCCATCCGCTTTGCGCTTGATCTTGAACACCCACTTGGTGCCAATCGCGCCTTGGCCTCTTGGTAGTTTTGCCGCACGGAAAACTCCACGAAGATGCATCGACTTGAGTTCCGCCTTCACAGCATTTCGCCAGTGATCTTGATCAGGACCATTGATCGCGTCTTGAAAAGTCACAGGTTCTGCTAGGTCCGTTGCTTCCACTGCGTTTGCACTTGCACGCCAAAATGTTGGAGGCGTCGAGTCGTCATCTTGATCGTAGACGCTTGCATCTTCTTCGTCATCAGACATCGTTTCTGGAGCACTTGATCGTCGTTTCTGGTGACGGTTGGAGACGTGTGCCGGCGCACTTGCTTGTTCCAACCCAGTTCGAGGGCGAGCTGAACGTGACATGCCGGGTCTTGCTTCACTCTTGCGCTTGCCAGTCTGCTTGTAGACGGTTTGACGCACGTCGTCCTCGTTGATCGCTAGGAGGTCGAGGTCCAACTCCGCATCTTCATCATCGTCACTTGGTCGGTCCAATGAAAAGTCAAAAGTCGATTCGTCGAAGGTGATGTCACGACTGATCACCACTTGGTCCGCCTCAATGTCGTACACTCGATAAGCTTTTGACGCTTCTTCGTAGCCCATGAATATCCCTTCACGAGCCTTCGGGTCCCACTTCAATCGCTTCTCCCTTGGTGTCAGGATAAACGCCCGACATCCAAACACGCGCATGTGCTTGACACTTGGTTTCGACTTGTACACGATCTCGAACGGAGTCTTGTGGTCGATCTTGGGTGAAGGCAGGCGGTTCTTGATGTAGATCGCCGTCATTGCCGCTTCAGCCCAGAAACACTTCTCCAGCTTTGCATGATGCCACAAGCTGCGTCCGATCGTGACGATGGTCCTTATCGCGCGTTCTGCGGTGCCGTTGGTCTGGTGTGCATACGGCACCGTGACTTGTTGTTCGATCCCATGATCTTCGTAGAAGTTCTTGATGGAGTTGGTCGCAAACTCATGCGCTTCATCGTGCCGAACAAACTTGATCTTCGTGCCGAACTGAGTTTGAATCTTGATAATGTGGTTCTTGATACAGACTTCACTCTCAGACTTGGACCGCAGACAGAAGCCCTTCATGCAACCGCTGGCTTCGTCAACCACAAGCAGTAAGTATCTGCTGCCGCCGATCGAGACTTGTTCCATTGGCCCGCAGATGTCGAAGTGCAGCAACTCGAACACACCATATTGGCGTTTGTCATGGTTGGTTGGGAATGGTTTTTGGACCATCTTTCCTTGCTGGCCACCGCGACACACACTTGGACCAGTCGAGTTGAGAGGTGCCTTGGCGTCCTTGATCATGCCAGTGGCCACCATCTTGCGCAGAACTTCGAGGGGTGCATGACCCATGCGCGCATGCAAGTCGATGGTCCCATTGCGTGTTGCTGCATTTGCCGATCGTTGAGGAGTCCGCAGCCAGTAAAGTCCATCGACGAGATCCGCTGTTGCCACGACTTGTGTGGAATTCTTGCGCTTCACTTGCATCTTGGACCCATCGAACACGACTTGGAACCTGCCACCCTTGTTGATCTGTGGCACCGAAAGCAGATTCTTGCTCATACTTGGTACGAACAGTGCGTCCTTGATCTCGATGTCGCGTTCGTCACCATTGGGCAGAACCACCCGTTCCATGATGGTTCCCACACCCTTGATCGCAGCCTTGCTGCCATCAGCCACTGATAGTTCGCCTTCCTCTCGCTCATTCAGGCTTGCAAACTTGGCTTTGTCGTTGCAGATGTGATGCGTCGCACCGCTGTCGACTGCCCACATCCCTGGCATATTCTTGCCCGTCGAAAGTCCAGCCTCCAGCGAAACCGCGAACGCAACTCGATCGTAGTTGTCGTCGTTGTTGTTGTTGGTTCGCCACTGAACGTTGTTGGCTCCGCGTCCACGAGCCTTGTTGCCGCCGCGTCGAGCTCCACCTTGATTTTCGTCCTTCTGCTTGGTCCAGCACCGCTCCGCCGTGTGCCCCAATTTTCCGCAGTATGCACACTGGCGAGGTTCACGCTCGGTACTGAACGCCTTCGCCGCGTCTTCAGTCTTCACCGATGTCGTCTTGTCACCTTGCCTCTTGATGTGCTCATTCGTGAGCACTCTCACGACGTCTCGCGATCGTAGTTCCGCGCTGCTCATCTCCAAGTTGAGAACGACGTTCTCGTAGCTCTTGGGGGGGCTGCGCAACAAGCAGATCGCCACATCCTCGTCCTCCATCTTGGCGCCGATGCTGCTGAGCCTGGCGCTGATGTTGAGAACTTCATTGCAATGATGCATTACATTGCCGCCTTCCGCCATCTCCATGCTGAACAGCTGCCGCTTCAAGAAAATCCGTCCAGCCTTCTGCGACCCGTCGTACAGCGTCTTCAAACGCGCCCACGCGACCCACGCCTCTTCACAGTCATCAACCACGTGATGATAATCTGCGCTCATGTGCAGCAGCATCAAGCCGAAAGCAATGTTGTTCGTCTTGACGTAGTCGTCACTGGCGCGAGGATCGGCGAAGGTGGGGGTGGTCTCCCGGTTCACCACGTGCCACGCCGACTTGGTCAGGAACACGCCACGCATGTAGCGGCTCCACGTCGCGTAGTTGTCGCCGTCGAACTTGTCGATGGAGATCTTGGTGGTGGCATCATGAGCAGAGGACATCGTGCTTGGGCTCATAACCTATTGAGGGGTGAAAAGCTTGACGACCGAAACTGGGAGTGATACTGGGAGTCCACTCGGAAGACCGGAGAAGACACTTGGGGGGTAGATGGAAGATTGGAAAGTGATTGATTATCGGGGCTTACTACTTACTACATGATTTATATGTGGTGCACATATAAATCATGTGAAGCGTCTCATCATCCTACGCGTCTAATCAACTATGGTAATTACCGTAAGAACTACGTCGTAAATACCAAGCTGAACAGGCGGTTCGGATTGGACCGGTCACGGTTACCAATACTGGTAGAAACCGATGACCGTCAACAGTCTTGATCATCAAACTCAACGGCACTTGACTCATCGTTGTAGTTGCGCGGACCTTCATCAAACTTGTCTTCCATGAATGTGGCATCGCGACTGATCTTGATCGCTCCTGTTGACACTTCCTCAAATCGATATGACTTCTGGTGTTCGGCGTATCCCAGGAAACGACAGAGTGATGACTTGGAGTCGAACTTCGCGCGTTTGTCTTGAGGCACTTGAACATACGCGTGGCATCCAAACACTTTAAGGTTGGCCAGAATCGGTTTCTTCATCGTCCACACTTGATATGGAGACTTGTCTTGGTGAATGGCACGTGTTGGACAGCGGTTTCGAAGAAACATCGCCGTCATCACTGCTTCACCCCAGTAGCTCTTTCCCAGTCCAGCGTGTTCCATCATGCAACGCGCACACTCGACCAGCGTGCGATTCATTCTCTCAGCTACTCCGTTTAGCTGAGGAGTATATGGGGGTGTGAACCTTTGTTGTATTCCCCGTTCCGCGCAGAATCGTGCCAGCTTGTCGGACTTGTATTCACCCCCATTGTCGCTTTGAAGGTACTTCACGCGCTTTCCGGTTTGCGTTTGGGCCATCGCAGCGTATTCCATGAACTTCGCCGCAACTTCAGATTTGCTCTTGAGCAGATAGACGACACAGTATCTTGACTTGTCATCGATGAATGTCGCGAAGTACCGTTTTCCACTGAAAGTTGCCATCGACATCGGTCCGCATACGTCGCTGTGAATCACTTCGAGGAGTTTGGAGGTGCGAGCTGTAGTGTTTGATTGGAAGCGCACTCGAGTCTGTTTTCCCAGAGCACAACCTTCACACACGTCCCACTTCTTCACCGAAGATATGTCGATGCCAATTCCAATGTTCTTCGTCACGATGCAATTGAGTCCATCGTGACCTATGTGGCCAAGCCGAAGGTGCCAGAGGTACGACTTGGTGCCCCCTTGACATCCCGACGACTTGGCTGCATTTGCTTGTTCCGGCGCCACTGGAGTCATTTGCAGCTTGAACAGTCCTTTACCTTCACGGGCACCAATTTTCCACTTGGTCCCTTTCGCTTCTCCATAGCACCCATCCTTCGTGAACGTCACTGGGCCGACATCCTTGGTGAAGCGGCCGACCGAGAACAGGTTTCTGGATAACTTTGGGATGTGCCACACGTTTGTGAGCACACCTTTCTTCATCCCTTGGGGTGTCTTCATCGACATGACAATGTCCCCACTGCCGATTGCTTGGACGATTCCATCATCCGCGAGATGGACATCCACAGCGTCAAACCCCTTGTAGTTCCGCATGAACTTCTTGGAGCACGTCATGTGCTGCGTCGCCCCGGAGTCGACCAGCCAGATGTCGCTCGATTTCGCAGATGTCGTTTCACCGATCGAAAAGAGGTAGTCGCCCGAGGCTTCTTCTTGAGCGACGTTTGCACGTTGTGATCGATAGCGGTCGCCGCTGTCTTGAGCACGCTGTGGCCGGTGTCTCTCCGTGTTTTCTTGGATGCGCGAGGGGCACTCCGCCATCCAGTGACCAATCTTTCCGCAATTGTGGCACGGCCAGGGCTTCTTCACTGGTCGCCCTTTGCGCTGATTCTCCCTTGTGATGAACGCTTGACCTTGCGAAGCTTCATCACCTTTACTTCCTTGCTCCTTCCGCTTCATTTCTTCATGAAGCAGTCGAGACGTCACGAGCTCCCAGCTAAGAGTGTCTGAGCGCGACTCCAAAGCTGTGATCAAGAATTGATACGAGTCACTCAGGCTGCCGAGAAGTGTGATCACCAGATCGTCCTCGCAGACTGGAGCCCCCACCGCTTCTAGCTGTTCCGCCAGCGTCTTGAGCTTGTTGATGTGTTCGAGCACATCTTCGCCTTCTTCCATCATTGTCGTGAAGAAGCGACGGCGCAAGAACAGCTTGTTGGCAAGACTCTTCTTCTCAAAGTGGTCTTCCAACCTTGACCATGCGTCGCATGCACCACTTGCCGACCGGACCAACGGTAGCTGGGAATCTTCCATGGCTAGACAGATCACTGCCATCGCCTTTCTTGACTTCCTCTTGTACGTCGCTTGGTCCAACTGAGTCTCGCACTGTTCCGCCTTGATCTCACCGCTGACGACCTCCCATAGGTCCCGTTCCTCCAGCACCATCTGCATCTTGAACTTCCAGGCGTGGAAGTTAGTTCCATCGAACTTGGAGATGCGGAGGGAGGAGGCGTCCATGACAGCTAAGCTTGAATTGTTGGCGGTTTCAGAGTCTGACGAACTTGGGCTCATAACCTGATGAACTTTAGACTTCTTGGTCCGAGTGCAAAACGCAAAGTGAATATATATTTATAATAGGTACTTAGTTTGCAACTTTGAATACTACCTCTAAGCCTATTATTCGCAGTGACGTCATCCAGTGACGTTACCCACTGACGTCATCCAATGACGTCATTTCCTGACTTCGCCCTTACTGGTACATACCGGTACCCACCGGTATAGCGAAGATTGGTCTTCCACTTGCTTCAACACTTGACGCAGCTTGACGAGGTGTCTTCTTCACAGCCGCTGTCTTTTCAACAATCATGACGAAGGGACTGCCAGGACCGCGTCACAAGGACTTGACGGCAGCGCTCGGCATACACGCGTGTTCGCATTGAGGGGGCGTATTGTGGGTTGACGGTTGAGGTACTGCTATCAGCTACCATGGGAACCGTAAACCTGTCCAAGTCGATCCCGCGTAATTACGGTGAGTTTTTACCAATGATTAGACGCATAGGATGATTGGATGACCTACATGATTTATGATTCATGATTTATATGTGGACAACATATAAATCAGTGCAGAGATAAATCAGGTAGCTTTAACAAAACCCACAAATAAATTCACTTCCAAATATTCCTTCTTCAGCACAAGTCGTCTACACTTTGCAGTGCAGACTTCTTCAGCGTTCTTCAAGCTTCGTTCTCTCGTCCAGTGCTCTTCAGACTTTAACAGGTTATGAGCCCAAGCACGATGTCCTCTACTCATGATGCCACCACCAAGATCTCTATCGATAGATTCGATGGAGACAACTACGCGACGTGGAGCCGCTACATGCGTGGCGTGTTCCTGACCAAGTCGACGTGGCACGTGGTCAACCGGGAGACCACCCCCACCTTCGCCGATCCTCGCGCCAGTGATGAGTACGTCAAGACGAACAACATTGCGTTCGGCTTGATGTTACTTCACATGAGCGCGGACTATCATCACGTGGTTGATGACTGCGACGAGGCATGGGTTGCGTGGACACGGTTGAAGACTCTCTACGGCGGATCGCAGAAGGCTGGACGGATTTTCTTGAAGCGGCAGCTGTTCAGCATGGAGATGGCGGAAGGCGGCAATGTAATGCATCATTGCAATGAAGTTCTCAACATCAGCGCCAAGCTCAGCAGCATCGGCGCCAAGATGGAGGATGAGGACGTGGCGATCTGCTTGTTGTGCAGCCTCCCCAAGAGCTACGAGAACGTCGTGCTGAACTTGGAGATGAGCAGCGCGGAACTGCGGACGCAAGACGTCGTGAAAGTGCTGACGAATGAGCACATCAAGAGACAAGGGAAAAAGACGACATCGGTGAAAACTGAAGAAGCGACCAAGGCCTTCAGTACCGAGCGTGAGGTTCGTCAGTGTACGTTCTGCGGAAAATTGGGGCACACGGCGGAGCGGTGCTGGACCAAGCAGAAGGACGAAAATCAAGGTGGAGCTCGACGCGGCGGCAATGCACGTGGACGCGGAGCGAATCAAGTTCAGTGGCAAGGCTACAACGGCGACAGCAACTGTGACTATGATCGAGTGGCGTTTGCTGTTTCGCTGGAATGCGGACTTTCAACGACCAAGAGCATGTCTGGAATGTGGGCGATTGATAGCGGTGCAACACATCACATCTGCTATGACAAGTCCAAGTTCGAATTTCTGGACGAGCGCAATGAAGGCGAAGTGTTGGTTGCAGATGGGAACAAGGCTGCGATCAACGGTGTCGGGACAATCATCGAAAAGGTGACCCTGTCCAACGGTGAAGAGCGCGAAGTCGAGATCAAGAACGCGCTTTACGTCCCAAGCATGAACAAAAACTTGCTTTCGATACCACAAATCAACAAAAGCGGCAAGTTTCAAGTGGTGTTTGATGGTGACGAGATGAAGATTTCGAACAAAGGCTCCAAGCAAGTAATAGCGATGGCCGATCTTGTGGATGGCCTCTACTGGCTTCGTACAACCCAGCGATCCGCGAATGCGGCTTCAGGACTAAGAGTCTAAAACCTTCATGCGCGTATGGGCCACGCACCGGTTATTGTCTTGTGCAGAATGGTCTCCAAGGGCATGATCAAGGATGCCAAGAAGCCAGCAAAATTGAGCGGACCAAGCGTGTGTCAAGGTTGTCTAGAAGGAAAAATGGTTCAACGACCGTTCCCGAGCAATCCAAACAAGCGCCACTACGATCCGTTTGAGCTTCTACACATCGACACTTGTGGTTCAACGTAAGTCGACTCGCTAGGTGCAAGCAAGTACTTACTACTGATCGTCGATGAAGGCAGCGGATGTATGAAGGGTTTCAGTCTGCGCGCCAAGTCCGACAGCGAAGAGTGCATCAAGAAGTACATCATGGCAGTACAGACGCAGTTTGACTACAAGGTCAAGTTCGTTCGACACGATGGTGCACGAGAATTTGCGGCGAATTCGCTCAAGGCATTTTACGATGATCAAGGAATCGAGCAGCAAGTTACCGTTCCGTATGCGCATCAGACCAACGGCACGGCGGAACGGGCAATTCGGACCATTGTGACGATCGGGCGCAGCATGCTTCACTACGCCTGGTTAAAAGGCAGCGGCTGTGAAGAAGACACCTCGTCAAGCTGCGTCAAGTGTTGAAGCAAGTGGAAGACCAAGCTTCGCTATACCGGTGGGTACCGGTATGTACCAGTAAGGGCGAAGTCAGGAAAGAATGGATGACGTCAGTGGATGACGTCAGTGGGTGACGTCACTGGATGACGTCACTGCGAATAATAGGCTTAGAGGTAGTATTCAAAGTTGCAAACTAAGTACCTATTATAAATATATATTCACTTTGCGTTTTGCACTCGGACCAAGAAGTCTAAAGTTCATCAGGTTATGAGCCCAAGTTCGTCAGACTCTGAAACCGCCAACAATTCAAGCTTAGCTGTCATGGACGCCTCCTCCCTCCGCATCTCCAAGTTCGATGGAACTAACTTCCACGCCTGGAAGTTCAAGATGCAGATGGTGCTGGAGGAACGGGACCTATGGGAGGTCGTCAGCGGTGAGATCAAGGCGGAACAGTGCGAGACTCAGTTGGACCAAGCGACGTACAAGAGGAAGTCAAGAAAGGCGATGGCAGTGATCTGTCTAGCCATGGAAGATTCCCAGCTACCGTTGGTCCGGTCGGCAAGTGGTGCATGCGACGCATGGTCAAGGTTGGAAGACCACTTCGAGAAGAAGAGTCTTGCCAACAAGCTGTTCTTGCGCCGTCGCTTCTTCACGACAATGATGGAAGAAGGCGACGATGTGCTCGAACACATCAACAAGCTCAAGACGCTGGCGGAACAGCTAGAAGCGGTGGGGGCTCCAGTCTGCGAGGACGATCTGGTGATCACACTTCTCGGCAGCCTGAGTGACTCGTATCAATTCTTGATCACAGCTTTGGAGTCGCGCTCAGACACTCTTAGCTGGGAGCTCGTGACGTCTCGACTGCTTCATGAAGAAATGAAGCGGAAGGAGCAAGGGAAGTAAAGGTGATGAAGCTTCGCAAGGTCAAGCGTTCATCACAAGGGACAATCAGCGCAAAGGGCGACCAGTGAAGAAGTCCTGGCCGTGCCACAATTGCGGAAAGATTGGTCACTGGATGGCGGAGTGCCCCTCGCGCATCCAAGAAAACACGGAGAGACACCGGCCACAGCGTGCTCAAGACAGCGGCGACCGCTATCGATCACAACGTGCAAACGTCGCTCAAGAAGAAGCCTCGGGCGACTACCTCTTTTCGATCGGTGAAACGACATCTGCAAAATCGAGCGACATCTGGCTGGTCGACTCTGGGGCGACGCAGCACATGACGTGCTCCAAGAAGTTCATGCGGAACTACAAGGGGTTTGACGCTGTGGATGTCCATCTCGCGGATGATGGAATCATCCAAGCAATCGGCAGTGGGGACATTGTCATGTCGATGAAGACACCCCAAGGGATGAAGAAAGGTGTGCTCACAAACGTGTGGCACATCCCAAAGTTATCCAGAAACCTGTTCTCGGTCGGCCGCTTCACCAAGGATGTCGGCCCAGTGACGTTCACGAAGGATGGGTGCTATGGAGAAGCGAAAGGGACCAAGTGGAAAATTGGTGCCCGTGAAGGTAAAGGACTGTTCAAGCTGCAAATGACTCCAGTGGCGCCGGAACAAGCAAATGCAGCCAAGTCGTCGGGATGTCAAGGGGGCACCAAGTCGTACCTCTGGCACCTTCGGCTTGGCCACATAGGTCACGATGGACTCAATTGCATCGTGACGAAGAACATTGGAATTGGCATCGACATATCTTCGGTGAAGAAGTGGGACGTGTGTGAAGGTTGTGCTCTGGGAAAACAGACTCGAGTGCGCTTCCAATCAAACACTACAGCTCGCACCTCCAAACTCCTCGAAGTGATTCACAGCGACGTATGCGGACCGATGTCGATGGCAACTTTCAGTGGAAAACGGTACTTCGTGACATTCATCGATGACAAGTCAAGATACTGTGTCGTCTATCTGCTCAAGAGCAAATCTGAAGTTGCGGCGAAGTTCATGGAATACGCTGCGATGGCCGAAACGCAAACCGGAAAGCGCGTGAAGTACCTTCAAAGCGACAATGGGGGTGAATACAAGTCCGACAAGCTGGCACGATTCTGCGCGGAACGGGGAATACAACAAAGGTTCACACCCCCATATACTCCTCAGCTAAACGGAGTAGCTGAGAGAATGAATCGCACGCTGGTCGAGTGTGCGCGTTGCATGATGGAACACGCTGGACTGGGAAAGAGCTACTGGGGTGAAGCAGTGATGACGGCGATGTTTCTTCGAAACCGCTGTCCAACACGTGCCATTCACCAAGACAAGTCTCCATATCAAGTGTGGACGATGAAGAAACCGATTCTGGCCAACCTTAAAGTGTTTGGATGCCACGCGTATGTTCAAGTGCCTCAAGACAAACGCGCGAAGTTCGACTCCAAGTCATCACTCTGTCGTTTCCTGGGATACGCCGAACACCAGAAGTCATATCGATTTGAGGAAGTGTCAACAGGAGCGATCAATATCAGTCGCTATTGAGGGTTACCGGTACAATCCGAACCTAGCGCGTAGTTCTTACGAGATAGTTTTTACATCGGTAATTACCTCAGAGATGATTAGACGCGTAGGATGATTGGACGCGTGTAAATCAGGTTGATTAGATGCACCATGTGATTGGATGCAGTCTAGGGTAGGCAGAAGTTAAGACCTATAAATCAATCACTTTCGAATCCTCCCTCAAGTGAGCAAGTGTTCTCTGCTTCGTTCTCTCCGGTCTCTCCGCTTCGTTTTCTCTTCGCCTCGCGCTCAAGTTATAGCAGGTTATGAGCCCAAGCGCCATGTCGTCCAACAACACCTCGGCCAGTGTCTCCATCGATAAGTTCGATGGGGACAACTACTCAACCTGGTGTCGCTACATGCGCGGCGTGTTTCTGACGAAGTCAGTCTGGTACGTCGTGAACCGCGAAACGTCTCCAACCTTCACCGACACGCGAGCTTCCGACGAGTACGTCAAGGCGAGCAACATCGCGTTCGGGTTGATGTTGCTCCACATGGACGCCGACTACCACCATGTGGTCGACAACTGTGAAGAAGCATGGACAGCGTGGTCGCGGTTGAAGATGCTCTATGGTGGGTCGCAGAAGGCGGGACGCATCTACCTCAAGCGCCAGCTGTTCAGCATCAAGATGGCGGAAGGTGCCAACGTCTTGCACCATTGCAACGAAGTCTTGAACATCGGCGCCAAGCTCAGCAGCATCGGTGCCAAGATGGAAGACGAAGACATTGCGATCTGCTTACTGCGCAGTCTGCCCAATAGTTTCGAGAACGTGGTTCTCAACTTGGAGATGAGCAATGCAGAGCTGCGCACGCAAGATGTGGTCAAGGTGCTGACTAACGAGCACATCAAGCGACAAGGCGAGAAGATGACAACGGCAACGACAACGTTGAAGACTGAAGATGCGACAAAGGCATTCAGTACCGAGCGCAAGCCCTACCAATGCACATACTGCGGCAAGGTGGGGCACACGGCAGAGCGTTGCTGGACGAAGCAAAAGGATGAAAGTCGAGGAGCCCAACGCGGCGGCAATGGTCGTGGACGCGGGGCAAACAATGTCCACTGGCGACATTATGATGAAGGCAACAGCTACGATCGAGTGGCGTTTGCAGTTTCGTTCGAATGCGGAGTTTCGACGAACAAGAATGGACCAGGAATGTGGGCCGTTGACAGCGGGGCAACACATCACATCTGCCACGACAAGTTCAAGTTTGCAAGCTTGGTCGAAGGCAATGATGGCGAGATCCTGGTGGCTGATGGCAACAAGGCGGCCATCAAAGGTGTGGGGACCATCGTGGAAAAGGTGATTCTGCCAAACGGGGAAGAGCGCGAGATCGAGATCAAGAACGCGCTCTATGTGCCCAGCATGAGCAAAAATCTGCTCTCGGTGCCGCAGATTAACAAGCACGGCAACTTCCAAGTGGTGTTTGACGGGGATACGATGTACGTCGCTCGCAAGGATTCCAATCAAGTGGTGGCAGCTGCGGATCTTGTAGACGGACTCTACTGGCTTCGCACGACGCAGCGATCGGCCAATGCGACATCACTCAGCAACGCTGTTGATCTACATGCGCGAATGGGCCATGCTCCAGTCGACGTGCTTCGCAGGATGGTGACAAGCCACATGATCAAGGACGCTCACATCCCTTCCAAGCCGAATGGATCAAGTGTGTGTCGAGGATGCCAAGAAGGGAAGATGTGATGAACTTTAGACTTCTTGGTCCGAGTGCAAAACGCAAAGTGAATATATATTTATAATAGGTACTTAGTTCGCAGGTTTGAATACTACCTCTAAGCCTATTATTCGCAGTGACGTCATCCAGTGACGTCACCCACTGACGTCATCCAGTGACGTCACCCACTGACGTCATCCAGTGACGTCACCCACTGACGTCACCCACTGACGTCATGCAATGACGTCATCCAGTGACGTCATTTCCTGACTTCGCCCTTACTGGTACATACCGGTACCCACCGGTATAGCGAAGCTTGGTCTTCCACTTGCTTCAACACTTGACGCATCTTGACGAGGTGTCTTCTTCACAGCCGCTGTCTTTTCAACACTCCCTCTCGACTCGTTAGCTGCGGCACCTTGGATCCCAAGTCGATCGCGAATGTTTTCAAATTGTACAGCGGCGATCGGCTTGGTCATCATGTCTGCCAGCATATCTTGAGTCGGGCAATACTCCAAAACGACTTCACCTGATTCCACCTTCTCACGCACAAAATGGTAGCGTATGTCGATGTGTTTTGTTCTCTTATGGAACTCCGGGTTCTTGGCGAGAGCGATTGATCCTTGGTTGTCTTCATACATCTTGATCGCTTCGTCGCTTGTCATCTCACCAAGTTCCCCAAAAGCACTTTGAGCCATACTGCTTCTTTGGTTGCTTCGGAAAGCGCCATGTATTCTGCTTCTGTTGAAGATAGCGCGACCGTCCGTTGTTTCTGGCTTTTCCAGCTGATGCATCCTCCGCTCATCATGAACACATAGCCGCTTGTACTTCGTCTTGACTCAATGTCGCCGGCCCAGTCTGCGTCGGTGTACCCGCAGATACGGCTTCCTTCTTCACGTGTAAACTCAAGACCATGATTGGGCGTTGCTTGCAGGTATCTCAGCACACGCTTCAAAGCTTGCCAGTGAGTCGGGCATGGGTCGGACGAGAACTGGGATAATGATCCCACTGCAGCAGCTAGATCCGGACGTGTGGCGACCATGAGATACATGATGCCTCCGACAGCACTTCGATATGGCACGTTGCACATGGTGTCTTCGTGCTTGCATTCTTGTTCACACATGTTCTTGGTTAGCTTCAGGCCGGGATCTTGAGGCGTCTTCACTGGCTTGCTGTTATCCATTCCGAACTTGGTCAAAACGGACTTGAGAAACTTGGTTTGTTGTACAGTCACCATTCCCGTCTTACGGTCGTTCTTGATCTCCATGCCGAGAAAGTAATCGAGCTCACCGAGATCCGTCATTTCGAAGCGTTTGCTCAGCGCCATCTTGGTTGACTTGAGGAGTTCGTTGTTGCTGCTGGCCAGGATGAGATCATCGACGTAGAGCACCACGAGAATCATGTCTTGGTCGTCTCGCTTGATGTAGATGCAGTGGTCCGATTCGCACTTCTTGAATCCCATCTTGATCATGAACCCATCGATTGTTTGGTTCCACATGCGAGGCGATTGCTTCAAGCCGTAGAGTGATCTCTTTAGTTTGCACACATAGTCCGGCTGTGTTGCATCCAGGTATCCGTCCGGCTGGTCCATGTAGATGTCTTCGTTGAGGGAGCCGTTAAGAAACGCTGTCTTGACGTCCATCTGATGTAGCATTAGGCCGTAGTTGGCCGCCATACTGAGCACCACACGAATCGATGTGAACTTGGCCACCGGTGCGAAAGTTTCTTCATAGTCAACTCTGAATTTCTGTGAGAATCCTTTGGCCACAAGTCTTGCCTTGAAACGTTCAACTTCGCCATCTTGATTCTCCTTTACACGAAAAACCCATCGGCACCCGATGGCCTTGCGACCTTTCGGAAGAGGCACGATTTCCCACGTGTCGTTTCTCTGAAGCGAATCGAACTCCGAGTCACACGCTTCTTTCCACTTGCCGGAGTCGCTTGATTCCATCGCCGACTTGAATGTAGTCGGCGTTTCCCCCACTGAATCAACGATTTAGGCTGCTTCAAAATCCATTGCAGCCGCTGACACATGCTCAAGCGACGGACCTCTGTATGTTCTTCGCTTGGGACTTGGAATGACGGTAGCTTTCTCAAGTGATTGAGTGCGCGTGTGTCTCTTGATGTTGCTCTTCGAAGACCTGGTGTCTTCGTTGTCATCGTCGCTCGAGTCCATGTCGTCGTCAGTTTTACCTTCTTCTTTTTCTTCGTCCTCATCATGATCATCAAACTCAACGACACTTGACTCATCGTTGTAGTTGCGCGGACCTTCATCAAACTTGTCTTCCATGAATGTGGCATCGCGACTGATCTTGATCGCTCCTGTTGACACTTCCTCAAATCGATATGACTTCTGGTGTTCGGCGTATCCCAGGAAACGACAGAGTGATGACTTGGAGTCGAACTTCGCGCTTTTGTCTTGAGGCACTTGAACATACGCGTGGCATCCAAACACTTTAAGGTTGGCCAGAATCGGTTTCTTCATCGTCCACACTTGATATGGAGACTTGTCTTGGTGAATGGCACGTGTTGGACAGCGGTTTCGAAGAAACATCGCCGTCATCACTGCTTCACCCCAGTAGCTCTTTCCCAGTCCAGCGTGTTCCATCATGCAACGCGCACACTCGACCAGCGTGCGATTCATTCTCTCAGCTACTCCGTTTAGCTGAGGAGTATATGGGGGTGTGAACCTTTGTTGTATTCCCCGTTCCGCGCAGAATCGTGCCAGCTTGTCGGACTTGTATTCACCCCCATTGTCGCTTTGAAGGTACTTCACGCGCTTTCCGGTTTGCGTTTCGGCCATCGCAGCGTATTCCATGAACTTCGCCGCAACTTCAGATTTGCTCTTGAGCAGATAGACGACACAGTATCTTGACTTGTCATCAATGAATGTCACGAAGTACCGTTTTCCACTGAAAGTTGCCATCGACATCGGTCCGCATACGTCGCTGTGAATCACTTCGAGGAGTTTGGAGGTGCGAGCTGTAGTGTTTGATTGGAAGCGCACTCGAGTCTGTTTTCCCAGAGCACAACCTTCACACACGTCCCACTTCTTCACCGAAGATATGTCGATGCCAATTCCAATGTTCTTCGTCACGATGCAATTGAGTCCATCGTGACCTATGTGGCCAAGCCGAAGGTGCCAGAGGTACGACTTGGTGCCCCCTTGACATCCCGACGACTTGGCTGCATTTGCTTGTTCCGGCGCCACTGGAGTCATTTGCAGCTTGAACAGTCCTTTACCTTCACGGGCACCAATTTTCCACTTGGTCCCTTTCGCTTCTCCATAGCACCCATCCTTCGTGAACGTCACTGGGCCGACATCCTTGGTGAAGCGGCCGACCGAGAACAGGTTTCTGGATAACTTTGGGATGTGCCACACGTTTGTGAGCACACCTTTCTTCATCCCTTGGGGTGTCTTCATCGACATGACAATGTCCCCACTGCCGATTGCTTGGACGATTCCATCATCCGCGAGATGGACATCCACAGCGTCAAACCCCTTGTAGTTCCGCATGAACTTCTTGGAGCACGTCATGTGCTGCGTCGCCCCGGAGTCGACCAGCCAGATGTCGCTCGATTTTGCAGATGTCGTTTCACCGATCGAAAAGAGGTAGTCGCCCGAGGCTTCTTCTTGAGCGACGTTTGCACGTTGTGATCGATAGCGGTCGCCGCTGTCTTGAGCACGCTGTGGCCGGTGTCTCTCCGTGTTTTCTTGGATGCGCGAGGGGCACTCCGCCATCCAGTGACCAATCTTTCCGCAATTGTGGCACGGCCAGGACTTCTTCACTGGTCGCCCTTTGCGCTGATTGTCCCTTGTGATGAACGCTTGACCTTGCGAAGCTTCATCACCTTTACTTCCTTGCTCCTTCCGCTTCATTTCTTCATGAAGCAGTCGAGACGTCACGAGCTCCCAGCTAAGAGTGTCTGAGCGCGACTCCAAAGCTGTGATCAAGAATTGATACGAGTCACTCAGGCTGCCGAGGAGTGTGATCACCAGATCGTCCTCGCAGACTGGAGCCCCCCACCGCTTCTAGCTGTTCCGCCAGCGTCTTGAGCTTGTTGATGTGTTCGAGCACATCTTCGCCTTCTTCCATCATTGTCGTGAAGAAGCGACGGCGCAAGAACAGCTTGTTGGCAAGACTCTTCTTCTCAAAGTGGTCTTCCAACCTTGACCATGCGTCGCATGCACCACTTGCCGACCGGACCAACGGTAGCTGGGAATCTTCCATGGCTAGACAGATCACTGCCATCGCCTTTCTTGACTTCCTCTTGTACGTCGCTTGGTCCAACTGAGTCTCGCACTGTTCCGCCTTGATCTCACCGCTGACGACCTCCCATAGGTCCCGTTCCTCCAGCACCATCTGCATCTTGAACTTCCAGGCGTGGAAGTTAGTTCCATCGAACTTGGAGATGCGGAGGGAGGAGGCGTCCATGACAGCTAAGCTTGAATTGTTGGCGGTTTCAGAGTCTGACGAACTTGGGCTCATAACCTGATGAACTTTAGACTTCTTGGTCCGAGTGCAAAACGCAAAGTGAATATATATTTATAATAGGTACTTAGTTTGCAACTTTGAATACTACCTCTAAGCCTATTATTCGCAGTGACGTCATCCAGTGACGTTACCCACTGACGTCATCCAATGACGTCATTTCCTGACTTCGCCCTTACTGGTACATACCGGTACCCACCGGTATAGCGAAGCTTGGTCTTCCACTTGCTTCAACACTTGACGCAGCTTGACGAGGTGTCTTCTTCACAGCCGCTGTCTTTTCAACAAGATGGTCCAAAAACCATTCCCGAGCAACCGTGACAAGCGCACCTACAACACCTTCGAGATGCTCCACTTCGACATCTGCGGACCCATGGAAGAAAAATCTCTGGGTGGCAGCAAGTATCTGCTGCTGATCGTGGATGAAGCCAGCGGATGCATGAAGGGTTTTTGTCTGCATTCCAAGTCAGAGAGCGAAGAGTGCATCAAGAAGTACATCACGATGATACAGACGCAGTTCAACAAGAAGGTCAAAGTTGTGCGACACGATGGAGCCCGCGAGTTTGCGACGAACTCGCTTCAAGATTTCTACGAAGTCGAAGGCATCGTGTTGCATTGTAGATCGGAGCGAGGAAAGCGGAGCAAACGGAGCGGAGAGACCGAAGAGAGTAGAGCAGAAAACACTTGCCCAATAGTTGGAAGATTCGAAAGTGATTGATTATCGGGGCTTACTACTTACTACATGATTTATATGTGGTGTACATATAAATCATGTGAAGCGTCTCATCATCCTACGCGTCTAATCAACTATGGTAATTACCGTAAGAACTACGTCGTAAATACTAAGCTGAACAGGCGGTTCGGATTGGATCGGTCACGGTTACCAATACTGGTAGAAAACCGATGACCGTCAACACGCCCCCTCAATCCGAATGCTCACGAATCCCGAGAGTCGCCGTCATCTCTTTGTGGCGTGGCCCGTGAAGTCCCTTCGTCATGATGTCCGCTAACATCACCGCAGTTTCACAGTACTTGAGCTTCACTTCACCGCGCTTGACCTCATCACGGATGTGATGGTACTTGATATCAATGTGCTTGGCACGGCCGTGGTTGACTGGGTTCTTCGTCATCTTGATACACGACTGATTGTCTTCATGGATCATGAGTTCCGGTCCTTCTTCATTGGCAGCCATCACGATCTCACAAAGCAGACGATGAATCCACTTGCCCTCTTGAATCGCCAAGCTGAGTGCGATGTATTCGGCTTCACTCGTGGACAACGAAACACTTGGCTGCTTCTTGCTGCCCCAACTGACTGGCGCACCGAGTAGCATGAACGTGTACCCCGATGTTGACTTGCGGTCGGTAAGATCACCAGCCCAATCCGCATCCGAATATCCACGGAAGTCGATCCTTGCACTTGGCTTGTAGCAAATTCCATGCGTCTTGGTGCCTTGTAGGTAGCGAAAGATACGCTTAACTGCAACCCAGTGTTCTTCTTGGGGATTTTCCATGAACCGCGACACATAGCCCACAGCAAACGCAATGTCCGGACGCGTTGCAGTGGTCAGGTGCATCAACGCACCAACAGCTTCGCGAAAAGGAGCATCGACCTTGGTAGTTGCATCACTTGAAACAAGTCGAGAGCTCATGTCGACTGGACTTGCGACTGCCTTGCAATCATCCATGCCAAAGCGCTTGAGGATATCATCGACATACCGACGCTGACATAGTGTCACACTGCCATCTTCACCGTCCAAAAGCTCGATCCCAAGAACAAACGCACACTTGCCGCTGTCCGTCATTTCGAACCGCGTCTTCAGGTCGTTCTTGGTTTGTGCAATCAGCTCGAGTGAGCTTCCAGTCACCAAGACGTCGTCCACGTAGACCAGTATAAACACGCAATGGCCGTCCGTGATGAACTTTAGACTTCTTGGTCCGAGTGCAAAACGCAAAGTGAATATATATTTATAGTAGGTACTTAGTTCGCAACTTTGAATACTACCTCTAAGCCTATTATTCGCAGTGACGTCATCCAGTGACGTCACCCACTGACGTCACCCACTGACGTCATGCAATGACGTCATCCAGTGACGTCATTTCCTGACTTCGCCCTTACTGGTACATACCAGTACCCACCGGTATAGCGAAGCTTGGTCTTCCACTTGCTTCAACACTTGACGCAGCTTGACGAGGTGTCTTCTTCACAGCCGCTGTCTTTTCAACAAGATGGTCCAAAAACCATTCCCGAGCAACCGTGACAAGCGCACCTACAACACCTTCGAGATGCTCCACTTCGACATCTGCGGACCCATGGAAGAAAAATCTCTGGGTGGCAGCAAGTATCTGCTGCTGATCGTGGATGAAGCCAGCGGATGCATGAAGGGTTTTTGTCTGCATTCCAAGTCAGAGAGCGAAGAGTGCATCAAGAAGTACATCACGATGATACAGACGCAGTTCAACAAGAAGGTCAAAGTTGTGCGACACGATGGAGCCCGCGAGTTTGCGACGAACTCGCTTCAAGATTTCTACGAAGTCGAAGGCATCGTGTTGCATTGTAGATCGGAGCGAGGAAAGCGGAGCAAACGGAGCGGAGAGACCGAAGAGAGTAGAGCAGAAAACACTTGCCCAATAGTTGGAAGATTCGAAAGTGATTGATTATCGGGGCTTACTACTTACTACATGATTTATATGTGGTGTACATATAAATCATGTGAAGCGTCTCATCATCCTACGCGTCTAATCAACTATGGTAATTACCGTAAGAACTACGTCGTAAATACTAAGCTGAACAGGCGGTTCGGATTGGATCGGTCACGGTTACCAATACTGGTAGAAAACCGATGACCGTCAACACGCCCCCTCAATCCGAATGCTCACGAATCCCGAGAGTCGCCGTCATCTCCTTGTGGCGTGGCCCGTGAAGTCCCTTCGTCATGATGTCCGCTAACATCACCGCAGTTTCACAGTACTTGAGCTTCACTTCACCGCGCTTGACCTCATCACGGATGTGATGGTACTTGATATCAATGTGCTTGGCACGGCCGTGGTTGACTGGGTTCTTCGTCATCTTGATACACGACTGATTGTCTTCATGGATCATGAGTTCCGGTCCTTCTTCATTGGCAGCCATCACGATCTCACAAAGCAGACGATGAATCCACTTGCCCTCTTGAATCGCCAAGCTGAGTGCGATGTATTCGGCTTCACTCGTGGACAACGAAACACTTGGCTGCTTCTTGCTGCCCCAACTGACTGGCGCACCGAGTAGCATGAACGTGTACCCCGATGTTGACTTGCGGTCGGTAAGATCACCAGCCCAATCCGCATCCGAATATCCACGGAAGTCGATCCTTGCACTTGGCTTGTAGCAAATTCCATGCGTCTTGGTGCCTTGTAGGTAGCGAAAGATACGCTTAACTGCAACCCAGTGTTCTTCTTGGGGATTTTCCATGAACCGCGACACATAGCCCACAGCAAACGCAATGTCCGGACGCGTTGCAGTGGTCAGGTGCATCAACGCACCAACAGCTTCGCGAAAAGGAGCATCGACCTTGGTAGTTGCATCACTTGAAACAAGTCGAGAGCTCATGTCGACTGAACTTGCGACTGCCTTGCAATCATCCATGCCAAAGCGCTTGAGGATATCATCGACATACCGACGCTGACATAGTGTCACACTGCCATCTTCACCGTCCAAAAGCTCGATCCCAAGAACAAACGCACACTTGCCGCTGTCCGTCATTTCGAACCGCGTCTTCAGGTCGTTCTTGGTTTGTGCAATCAGCTCGAGTGAGCTTCCAGTCACCAAGACGTCGTCCACGTAGACCAGTATAAACACGCAATGGCCGTCCGTGATGAACTTTAGACTTCTTGGTCCGAGTGCAAAACGCAAAGTAAATATATATTTATAGTAGGTACTTAGTTCGCAACTTTGAATACTACCTCTAAGCCTATTATTCGCAGTGACGTCATCAGTGACGTACCATAGTAATGAGTATAATGATCATCCAGTGACGTCATTTCCTGACTTCGCCCTTACTGGTACATACCAGTACCCACCGGTATAGCGAAGCTTGGTCTTCCACTTGCTTCAACACTTGACGCAGCTTGACGAGGTGTCTTCTTCACAGCCGCTGTCTTTTCAACAAGATGGTCCAAAAACCATTCCCGAGCAACCGTGACAAGCGCACCTACAACACCTTCGAGATGCTCCACTTCGACATCTGCGGACCCATGGAAGAAAAATCTCTGGGTGGCAGCAAGTATCTGCTGCTGATCGTGGATGAAGCCAGCGGATGCATGAAGGGTTTTTGTCTGCATTCCAAGTCAGAGAGCGAAGAGTGCATCAAGAAGTACATCACGATGATACAGACGCAGTTCAACAAGAAGGTCAAAGTTGTGCGACACGATGGAGCCCGCGAGTTTGCGACGAACTCGCTTCAAGATTTCTACGAAGTCGAAGGCATCGTGTTGCATTGTAGATCGGAGCGAGGAAAGCGGAGCAAACGGAGCGGAGAGACCGAAGAGAGTAGAGCAGAAAACACTTGCCCAATAGTTGGAAGATTCGAAAGTGATTGATTATCGGGGCTTACTACTTACTACATGATTTATATGTGGTGTACATATAAATCATGTGAAGCGTCTCATCATCCTACGCGTCTAATCAACTATGGTAATTACCGTAAGAACTACGTCGTAAATACTAAGCTGAACAGGCGGTTCGGATTGGATCGGTCACGGTTACCAATACTGGTAGAAAACCGATGACCGTCAACACGCCCCCTCAATCCGAATGCTCACGAATCCCGAGAGTCGCCGTCATCTCCTTGTGGCGTGGCCCGTGAAGTCCCTTCGTCATGATGTCCGCTAACATCACCGCAGTTTCACAGTACTTGAGCTTCACTTCACCGCGCTTGACCTCATCACGGATGTGATGGTACTTGATATCAATGTGCTTGGCACGGCCGTGGTTGACTGGGTTCTTCGTCATCTTGATACACGACTGATTGTCTTCATGGATCATGAGTTCCGGTCCTTCTTCATTGGCAGCCATCACGATCTCACAAAGCAGACGATGAATCCACTTGCCCTCTTGAATCGCCAAGCTGAGTGCGATGTATTCGGCTTCACTCGTGGACAACGAAACACTTGGCTGCTTCTTGCTGCCCCAACTGACTGGCGCACCGAGTAGCATGAACGTGTACCCCGATGTTGACTTGCGGTCGGTAAGATCACCAGCCCAATCCGCATCCGAATATCCACGGAAGTCGATCCTTGCACTTGGCTTGTAGCAAATTCCATGCGTCTTGGTGCCTTGTAGGTAGCGAAAGATACGCTTAACTGCAACCCAGTGTTCTTCTTGGGGATTTTCCATGAACCGCGACACATAGCCCACAGCAAACGCAATGTCCGGACGCGTTGCAGTGGTCAGGTGCATCAACGCACCAACAGCTTCGCGAAAAGGAGCATCGACCTTGGTAGTTGCATCACTTGAAACAAGTCGAGAGCTCATGTCGACTGGACTTGCGACTGCCTTGCAATCATCCATGCCAAAGCGCTTGAGGATATCATCGACATACCGACGCTGACATAGTGTCACACTGCCATCTTCACCGTCCAAAAGCTCGATCCCAAGAACAAACGCACACTTGCCGCTGTCCGTCATTTCGAACCGCGTCTTCAGGTCGTTCTTGGTTTGTGCAATCAGCTCGAGTGAGCTTCCAGTCACCAAGACGTCGTCCACGTAGACCAGTATAAACACGCAATGGCCGTCCGTGATGAACTTTAGACTTCTTGGTCCGAGTGCAAAACGCAAAGTAAATATATATTTATAATAGGTACTTAGTTCGCAACTTTGAATACTACCTCTAAGCCTATTATTCGCAGTGACGTCATCCAGTGACGTCACCCACTGACGTCACCCACTGACGTCATCCAGTGACGTCATTTCCTGACTTCGCCCTTACTGGTACATACCGGTACCCACCGGTATAGCGAAGCTTGGTCTTCCACTTGCTTCAACACTTGACGCAGCTTGACGAGGTGTCTTCTTCACAGCCGCTGTCTTTTCAACACTCCCTCTCGACTCGTTAGCTGCGGCACCTTGGATCCCAAGTCGATCGCGAATGTTTTCAAATTGTACAGCGGCGATCGGCTTGGTTATCATGTCTGCCAGCATATCTTGAGTCGGGCAATACTCCAAAACGACTTCACCTGATTCCACCTTCTCACGCACAAAATGGTAGCGTATGTCGATGTGTTTTGTTCTCTTATGGAACTCCGGGTTCTTGGCGAGAGCGATTGATCCTTGGTTGTCTTCATACATCTTGATCGCTTCGTCGCTTGTCATCTCACCAAGTTCCCCCAAAAGCACTTTGAGCCATACTGCTTCTTTGGTTGCTTCGGAAAGCGCCATGTATTCTGCTTCTGTTGAAGATAGCGCGACCGTCCGTTGTTTCTGGCTTTTCCAGCTGATGCATCCTCCGCTCATCATGAACACATAGCCGCTTGTACTTCGTCTTGACTCAATGTCGCCGGCCCAGTCTGCGTCGGTGTACCCGCAGATACGGCTTCCTTCTTCACGTGTAAACTCAAGACCATGATTGGGCGTTGCTTGCAGGTATCTCAGCACACGCTTCAAAGCTTGCCAGTGAGTCGGGCATGGGTCGGACGAGAACTGGGATAATGATCCCACTGCAGCAGCTAGATCCGGACGTGTGGCGACCATGAGATACATGATGCCTCCGACAGCACTTCGATATGGCACGTTGCACATGGTGTCTTCGTGCTTGCATTCTTGTTCACACATGTTCTTGGTTAGCTTCAGGCCGGGATCTTGAGGCGTCTTCACTGGCTTGCTGTTATCCATTCCGAACTTGGTTAACACGGACTTGAGAAACTTGGTTTGTTGTACGGTCACCATTCCCGTCTTACGGTCGTTCTTGATCTCCATGCCGAGAAAGTAATCGAGCTCACCGAGATCCGTCATTTCGAAGCGTTTGCTCAGCGCCATCTTGGTTGACTTGAGGAGTTCGTTGTTGCTGCTGGCCAGGATGAGATCATCGACGTAGAGCACCACGAGAATCATGTCTTGGTCGTCTCGCTTGATGTAGATGCAGTGGTCCGATTCGCACTTCTTGAATCCCATCTTGATCATGAACCCATCGATTGTTTGGTTCCACATGCGAGGCGATTGCTTCAAGCCGTAGAGTGATCTCTTTAGCTTGCACACATAGTCCGGCTGTGTTGCATCCAGGTATCCGTCCGGCTGGTCCATGTAGATGTCTTCGTTGAGGGAGCCGTTAAGAAACGCTGTCTTGACGTCCATCTGATGTAGCATTAGGCCGTACTTAGCCGCCATACTGAGCACCACACGAATCGATGTGAACTTGGCCACCGGTGCGAAAGTTTCTTCATAGTCAACTCCGAATTTCTGTGAGAATCCTTTGGCCACAAGTCTTGCCTTGAAACGTTCAACTTCGCCATCTTGATTCTCCTTTACACGAAAAACCCATCGGCACCCGATGGCTTTGCAACCTTTCGGAAGAGGCACGATTTCCCACGTGTCGTTTCTCTGAAGCGAGTCGAACTCCGAGTCACACGCTTCTTTCCACTTGCCGGAGTCGCTTGATTCCATCGCCGACTTGAATGTAGTCGGCGTTTCCCCCACTGAATCAACGATGTAGGCTGCTTCAAAATCCATTGCAGCCGCTGACACATGCTCAAGCGACGGACCTCTGTATGTTCTTCGCTTGGGACTTGGAATGACGGTAGCTTTCTCAAGTGATTGAGTGCGCGTGTGTCTCTTGATGTTGCTCTTCGAAGACCTGGTGTCTTCGTTGTCATCGTCGCTCGAGTCCATGTCGTCGTCAGTTTTACCTTCTTCTTTTTCTTCGTCCTCATCATGATCATCAAACTCAACGACACTTGACTCATCGTTGTAGTTGCGCGGACCTTCATCAAACTTGTCTTTGTTGCATTGTAGATCGGAGCGAGGAAAGCGGAGCGAACGGAGCGGAGAGACCGAAGAGAGTAGAGCAGAAAACACTTGCCCAATAGTTGGAAGATTCGAAAGTGATTGATTATCGGGGCTTACTACTTACTACATGATTTATATGTGGTGTACATATAAATCATGTGAAGCGTCTCATCATCCTACGCGTCTAATTAACTATGGTAATTACCGTAAGAACTACGTCGTAAATACTAAGCTGAACAGGCGGTTCGAATTGGATCGGTCACGGTTACCAATACTGGTAGAAAACCGATGACCGTCAACAGAAGAGCTGCGTCAAATGGAGTACAAGCAAACAGGCAAGCGCAAGAACCGACTCAATGATGAAGATACAGCAGCTCCACGACCGCGTGCAGTGCGTCAACGACCAGGACTAGAAGAGTCAAGCGCGCCGGAAAACAACTCGTCACGACAAGAAGAAGACGAAGAAACGAAGGATTCTGGTGATTCAACACCGCCTGTGTTTTGGCGTGCGAGTGCAAATGCCGTTGAAGCAGCAGTGGACTTATCAGAACCCTCAACATTTGAAGCAGCAGTAAGCGGCCCTGACCAAGTGCACTGGAGAAAAGCAATTCATGCAGAGCTCGAGTCAATGCGACTTCGCGGTGTGTTTCGTGCAGCCAAGCTGCCCAACGGACAACGCGCCATTGGCACAAAATGGGTGTTCAAGATCAAGCGCAAGGCGGATGGGTCAATCGAGAAGTACAAGGCACGACTTGTGGCCAAGGGTTTCCGCCAAAAGTATGGCATCGACTACACGGAGACGTTTTCGCCTGTGGTCAAGTATGTGACGCTGAGAATGGTGATCGCAATTTCCAAGCATTTTGGATGGCCCATCGACCAGCTTGATGTGGTGACAGCTTTCCTGTATTGCGTCATGAAGGAACAAGTGTTCTGCGTGATTCCTGAAGGCGTCGAACTTGACAGTACGTTCGACTGCCTGGAATTGGTGAAGTCGATTTACGGCCTCAAGCAAGCGTCGCGAGTGTGGAACGAGACGTTCGACGAGTATGTGTGTTCCATTGGATTTCAAGTGTCAGGCTTCGACCCATGTCTCTACATCAAGACTTCGGACGGCCATTGCGTGTTTATACTGGTCTATGTGGATGACGTGTTGGTGACAGGAAGCTCACTCGAGCTGATTGCACAAACCAAGAACGACCTGAAGACGCGGTTCGAAATGACGGACAGCGGCAAGTGTGCGTTTGTTCTTGGGATCGAGCTTTTGGACGGTGAAGATGGCAGTGTGACACTATGTCAGCGTCGGTATGTCGATGATATCCTCAAGCGCTTTGGCATGGATGATTGCAAGGCAGTCGCAAGTCCAGTCGACATGAGCTCTCGACTTGTTTCAAGTGATGCAACTACCAAGGTCGATGCTCCTTTTCGCGAAGCTGTTGGTGCGTTGATGCACCTGACCACTGCAACGCGTCCGGACATTGCGTTTGCTGTGGGCTATGTGTCGCGGTTCATGGAAAATCCCCAAGAAGAACACTGGGTTGCAGTTAAGCGTATCTTTCGCTACCTACAAGGCACCAAGACGCATGGAATTTGCTACAAGCCAAGTGCAAGGATCGACTTCCGTGGATATTCGGATGCGGATTGGGCTGGTGATCTTACCGACCGCAAGTCAACATCGGGGTACACGTTCATGCTACTCGGTGCGCCAGTCAGTTGGGGCAGCAAGAAGCAGCCAAGTGTTTCGTTGTCCACGAGTGAAGCCGAATACATCGCACTCAGCTTGGCGATTCAAGAGGGCAAGTGGATTCATCGTCTGCTTTGTGAGATCGTGATGGCTGCCAATGAAGAAGGACCGGAACTCATGATCCATGAAGACAATCAGTCGTGTATCAAGATGACGAAGAACCCAGTCAACCACGGCCGTGCCAAGCACATTGATATCAAGTACCATCACATCCGTGATGAGGTCAAGCGCGGTGAAGTGAAGTTCAAGTACTGTGAAACTGCGGTGATGTTAGCGGACATCATGACGAAGGGACTTCACGGGCCACGCCACAAGGAGATGACGGCGACTCTCGGGATTCGTGAGCATTCGGATTGAGGGGGCGTGTTGACGGTCATCGGTTTTCTACCAGTATTGGTAACCGTGACCGATCCAATCCGAACCGCCTGTTCAGCTTAGTATTTACGACGTAGTTCTTACGGTAATTACCATAGTTGATTAGACGCGTAGGATGATGAGACGCTTCACATGATTTATATGTACACCACATATAAATCATGTAGTAAGTAGTAAGCCCCGATAATCAATCACTTTCGAATCTTCCAACTATTGGGCAAGTGTTTTCTGCTCTACTCTCTTCGGTCTCTCCGCTCCGTTTGCTCCGCTTTCCTCGCTCCGATCTACAATGCAACATCTTCGTCATCAAGATCCAGCAATTCGAAGTCCAGGTCATCGACATCTTCATCAGTGATCGGCAGTTGAAGTCCAAAGGTGGACTCGTCGAAGTTGACATCGCGGCTGATAACCACCTGCCCCGCCTCGATGTCATAAACACGATATGCCTTCGAAACTTCTTCGTAGCCCACGAATATGCCAGCGCGAGCCTTTGGATCCCACTTGAGTCGATTCTCTTTAGGCGTCAGTATGTATGTCTGACACCCGAATGTTCGCATGTGCTTGACGCTTGGTTTCAAGTTGTAGACGATCTCAAACGGGGTCTTGTGCACGACTTTAGGTGACGGCAGTCGATTCTTGACGTAGATGGCCGTCATCGCTGCTTCGGCCCAGAAACACTTGTCCAGTTTGGCATGATGAAGCATGCTGCGGCCGATCGTGACAATAGTCCTAATGGCACGCTCTGCTGTTCCGTTTGTTTGATGTGCATACGGCACCGTTGTCTGCTGTTCAATGCCTTCGTCTTCTGTTGACGGTCATCGGTTTTCTACCAGTATTGGTAACCGTGACCGATCCAATCCGAACCGCCTGTTCAGCTTAGTATTTACGACGTAGTTCTTACGGTAATTACCATAGTTGATTAGACGCGTAGGATGATGAGACGCTTCACATGATTTATATGTACACCACATATAAATCATGTAGTAAGTAGTAAGCCCCGATAATCAATCACTTTCGAATCTTCCAACTATTGGGCAAGTGTTTTCTGCTCTACTCTCTTCGGTCTCTCCGCTCCGTTCGCTCCGCTTTCCTCGCTCCGATCTACAATGCAACAGGTTATGAGCCCAAGCGCCATGTCGTCCACCAGCAACGCCTCCATTGACAAGTTCAACGGAGACAATTACGCAACGTGGAGCCGGTACATGCGCGGTGTGTTTTTGACGAAGTCCGTCTGGCACGTTGTCAACCGTGAAGTGACTCCGACTTTCACCGACCCGCGAGCGTCCGATGACTACGTCAAGGCAAGCAACGTCGCGTTTGGTATGATGCTGCTGCACATGAACGCGGACTACCATCATGTGCTGGACAACTGCGAGGAAGCCTGGGTTGCGTGGACAAGTCTGAAGACGCTGTACGGTGGGTCGCAGAAGGCAGGACGCATCTACCTCAAGCGACAACTTTTCAGTATCAAGATGGCTGAAGGCGCGAACGTCATGCATCACTGCAACGAGGTCCTCAACATCTCCGCCAAGCTTAGCGGCATCGGTGCGAAGATGGAAGACGAAGACGTTGCAATTTGTCTGCTACTCAGTCTTCCGAAGAGCTACGAAAATGTGGTGCTCAACATGGAAATGAGCAGCACCGAGCTTCGCACTCAAGATGTGGTGAGAGTCCTGACGAATGAGCATGCCAAGCGTCAAGGAGAAAAAGGGACAACGACAGCGACTACGGTGAAGGCTGAAGATGCAAGCAAGGCATTCAGCGCCGAGCGTGAGCCCTACCAATGCACGTATTGTGGCAAGGTGGGACACACGGTGGATCGTTGCTGGACAAAGCAGAAGAACGAAGGTCGGGGAGCCCGACGCGGCGACAATTGATGAACTTTAGACTTCTTGGTCCGAGTGCAAAACGCAAAGTGAATATATATTTATAATAGGTACTTAGTTCGCAACTTTGAATACTACCTCTAAGCCTATTATTCGCAGTGACGTCATCCAGTGACGTCACCCACTGACGTCACCCACTGACGTCATCCAGTGACGTCATTTCCTGACTTCGCCCTTACTGGTACATACCGGTACCCACCGGTATAGCGAAGCTTGGTCTTCCACTTGCTTCAACACTTGACGCAGCTTGACGAGGTGTCTTCTTCACAGCCGCTGTCTTTTCAACACTCCCTCTCGACTCGTTAGCTGCGGCACCTTGGATCCCAAGTCGATCGCGAATGTTTTCAAATTGTACAGCGGCGATCGGCTTGGTCATCATGTCTGCCAGCATATCTTGAGTCGGGCAATACTACAAAACGACTTCACCTGATTCCACCTTCTCACGCACAAAATGGTAGCGTATGTCGATGTGTTTTGTTCTCTTATGGAACTCCGGGTTCTTGGCGAGAGCGATTGATCCTTGGTTGTCTTCATACATCTTGATCGCTTCGTCGCTTGTCATCTCACCAAGTTCCCCCAAAAGCACTTTGAGCCATACTGCTTCTTTGGTTGCTTCGGAAAGCGCCATGTATTCTGCTTCTGTTGAAGATAGCGCGACCGTCCGTTGTTTCTGGCTTTTCCAGCTGATGCATCCTCCGCTCATCATGAACACATAGCCGCTTGTACTTCGTCTTGACTCAATGTCGCCGGCCCAGTCTGCGTCGGTGTACCCGCAGATACGGCTTCCTTCTTCACGTGTAAACTCAAGACCATGATTGGGCGTTTCTTGCAGGTATCTCAGCACACGCTTCAAAGCTTGCCAGTGAGTCGGGCATGGGTCGGACGAGAACTGGGATAATGATCCCACTGCAGCAGCTAGATCCGGACGTGTGGCGACCATGAGATACATGATGCCTCCGACAGCACTTCGATATGGCACGTTGCACATGGTGTCTTCGTGCTTGCATTCTTGTTCACACATGTTCTTGGTTAGCTTCAGGCCGGGATCTTGAGGCGTCTTCACTGGCTTGCTGTTATCCATTCCGAACTTGGTTAACACGGACTTGAGAAACTTGGTTTGTTGTACAGTCACCATTCCCGTCTTACGGTCGTTCTTGATCTCCATGCCGAGAAAGTAATCGAGCTCACCGAGATCCGTCATTTCGAAGCGTTTGCTCAGCGCCATCTTGGTTGACTTGAGGAGTTCGTTGTTGCTGCTGGCCAGGATGAGATCATCGACGTAGAGCACCACGAGAATCATGTCTTGGTCGTCTCGCTTGATGTAGATGCAGTGGTCCGATTCGCACTTCTTGAATCCCATCTTGATCATGAACCCATCGATTGTTTGGTTCCACATGCGAGGCGATTGCTTCAAGCCGTAGAGTGATCTCTTTAGCTTGCACACATAGTCCGGCTGTGTTGCATCCAGGTATCCGTCCGGCTGGTCCATGTAGATGTCTTCGTTGAGGGAGCCGTTAAGAAACGCTGTCTTGACGTCCATCTGATGTAGCATTAGGCCGTACTTAGCCGCCATACTGAGCACCACACGAATCGATGTGAACTTGGCCACCGGTGCGAAAGTTTCTTCATAGTCAACTCCGAATTTCTGTGAGAATCCTTTGGCCACAAGTCTTGCCTTGAAACGTTCAACTTCGCCATCTTGATTCTCCTTTACACGAAAAACCCATCGGCACCCGATGGCCTTGCGACCTTTCGGAAGAGGCACGATTTCCCACGTGTCGTTTCTCTGAAGCGAGTCGAACTCCGAGTCACACGCTTCTTTCCACTTGCCGGAGTCGCTTGATTCCATCGCCGACTTGAATGTAGTCGGCGTTTCCCCACTGAATCAACGATGTAGGCTGCTTCAAAATCCATTGCAGCCGCTGACACATGCTCAAGCGACGGACCTCTGTATGTTCTTCGCTTGGGACTTGGAATGACGGTAGCTTTCTCAAGTGATTGAGTGCGCGTGTGTCTCTTGATGTTGCTCTTCGAAGACCTGGTGTCTTCGTTGTCATCGTCGCTCGAGTCCATGTCGTCGTCAGTTTTACCTTCTTCTTTTTCTTCGTCCTCATCATGATCATCAAACTCAACGACACTTGACTCATCGTTGTAGTTGCGCGGACCTTCATCAAACTTGTCTTCCATGAATGTGGCATCGCGACTGATCTTGATCGCTCCTGTTGACACTTCCTCAAATCGATATGACTTCTGGTGTTCGGCGTATCCCAGGAAACGACAGAGTGATGACTTGGAGTCGAACTTCGCGCGTTTGTCTTGAGGCACTTGAACATACGCGTGGCATCCAAACACTTTAAGGTTGGCCAGAATCGGTTTCTTCATCGTCCACACTTGATATGGAGACTTGTCTTGGTGAATGGCACGTGTTGGACAGCGGTTTCGAAGAAACATCGCCGTCATCACTGCTTCACCCCAGTAGCTCTTTCCCAGTCCAGCGTGTTCCATCATGCAACGCGCACACTCGACCAGCGTGCGATTCATTCTCTCAGCTACTCCGTTTAGCTGAGGAGTATATGGGGGTGTGAACCTTTGTTGTATTCCCCGTTCCGCGCAGAATCGTGCCAGCTTGTCGGACTTGTATTCACCCCCATTGTCGCTTTGAAGGTACTTCACGCGCTTTCCGGTTTGCGTTTCGGCCATCGCAGCGTATTCCATGAACTTCGCCGCAACTTCAGATTTGCTCTTGAGCAGATAGACGACACAGTATCTTGACTTGTCATCAATGAATGTCACGAAGTACCGTTTTCCACTGAAAGTTGCCATCGACATCGGTCCGCATACGTCGCTGTGAATCACTTCGAGGAGTTTGGAGGTGCGAGCTGTAGTGTTTGATTGGAAGCGCACTCGAGTCTGTTTTCCCAGAGCACAACCTTCACACACGTCCCACTTCTTCACCGAAGATATGTCGATGCCAATTCCAATGTTCTTCGTCACGATGCAATTGAGTCCATCGTGACCTATGTGGCCAAGCCGAAGGTGCCAGAGGTACGACTTGGTGCCCCCTTGACATCCCGACGACTTGGCTGCATTTGCTTGTTCCGGCGCCACTGGAGTCATTTGCAGCTTGAACAGTCCTTTACCTTCACGGGCACCAATTTTCCACTTGGTCCCTTTCGCTTCTCCATAGCACCCATCCTTCGTGAACGTCACTGGGCCGACATCCTTGGTGAAGCGGCCGACCGAGAACAGGTTTCTGGATAACTTTGGGATGTGCCACACGTTTGTGAGCACACCTTTCTTCATCCCTTGGGGTGTCTTCATCGACATGACAATGTCCCCACTGCCGATTGCTTGGACGATTCCATCATCCGCGAGATGGACATCCACAGCGTCAAACCCCTTGTAGTTCCGCATGAACTTCTTGGAGCACGTCATGTGCTGCGTCGCCCCGGAGTCGACCAGCCAGATGTCGCTCGATTTCGCAGATGTCGTTTCACCGATCGAAAAGAGGTAGTCGCCCGAGTCTTCTTCTTGAGCGACGTTTGCACGTTGTGATCGATAGCGGTCGCCGCTGTCTTGAGCACGCTGTGGCCGGTGTCTCTCCGTGTTTTCTTGGATGCGCGAGGGGCACTCCGCCATCCAGTGACCAATCTTTCCGCAATTGTGGCACGGCCAGGACTTCTTCACTGGTCGCCCTTTGCGCTGATTGTCCCTTGTGATGAACGCTTGACCTTGCGAAGCTTCATCACCTTTACTTCCTTGCTCCTTCCGCTTCATTTCTTCATGAAGCAGTCGAGACGTCACGAGCTCCCAGCTAAGAGTGTCTGAGCGCGACTCCAAAGCTGTGATCAAGAATTGATACGAGTCACTCAGGCTGCCGAGGAGTGTGATCACCAGATCGTCCTCGCAGACTGGAGCCCCCACCGCTTCTAGCTGTTCCGCCAGCGTCTTGAGCTTGTTGATGTGTTCGAGCACATCGTCGCCTTCTTCCATCATTGTCGTGAAGAAGCGACGGCGCAAGAACAGCTTGTTGGCAAGACTCTTCTTCTCGAAGTGGTCTTCCAACCTTGACCATGCGTCGCATGCACCACTTGCCGACCGGACCAACGGTAGCTGGGAATCTTCCATGGCTAGACAGATCACTGCCATCGCCTTTCTTGACTTCCTCTTGTACGTCGCTTGGTCCAACTGAGTCTCGCACTGTCCCGCCTTGATCTCACCGCTGACGACCTCCCATAGGTCCCGTTCCTCCAGCACCATCTGCATCTTGAACTTCCAGGCGTGGAAGTTAGTTCCATCGAACTTGGAGATGCGGAGGGAGGAGGCGTCCATGGCAGCTAAGCTTGAATTGTTGGCGGTTTCAGAGTCTGACGAACTTGGGCTCATAACCTGATGAACTTTAGACTTCTTGGTCCGAGTGCAAAACGCAAAGTGAATATATATTTATAATAGGTACTTAGTTCGCAACTTTGAATACTACCTCTAAGCCTATTATTCGCAGTGACGTCATCCAGTGACGTCACCCACTGACGTCACCCACTGACGTCATGCAATGACGTCATCCAGTGACGTCATTTCCTGACTTCGCCCTTACTGGTACATACCGGTACCCACCGGTATAGCGAAGCTTGGTCTTCCACTTGCTTCAACACTTGACGCAGCTTGACGAGGTGTCTTCTTCACAGCCGCTCTCTTTTCAACAGCAATGGTCGTGGACGCGGGGCTAACAATGTCCAGTGGGGACATCATGATGAAGGCAATGGCTACGATCGAGTGGCGTTTGCAGTCTCGTTCGAATGTGGAGTTTCGACGAGCAAGGACGTGTCTGGAATGTGGGCCGTCGACAGTGGTGCAACGCACCACATTTGCCACGACAAGACCAAGTTCGCAAGTTTGGCAGAGCGCAATGAGGGCGAACTCTTGGTGGCTGATGGCAACAAGGTGGCCATCAAGGGTGTGGGAACCATCATGGAAAAGGTGGTTCTGCCCAACGGTGAAGAGCGTGAGATCGAAATCAAGAACGCGCTATATGTTCCAAGTATGAGCAAGAACCTGCTCTCGGTGCCACAGATTAACAGCCATGGCAAGTTTCAAGTCGTGTTTGACGGGTCCAAGATGTATGTGACTCTCAAGAACTCACAGCAAGTGGTGGCGACAGCGGATCTCGTGGATGGACTCTACTGGCTTCGGACGACTCAACGATCAGCGAATGTGACAACTGATGAACTTTAGACTTCTTGGTCCGAGTGCAAAACGCAAAGTGAATATATATTTATAATAGGTACTTAGTTCGCAACTTTGAATACTACCTCTAAGCCTATTATTCGCAGTGACGTCATCCAGTGACGTCACCCACTGACGTCACCCACTGACATCATGCAATGACGTCATCCAGTGACGTCATTTCCTGACTTCGCCCCTACTGGTACATACCGGTACCCACCGGTATAGCGAAGCTTGGTCTTCCACTTGCTTCAACACTTGACGCAGCTTGACGAGGTGTCTTCTTCACAGCCGCTGTCTTTTCAACACTCCCTCTCGACTCGTTAGCTGCGGCACCTTGGATCCCAAGTCGATCGCGAATGTTTTCAAATTGTACAGCGGCGATCGGCTTGGTCATCATGTCTGCCAGCATATCTTGAGTCGGGCAATACTACAAAACGACTTCACCTGATTCCACCTTCTCACGCACAAAATGGTAGCGTATGTCGATGTGTTTTGTTCTCTTATGGAACTCCGGGTTCTTGGCGAGAGCGATTGATCCTTGGTTGTCTTCATACATCTTGATCGCTTCGTCGCTTGTCATCTCACCAAGTTCCCCCAAAAGCACTTTGAGCCATACTGCTTCTTTGGTTGCTTCGGAAAGCGCCATGTATTCTGCTTCTGTTGAAGATAGCGCGACCGTCCGTTGTTTCTGGCTTTTCCAGCTGATGCATCCTCCGCTCATCATGAACACATAGCCGCTTGTACTTCGTCTTGACTCAATGTCGCCGGCCCAGTCTGCGTCGGTGTACCCGCAGATACGGCTTCCTTCTTCACGTGTAAACTCAAGACCATGATTGGGCGTTGCTTGCAGGTATCTCAGCACACGCTTCAAAGCTTGCCAGTGAGTCGGGCATGGGTCGGACGAGAACTGGGATAATGATCCCACTGCAGCAGCTAGATCCGGACGTGTGGCGACCATGAGATACATGATGCCTCCGACAGCACTTCGATATGGCACGTTGCACATGGTGTCTTCGTGCTTGCATTCTTGTTCACACATGTTCTTGGTTAGCTTCAGGCCGGGATCTTGAGGCGTCTTCACTGGCTTGCTGTTATCCATTCCGAACTTGGTTAACACGGACTTGAGAAACTTTGTTTGTTGTACGGTCACCATTCCCGTCTTACGGTCGTTCTTGATCTCCATGCCGAGAAAGTAATCGAGCTCACCGAGATCCGTCATTTCGAAGCGTTTGCTCAGCGCCATCTTGGTTGACTTGAGGAGTTCGTTGTTGCTGCTGGCCAGGATGAGATCATCGACGTAGAGCACCACGAGAATCATGTCTTGGTCGTCTCGCTTGATGTAGATGCAGTGGTCCGATTCGCACTTCTTGAATCCCATCTTGATCATGAACCCATCGATTGTTTGGTTCCACATGCGAGGCGATTGCTTCAAGCCGTAGAGTGATCTCTTTAGCTTGCACACATAGTCCGGCTGTGTTGCATCCAGGTATCCGTCCGGCTGGTCCATGTAGATGTCTTCGTTGAGGGAGCCGTTAAGAAACGCTGTCTTGACGTCCATCTGATGTAGCATTAGGCCGTAATTGGCCGCCATACTGAGCACCACACGAATCGATGTGAACTTGGCCACCGGTGCGAAAGTTTCTTCATAGTCAACTCCGAATTTCTGTGAGAATCCTTTGGCCACAAGTCTTGCCTTGAAACGTTCAACTTCGCCATCTTGATTCTCCTTTACACGAAAAACCCATCGGCACCCGATGGCCTTGCGACCTTTCGGAAGAGGCACGATTTCCCACGTGTCGTTTCTCTGAAGCGAATCGAACTCCGAGTCACACGCTTCTTTCCACTTGCCGGAGTCGCTTGATTCCATCGCCGACTTGAATGTAGTCGGCGTTTCCCCCACTGAATCAACGATGTAGGCTGCTTCAAAATCCATTGCAGCCGCTGACACATGCTCAAGCGACGGACCTCTGTATGTTCTTCGCTTGGGACTTGGAATGACGGTAGCTTTCTCAAGTGATTGAGTGCGCGTGTGTCTCTTGATGTTGCTCTTCGAAGACCTGGTGTCTTCGTTGTCATCGTCGCTCGAGTCCATGTCGTCGTCAGTTTTACCTTCTTCTTTTTCTTCGTCCTCGTCATGATCATCAAACTCAACGACACTTGACTCATCGTTGTAGTTGCGCGGACCTTCATCAAACTTGTCTTCCATGAATGTGGCATCGCGACTGATCTTGATCGCTCCTGTTGACACTTCCTCAAATCGATATGACTTCTGGTGTTCGGCGTATCCCAGGAAACGACATAGTGATGACTTGGAGTCGAACTTCGCGCGTTTGTCTTGAGGCACTTGAACATACGCGTGGCATCCAAACACTTTAAGGTTGGCCAGAATCGGTTTCTTCATCGTCCACACTTGATATGGAGACTTGTCTTGGTGAATGGCACGTGTTGGACAGCGGTTTCGAAGAAACATCGCCGTCATCACTGCTTCACCCCAGTAGCTCTTTCCCAGTCCAGCGTGTTCCATCATGCAACGCGCACACTCGACCAGCGTGCGATTCATTCTCTCAGCTACTCCGTTTAGCTGAGGAGTATATGGGGGTGTGAACCTTTGTTGTATTCCCCGTTCCGCGCAGAATCGTGCCAGCTTGTCGGACTTGTATTCACCCCCATTGTCGCTTTGAAGGTACTTCACGCGCTTTCCGGTTTGCGTTTCGGCCATCGCAGCGTATTCCATGAACTTCGCCGCAACTTCAGATTTGCTCTTGAGCAGATAGACGACACAGTATCTTGACTTGTCATCAATGAATGTCACGAAGTACCGTTTTCCACTGAAAGTTGCCATCGACATCGGTCTGCATACGTCGCTGTGAATCACTTCGAGGAGTTTGGAGGTGCGAGCTGTAGTGTTTGATTGGAAGCGCACTCGAGTCTGTTTTCCCAGAGCACAACCTTCACACACGTCCCACTTCTTCACCGAAGATATGTCGATGCCAATTCCAATGTTCTTCGTCACGATGCAATTGAGTCCATCGTGACCTATGTGGCCAAGCCGAAGGTGCCAGAGGTACGACTTGGTGCCCCCTTGACATCCCGACGACTTGGCTGCATTTGCTTGTTCCGGCGCCACTGGAGTCATTTGCAGCTTGAACAGTCCTTTACCTTCACGGGCACCAATTTTCCACTTGGTCCCTTTCGCTTCTCCATAGCACCCATCCTTCGTGAACGTCACTGGGCCGACATCCTTGGTGAAGCGGCCGACCGAGAACAGGTTTCTGGATAACTTTGGGATGTGCCACACGTTTGTGAGCACACCTTTCTTCATCCCTTGGGGTGTCTTCATCGACATGACAATGTCCCCACTGCCGATTGCTTGGACGATTCCATCATCCGCGAGATGGACATCCACAGCGTCAAACCCCTTGTAGTTCCGCATGAACTTCTTGGAGCACGTCATGTGCTGCGTCGCCCCGGAGTCGACCAGCCAGATGTCGCTCGATTTTGCAGATGTCGTTTCACCGATCGAAAAGAGGTAGTCGCCCGAGTCTTCTTCTTGAGCGACGTTTGCACGTTGTGATCGATAGCGGTCGCCGCTGTCTTGAGCACGCTGTGGCCGGTGTCTCTCCGTGTTTTCTTGGATGCGCGAGGGGCACTCCGCCATCCAATGACCAATCTTTCCGCAATTGTGGCACGGCCAGGACTTCTTCACTGGTCGCCCTTTGCGCTGATTGTCCCTTGTGATGAACGCTTGACCTTGCGAAGCTTCATCACCTTTACTTCCTTGCTCCTTCCGCTTCATTTCTTCATGAAGCAGTCGAGACGTCACGAGCTCCCAGCTAAGAGTGTCTGAGCGCGACTCCAAAGCTGTGATCAAGAATTGATACGAGTCACTCAGGCTGCCGAGGAGTGTGATCACCAGATCGTCCTCGCAGACTGGAGCCCCCACCGCTTCTAGCTGTTCCGCCAGCGTCTTGAGCTTGTTGATGTGTTCGAGCACATCGTCGCCTTCTTCCATCATTGTCGTGAAGAAGCGACGGCGCAAGAACAGCTTGTTGGCAAGACTCTTCTTCTCGAAGTGGTCTTCCAACCTTGACCATGCGTCGCATGCACCACTTGCCGACCGGACCAACGGTAGCTGGGAATCTTCCATGGCTAGACAGATCACTGCCATCGCCTTTCTTGACTTCCTCTTGTACGTCGCTTGGTCCAACTGAGTCTCGCACTGTTCCGCCTTGATCTCACCGCTGACGACCTCCCATAGGTCCCGTTCCTCCAGCACCATCTGCATCTTGAACTTCCAGGCGTGGAAGTTAGTTCCATCGAACTTGGAGATGCGGAGGGAGGAGGCGTCCATGGCAGCTAAGCTTGAATTGTTGGCGGTTTCAGAGTCTGACGAACTTGGGCTCATAACCTGATGAACTTTAGACTTCTTGGTCCGAGTGCAAAACGCAAAGTGAATATATATTTATAATAGGTACTTAGTTCGCAACTTTGAATACTACCTCTAAGCCTATTATTCGCAGTGACGTCATCCAGTGACGTCACCCACTGACGTCACCCACTGACGTCATGCAATGACGTCATCCAGTGACGTCATTTCCTGACTTCGCCCCTACTGGTACATACCGGTACCCACCGGTATAGCGAAGCTTGGTCTTCCACTTGCTTCAACACTTGACGCAGCTTGACGAGGTGTCTTCTTCACAGCCGCTGTCTTTTCAACAACAACAAGTGGAACCAGTTGTGCCGATCTACATGCGAGAATGGGTCATGCTCCAGTCGATGTACTTCGCAAGATGATCGCGACCAACATGATCAAGGATGTGCGAGTCCCTCTCAAGTCGGGTGGAGCAACTACATGTCGAGGATGTCAACAAGGGAAAATGGTCCAAAAACCATTTCCAAGCAACCGAGACAAGCGCAGCTACGATACGTTTGAGCTACTTCATCTGGACATCTGCGGGCCCATGGAAAAGGATTCGCTCGGTGGCAGCAAATATTTGCTGCTGATCATCGACGAAGCCAGTGGATGCATGAAGGGCTTTTGTCTACGAGTGAAGTCCGAGAGTGAAGACTACATCCGGAAATATATCACCATGGTACAGACGCAATTCTGTAAGAAGGTCAAGTTCGTGCGACACGACGGAGCTCGCGAGTTTGCAACCAACTCGCTTCAACTGTTCTACGAAGACGAAGGCATTGAACAGCAGACAACGGTGCCGTATGCACATCAAACAAACGGAACAGCAGAGCGTGCCATTAGGACTATTGTCACGATCGGCCGCAGCATGCTTCATCATGCCAAACTGGACAAGTGTTTCTGGGCCGAAGCAGCGATGACGGCCATCTACGTCAAGAATCGACTGTGTTGACGGTCATCGGTTTTCTACCAGTATTGGTAACCGTGACCGATCCAATCCGAACCGCCTGTTCAGCTTAGTATTTACGACGTAGTTCTTACGGTAATTACCATAGTTGATTAGACGCGTAGGATGATGAGACGCTTCACATGATTTATATGTACACCACATATAAATCATGTAGTAAGTAGTAAGCCCCGATAATCAATCACTTTCGAATCTTCCAACTATTGGGCAAGTGTTTTCTGCTCTACTCTCTTCGGTCTCTCCGCTCCGTTTGCTCCGCTTTCCTCGCTCCGATCTACAATGCAACAGGTTATGAGCCCAAGCGCCATGTCGTCCACCAGCAATGCCTCCATTGACAAGTTCAACGGAGACAATTACGCAACGTGGAGCCGGTACATGCGCGGTGTGTTTTTGACGAAGTCCGTCTGGCACGTTGTCAACCGTGAAGTGACTCCGACTTTCACCGACCCGCGAGCGTCCGATGACTACGTCAAGGCAAGCAACGTCGCGTTTGGTATGATGCTGCTGCACATGAACGCGGACTACCATCATGTGCTGGACAACTGCGAGGAAGCCTGGGTTGCGTGGACAAGTCTGAAGACGCTGTACGGTGGGTCGCAGAAGGCAGGACGCATCTACCTCAAGCGACAACTTTTCAGTATAAAGATGGCTGAAGGCGCGAACGTCATGCATCACTGCAACGAGGTCCTCAACATCTCCGCCAAGCTTAGCGGCATCGGTGCGAAGATGGAAGACGAAGACGTTGCAATTTGTCTGCTACTCAGTCTTCCGAAGAGCTACGAAAATGTGGTGCTCAACATGGAAATGAGCAGCACCGAGCTTCGCACTCAAGATGTGGTGAGAGTCCTGACGAATGAGCATGCCAAGCGTCAAGGAGAAAAAGGGACAACGACAGCGACTACGGTGAAGGCTGAAGATGCAAGCAAGGCATTCAGCGCCGAGCGTGAGCCCTACCAATGCACGTATTGTGGCAAGGTGGGACACACGGTGGATCGTTGCTGGACAAAGCAGAAGAACGAAGGTCGGGGAGCCCGACGCGGCGGCAATGGTCGTGGACGCGGGGGCTAACAATGTCCAGTGGGGACATCATGATGAAGGCAATGGCTACGATCGAGTGGCGTTTGCAGTCTCGTTCGAATGTGGAGTTTCGACGAGCAAGGACGTGTCTGGAATGTGGGCCGTCGACAGTGGTGCAACGCACCACATTTGCCACGACAAGACCAAGTTCGCAAGTTTGGCAGAGCGCAATGAGGGCGAACTCTTGGTGGCTGATGGCAACAAGGTGGCCATCAAGGGTGTGGGAACCATCATGGAAAAGGTGGTTCTGCCCAACGGTGAAGAGCGTGAGATCGAAATCAAGAACGCGCTATATGTTCCAAGTATGAGCAAGAACCTGCTCTCGGTGCCACAGATTAACAGCCATGGCAAGTTTCAAGTCGTGTTTGACGGGTCCAAGATGTATGTGACTCTCAAGAACTCACAGCAAGTGGTGGCGACAGCGGATCTCGTGGATGGACTCTACTGGCTTCGGACGACTCAACGATCAGCGAATGTGACAACAAGTGGAACCAGTTGTGCCAATCTACATGCGAGAATGGGTCATGCTCCAGTCGATGTACTTCGCAAGATGATCGCGACCAACATGATCAAGGATGTGCGAGTCCCTCTCAAGTCGGGTGGAGCAACTACATGTCGAGGATGTCAACAAGGGAAAATGGTCCAAAAACCATTTCCAAGCAACCGAGACAAGCGCAGCTACGATACGTTTGAGCTACTTCATCTGGACATCTGCGGGCCCATGGAAAAGGATTCGCTCGGTGGCAGCAAATATTTGCTGCTGATCATCGACGAAGCCAGTGGATGCATGAAGGGCTTTTGTCTACGAGTGAAGTCCGAGAGTGAAGACTACATCCGGAAATATATCACCATGGTACAGACGCAATTCTGTAAGAAGGTCAAGTTCGTGCGACACGACGGAGCTCGCGAGTTTGCAACCAACTCGCTTCAACTGTTCTACGAAGACGAAGGCATTGAACAGCAGACAACGGTGCCGTATGCACATCAAACAAACGGAACAGCAGAGCGTGCCATTAGGACTATTGTCACGATCGGCCGCAGCATGCTTCATCATGCCAAACTGGACAAGTGTTTCTGGGCCGAAGCAGCGATGACGGCCATCTACGTCAAGAATCGACTGTGTTGACGGTCATCGGTTTTCTACCAGTATTGGTAACCGTGACCGATCCAATCCGAACCGCCTGTTCAGCTTAGTATTTACGACGTAGTTCTTACGGTAATTACCATAGTTGATTAGACGCGTAGGATGATGAGACGCTTCACATGATTTATATGTACACCACATATAAATCATGTAGTAAGTAGTAAGCCCCGATAATCAATCACTTTCGAATCTTCCAACTATTGGGCAAGTGTTTTCTGCTCTACTCTCTTCGGTCTCTCCGCTCCGTTTGCTCCGCTTTCCTCGCTCCGATCTACAATGCAACAGGTTATGAGCCCAAGCGCCATGTCGTCCACCAGCAATGCCTCCATTGACAAGTTCAACGGAGACAATTACGCAACGTGGAGCCGGTACATGCGCGGTGTGTTTTTGACGAAGTCCGTCTGGCACGTTGTCAACCGTGAAGTGACTCCGACTTTCACCGACCCGCGAGCGTCCGATGACTACGTCAAGGCAAGCAACGTCGCGTTTGGTATGATGCTGCTGCACATGAACGCGGACTACCATCATGTGCTGGACAACTGCGAGGAAGCCTGGGTTGCGTGGACAAGTCTGAAGACGCTGTACGGTGGGTCGCAGAAGGCAGGACGCATCTACCTCAAGCGACAACTTTTCAGTATAAAGATGGCTGAAGGCGCGAACGTCATGCATCACTGCAACGAGGTCCTCAACATCTCCGCCAAGCTTAGCGGCATCGGTGCGAAGATGGAAGACGAAGACGTTGCAATTTGTCTGCTACTCAGTCTTCCGAAGAGCTACGAAAATGTGGTGCTCAACATGGAAATGAGCAGCACCGAGCTTCGCACTCAAGATGTGGTGAGAGTCCTGACGAATGAGCATGCCAAGCGTCAAGGAGAAAAAGGGACAACGACAGCGACTACGGTGAAGGCTGAAGATGCAAGCAAGGCATTCAGCGCCGAGCGTGAGCCCTACCAATGCACGTATTGTGGCAAGGTGGGACACACGGTGGATCGTTGCTGGACAAAGCAGAAGAACGAAGGTCGGGGAGCCCGACGCGGCGGCAATGGTCGTGGACGCGGGGCTAACAATGTCCAGTGGGGACATCATGATGAAGGTAATGGCTACGATCGAGTGGCGTTTGCAGTCTCGTTCGAATGTGGAGTTTCGACGAGCATGGACGTGTCTGGAATGTGGGCCGTCGACAGTGGTGCAACGCACCACATTTGCCACGACAAGACCAAGTTCGCAAGTTTGGCAGAGCGCAATGAGGGCGAACTCTTGGTGGCTGATGGCAACAAGGTGGCCATCAAGGGTGTGGGAACCATCATGGAAAAGGTGGTTCTGCCCAACGGTGAAGAGCGTGAGATCGAAATCAAGAACGCGCTATATGTTCCAAGTATGAGCAAGAACCTGCTCTCGGTGCCACAGATTAACAGCCATGGCAAGTTTCAAGTCGTGTTTGACGGGTCCAAGATGTATGTGACTCTCAAGAACTCACAGCAAGTGGTGGCGACAGCGGATCTCGTGGATGGACTCTACTGGCTTCGGACGACTCAACGATCAGCGAATGTGACAACAAGTGGAACCAGTTGTGCCAATCTACATGCGAGAATGGGTCATGCTCCAGTCGATGTACTTCGCAAGATGATCGCGACCAACATGATCAAGGATGTGCGAGTCCCTCTCAAGTCGGGTGGAGCAACTACATGTCGAGGATGTCAACAAGGGAAAATGGTCCAAAAACCATTTCCAAGCAACCGAGACAAGCGCAGCTACGATACGTTTGAGCTACTTCATCTGGACATCTGCGGGCCCATGGAAAAGGATTCGCTCGGTGGCAGCAAATATTTGCTGCTGATCATCGACGAAGCCAGTGGATGCATGAAGGGCTTTTGTCTACGAGTGAAGTCCGAGAGTGAAGACTACATCCGGAAATATATCACCATGGTACAGACGCAATTCTGTAAGAAGGTCAAGTTCGTGCGACACGACGGAGCTCGCGAGTTTGCAACCAACTCGCTTCAACTGTTCTACGAAGACGAAGGCATTGAACAGCAGACAACGGTGCCGTATGCACATCAAACAAACGGAACAGCAGAGCGTGCCATTAGGACTATTGTCACGATCGGCCGCAGCATGCTTCATCATGCCAAACTGGACAAGTGTTTCTGGGCCGAAGCAGCGATGACGGCCATCTACGTCAAGAATCGACTGCCGTCACCTAAAGTCGTGCACAAGACCCCGTTTGAGATCGTCTACAACTTGAAACCAAGCGTCAAGCACATGCGAACATTCGGGTGTCAGACATACATACTGACGCCTAAAGAGAATCGACTCAAGTGGGATCCAAAGGCTCGCGCTGGCATATTCGTGGGCTACGAAGAAGTTTCGAAGGCATATCGTGTTTATGACATCGAGGCGGGGCAGGTGGTTATCAGCCGCGATGTCAACTTCGACGAGTCCACCTTTGGACTTCAACTGCCGATCACTGATGAAGATGTCGATGACCTGGACTTCGAATTGCTGGATCTTGATGACGAAGAGCTGCGTCAAATGGAGTACAAGCAAACAGGCAAGCGCAAGAACCGACTCAATGATGAAGATACAGCAGCTCCACGACCGCGTGCAGTGCGTCAACGACCAGGACTAGAAGAGTCAAGCGCGCCGGAAAACAACTCGTCACGACAAGAAGAAGACGAAGAAACGAAGGATTCTGGTGATTCAACACCGCCTGTGTTTTGGCGTGCGAGTGCAAATGCCGTTGAAGCAGCAGTGGACTTATCAGAACCCTCAACATTTGAAGCAGCAGTAAGCGGCCCTGACCAAGTGCACTGGAGAAAAGCAATTCATGCAGAGCTCGAGTCAATGCGACTTCGCGGTGTGTTTCGTGCAGCCAAGCTGCCCAACGGACAACGCGCCATTGGCACAAAATGGGTGTTCAAGATCAAGCGCAAGGCGGATGGGTCAATCGAGAAGTACAAGGCACGACTTGTGGCCAAGGGTTTCCGCCAAAAGTATGGCATCGACTACACGGAGACGTTTTCGCCTGTGGTCAAGTATGTGACGCTGCGAATGGTGATCGCAATTTCCAAGCATTTTGGATGGCCCATCGACCAGCTTGATGTGGTGACAGCTTTCCTGTATGGCGTCATGAAGGAACAAGTGTTCTGCGTGATTCCTGAAGGCGTCGAACTTGACAGTACGTTCGACTGCCTGGAATTGGTGAAGTCAATTTACGGCCTCAAGCAAGCGTCGCGAGTGTGGAACGAGACGTTCGACGAGTATGTGTGTTCCATTGGATTTCAAGTGTCAGGCTTCGACCCATGTCTCTACATCAAGACTTCGGACGGCCATTGCGTGTTTATACTGGTCTATGTGGATGACGTGTTGGTGACAGGAAGCTCACTCGAGCTGATTGCACAAACCAAGAACGACCTGAAGACGCGGTTCGAAATGACGGACAGCGGCAAGTGTGCGTTTGTTCTTGGGATCGAGCTTTTGGACGGTGAAGATGGCAGTGTGACACTATGTCAGCGTCGGTATGTCGATGATATCCTCAAGCGCTTTGGCATGGATGATTGCAAGGCAGTCGCAAGTCCAGTCGACATGAGCTCTCGACTTGTTTCAAGTGATGCAACTACCAAGGTCGATGCTCCTTTTCGCGAAGCTGTTGGTGCGTTGATGCACCTGACCACTGCAACGCGTCCGGACATTGCGTTTGCTGTGGGCTATGTGTCGCGGTTCATGGAAAATCCCCAAGAAGAACACTGGGTTGCAGTTAAGCGTATCTTTCGCTACCTACAAGGCACCAAGACGCATGGAATTTGCTACAAGCCAAGTGCAAGGATCGACTTCCGTGGATATTCGGATGCGGATTGGGCTGGTGATCTTACCGACCGCAAGTCAACATCGGGGTATACGTTCATGCTACTCGGTGCGCCAGTCAGTTGGGGCAGCAAGAAGCAGCCAAGTGTTTCGTTGTCCACGAGTGAAGCCGAATACATCGCACTCAGCTTGGCGATTCAAGAGGGCAAGTGGATTCATCGTCTGCTTTGTGAGATCGTGATGGCTGCCAATGAAGAAGGACCGGAACTCATGATCCATGAAGACAATCAGTCGTGTATCAAGATGACGAAGAACCCAGTCAACCACGGCCGTGCCAAGCACATTGATATCAAGTACCATCACATCCGTGATGAGGTCAAGCGCGGTGAAGTGAAGCTCAAGTACTGTGAAACTGCGGTGATGTTAGCGGACATCATGACGAAGGGACTTCACGGGCCACGCCACAAGGAGATGACGGCGACTCTCGGGATTCGTGAGCATTCGGATTGAGGGGGCGTGTTGACGGTCATCGGTTTTCTACCAGTATTGGTAACCGTGACCGATCCAATCCGAACCGCCTGTTCAGCTTAGTATTTACGACGTAGTTCTTACGGTAATTACCATAGTTGATTAGACGCGTAGGATGATGAGACGCTTCACATGATTTATATGTACACCACATATAAATCATGTAGTAAGTAGTAAGCCCCGATAATCAATCACTTTCGAATCTTCCAACTATTGGGCAAGTGTTTTCTGCTCTACTCTCTTCGGTCTCTCCGCTCCGTTTGCTCCGCTTTCCTCGCTCCGATCTACAATGCAACATCTTCGTAGAACAGTTGAAGCGAGTTGGTTGCAAACTCGCGAGCTCCGTCGTGTCGCACGAACTTGACCTTCTTACAGAATTGCGTCTGTACCATGGTGATATATTTCCGGATGTAGTCTTCACTCTCGGACTTCACTCGTAGACAAAAGCCCTTCATGCATCCACTGGCTTCGTCGATGATCAGCAGCAAATATTTGCTGCCACCGAGCGAATCCTTTTCCATGGGCCCGCAGATGTCCAGATGAAGTAGCTCAAACGTATCGTAGCTGCGCTTGTCTCGGTTGCTTGGAAATGGTTTTTGGACCATTTTCCCTTGTTGACATCCTCGACATGTAGTTGCTCCACCCGACTTGAGAGGGACTCGCACATCCTTGATCATGTTGGTCGCGATCATCTTGCGAAGTACATCGACTGGAGCATGACCCATTCTCGCATGTAGATCGGCACAACTGGTTCCACTTGTTGTCACATTCGCTGATCGTTGAGTCGTCCGAAGCCAGTAGAGTCCATCCACGAGATCCGCTGTCGCCACCACTTGCTGTGAGTTCTTGAGAGTCACATACATCTTGGACCCGTCAAACACGACTTGAAACTTGCCATGGCTGTTAATCTGTGGCACCGAGAGCAGGTTCTTGCTCATACTTGGAACATATAGCGCGTTCTTGATTTCGATCTCACGCTCTTCACCGTTGGGCAGAACCACCTTTTCCATGATGGTTCCCACACCCTTAATGGCCACCTTGTTGCCATCAGCCACCAAGAGTTCGCCCTCATTGCGCTCTGCCAAACTTGCGAACTTGGTCTTGTCGTGGCAAATGTGGTGCGTTGCACCACTGTCGACGGCCCACATTCCAGACACGTCCTTGCTCGTCGAAACTCCACATTCGAACGAGACTGCAAACGCCACTCGATCGTAGCCATTGCCTTCATCATGATGTCCCCACTGGACATTGTTAGCCCCGCGTCCACGACCATTGCCGCCGCGTCGGGCTCCCCGACCTTCGTTCTTCTGCTTTGTCCAGCAACGATCCACCGTGTGTCCCACCTTGCCACAATACGTGCATTGGTAGGGCTCACGCTCGGCGCTGAATGCCTTGCTTGCATCTTCAGCCTTCACCGTAGTCGCTGTCGTTGTCCCTTTTTTCTCCTTGACGCTTGGCATGCTCATTCGTCAGGACTCTCACCACATCTTGAGTGCGAAGCTCGGTGCTGCTCATTTCCATGTTGAGCACCACATTTTCGTAGCTCTTCGGAAGACTGAGTAGCAGACAAATTGCAACGTCTTCGTCTTCCATCTTCGCACCGATGCCGCTAAGCTTGGCGGAGATGTTGAGGACCTCGTTGCAGTGATGCATGACATTCGCGCCTTCAGCCATCTTGATACTGAAAAGTTGTCGCTTGAGGTAGATGCGTCCTGCCTTCTGCGACCCACCGTACAGCGTCTTCAGACTTGTCCACGCAACCCAGGCTTCCTCGCAGTTGTCCAGCACATGATGGTAGTCCGCGTTCATGTGCAGCAGCATCATACCAAACGCGACGTTGCTTGCCTTGACGTAGTCATCGGACGCTCGCGGGTCGGTGAAAGTCGGAGTCACTTCACGGTTGACAACGTGCCAGACGGACTTCGTCAAAAACACACCGCGCATGTACCGGCTCCACGTTGCGTAATTGTCTCCGTTGAACTTGTCAATGGAGGCGTTGCTGGTGGACGACATGGCGCTTGGGCTCATAACCTGTTGCATTGTAGATCGGAGCGAGGAAAGCGGAGCAAACGGAGCGGAGAGACCGAAGAGAGTAGAGCAGAAAACACTTGCCCAATAGTTGGAAGATTCGAAAGTGATTGATTATCGGGGCTTACTACTTACTACATGATTTATATGTGGTGTACATATAAATCATGTGAAGCGTCTCATCATCCTACGCGTCTAATCAACTATGGTAATTACCGTAAGAACTACGTCGTAAATACTAAGCTGAACAGGCGGTTCGGATTGGATCGGTCACGGTTACCAATACTGGTAGAAGACCGATGACCGTCAACAGCAGAACACTTGTTCCTTCATGACGCCATACAGGAAAGCTGTCACCACATCAAGCTGGTCGATGGGCCATCCAAAATGCTTGGAAATTGCGATCACCATTCGCAGCGTCACATACTTGACCACAGGCGAAAACGTCTCCGTGTAGTCGATGCCATACTTTTGGCGGAAACCCTTGGCCACAAGTCGTGCCTTGTACTTCTCGATTGACCCATCCGCCTTGCGCTTGATCTTGAACACCCATTTTGTGCCAATGGCGCGTTGTCCGTTGGGCAGCTTGGCTGCACGAAACACACCGCGAAGTCGCATTGACTCGAGCTCTGCATGAATTGCTTTTCTCCAGTGCACTTGGTCAGGGCCGCTTACTGCTGCTTCAAATGTTGAGGGTTCTGATAAGTCCACTGCTGCTTCAACGGCATTTGCACTCGCACGCCAAAACACAGGCGGTGTTGAATCACCAGAATCCTTCGTTTCTTCGTCTTCTTCTTGTCGTGACGAGTTGTTTTCCGGCGCGCTTGACTCTTCTAGTCCTGGTCGTTGACGCACTGCACGCGGTCGTGGAGCTGCTGTATCTTCATCATTGAGTCGGTTCTTGCGCTTGCCTGTTTGCTTGTACTCCATTTGACGCAGCTCTTCGTCATCAAGATCCAGCAATTCGAAGTCCAGGTCATCGACATCTTCATCAGTGATCGGCAGTTGAAGTCCAAAGGTGGACTCGTCGAAGTTGACATCGCGGCTGATAACCACCTGCCCCGCCTCGATGTCATAAACACGATATGCCTTGTTGCATTGTAGATCGGAGCGAGGAAAGCGGAGCGAACGGAGCGGAGAGACCGAAGAGAGTAGAGAAGAAAACACTTGCCCAATAGTTGGAAGATTCGAAAGTGATTGATTATCGGGGCTTACTACTTACTACATGATTTATATGTGGTGTACATATAAATCATGTGAAGCGTCTCATCATCCTACGCGTCTAATCAACTATGGTAATTACCGTAAGAACTACGTCGTAAATACTAAGCTGAACAGGCGGTTCGGATTGGATCGGTCACGGTTACCAATACTGGTAGAAAACCGATGACCGTCAACACGCCCCCTCAATCCGAATGCTCACGAATCCCGAGAGCCGTCGTCATCTCCTTGTGGCGCGGTCCGTGAAGTCCCTTGGTCATGATGTCTGCTAACATCGCCGTAGTCTCACAGTACTTGAGCTTGACTTCGCCGCGCTTGACCTCATCACGGATGTGATGGTACTTGATGTCGATGTGCTTGGCACGGCCATGGTTGACTGGGTTCTTCGTCATCTTGATACACGACTGATTGTCTTCATGGATCATGAGTTCCGGTCCTTCTTCATTGGCAGCCATCACGATCTCACAAAGCAGACGATGAATCCACTTGCCCTCTTGAATCGCCAAGCTGAGTGCGATGTATTCGGCTTCACTCGTGGACAACGAAACACTTGGCTGCTTCTTGCTGCCCCAACTGACTGGCGCACCGAGTAGCATGAACGTGTACCCCGATGTTGACTTGCGGTCGGTAAGATCACCAGCCCAATCCGCATCCGAATATTCACGGAAGTCGATCCTTGCACTTGGCTTGTAGCAAATTCCATGCGTCTTGGTGCCTTGTAGGTAGCGAAAGATACGCTTAACTGCAACCCAGTGTTCTTCTTGGGGATTTTCCATGAACCGCGACACATAGCCCACAGCAAACGCAATGTCCGGACGCGTTGCAGTGGTCAGGTGCATCAACGCACCAACAGCTTCGCGAAAAGGAGCATCGACCTTGGTAGTTGCATCACTTGAAACAAGTCGAGAGCTCATGTCGACTGGACTTGCGACTGCCTTGCAATCATCCATGCCAAAGCGCTTGAGGATATCATCGACATACCGACGCTGACATAGTGTCACACTGCCATCTTCACCGTCCAAAAGCTCGATCCCAAGAACAAACGCACACTTGCCGCTGTCCGTCATTTCGAACCGCGTCTTCAGGTCGTTCTTGGTTTGTGCAATCAGCTCGAGCGAGCTTCCAGTCACCAAGACGTCGTCCATGTAGACCAGTATAAACACGCAATGGCCGTCCGAAGTCTTGATGTAGAGACATGGGTCGAAGCCTGACACTTGAAATCCAATGGAACACACACTCGTCAAAAGTCTCGTGAAAGTCTCGTTCCATACTCGCAAAGCTTGCTTCAGGCCGTAAATTGCCTTCACCAATTCCAGGCAGTCGAACGTACTGTCAAGTTCGACGCCTTCAGGAATCACGCAGAACACTTGTTCCTTCATGACGCCATACAGGAAAGCTGTCACCACATCAAGCTGGTCGATGGGCCATCCAAAATGCTTGGAAATTGCGATCACCATTCTCAGCGTCACATGCTTGACCACGGGAGAAAACGTCTCCGTGTAGTCGATTCCATACTTTTGGCGGAAACCCTTGGCCACAAGTCGTGCCTTGTACTTCTCGATTGACCCATCCGCCTTGCGCTTGATCTTGAACACCCATTTTGTGCCAATGGCGCGTTGTCCGTTGGGCAGCTTGGCTGCACGAAACACACCGCGAAGTCGCATTGACTCGAGCTCTGCATGAATTGCTTTTCTCCAGTGCACTTGGTCAGGGCCGCTTACTGCTGCTTCAAATGTTGAGGGCTCTGATAAGTCCACTGCTGCTTCAACGGCATTTGCACTCGCACGCCAAAACACAGGCGGTGTTGAATCACCAGAATCCTTCGTTTCTTCGTCTTCTTCTTGTCGTGACGAGTTGTTTTCCGGCGCGCTTGACTCTTCTAGTCCTGGTCGTTGACGCACTGCACGCGGTCGTGGAGCTGCTGTATCTTCATCATTGAGTCGGTTCTTGCGCTTGCCTGTTTGCTTGTACTCCATTTGACGCAGCTCTTCGTCATCAAGATCCAGCAATTCGAAGTCCAGGTCATCGACATCTTCATCAGTGATCGGCAGTTGAAGTCCAAAGGTGGACTCGTCGAAGTTGACATCGCGGCTGATAACCACCTGCCCCGCCTCGATGTCATAAACACGATATGCCTTCGAAACTTCTTCGTAGCCCACGAATATGCCAGCGCGAGCCTTTGGATCCCACTTGAGTCGATTCTCCTTCGGAGTCAGTATATATGTCTGACAGCCGAATGTTCGCATGTGCTTGACGCTTGGTTTTAAGTTGTAGACGATCTCAAACGGGGTCTTGTGCACGACTTTAGGTGACGGCAGTCGATTCTTGACGTAGATGGCCGTCATCGCTGCTTCGGCCCAGAAACACTTGTCCAGTTTGGCATGATGAAGCATGCTGCGGCCGATCGTGACAATAGTCCTAATGGCACGCTCTGCTGTTCCGTTTGTTTGATGTGCATACGGCACCGTTGTCTGCTGTTCAATGCCTTCGTCTTCGTAGAACAGTTGAAGCGAGTTGGTTGCAAACTCGCGAGCTCCGTCGTGTCGCACGAACTTGACCTTCTTACAGAATTGCGTCTGTACCATGGTGATATATTTCCGGATGTAGTCTTCACTCTCGGACTTCACTCGTAGACAAAAGCCCTTCATGCATCCACTGGCTTCGTCGATGATCAGCAGCAAATATTTGCTGCCACCGAGCGAATCCTTTTCCATGGGCCCGCAGATGTCCAGATGAAGTAGCTCAAACGTATCGTAGCTGCGCTTGTCTCGGTTGCTTGGAAATGGTTTTTGGACCATTTTCCCTTGTTGACATCCTCGACATGTAGTTGCTCCACCCGACTTGAGAGGGACTCGCACATCCTTGATCATGTTGGTCGCGATCATCTTGCGAAGTACATCGACTGGAGCATGACCCATTCTCGCATGTAGATCGGCACAACTGGTTCCACTTGTTGTCACATTCGCTGATCGTTGAGTCGTCCGAAGCCAGTAGAGTCCATCCACGAGATCCGCTGTCGCCACCACTTGCTGTGAGTTCTTGAGAGTCACATACATCTTGGACCCGTCAAACACGACTTGAAACTTGCCATGGCTGTTAATCTGTGGCACCGAGAGCAGGTTCTTGCTCATACTTGGAACATATAGCGCGTTCTTGATTTCGATCTCACGCTCTTCACCGTTGGGCAGAACCACCTTTTCCATGATGGTTCCCACACCCTTGATGGCCACCTTGTTGCCATCAGCCACCAAGAGTTCGCCCTCATTGCGCTCTGCCAAACTTGCGAACTTGGTCTTGTCGTGGCAAATGTGGTGCGTTGCACCACTGTCGACGGCCCACATTCCAGACACGTCCTTGCTCGTCGAAACTCCACATTCGAACGAGACTGCAAACGCCACTCGATCGTAGCCATTGCCTTCATCATGATGTCCCCACTGGACATTGTTAGCCCCGCGTCCACGACCATTGCCGCCGCGTCGGGCTCCCCGACCTTCGTTCTTCTGCTTTGTCCAGCAACGATCCACCGTGTGTCCCACCTTGCCACAATACGTGCATTGGTAGGGCTCACGCTCGGCGCTGAATGCCTTGCTTGCATCTTCAGCCTTCACCGTAGTCGCTGTCGTTGTCCCTTTTTCTCCTTGACGCTTGGCATGCTCATTCGTCAGGACTCTCACCACATCTTGAGTGCGAAGCTCGGTGCTGCTCATTTCCATGTTGAGCACCACATTTTCGTAGCTCTTCGGAAGACTGAGTAGCAGACAAATTGCAACGTCTTCGTCTTCCATCTTCGCACCGATGCCGCTAAGCTTGGCGGAGATGTTGAGGACCTCGTTGCAGTGATGCATGACGTTCGCGCCTTCGGCCATCTTGATACTGAAAAGTTGTCGCTTGAGGTAGATGTGTCCTGCCTTCTGCGACCCACCGTACAGCGTCTTCAGACTTGTCCACGCAACCCAGGCTTCCTCGCAGTTGTCCAGCACATGATGGTAGTCCGCGTTCATGTGCAGCAGCATCATACCAAACGCGACGTTGCTTGCCTTGACGTAGTCATCGGACGCTCGCGGGTCGGTGAAAGTCGGAGTCACTTCACGGTTGACGACGTGCCAGACGGACTTCGTCAAAAACACACCGCGCATGTACCGGCTCCACGTTGCGTAATTATCTCCGTTGAACTTGTCAATGGAGGCGTTGCTGGTGGACGACATGGCGCTTGGGCTCATAACCTGTTGCATTGTAGATCGGAGCGAGGAAAGCGGAGCAAACGGAGCGGAGAGACCGAAGAGAGTAGAGCAGAAAACACTTGCCCAATAGTTGGAAGATTCGAAAGTGATTGATTATCGGGGCTTACTACTTACTACATGATTTATATGTGGTGTACATATAAATCATGTGAAGCGTCTCATCATCCTACGCGTCTAATCAACTATGGTAATTACCGTAAGAACTACGTCGTAAATACTAAGCTGAACAGGCGGTTCGGATTGGATCGGTCACGGTTACCAATACTGGTAGAAAACCGATGACCGTCAACAGCCTTCGAAACTTCTTCGTAGCCCACGAATATGCCAGCGCGAGCCTTTGGATCCCACTTGAGTCGATTCTCTTTAGGCGTCAGTATGTATGTCTGACACCCGAATGTTCGCATGTGCTTGACGCTTGGTTTCAAGTTGTAGACGATCTCAAACGGGGTCTTGTGCACGACTTTAGGTGACGGCAGTCGATTCTTGACGTAGATGGCCGTCATCGCTGCTTCGGCCCAGAAACACTTGTCCAGTTTGGCATGATGAAGCATGCTGCGGCCGATCGTGACAATAGTCCTAATGGCACGCTCTGCTGTTCCGTTTGTTTGATGTGCATACGGCACCGTTGTCTGCTGTTCAATGCCTTCGTCTTCGTAGAACAGTTGAAGCGAGTTGGTTGCAAACTCGCGAGCTCCGTCGTGTCGCACGAACTTGACCTTCTTACAGAATTGCGTCTGTACCATGGTGATATATTTCCGGATGTAGTCTTCACTCTCGGACTTCACTCGTAGACAAAAGCCCTTCATGCATCCACTGGCTTCGTCGATGATCAGCAGCAAATGTTTGCTGCCACCGAGCGAATCCTTTTCCATGGGCCCGCAGATGTCCAGATGAAGTAGCTCAAACGTATCGTAGCTGCGCTTGTCTCGGTTGCTTGGAAATGGTTTTTGGACCATTTTCCCTTGTTGACATCCTCGACATGTAGTTGCTCCACCCGACTTGAGAGGGACTCGCACATCCTTGATCATGTTGGTCGCGATCATCTTGCGAAGTACATCGACTGGAGCATGACCCATTCTCGCATGTAGATCGGCACAACTGGTTCCACTTGTTGTCACATTCGCTGATCGTTGAGTCGTCCGAAGCCAGTAGAGTCCATCCACGAGATCCGCTGTCGCCACCACTTGCTGTGAGTTCTTGAGAGTCACATACATCTTGGACCCGTCAAACACGACTTGAAACTTGCCATGGCTGTTAATCTGTGGTACCGAGAGCAGGTTCTTGCTCATACTTGGAACATATAGCGCGTTCTTGATTTCGATCTCACGCTCTTCACCGTTGGGCAGAACCACCTTTTCCATTATGGTTCCCACACCCTTGATGGCCACCTTGTTGCCATCAGCCACCAAGAGTTCGCCCTCATTGCGCTCTGCCAAACTTGCGAACTTGGTCTTGTCGTGGCAAATGTGGTGCGTTGCACCACTGTCGACGGCCCACATTCCAGACACGTCCATGCTCGTCGAAACTCCACATTCAAACGAGACTGCAAACGCCACTCGATCGTAGCCATTACCTTCATCATGATGTCCCCACTGGACATTGTTAGCCCCGCGTCCACGACCATTGCCGCCGCGTCGGGCTCCCCGACCTTCGTTCTTCTGCTTTGTCCAGCAACGATCCACCGTGTGTCCCACCTTGCCACAATACGTGCATTGGTAGGGCTCACGCTCGGCGCTGAATGCCTTGCTTGCATCTTCAGCCTTCACCGTAGTCGCTGTCGTTGTCCCTTTTTCTCCTTGACGCTTGGCATGCTCATTCGTCAGGACTCTCACCACATCTTGAGTGCGAAGCTCGGTGCTGCTCATTTCCATGTTGAGCACCACATTTTCGTAGCTCTTCGGAAGACTGAGTAGCAGACAAATTGCAACGTCTTCGTCTTCCATCTTCGCACCGATGCCGCTAAGCTTGGCGGAGATGTTGAGGACCTCGTTGCAGTGATGCATGACGTTCGCGCCTTCAGCCATCTTGATACTGAAAAGTTGTCGCTTGAGGTAGATGCGTCCTGCCTTCTGCGACCCACCGTACAGCGTCTTCAGACTTGTCCACGCAACCCAGGCTTCCTCGCAGTTGTCCAGCACATGATGGTAGTCCGCTTTCATGTGCAGCAGCATCATACCAAACGCGACGTTGCTTGCCTTGACGTAGTCATCGGACGCTCGCGGGTCGGTGAAAGTCGGAGTCACTTCACGGTTGACGACGTGCCAGACGGACTTCGTCAAAAACACACCGCGCATGTACCGGCTCCACGTTGCGTAATTATCTCCGTTGAACTTGTCAATGGAGGCGTTGCTGGTGGACGACATGGCGCTTGGGCTCATAACCTGTTGCATTGTAGATCGGAGCGAGGAAAGCGGAGCGAACGGAGCGGAGAGACCGAAGAGAGTAGAGCAGAAAACACTTGCCCAATAGTTGGAAGATTCGAAAGTGATTGATTATCGGGGCTTACTACTTACTACATGATTTATATGTGGTGTACATATAAATCATGTGAAGCGTCTCATCATCCTACGCGTCTAATCAACTATGGTAATTACCGTAAGAACTACGTCGTAAATACTAAGCTGAACAGGCGGTTCGGATTGGATCGGTCACGGTTACCAATACTGGTAGAAAACCGATGACCGTCAACATGCCTTCGAAACTTCTTCGTAGCCCACGAATATGCCAGCGCGAGCCTTTGGATCCCACTTGAGTCGATTCTCTTTAGGCGTCAGTATGTATGTCTGACACCCGAATGTTCGCATGTGCTTGACGCTTGGTTTAGAGTTGTAGACGATCTCAAACGGGGTCTTGTGCACGACTTTAGGTGACGGCAGTCGATTCTTGACGTAGATGGCCGTCATCGCTGCTTCGGCCCAGAAACACTTGTCCAGTTTGGCATGATGAAGCATGCTGCGGCCGATCGTGACAATAGTCCTAATGGCACGCTCTGCTGTTCCGTTTGTTTGATGTGCATACGGCACCGTTGTCTGCTGTTCAATGCCTTCGTCTTCGTAGAACAGTTGAAGCGAGTTGGTTGCAAACTCGCGAGCTCCGTCGTGTCGCACGAACTTGACCTTCTTACAGAATTGCGTCTGTACCATGGTGATATATTTCCGGATGTAGTCTTCACTCTCGGACTTCACTCGTAGACAAAAGCCCTTCATGCATCCACTGGCTTCGTCGATGATCAGCAGCAAATATTTGCTGCCACCGAGCGAATCCTTTTCCATGGGCCCGCAGATGTCCAGATGAAGTAGCTCAAACGTATCGTAGCTGCGCTTGTCTCGGTTGCTTGGAAATGGTTTTTGGACCATTCTCCCTTGTTGACATCCTCGACATGTAGTTGCTCCACCCGACTTGAGAGGGACTCGCACATCCTTGATCATGTTGGTCGCGATCATCTTGCGAAGTACATCGACTGGAGCATGACCCATTCTCGCATGTAGATCGGCACAACTGGTTCCACTTGTTGTCACATTCGCTGATCGTTGAGTCGTCCGAAGCCAGTAGAGTCCATCCACGAGATCCGCTGTCGCCACCACTTGCTGTGAGTTCTTGAGAGTCACATACATCTTGGACCCGTCAAACACGACTTGAAACTTGCCATGGCTGTTAATCTGTGGTACCGAGAGCAGGTTCTTGCTCATACTTGGAACATATAGCGCGTTCTTGATTTCGATCTCACGCTCTTCACCGTTGGGCAGAACCACCTTTTCCATGATGGTTCCCACACCCTTGATGGCCACCTTGTTGCCATCAGCCACCAAGAGTTCGCCCTCATTGCGCTCTGCCAAACTTGCGAACTTGGTCTTGTCGTGGCAAATGTGGTGCGTTGCACCACTGTCGACGGCCCACATTCCAGACACGTCCATGCTCGTCGAAACTCCACATTCAAACGAGACTGCAAACGCCACTCGATCGTAGCCATTACCTTCATCATGATGTCCCCACTGGACATTGTTAGCCCCCGCGTCCACGACCATTGCCGCCGCGTCGGGCTCCCCCGACCTTCGTTCTTCTGCTTTGTCCAGCAACGATCCACCGTGTGTCCCACCTTGCCACAATACGTGCATTGGTAGGGCTCACGCTCGGCGCTGAATGCCTTGCTTGCATCTTCAGCCTTCACCGTAGTCGCTGTCGTTGTCCCTTTTTCTCCTTGACGCTTGGCATGCTCATTCGTCAGGACTCTCACCACATCTTGAGTGCGAAGCTCGGTGCTGCTCATTTCCATGTTGAGCACCACATTTTCGTAGCTCTTCGGAAGACTGAGTAGCAGACAAATTGCAACGTCTTCGTCTTCCATCTTCGCACCGATGCCGCTAAGCTTGGCGGAGATGTTGAGGACCTCGTTGCAGTGATGCATGACGTTCGCGCCTTCAGCCATCTTGATACTGAAAAGTTGTCGCTTGAGGTAGATGTGTCCTGCCTTCTGCGACCCACCGTACAGCGTCTTCAGACTTGTCCACGCAACCCAGGCTTCCTCGCAGTTGTCCAGCACATGATGGTAGTCCGCTTTCATGTGCAGCAGCATCATACCAAACGCGACGTTGCTTGCCTTGACGTAGTCATCGGACGCTCGCGGGTCGGTGAAAGTCGGAGTCACTTCACGGTTGACAACGTGCCAGACGGACTTCGTCAAAAACACACCGCGCATGTACCGGCTCCACGTTGCGTAATTGTCTCCGTTGAACTTGTCAATGGAGGCGTTGCTGGTGGACGACATGGCGCTTGGGCTCATAACCTGTTGCATTGTAGATCGGAGCGAGGAAAGCGGAGCGAACGGAGCGGAGAGACCGAAGAGAGTAGAGCAGAAAACACTTGCCCAATAGTTGGAAGATTCGAAAGTGATTGATTATCGGGGCTTACTACTTACTACATGATTTATATGTGGTGTACATATAAATCATGTGAAGCGTCTCATCATCCTACGCGTCTAATCAACTATGGTAATTACCGTAAGAACTACGTCGTAAATACTAAGCTGAACAGGCGGTTCGGATTGGATCGGTCACGGTTACCAATACTGGTAGAAAACCGATGACCGTCAACATGCCTTCGAAACTTCTTCGTAGCCCACGAATATGCCAGCGCGAGCCTTTGTATCCCACTTGAGTCGATTCTCTTTAGGCGTCAGTATGTATGTCTGACACCCGAATGTTCGCATGTGCTTGACGCTTGGTTTCAAGTTGTAGACGATCTCAAACGGGGTCTTGTGCACGACTTTAGGTGACGGCAGTCGATTCTTGACGTAGATGGCCGTCATCGCTGCTTCGGCCCAGAAACACTTGTCCAGTTTGGCATGATGAAGCATGCTGCGGCCGATCGTGACAATAGTCCTAATGGCACGCTCTGCTGTTCCGTTTGTTTGATGTGCATACGGCACCGTTGTCTGCTGTTCAATGCCTTCGTCTTCGTAGAACAGTTGAAGCGAGTTGGTTGCAAACTCGCGAGCTCCGTCGTGTCGCACGAACTTGACCTTCTTACAGAATTGCGTCTGTACCATGGTGATATATTTCCGGATGTAGTCTTCACTCTCGGACTTCACTCGTAGACAAAAGCCCTTCATGCATCCACTGGCTTCGTCGATGATCAGCAGCAAATATTTGCTGCCACCGAGCGAATCCTTTTCCATGGGCCCGCAGATGTCCAGATGAAGTAGCTCAAACGTATCGTAGCTGCGCTTGTCTCGGTTGCTTGGAAATGGTTTTTGACCATTTTCCCTTGTTGACATCCTCGACATGTAGTTGCTCCACCCGACTTGAGAGGGACTCGCACATCCTTGATCATGTTGGTCGCGATCATCTTGCGAAGTACATCGACTGGAGCATGACCCATTCTCGCATGTAGATCGGCACAACTGGTTCCACTTGTTGTCACATTCGCTGATCGTTGAGTCGTCCGAAGCCAGTAGAGTCCATCCACGAGATCCGCTGTCGCCACCACTTGCTGTGAGTTCTTGAGAGTCACATACATCTTGGACCCGTCAAACACGACTTGAAACTTGCCATGGCTGTTAATCTGTGGTACCGAGAGCAGGTTCTTGCTCATACTTGGAACATATAGCGCGTTCTTGATTTCGATCTCACGCTCTTCACCGTTGGGCAGAACCACCTTTTCCATTATGGTTCCCACACCCTTGATGGCCACCTTGTTGCCATCAGCCACCAAGAGTTCGCCCTCATTGCGCTCTGCCAAACTTGCGAACTTGGTCTTGTCGTGGCAAATGTGGTGCGTTGCACCACTGTCGACGGCCCACATTCCAGACACGTCCATGCTCGTCGAAACTCCACATTCGAACGAGACTGCAAACGCCACTCGATCGTAGCCATTACCTTCATCATGATGTCCCCACTGGACATTGTTAGCCCCGCGTCCACGACCATTGCCGCCGCGTCGGGCTCCCCGACCTTCGTTCTTCTGCTTTGTCCAGCAACGATCCACCGTGTGTCCCACCTTGCCACAATACGTGCATTGGTAGGGCTCACGCTCGGCGCTGAATGCCTTGCTTGCATCTTCAGCCTTCACCGTAGTCGCTGTCGTTGTCCCTTTTTCTCCTTGACGCTTGGCATGCTCATTCGTCAGGACTCTCACCACATCTTGAGTGCGAAGCTCGGTGCTGCTCATTTCCATGTTGAGCACCACATTTTCGTAGCTCTTCGGAAGACTGAGTAGCAGACAAATTGCAACGTCTTCGTCTTCCATCTTCGCACCGATGCCGCTAAGCTTGGCGGAGATGTTGAGGACCTCGTTGCAGTGATGCATGACGTTCGCGCCTTCAGCCATCTTGATACTGAAAAGTTGTCGCTTGAGGTAGATGCGTCCTGCCTTCTGCGACCCACCGTACAGCGTCTTCAGACTTGTCCACGCAACCCAGGCTTCCTCGCAGTTGTCCAGCACATGATGGTAGTCCGCGTTCATGTGCAGCAGCATCATACCAAACGCGACGTTGCTTGCCTTGACGTAGTCATCGGACGCTCGCGGGTCGGTGAAAGTCGGAGTCACTTCACGGTTGACAACGTGCCAGACGGACTTCGTCAAAAACACACCGCGCATGTACCGGCTCCACGTTGCGTAATTATCTCCGTTGAACTTGTCAATGGAGGCGTTGCTGGTGGACGACATGGCGCTTGGGCTCATAACCTGTTGCATTGTAGATCGGAGCGAGGAAAGCGGAGCGAACGGAGCGGAGAGACCGAAGAGAGTAGAGCAGAAAACACTTGCCCAATAGTTGGAAGATTCGAAAGTGATTGATTATCGGGGCTTACTACTTACTACATGATTTATATGTGGTGTACATATAAATCATGTGAAGCGTTTCATCATCCTACGCGTCTAATCAACTATGGTAATTACCGTAAGAACTACGTCGTAAATACTAAGCTGAACAGGCGGTTCGGATTGGATCGGTCACAGTTACCAATACTGGTAGAAAACCGATGACCGTCAACATGCCTTCGAAACTTCTTCGTAGCCCACGAATATGCCAGCGCGAGCCTTTGGATCCCACTTGAGTCGATTCTCTTTAGGCGTCAGTATGTATGTCTGACACCCGAATGTTCGCATGTGCTTGACGCTTGGTTTCAAGTTGTAGACGATCTCAAACGGGGTCTTGTGCACGACTTTAGGTGACGGCAGTCGATTCTTGACGTAGATGGCCGTCATCGCTGCTTCGGCCCAGAAACACTTGTCCAGTTTGGCATGATGAAGCATGCTGCGGCCGATCGTGACAATAGTCCTAATGGCACGCTCTGCTGTTCCGTTTGTTTGATGTGCATACGGCACCGTTGTCTGCTGTTCAATGCCTTCGTCTTCGTAGAACAGTTGAAGCGAGTTGGTTGCAAACTCGCGAGCTCCGTCGTGTCGCACGAACTTGACCTTCTTACAGAATTGCGTCTGTACCATGGTGATATATTTCCGGATGTAGTCTTCACTCTCGGACTTCACTCGTAGACAAAAGCCCTTCATGCATCCACTGGCTTCGTCGATGATCAGCAGCAAATATTTGCTGCCACCGAGCGAATCCTTTTCCATGGGCCCGCAGATGTCCAGATGAAGTAGCTCAAACGTATCGTAGCTGCGCTTGTCTCGGTTGCTTGGAAATGGTTTTTGGACCATTTTCCCTTGTTGACATCCTCGACATGTAGTTGCTCCACCCGACTTGAGAGGGACTCGCACATCCTTGATCATGTTGGTCGCGATCATCTTGCGAAGTACATCGACTGGAGCATGACCCATTCTCGCATGTAGATCGGCACAACTGGTTCCACTTGTTGTCACATTCGCTGATCGTTGAGTCGTCCGAAGCCAGTAGAGTCCATCCACGAGATCCGCTGTCGCCACCACTTGCTGTGAGTTCTTGAGAGTCACATACATCTTGGACCCGTCAAACACGACTTGAAACTTGCCATGGCTGTTAATCTGTGGTACCGAGAGCAGGTTCTTGCTCATACTTGGAACATATAGCGCGTTCTTGATTTCGATCTCACGCTCTTCACCGTTGGGCAGAACCACCTTTTCCATGATGGTTCCCACACCCTTGATGGCCACCTTGTTGCCATCAGCCACCAAGAGTTCGCCCTCATTGCGCTCTGCCAAACTTGCGAACTTGGTCTTGTCGTGGCAAATGTGGTGCGTTGCACCACTGTCGACGGCCCACATTCCAGACACGTCCATGCTCGTCGAAACTCCACATTCGAACGAGACTGCAAACGCCACTCGATCGTAGCCATTACCTTCATCATGATGTCCCCACTGGACATTGTTAGCCCCGCGTCCACGACCATTGCCGCCGCGTCGGGCTCCCCGACCTTCGTTCTTCTGCTTTGTCCAGCAACGATCCACCGTGTGTCCCACCTTGCCACAATACGTGCATTGGTAGGGCTCACGCTCGGCGCTGAATGCCTTGCTTGCATCTTCAGCCTTCACCGTAGTCGTTGTCGTTGTCCCTTTTTCTCCTTGACGCTTGGCATGCTCATTCGTCAGGACTCTCACCACATCTTGAGTGCGAAGCTCGGTGCTGCTCATTTCCATGTTGAGCACCACATTTTCGTAGCTCTTCGGAAGACTGAGTAGCAGACAAATTGCAACGTCTTCGTCTTCCATCTTCGCACCGATGCCGCTAAGCTTGGCGGAGATGTTGAGGACCTCGTTGCAGTGATGCATGACGTTCGCGCCTTCAGCCATCTTGATACTGAAAAGTTGTCGCTTGAGGTAGATGCGTCCTGCCTTCTGCGACCCACCGTACAGCGTCTTCAGACTTGTCCACGCAACCCAGGCTTCCTCGCAGTTGTCCAGCACATGATGGTAGTCCGCGTTCATGTGCAGCAGCATCATACCAAACGCGACGTTGCTTGCCTTGACGTAGTCATCGGACGCTCGCGGGTCGGTGAAAGTCGGAGTCACTTCACGGTTGACAACGTGCCAGACGGACTTCGTCAAAAACACACCGCGCATGTACCGGCTCCACGTTGCGTAATTGTCTCCGTTGAACTTGTCAATGGAGGCGTTGCTGGTGGACGACATGGCGCTTGGGCTCATAACCTGTTGCATTGTAGATCGGAGCGAGGAAAGCGGAGCGAACGGAGCGGAGAGACCGAAGAGAGTAGAGCAGAAAACACTTGCCCAATAGTTGGAAGATTCGAAAGTGATTGATTATCGGGGCTTACTACTTACTACATGATTTATATGTGGTGTACATATAAATCATGTGAAGCGTCTCATCATCCTACGCGTCTAATCAACTATGGTAATTACCGTAAGAACTACGTCGTAAATACTAAGCTGAACAGGCGGTTCGGATTGGATCGGTCACGGTTACCAATACTGGTAGAAAACCGATGACCGTCAACACGCCCCCTCAATCCGAATGCTCACGAATCCCGAGAGTCGCCGTCATCTCCTTGTGGCGTGGCCCGTGAAGTCCCTTCGTCATGATGTCCGCTAACATCACCGCAGTTTCACAGTACTTGAGCTTCACTTCACCGCGCTTGACCTCATCACGGATGTGATGGTACTTGATATCAATGTGCTTGGCACGGCCGTGGTTGACTGGGTTCTTCGTCATCTTGATACACGACTGATTGTCTTCATGGATCATGAGTTCCGGTCCTTCTTCATTGGCAGCCATCACGATCTCACAAAGCAGACGATGAATCCACTTGCCCTCTTGAATCGCCAAGCTGAGTGCGATGTATTCGGCTTCACTCGTGGACAACGAAACACTTGGCTGCTTCTTGCTGCCCCAACTGACTGGCGCACCGAGTAGCATGAACGTGTACCCCGATGTTGACTTGCGGTCGGTAAGATCACCAGCCCAATCCGCATCCGAATATCCACGGAAGTCGATCCTTGCACTTGGCTTGTAGCAAATTCCATGCGTCTTGGTGCCTTGTAGGTAGCGAAAGATACGCTTAACTGCAACCCAGTGTTCTTCTTGGGGATTTTCCATGAACCGCGACACATAGCCCACAGCAAACGCAATGTCCGGACGCGTTGCAGTGGTCAGGTGCATCAACGCACCAACAGCTTCGCGAAAAGGAGCATCGACCTTGGTAGTTGCATCACTTGAAACAAGTCGAGAGCTCATGTCGACTGGACTTGCGACTGCCTTGCAATCATCCATGCCAAAGCGCTTGAGGATATCATCGACATACCGACGCTGACATAGTGTCACACTGCCATCTTCACCGTCCAAAAGCTCGATCCCAAGAACAAACGCACACTTGCCGCTGTCCGTCATTTCGAACCGCGTCTTCAGGTCGTTCTTGGTTTGTGCAATCAGCTCGAGCGAGCTTCCAGTCACCAAGACGTCGTCCACGTAGACCAGTATAAACACGCAATGGCCGTCCGAAGTCTTGATGTAGAGACATGGGTCGAAGTCCGATACTTGAAATCCGATGGAGCACACATACTCGTCGAACGTCTCGTTCCACACTCGCGACGCTTGCTTGAGGCCGTAAATTGACTTCACCAATTCCAGGCAGTCGAACGTACTGTCAAGTTCGACGCCTTCAGGAATCACGCAGAACACTTGTTCCTTCATGACGCCATACAGGAAAGCTGTCACCACATCAAGCTGGTCGATGGGCCATCCAAAATGCTTGGAAATTGCGATCACCATTCGCAGCGTCACATACTTGACCACAGGCGAAAACGTCTCCGTGTAGTCGATGCCATACTTTTGGCGGAAACCCTTGGCCACAAGTCGTGCCTTGTACTTCTCGATTGACCCATCCGCCTTGCGCTTGATCTTGAACACCCATTTTGTGCCAATGGCGCGTTGTCCGTTGGGCAGCTTGGCTGCACGAAACACACCGCGAAGTCGCATTGACTCGAGCTCTGCATGAATTGCTTTTCTCCAGTGCACTTGGTCAGGGCCGCTTACTGCTGCTTCAAATGTTGAGGGTTCTGATAAGTCCACTGCTGCTTCAACGGCATTTGCACTCGCACGCCAAAACACAGGCGGTGTTGAATCACCAGAATCCTTCGTTTCTTCGTCTTCTTCTTGTCGTGACGAGTTGTTTTCCGGCGCGCTTGACTCTTCTAGTCCTGGTCGTTGACGCACTGCACGCGGTCGTGGAGCTGCTGTATCTTCATCATTGAGTCGGTTCTTGCGCTTGCCTGTTTGCTTGTACTCCATTTGACGCAGCTCTTCGTCATCAAGATCCAGCAATTCGAAGTCCAGGTCATCGACATCTTCATCAGTGATCGGCAGTTGAAGTCCAAAGGTGGACTCGTCGAAGTTGACATCGCGGCTGATAACCACCTGCCCCGCCTCGATGTCATAAACACGATATGCCTTCGAAACTTCTTCGTAGCCCACGAATATGCCAGCGCGAGCCTTTGGATCCCACTTGAGTCGCTTCTCCTTCGGAGTCAGTATAAATGTCTGACAGCCGAATACTCGCATGTGCTTGACACTTGGCTTCGAGTTGTACACGATCTCAAACGGGATCTTGTGCACGACTTTAGGTGACGGCAGTCGATTCTTGACGTAGATGGCCGTCATCGCTGCTTCGGCCCAGAAACACTTGTCCAGTTTGGCATGATGAAGCATGCTGCGGCCGATCGTGACAATAGTCCTAATGGCACGCTCTGCTGTTCCGTTTGTTTGATGTGCATACGGCACCGTTGTCTGCTGTTCAATGCCTTCGTCTTCGTAGAACAGTTGAAGCGAGTTGGTTGCAAACTCGCGAGCTCCGTCGTGTCGCACGAACTTGACCTTCTTACAGAATTGCGTCTGTACCATGGTGATATATTTCCGGATGTAGTCTTCACTCTCGGACTTCACTCGTAGACAAAAGCCCTTCATGCATCCACTGGCTTCGTCGATGATCAGCAGCAAATGTTTGCTGCCACCGAGCGAATCCTTTTCCATGGGCCCGCAGATGTCCAGATGAAGTAGCTCAAACGTATCGTAGCTGCGCTTGTCTCGGTTGCTTGGAAATGGTTTTTGGACCATTTTCCCTTGTTGACATCCTCGACATGTAGTTGCTCCACCCGACTTGAGAGGGACTCGCACATCCTTGATCATGTTGGTCGCGATCATCTTGCGAAGTACATCGACTGGAGCATGACCCATTCTCGCATGTAGATCGGCACAACTGGTTCCACTTGTTGTCACATTCGCTGATCGTTGAGTCGTCCGAAGCCAGTAGAGTCCATCCACGAGATCCGCTGTCGCCACCACTTGCTGTGAGTTCTTGAGAGTCACATACATCTTGGACCCGTCAAACACGACTTGAAACTTGCCATGGCTGTTAATCTGTGGCACCGAGAGCAGGTTCTTGCTCATACTTGGAACATATAGCGCGTTCTTGATTTCGATCTCACGCTCTTCACCGTTGGGCAGAACCACCTTTTCCATGATGGTTCCCACACCCTTGATGGCCACCTTGTTGCCATCAGCCACAAGAGTTCGCCCTCATTGCGCTCTGCCAAACTTGCGAACTTGGTCTTGTCGTGGCAAATGTGGTGCGTTGCACCACTGTCGACGGCCCACATTCCAGACACGTCCTTGCTCGTCGAAACTCCACATTCGAACGAGACTGCAAACGCCACTCGATCGTAGCCATTGCCTTCATCATGATGTCCCCACTGGACATTGTTAGCCCCGCGTCCACGACCATTGCCGCCGCGTCGGGCTCCCCGACCTTCGTTCTTCTGCTTTGTCCAGCAACGATCCACCGTGTGTCCCACCTTGCCACAATACGTGCATTGGTAGGGCTCACGCTCGGCGCTGAATGCCTTGCTTGCATCTTCAGCCTTCACCGTAGTCGCTGTCGTTGTCCCTTTTTCTCCTTGACGCTTGGCATGCTCATTCGTCAGGACTCTCACCACATCTTGAGTGCGAAGCTCGGTGCTGCTCATTTCCATGTTGAGCACCACATTTTCGTAGCTCTTCGGAAGACTGAGTAGCAGACAAATTGCAACGTCTTCGTCTTCCATCTTCGCACCGATGCCGCTAAGCTTGGCGGAGATGTTGAGGACCTCGTTGCAGTGATGCATGACGTTCGCGCCTTCAGCCATCTTGATACTGAAAAGTTGTCGCTTGAGGTAGATGCGTCCTGCCTTCTGCGACCCACCGTACAGCGTTTCAGACTTGTCCACCGCAACCCAGGCTTCCTCGCAGTTGTCCAGCACATGATGGTAGTCCGCGTTCATGTGCAGCAGCATCATACCAAACGCGACGTTGCTTGCCTTGACGTAGTCATCGGACGCTCGCGGGTCGGTGAAAGTCGGAGTCACTTCACGGTTGACAACGTGCCAGACGGACTTCGTCAAAAACACACCGCGCATGTACCGGCTCCACGTTGCGTAATTGTCTCCGTTGAACTTGTCAATGGAGGCGTTGCTGGTGGACGACATGGCGCTTGGGCTCATAACCTGTTGCATTGTAGATCGGAGCGAGGAAAGCGGAGCGAACGGAGCGGAGAGACCGAAGAGAGTAGAGCAGAAAACACTTGCCCAATAGTTGGAAGATTCGAAAGTGATTGATTATCGGGGCTTACTACTTACTACATGATTTATATGTGGTGTACATATAAATCATGTGAAGCGTCTCATCATCCTACGCGTCTAATCAACTATGGTAATTACCGTAAGAACTACGTCGTAAATACTAAGCTGAACAGGCGGTTCGGATTGGATCGGTCACGGTTACCAATACTGGTAGAAGACCGATGACCGTCAACACCCGCAGATGTCCAGATGAAGTAGCTCAAACGTATCGTAGCTGCGCTTGTCTCGGTTGCTTGGAAATGGTTTTTGGACCATTTTCCCTTGTTGACATCCTCGACATGTAGTTGCTCCACCCGACTTGAGAGGGACTCGCACATCCTTGATCATGTTGGTCGCGATCATCTTGCGAAGTACATCGACTGGAGCATGACCCATTCTCGCATGTAAATCGGCACAACTGGTTCCACTTGTGTTGACGGTCATCGGTCTTCTACCAGTATTGGTAACCGTGACCGATCCAATCCGAACCGCCTGTTCAGCTTAGTATTTACGACGTAGTTCTTACGGTAATTACCATAGTTGATTAGACGCGTAGGATGATGAGACGCTTCACATGATTTATATGTACACCACATATAAATCATGTAGTAAGTAGTAAGTCCCGATAATCAATCACTTTCGAATCTTCCAACTATTGGGCAAGTGTTTTCTGCTCTACTCTCTTCGGTCTCTCCGCTCCGTTCGCTCCGCTTTCCTCGCTCCGATCTACAATGCAACAGGTTATGAGCCCAAGCGCCATGTCGTCCACCAGCAACGCCTCCATTGACAAGTTCAACGGAGACAATTACGCAACGTGGAGCCGGTACATGCGCGGTGTGTTTTTGACGAAGTCCGTCTGGCACGTTGTCAACCGTGAAGTGACTCCGACTTTCACCGACCCGCGAGCGTCCGATGACTACGTCAAGGCAAGCAACGTCGCGTTTGGTATGATGCTGCTGCACATGAACGCGGACTACCATCATGTGCTGGACAACTGCGAGGAAGCCTGGGTTGCGTGGACAAGTCTGAAGACGCTGTACGGTGGGTCGCAGAAGGCAGGACGCATCTACCTCAAGCGACAACTTTTCAGTATCAAGAGGGCTGAAGGCGCGAATGTCATGCATCACTGCAACGAGGTCCTCAACATCTCCGCCAAGCTTAGCGGCATCGGTGCGAAGATGGAAGACGAAGACGTTGCAATTTGTCTGCTACTCAGTCTTCCGAAGAGCTACGAAAATGTGGTGCTCAATATGGAAATGAGCAGCACCGAGCTTCGCACTCAAGATGTGGTGAGAGTCCTGACGAATGAGCATGCCAAGCGTCAAGGAGAAAAAGGGACAACGACAGCGACTACGGTGAAGGCTGAAGATGCAAGCAAGGCATTCAGCGCCGAGCGTGAGCCCTACCAATGCACGTATTGTGGCAAGGTGGGACACACGGTGGATCGTTGCTGGACAAAGCAGAAGAACGAAGGTCGGGGAGCCCGACGCGGCGGCAATGGTCGTGGACGCGGGGCTAACAATGTCCAGTGGGGACATCATGATGAAGGCAATGGCTACGAACGAGTGGCGTTTGCAGTCTCGTTCGAATGTGGAGTTTCGACGAGCAAGGACGTGTCTGGAATGTGGGCCGTCGAAAGTGGTGCAACGCACCACATTTGCCACGACAAGACCAAGTTCGCAAGTTTGGCAGAGCGCAATGAGGGCGAACTCTTGGTGGCTGATGGCAACAAGGTGGCCATCAAGGGTGTGGGAACCATCATGGAAAAGGTGGTTCTGCCCAACAGTGAAGAGCGTGAGATCGAAATCAAGAACGCGCTATATGTTCCAAGTATGAGCAAGAACCTGCTCTCGGTGCCACAGATTAACAGCCATGGCAAGTTTCAAGTCGTGTTTGACGGGTCCAAGATGTATGTGACTCTCAAGAACTCACAGCAAGTGGTGGCGACAGCGGATCTCGTGGATGGACTCTGTTGACGGTCATCGGTTTTCTACCAGTATTGGTAACCGTGACCGATCCAATCCGAACCGCCTGTTCAGCTTAGTATTTACGACGTAGTTCTTACGGTAATTACCATAGTTGATTAGACGCGTAGGATGATGAGACGCTTCACATGATTTATATGTGCACCACATATAAATCATGTAGTAAGTAGTAAGCCCCGATAATCAATCACTTTCCAATCTTCCATCTACCCCCCAAGTGTCTTCTCCGGTCTTCCGAGTAGACTCCCAGCATCACTCCCAGTTTCGGTCGTCAAGCTTTTCACCATTCAACAGAGCCCGACGCGGCGGCAATGGTCGTGGACGCGGGGCTAACAATGTCCAGTGGGGACATCATGATGAAGGCAATGGCTACGATCGAGTGGCGTTTGCAGTCTCGTTCGAATGTGGAGTTTCGACGAGCAAGGACGTGTCTGGAATGTGGGCCGTCGACAGTGGTGCAACGCACCACATTTGCCACGACAAGACCAAGTTCGCAAGTTTGGCAGAGCGCAATGAGGGCGAACTCTTGGTTGCTGATGGCAACAAGGTGGCCATCAAGGGTGTCGGAACCATCATGGAAAAGGTGGTTCTGCCCAACGGTGAAGAGCGTGAGATCGAAATCAAGAACGCGCTATATGTTCCAAGTATGAGCAAGAACCTGCTCTCGGTGCCACAGATTAACAGCCATGGCAAGTTTCAAGTCGTGTTTGACGGGTCCAAGATGTATGTGACTCTCAAGAACTCACAGCAAGTGGTGGCGACAGCGGATCTCGTGGATGGACTCTGTTGACGGTCATCGGTTTTCTACCAGTATTGGTAACCGTGACCGATCCAATCCGAACCGCCTGTTCAGCTTAGTATTTACGACGTAGTTCTTACGGTAATTACCATAGTTGATTAGACGCGTAGGATGATGAGACGCTTCACATGATTTATATGTGCACCACATATAAATCATGTAGTAAGTAGTAAGCCCCGATAATCAATCACTTTCGAATCTTCCAACTATTGGGCAAGTGTTTTCTGCTCTACTCTCTTCGGTCTCTCCGCTCCGTTCGCTCCGCTTTCCTCGCTCCGATCTACAATGCAACAGGTTATGAGCCCAAGCGCCATGTCGTCCACCAGCAACGCCTCCATTGACAAGTTCAACGGAGACAATTACGCAACGTGGAGCCGGTACATGCGCGGTGTGTTTTTGACGAAGTCCGTCTGGCACGTTGTCAACCGTGAAGTGACTCCGACTTTCACCGACCCGCGAGCGTCCGATGACTACGTCAAGGCAAGCAACGTCGCGTTTGGTATGATGCTGCTGCACATGAACGCGGACTACCATCATGTGCTGGACAACTGCGAGGAAGCCTGGGTTGCGTGGACAAGTCTGAAGACGCTGTACGGTGGGTCGCAGAAGGCAGGACGCATCTACCTCAAGCGACAACTTTTCAGTATCAAGATGGCTGAAGGCGCGAATGTCATGCATCACTGCAACGAGGACCTCAACATCTCCACCAAGCTTAGCGGCATCGGTGCGAAGATGGAAGACGAAGACGTTGCTGATGAACTTTAGACTTCTTGGTCCGAGTGCAAAACGCAAAGTGAATATATATTTATAATAGGTACTTAGTTCGCAACTTTGAATACTACCTCTAAGCCTATTATTCGCAGTGACGTCATGCAATGACGTCATTTCCTTGACTTCGCCCTTACTGGTACATACCGGTACCCACCGGTATAGCGAAGCTTGGTCTTCCACTTGCTTCAACACTTGACGCAGCTTGACGAGGTGTCTTCTTCACCGCCGCTGTCTTTTCAACACTCCCTCTCGACTCGTTAGCTGCGGCACCTTGGATCCCAAGTCGATCGCGAATGTTTTCAAATTGTACAGCGGCGATCGGCTTGGTCGTCATGTCTGCCAGCATATCTTGAGTCGGGCAATACTCCAAAACGACTTCACCTGATTCCACCTTCTCACGCACAAAATGGTAGCGTATGTCGATGTGTTTTGTTCTCTTATGGAACTCCGGGTTCTTGGCGAGAGCGATTGATCCTTGGTTGTCTTCATACGTCTTGATCGCTTCGTCGCTTGTCATCTCACCAAGTTCACCCAAAAGCACCTTGAGCCATACTGCTTCTTTGGTTGCTTCGGAAAGCGCCATGTATTCTGCTTCTGTTGAAGATAGCGCGACCGTCCGTTGTTTCTGGCTTTTCCAGCTGATGCATCCTAAGTTCATCATGAACACATAGCCGCTTGTACTTCGTCTTGACTCAATGTCGCCGGCCCAGTCTGCGTCGGTGTACCCGCAGATACGGCTTCCTTCTTCACGTGTAAACTCAAGACCATGATTGGGCGTTGCTTGCAGGTATCTCAGCACACGCTTCAAAGCTTGCCAGTGAGTCGGGCATGGGTCGGACGAGAACTGGGATAATGATCCCACTGCAGCAGCTAGATCCGGACGTGTGGCGACCATGAGATACATGATGCCTCCGACAGCACTTCGATATGGCACGTTGCACATGGTGTCTTCGTGCTTGCATTCTTGTTCACACATGTTCTTGGTTAGCTTCAGGCCGGGATCTTGAGGCGTCTTCACTGGCTTGCTGTTATCCATTCCGAACTTGGTCAACACGGACTTGAGAAACTTGGTTTGTTGCACAGTCACCATTCCCGTCTTACGGTCGTTCTTGATCTCCATGCCGAGAAAGTAATCGAGCTCACCGAGATCCGTCATTTCGAAGCGTTTGCTCAGCGCCATCTTGGTCGACTTGAGGAGTTCGTTGTTGCTGCTGGCCAGGATGAGATCATCGACGTAGAGCACCACGAGAATCACGTCTTGGTCGTCTCGCTTGATGTAGATGCAGTGGTCCGATTCGCACTTCTTGAATCCCATCTTGATCATGAACCCATCGATTGTTTGGTTCCACATGCGAGGCGATTGCTTCAAGCCGTAGAGTGATCTCTTTAGCTTGCACACATAGTCCGGCTGTGTTGCATCCAGGTATCCGTCCGGCTGGTCCATGTAGATGTCTTCATTGAGGGAGCCGTTAAGAAACGCTGTCTTGACGTCCATCTGATGTAGCATTAGGCCGTACTTGGCCGCCATACTGAGCACCACACGAATCGATGTGAACTTGGCCACCGGTGCGAAAGTTTCTTCATAGTCAACTCCGAATTTCTGTGAGAATCCTTTGGCCACAAGTCTTGCCTTGAAACGTTCAACTTCGCCATCTTGATTCTCCTTTACACGAAAAACCCATCGGCACCCGATGGCCTTGCGACCTTTCGGAAGAGGCACGATTTCCCACGTGTCGTTTCTCTGAAGCGAGTCGAACTCCGAGTCACACGCTTCTTTCCACTTGCCGGAGTCGCTTGATTCCATCGCCGACTTGAATGTAGTCGGCGTTTCCCCCACTGAATCAACGATGTAGGCTGCTTCAAAATCCATTGCAGCCGCTGACACATGCTCAAGCGACGGACCTCTGTATGTTCTTCGCTTGGGACTTGGAATGACGGTAGCTTTCTCAGGTGATTGAGTGCGCGTGTGTCTCTTGATGTTGCTCTTCGAAGACCTGGTGTCTTCGTTGTCATCGTCGCTCGAGTCCATGTCGTCGTCAGTTTTACCTTCTTCTTTTTCTTCGTCCTCATCATGATCATCAAACTCAACAGCACTTGACTCATCGTTGTAGTTGCGCGGACCTTCATCAAACTTGTCTTCCATGAATGTGGCATCGCGACTGATCTTGATCGCTCCTGTTGACACTTCCTCAAATCGATATGACTTCTGGTGTTCGGCGTATCCCAGGAAACGACAGAGTGATGACTTGGAGTCGAACTTCGCGCGTTTGTCTTGAGGCACTTGAACATACGCGTGGCATCCAAACACTTTAAGGTTGGCCAGAATCGGTTTCTTCATCGTCCACACTTGATATGGAGACTTGTCTTGGTGAATGGCACGTGTTGGACAGCGGTTTCGAAGAAACATCGCCGTCATCACTGCTTCACCCCAGTAGCTCTTTCCCAGTCCAGCGTGTTCCATCATGCAACGCGCACACTCGACCAGCGTGCGATTCATTCTCTCAGCTACTCCGTTTAGCTGAGGAGTATATGGGGGTGTGAACCTTTGTTGTATTCCCCGTTCCGCGCAGAATCGTGCCAGCTTGTCGGACTTGTATTCACCCCCATTGTCGCTTTGAAGGTACTTCACGCGCTTTCCGGTTTGCGTTTCGGCCACCGCAGCGTATTCCATGAACTTCGCCGCAACTTCAGATTTGCTCTTGAGCAGATAGACGACACAGTATCTTGACTTGTCATCGATGAATGTCACGAAGTACCGTTTTCCACTGAAAGTTGCCATCGACATCGGTCCGCATACGTCGCTGTGAATCACTTCGAGGAGTTTGGAGGTGCGAGCTGTAGTGTTTGATTGGAAGCGCACTCGAGTCTGTTTTCCCAGAGCACAACCTTCACACACGTCCCACTTCTTCACCGAAGATATGTCGATGCCAATTCCAATGTTCTTCGTCACGATGCAATTGAGTCCATCGTGACCTATGTGGCCAAGCCGAAGGTGCCAGAGGTACGACTTGGTGCCCCCTTGACATCCCGACGACTTGGCTGCATTTGCTTGTTCCGGCGCCACTGGAGTCATTTGCAGCTTGAACAGTCCTTTACCTTCACGGGCACCAATTTTCCACTTGGTCCCTTTCGCTTTTCCATAGCACCCATCCTTCGTGAACGTCACTGGGCCGACATCCTTGGTGAAGCGGCCGACCGAGAACAGGTTTCTGGATAACTTTGGGATGTGCCACACGTTTGTGAGCACACCTTTCTTCATCCCTTGGGGGTGTCTTCATCGACATGACAATGTCTCCACTGCCGATTGCTTGGACGATTCCATCATCCGCGAGATGGACATCCACAGCGTCAAACCCCTTGTAGTTCCGCATGAACTTCTTGGAGCACGTCATGTGCTGCGTCGCCCCGGAGTCGACCATCCAGATGTCGCTCGATTTCGCAGATGTCGTTTCACCGATCGAAAAGAGGTAGTCGCCCGAGTCTTCTTCTTGAGCGACGTTTGCACGTTGTGATCGATAGCGGTCGCCGCTGTCTTGAGCACGCTGTGGCCGGTGTCTCTCCGTGTTTTTTTTTTTGGATGCGCGAGGGGCACTCCGCCATCCAGTGACCAATCTTTCCGCAATTGTGGCACGGCCAGGACTTCTTCACTGGTCGCCCTTTGCGCTGATTGTCCCTTGTGATGAACGCTTGACCTTGCGAAGCTTCACCACCTTTACTTCCTTGCTCCTTCCGCTTCATTTCTTCATGAAGCAGTCGAGACGTCACGAGCTCCCAGCTAAGAGTGTCTGAGCGCGACTCCAAAGCTGTGATCAAGAATTGATACGAGTCACTCAGGCTGCCGAGAAGTGTGATCACCAGATCGTCCTCGCAGACTGGAGCCCCCACCGCTTCTAGCTGTTCCGCCAGCGTCTTGAGCTTGTTGATGTGTTCGAGCACATCGTCGCCTTCTTCCATCATTGTCGTGAAGAAGCGACGGCGCAAGAACAGCTTGTTGGCAAGACTCTTCTTCTCGAAGTGGTCTTCCAACCTTGACCATGCGTCGCATGCACCACTTGCCGACCGGACCAACGGTAGCTGGGAATCTTCCATGGCTAGACAGATCACTGCCATCGCCTTTCTTGACTTCCTCTTGTACGTCGCTTGGTTCAACTGAGTCTCGCACTGTTCCGCCTTGATCTCACCGCTGACGACCTCCCATAGGTCCCGTTCCTCCAGCACCATCTGCATCTTGAACTTCCAGGCGTGGAAGTTAGTTCCATCGAACTTGGAGATGCGGAGGGAGGAGGCGTTCATGGCAGCTAAGCTTGAATTGTTGGCGGTTTCAGAGTCTGACGAACTTGGGCTCATAACCTGATGAACTTTAGACTTCTTGGTCCGAGTGCAAAACGCAAAGTGAATATATATTTATAATAGGTACTTAGTTCGCAACTTTGAATACTACCTCTAAGCCTATTATTCGCAGTGACGTCATGCAATGACGTCATTTCCTGACTTCGCCCTTACTGGTACATACCGGTACCCACCGGTATAGCGAAGCTTGGTCTTCCACTTGCTTCAACACTTGACGCAGCTTGACGAGGTGTCTTCTTCACCGCCGCTGTCTTTTCAACAGTTGCAATTTGTCTGCTACTCAGTCTTCCGAAGAGCTACGAAAATGTGGTGCTCAACATGGAAATGAGCAGCACCGAGCTTCGCACTCAAGATGTGGTGAGAGTCCTGACGAATGAGCATGCCAAGCGTCAAGGAGAAAAAGGGACAACGACAGCGACTACGGTGAAGGCTGAAGATGCAAGCAAGGCATTCAGCGCCGAGCGTGAGCCCTACCAATGCACGTATTGTGGCAAGGTGGGACACACGGTGGATCGTTGCTGGACAAAGCAGAAGAACGAAGGTCGGGGAGCCCGACGCGGCGGCAATGGTCGTGGACGCGAGGCTAACAATGTCCAGTGGGGACATCATGATGTTGACGGTCATCGGTTTTCTACCAGTATTGGTAACCGTGACCGATCCAATCCGAACCGCCTGTTCAGCTTAGTATTTTACGACGTAGTTCTTACGGTAATTACCATAGTTGATTAGACGCGTAGGATGATGAGACGCTTCACATGATTTATATGTACACCACATATAAATCATGTAGTAAGTAGTAAGTCCCGATAATCAATCACTTTCGAATCTTCCAACTATTGGGCAAGTGTTTTCTGCTCTACTCTCTTCGGTCTCTCCGCTCCGTTCGCTCCGCTTTCCTCGCTCCGATCTACAATGCAACAGGTTATGAGCCCAAGCGCCATGTCGTCCACCAGCAACGCCTCCATTGACAAGTTCAACGGAGACAATTACGCAACGTGGAGCCGGTACATGCGCGGTGTGTTTTTGACGAAGTCCGTCTGGCACGTTGTCAACCGTGAAGTGACTCCGACTTTCACCGACCCGCGAGCGTCCGATGACTACGTCAAGGCAAGCAACGTCGCGTTTGGTATGATGCTGCTGCACATGAACGCGGACTACCATCATGTGCTGGACAACTGCGAGGAAGCCTGGGTTGCGTGGACAAGTCTGAAGACGCTGTACGGTGGGTCGCAGAAGGCAGGACGCATCTACCTCAAGCGACAACTTTTCAGTATCAAGAGGGCTGAAGGCGCGAATGTCATGCATCACTGCAACGAGGTCCTCAACATCTCCGCCAAGCTTAGCGGCATCGGTGCGAAGATGGAAGACGAAGACGTTGCAATTTGTCTGCTACTCAGTCTTCCGAAGAGCTACGAAAATGTGGTGCTCAATATGGAAATGAGCAGCACCGAGCTTCGCACTCAAGATGTGGTGTGAGTCCTGACGAATGAGCATGCCAAGCGTCAAGGAGAAAAAGGGACAACGACAGCGACTACGGTGAAGGCTGAAGATGCAAGCAAGGCATTCAGCGCCGAGCGTGAGCCCTACCAATGCACGTATTGTGGCAAGGTGGGACACACGGTGGATCGTTGCTGGACAAAGCAGAAGAACGAAGGTCGGGGAGCCCGACGCGGCGGCAATGGTCGTGGACGCGGGGCTAACAATGTCCAGTGGGGACATCATGATGAAGGCAATGGCTACGATCGAGTGGCGTTTGCAGTCTCGTTCGAATGTGGAGTTTCGACGAGCAAGGACGTGTCTGGAATGTGGGCCGTCGACAGTGGTGCAACGCACCACATTTGCCACGACAAGACCAAGTTCGCAAGTTTGGCAGAGCGCAATGAGGGCGAACTCTTGGTGGCTGATGGCAACAAGGTGGCCATCAAGGGTGTGGGAACCATCATGGAAAAGGTGGTTCTGCCCAACGGTGAAGAGCGTGAGATCGAAATCAAGAACGCGCTATATGTTCCAAGTATGAGCAAGAACCTGCTCTCGGTGCCACAGATTAACAGCCATGGCAAGTTTCAAGTCGTGTTTGACGGGTCCAAGATGTATGTGACTCTCAAGAACTCACAGCAAGTGGTGGCGACAGCGGATCTCGTGGATGGACTCTACTGGCTTCGGACGACTCAACGATCAGCGAATGTGACAACAAGTGGAACCAGTTGTGCCGATCTACATGCGAGAATGGGTCATGCTCCAGTCGATGTACTTCGCAAGATGATCGCGACCAACATGATCAAGGATGTGCGAGTCCCTCTCAAGTCGGGTGGAGCAACTACATGTCGAGGATGTCAACAAGGGAAAATGGTCCAAAAACCATTTCCAAGCAACCGAGACAAGCGCAGCTACGATACGTTTGAGCTACTTCATCTGGACATCTGCGGGTGTTGACGGTCATCGGTCTTCTACCAGTATTGGTAACCGTGACCGATCCAATCCGGAACCGCCTGTTCAGCTTAGTATTTACGACGTAGTTCTTACGGTAATTACCATAGTTGATTAGACGCGTAGGATGATGAGACGCTTCACATGATTTATATGTACACCACATATAAATCATGTAGTAAGTAGTAAGTCCCGATAATCAATCACTTTCGAATCTTCCAACTATTGGGCAAGTGTTTTCTGCTCTACTCTCTTCGGTCTCTCCGCTCCGTTCGCTCCGCTTTCCTCGCTCCGATCTACAATGCAACACATGATGAAGGCAATGGCTACGATCGAGTGGCGTTTGCAGTCTCGTTCGAATGTGGAGTTTCGACGAGCAAGGACGTGTCTGGAATGTGGGCCGTCGACAGTGGTGCAACGCACCACATTTGCCACGACAAGACCAAGTTCGCAAGTTTGGCAGAGCGCAATGAGGGCGAACTCTTGGTGGCTGATGGCAACAAGGTGGCCATCAAGGGTGTGGGAACCATCATGGAAAAGGTGGTTCTGCCCAACGGTGAAGAGCGTGAGATCGAAATCAAGAACGCGCTATATGTTCCAAGTATGAGCAAGAACCTGCTCTCGGTGCCACAGATTAACAGCCATGGCAAGTTTCAAGTCGTGTTTGACGGGTCCAAGATGTATGTGACTCTCAAGAACTCACAGCAAGTGGTGGCGACAGCGGATCTCGTGGATGGACTCTACTGGCTTCGGACGACTCAACGATCAGCGAATGTGACAACAAGTGGAACCAGTTGTGCCGATCTACATGCGAGAATGGGTCATGCTCCAGTCGATGTACTTCGCAAGATGATCGCGACCAACATGATCAAGGATGTGCGAGTCCCTCTCAAGTCGGGTGGAGCAACTACATGTCGAGGATGTCAACAAGGGAAAATGGTCCAAAAACCATTTCCAAGCAACCGAGACAAGCGCAGCTACGATACGTTTGAGCTACTTCATCTGGACATCTGCGGGTGTTGACGGTCATCGGTCTTCTACCAGTATTGGTAACCGTGACCGATCCAATCCGAACCGCCTGTTCAGCTTAGTATTTACGACGTAGTTCTTACGGTAATTACCATAGTTGATTAGACGCGTAGGATGATGAGACGCTTCACATGATTTATATGTACACCACATATAAATCATGTAGTAAGTAGTAAGTCCCGATAATCAATCACTTTCGAATCTTCCAACTATTGGGCAAGTGTTTTCTGCTCTACTCTCTTCGGTCTCTCCGCTCCGTTCGCTCCGCTTTCCTCGCTCCGATCTACAATGCAACACATGATGAAGGCAATGGCTACGATCGAGTGGCGTTTGCAGTCTCGTTCGAATGTGGAGTTTCGACGAGCAAGGACGTGTCTGGAATGTGGGCCGTCGACAGTGGTGCAACGCACCACATTTGCCACGACAAGACCAAGTTCGCAAGTTTGGCAGAGCGCAATGAGGGCGAACTCTTGGTGGCTGATGGCAACAAGGTGGCCATCAAGGGTGTGGGAACCATCATGGAAAAGGTGGTTCTGCCCAACGGTGAAGAGCGTGAGATCGAAATCAAGAACGCGCTATATGTTCCAAGTATGAGCAAGAACCTGCTCTCGGTGCCACAGATTAACAGCCATGGCAAGTTTCAAGTCGTGTTTGACGGGTCCAAGATGTATGTGACTCTCAAGAACTCACAGCAAGTGGTGGCGACAGCGGATCTCGTGGATGGACTCTACTGGCTTCGGACGACTCAACGATCAGCGAATGTGACAACAAGTGGAACCAGTTGTGCCGATCTACATGCGAGAATGGGTCATGCTCCAGTCGATGTACTTCGCAAGATGATCGCGACCAACATGATCAAGGATGTGCGAGTCCCTCTCAAGTCGGGTGGAGCAACTACATGTCGAGGATGTCAACAAGGGAAAATGGTCCAAAAACCATTTCCAAGCAACCGAGACAAGCGCAGCTACGATACGTTTGAGCTACTTCATCTGGACATCTGCGGGTGTTGACGGTCATCGGTCTTCTACCAGTATTGGTAACCGTGACCGATCCAATCCGAACCGCCTGTTCAGCTTAGTATTTACGACGTAGTTCTTACGGTAATTACCATAGTTGATTAGACGCGTAGGATGATGAGACGCTTCACATGATTTATATGTACACCACATATAAATCATGTAGTAAGTAGTAAGTCCCGATAATCAATCACTTTCGAATCTTCCAACTATTGGGCAAGTGTTTTCTGCTCTACTCTCTTCGGTCTCTCCGCTCCGTTCGCTCCGCTTTCCTCGCTCCGATCTACAATGCAACACATGATGAAGGCAATGGCTACGATCGAGTGGCGTTTGCAGTCTCGTTCGAATGTGGAGTTTCGACGAGCAAGGACGTGTCTGGAATGTGGGCCGTCGACAGTGGTGCAACGCACCACATTTGCCACGACAAGACCAAGTTCGCAAGTTTGGCAGAGCGCAATGAGGGCGAACTCTTGGTGGCTGATGGCAACAAGGTGGCCATCAAGGGTGTGGGAACCATCATGGAAAAGGTGGTTCTGCCCAACGGTGAAGAGCGTGAGATCGAAATCAAGAACGCGCTATATGTTCCAAGTATGAGCAAGAACCTGCTCTCGGTGCCACAGATTAACAGCCATGGCAAGTTTCAAGTCGTGTTTGACGGGTCCAAGATGTATGTGACTCTCAAGAACTCACAGCAAGTGGTGGCGACAGCGGATCTCGTGGATGGACTCTACTGGCTTCGGACGACTCAACGATCAGCGAATGTGACAACAAGTGGAACCAGTTGTGCCGATCTACATGCGAGAATGGGTCATGCTCCAGTCGATGTACTTCGCAAGATGATCGCGACCAACATGATCAAGGATGTGCGAGTCCCTCTCAAGTCGGGTGGAGCAACTACATGTCGAGGATGTCAACAAGGGAAAATGGTCCAAAAACCATTTCCAAGCAACCGAGACAAGCGCAGCTACGATACGTTTGAGCTACTTCATCTGGACATCTGCGGGCCCATGGAAAAGGATTCGCTCGGTGGCAGCAAATATTTGCTGATGATCATCGACGAAGCCAGTGGATGCATGAAGGGCTTTTGTCTACGAGTGAAGTGTTGAAAAGACAGCGGCTGTGAAGAAGACACCTCGTCAAGCTGCGTCAAGTGTTGAAGCAAGTGGAAGACCAAGCTTCGCTATACCGGTGGGTACCGGTATGTACCAGTAAGGGCGAAGTCAGGAAATGACGTCATTGCATGACGTCACTGCGAATAATAGGCTTAGAGGTAGTATTCAAAGTTGCGAACTAAGTACCTATTATAAATATATATTCACTTTGCGTTTTGCACTCGGACCAAGAAGTCTAAAGTTCATCAGGTTATGAGCCCAAGTTCGTCAGACTCTGAAACCGCCAACAATTCAAGCTTAGCTGCCATGAACGCCTCCTCCCTCCGCATCTCCAAGTTCGATGGAACTAACTTCCACGCCTGGAAGTTCAAGATGCGGATGGTGCTTGAGGAGCGGAACTTATGGGAGGTCGTCAGCGGTGAGATCAAGGCGGAACAGTGCGAGACTCAGTTGGACCAAGCGACGTACAAGAGGAAGTCAAGAAAGGCGATGGCAGTGATCTGTCTAGCCATGGAAGATTCCCAGCTACCGTTGGTCCGGTCGGCAAGTGGTGCATGCGACGCATGGTCAAGGTTGGAAGACCACTTCGAGAAGAAGAGTCTTGCCAACAAGCTGTTCTTGCGCCGTCGCTTCTTCACGACAATGATGGAAGAAGGCGACGATGTGCTCGAACACATCAACAAGCTCAAGACGCTGGCGGAACAGCTAGAAGCGGTGGGGGCTCCAGTCTGCGAGGACGATCTGGTGATCACACTTCTCGGCAGCCTGAGTGACTCGTATCAATTCTTGATCACAGCTTTGGAGTCGCGCTCAGACACTCTTAGCTGGGAGCTCGTGACGTCTCGACTGCTTCATGAAGAAATGAAGCGGAAGGAGCAAGGAAGTAAAGGTGGTGAAGCTTCGCAAGGTCAAGCGTTCATCACAAGGGACAATCAGCGCAAAGGGCGACCAGTGAAGAAGTCCTGGCCGTGCCACAATTGCGGAAAGATTGGTCACTGGATGGCGGAGTGCCCCTCGCGCATCCAAAAAAAAAACACGGAGAGACACCGGCCACAGCGTGCTCAAGACAGCGGCGACCGCTATCGATCACAACGTGCAAACGTCGCTCAAGAAGAAGACTCGGGCGACTACCTCTTTTCGATCGGTGAAACGACATCTGCGAAATCGAGCGACATCTGGCTGGTCGACTCCGGGGCGACGCAGCACATGACGTGCTCCAAGAAGTTCATGCGGAACTACAAGGGGTTTGACGCTGTGGATGTCCATCGCGCGGATGATGGAATCGTCCAAGCAATCGGCAGTGGGGACATTGTCATGTCGATGAATGTTGTTGATTGAGCGCGAGGCGAAGAGAAAACGAAGCGGAGAGACCGGAGAGAACGAAGCAGAGAACACTTGCTCACTTGAGGGAGGATTCGAAAGTGATTGATTTATAGGTCTTAACTTCTGCCTACCCTAGACTGCATCCAATCACATGGTGCATCTAATCAACCTGATTTACACGCGTCCAATCATCCTACGCGTCTAATCATCTCTGAGGTAATTACCGATGTAAAAACTATCTCGTAAGAACTACGCGCTAGGTTCGGATTGTACCGGTAACCCTCAATACGCCCCCTCAATCCGAACACGCACGGATGCCAAGCGCCGCCGTCAAGTCCTTGTGACGCGGTCCGTGAAGTCCCTTCGTCATGATGTCCGCCAACATCAACGTCGTCTCGCATTATTCAAGCTTCACTTCGCCGCGCTTGACTTCATCACGGATGTGATGGTACTTGATGTCGATGTGTTTAGCGCGGCCGTGGTTGACCGGATTCTTCGTCATCTTGATGCACGACTGGTTGTCTTCACGGATGACGAGCTCGGGTCCTTCTTCGTTTGCAGCCGCCATGATCTCGCACAGCAAGCGATTGATCCACTTGCCTTCTTGGATCGCCAGGCTGAGCGCGATGTACTCCGCTTCGCTTGTAGACAGTGACACACTTGGCTGTTTCTTGCTGCCCCAACTCACCGGAGCACCCAATAGCATGAAGACGTAGCCGGACGTCGATTTGCGATCAGCAAGGTCACCGGCCCAGTCTGCATCTGAATAGCCACGAAAGTCGATCTTCGCACTTGGCTTGTAGCAGATTCCATGCATCTTGGTGCCTTGTAGGTAGCGGAAGATGCGCTTGACTGCAACCCAGTGTTCTTCTTGGGGTTTCTCCATGAACCGTGACACAAAGCTTACAGCATAGGCGATGTCCGGTCGCGTTGCAGTCGTCAGATGCATCAAAGCACCCACTGCTTCACGGAATGGGACATCCACCTTGCTTGCAGAGTTGCTCGGAACCAGTCGAGAGCTGACGTCCACCGGACTTGCCACAGCCTTGCACTCATCCATTCCAAAGCGCTTGAGGACATCGTCGACATAACGGCGCTGACACATAGTCACGCTGCCATCTTCACCGTCCAATAACTCGATCCCAAGAACAAAGGCACACTTGCCGCTGTCCGTCATCTCGAAGCGTGTCTTGAGGTCGTTCTTGGTGCGCGCAATCATCTCGAGCGAGCTTCCAGTCACCAAGACATCGTCCACGTAGACCAGCACAAAAACACAATGGCCTTCCGAAGTCATGATGTAGAGACATGGATCGAATCCCGACGCTTGAAAACCAATCGAGCGTATGAACTCGTCGAAGGTCTCGTTCCAAACACGCGAGGCTTGCTTGAGACCGTAGATCGCCTTGATCAGCTCGAGACAGTCAAAATCACCTTCCATCTTGACGCCTTCCGGAACAGCGCAGAACACCTTCTCCTTCATCACTCCATACAGGAACGCAGTCACCACATCGAGCTGGTCGAGGGGCCATCCAAAGTGCTTGGTAATGGCGATGACCATTCGCAGCGTCACATACTTGACCACGGGCGAGAACGTCTCCGTGTAGTCGATGCCATACTTTTGGCGAAAACCCTTGGCCACAAGTCGTGCTTTGTATTTCTCGATCGACCCATCCGCCTTGCGCTTGATCTTGAAGACCCACTTTGTGCCAATGGCGCTTTGTCCGTTGGGTAACTTGGCCGCACGAAAGACACCGCGAAGCTTCATCGAATCGAGCTCCGCATCAATTGCCTTGCGCCAGTGTACTTGGTCCGGGCCAGACACTGCTTCTTCAAATGTCGACGGCTCCGAAAAATCGACCGCTGCTTCGACGGCGTTTGCACTCGCATGCCAAAACGCGGAGGAAGTCGGTGTGTCATGTTGTTCCTCCGACTTCCTTTCTTCATCTTCGTTGGCTCGACGTGAAGAGATGTCATCCGGCGCACTTGACTCTTCCAATCCGGGTCGTTGGCGCACTGCTCGGGGCATGCTTGCGTCGTCATTGTCGTGACTGGGTTGGGCCTTGCGCTTTCCTGTTTGTTTGAAGTGTCTCGGACGCGGTTCTTCATCATCAAGATCGATCGATTCGAAGTCCAGGCCATCAACATCGTCATCGGAAATCAGCATCGACATTCCAAAGGCCGACTCATCGAAGTTGACATCGCGACTTATCATCACCTGCCCCGCTTCGATGTCATAAACTCGATACGCCTTGGACACTTCTTCGTAGCCCAAAAACAATCCAGCCCGGGCCTTGGGATCCCACTTGAGTCGTTTCTCCTTCGGGGTCAAGATGTATGCTTGGCACCCAAAAACGCGCATGTGCTTGACACTTGGCTCAGAATTGTAGACAATCTCGAACGGTGTCTTGTGTGGAATCTTGGGTGACGGCAAACGGTTCTTCACATAGACGGCCGTCATTGCCGCTTCAGCCCAGAAGCGCTTGTCCAACTTGGCATGATGGAGCATGCTACGACCGATGGTGACGATAGTTCGAATCGCGCGTTCAGCAGTTCCATTGGCTTGATGTGCGTATGGCACCGTGGTTTGTTGCTCGATGCCTTCGACTTCGTAGAAATCTTGAAGCGAGTTTGTCGCAAACTCGCGGGCTCCATCGTGTCGCACAAATTTGACTTTCTTGTTGAACTGCGTCTGTATCATCGTGATGTACTTCTTGATGCACTCTTCGCTCTCTGACTTGGAATGCAGACAAAAACCCTTCATGCATCCGCTGGCTTCATCCACGATCAGCAGCAGATACTTGCTGCCACCCAGAGATTTTTCTTCCATGGGTCCGCAGATGTCGAAGTGGAGCATCTCGAAGGTGTTGTAGGTGCGCTTGTCACGGTTGCTCGGGAATGGTTTTTGGACCATCTTCCCTTCTTGGCATCCTCGACACACACTTGATCCATTCGGCTTGGAAGGGATGTGAGCGTCCTTGATCATGTGGCTTGTCACCATCCTGCGAAGTACGTCGACTGGAGCATGGCCCATTCGCGCATGTAGATCAACAGCGTTGCTGAGTGATGTCGCATTGGCCGATCGCTGCGTCGTGCGAAGCCAGTAGAGTCCGTCTACAAGATCCGCAGCTGCCACCACTTGATTGGAATCCTTGCGAGCGACGTACATCGTATCCCCGTCAAACACCACTTGGAAGTTGCCGTGCTTGTTAATCTGCGGCACCGAGAGCAGATTTTTGCTCATGCTGGGCACATAGAGCGCGTTCTTGATCTCGATCTCGCGCTCTTCCCCGTTTGGCAGAATCACCTTTTCCACGATGGTCCCCACACCTTTGATGGCTGCCTTGTTGCCATCAGCCACCAGGATCTCGCCATCATTGCCTTCGACCAAGCTTGCAAACTTGAACTTGTCGTGGCAGATGTGATGTGTTGCCCCGCTGTCAACGGCCCACATTCCTGGTCCATTCTTGTTCGTCGAAACTCCGCATTCGAACGAAACTGCAAACGCCACTCGATCGTAGCTGTTGCCTTCATCATAATGTCGCCACTGGACATTGTTTGCCCCGCGTCCACGACCATTGCCGCCGCGTTGGGCTCCTCGACTTTCATCCTTTTGCTTCGTCCAGCAACGCTCTGCCGTGTGCCCCACCTTGCCGCAGTATGTGCATTGGTAGGGCTTGCGCTCGGTACTGAATGCCTTTGTCGCATCTTCAGTCTTCACCGTTGTCGTTGCCGTTGTCATCTTCTCGCCTTGTCGCTTGAGGTGCTCGTTAGTCAGCACCTTGACCACATCTTGCGTGCGCAGCTCTGCATTGCTCATCTCCAAGTTCAGAACCACGTTCTCGAAACTCTTCGGGAGACTGAGCAGCAAGCAGATCGCAATGTCTTCGTCTTCCATCTTGGCACCGATGCTGCTGAGCTTGGCGCCGATGTTCAAGACTTCGTTGCAATGGTGCAAGACGTTGGCACCTTCCGCCATCTTGATGCTGAACAGCTGGCGCTTGAGGTAGATGCGTCCCGCCTTCTGCGACCCACCATAGAGCATCTTCAACCGCGACCACGCTGTCCATGCTTCTTCACAGTTGTCGACCACATGGTGGTAGTCGGCGTCCATGTGGAGCAACATCAACCCGAACGCGATGTTGCTCGCCTTGACGTACTCGTCGGAAGCTCGCGTGTCGGTGAAGGTTGGAGACGTTTCGCGGTTCACGACGTACCAGACTGACTTCGTCAGAAACACGCCGCGCATGTAGCGACACCAGGTTGAGTAGTTGTCCCCATCGAACTTATCGATGGAGACACTGGCCGAGGTGTTGTTGGACGACATGGCGCTTGGGCTCATAACCTGTTGTTGATTGAGCGCGAGGCGAAGAGAAAACGAAGCGGAGAGACCGGAGAGAACGAAGCAGAGAACACTTGCTTGAGGGAGGATTCGAAAGTGATTGATTTATAGGTCTTAACTTCTGCCTACCCTAGACTGCATCCAATCACATGGTGCATCTAATCAACCTGATTTACACGCGTCCAATCATCCTACGCGTCTAATCATCTCTGAGGTAATTACCGATGTAAAAACTATCTCGTAAGAACTACGCGCTAGGTTCGGATTGTACCGGTAACCCTCAATAATGAAGACACCCCAAGGGATGAAGAAAGGTGTGCTCACAAACGTGTGGCACATCCCAAAGTTATCCAGAATCCTGTTCTCGGTCGGCCGCTTCACCAAGGATGTCGGCTCAGTGACGTTCACGAAGGATGGGTGCTATGGAGAAGCGAAAGGGACCAAGTGGAAAATTGGTGCCCGTGAAGGTAAAGGACTGTTCAAGCTGCAAATGACTCCAGTGGCGCCGGAACAAGCCAATGCTGTTGCATTGTAGATCGGAGCGAGGAAAGCGGAGCGAACGGAGCGGAGAGACCGAAGAGAGTAGAGCAGAAAACACTTGCCCAATAGTTGGAAGATTCGAAAGTGATTGATTATCGGGGCTTACTACTTACTACATGATTTATATGTGGTGCACATATAAATCATGTGAAGCGTCTCATCATCCTACGCGTCTAATCAACTATGGTAATTACCGTAAGAACTACGTCGTAAATACTAAGCTGAACAGGCGGTTCGGATTGGATCGGTCACGGTTACCAATACTGGTAGAAAACCGATGACCGTCAACACGCCCCCTCAATCCGAATGCTCACGAATCCCGAGAGTCGCCGTCATCTCCTTGTGGCGTGGCCCGTGAAGTCCCTTCGTCATGATGTCCGCTAACATCACCGCAGTTTCACAGTACTTGAGCTTCACTTCACCGCGCTTGACCTCATCACGGATGTGATGGTACTTGATATCAATGTGCTTGGCACGGCCGTGGTTGACTGGGTTCTTCGTCATCTTGATACACGACTGATTGTCTTCATGGATCATGAGTTCCGGTCCTTCTTCATTGGCAGCCATCACGATCTCACAAAGCAGACGATGAATCCACTTGCCCTCTTGAATCGCCAAGCTGAGTGCGATGTATTCGGCTTCACTCGTGGACAACGAAACACTTGGCTGCTTCTTGCTGCCCCAACCGACTGGCGCACCGAGTAGCATGAACGTGTACCCCGATGTTGACTTGCGGTCGGTAAGATCACCAGCCCAATCCGCATCCGAATATCCACGGAAGTCGATCCTTGCACTTGGCTTGTAGCAAATTCCATGCGTCTTGGTGCCTTGTAGGTAGCGAAGGATACGCTTAACTGCAACCCAGTGTTCTTCTTGGGGATTTTCCATGAACCGCGACACATAGCCCACAGCAAACGCAATGTCCGGACGCGTTGCAGTGGTCAGGTGCATCAACGCACCAACAGCTTCGCGAAAAGGAGCATCGACCTTGGTAGTTGCATCACTTGAAACAAGTCGAGAGCTCATGTCGACTGGACTTGCGACTGCCTTGCAATCATCCATGCCAAAGCGCTTGAGGATATCATCGACATACCGACGCTGACATAGTGTCACACTGCCATCTTCACCGTCCAAAAGCTCGATCCCAAGAACAAACGCACACTTGCCGCTGTCCGTCATTTCGAACCGCGTCTTCAGGTCGTTCTTGGTTTGTGCAATCAGCTCGAGCGAGCTTCCAGTCACCAAGACGTCGTCCACGTAGACCAGTATAAACACGCAATGCCCGTCCGAAGTCTTGATGTAGAGACATGGGTCGAAGTCCGATACTTGAAATCCGATGGAGCACACATACTCGTCGAACGTCTCGTTCCACACTCGCGACGCTTGCTTGAGGCCGTAAATTGACTTCACCAATTCCAGGCAGTCGAACGTACTGTCAAGTTCGACGCCTTCAGGAATCACGCAGAACACTTGTTCCTTCATGACGCCATACAGGAAAGCTGTCACCACATCAAGCTGGTCGATGGGCCATCCAAAATGCTTGGAAATTGCGATCACCATTCGCAGCGTCACATACTTGACCACAGGCGAAAACGTCTCCGTGTAGTCGATGCCATACTTTTGGCGGAAACCCTTGGCCACAAGTCGTGCCTTGTACTTCTCGATTGACCCATCCGCCTTGCGCTTGATCTTGAACACCCATTTTGTGCCAATGGCGCGTTGTCCGTTGGGCAGCTTGGCTGCACGAAACACACCGCGAAGTCGCATTGACTCGAGCTCTGCATGAATTGCTTATCTCCAGTGCACTTGGTCAGGGCCGCTTACTGCTGCTTCAAATGTTGAGGGTTCTGATAAGTCCACTGCTGCTTCAACGGCATTTGCACTCGCACGCCAAAACACAGGCGGTGTTGAATCACCAGAATCCTTCGTTTCTTCGTCTTCTTCTTGTCGTGACGAGTTGTTTTCCGGCGCGCTTGACTCTTCTAGTCCTGGTCGTTGACGCACTGCACGCGGTCGTGGAGCTGCTGTATCTTCATCATTGAGTCGGTTCTTGCGCTTGCCTGTTTGCTTGTACTCCATTTGACGCAGCTCTTCGTCATCAAGATCCAGCAATTCGAAGTCCAGGTCATCGACATCTTCATCAGTGATCGGCAGTTGAAGTCCAAAGGTGGACTCGTCGAAGTTGACATCGCGGCTGATAACCACCTGCCCCGCCTCGATGTCATAAACACGATATGCCTTCGAAACTTCTTCGTAGCCCACGAATATGCCAGCGCGAGCCTTTGGATCCCACTTGAGTCGCTTCTCCTTCGGAGTCAGTATAAATGTCTGACAGCCGAATACTCGCATGTGCTTGACACTTGGCTTGGAGTTGTACACGATCTCAAACGGGATCTTGTGCACAACTTTAGGTGACGGCAGTCGATTCTTGACGTAGATGGCCGTCATCGCTGCTTCGGCCCAGAAACACTTGTCCAGTTTGGCATGATGAAGCATGCTGCGGCCGATCGTGACAATAGTCCTAATGGCACGCTCTGCTGTTCCGTTTGTTTGATGTGCATACGGCACCGTTGTCTGCTGTTCAATGCCTTCGTCTTCGTAGAACAGTTGAAGCGAGTTGGTTGCAAACTCGCGAGCTCCGTCGTGTCGCACGAACTTGACCTTCTTACAGAATTGCGTCTGTACCATGGTGATATATTTCCGGATGTAGTCTTCACTCTCGGACTTCACTCGTAGACAAAAGCCCTTCATGCATCCACTGGCTTCGTCGATGATCAGCAGCAAATGTTTGCTGCCACCGAGCGAATCCTTTTCCATGGGCCCGCAGATGTCCAGATGAAGTAGCTCAAACGTATCGTAGCTGCGCTTGTCTCGGTTGCTTGGAAATGGTTTTTGGACCATTTTCCCTTGTTGACATCCTCGACATGTAGTTGCTCCACCCGACTTGAGAGGGACTCGCACATCCTTGATCATGTTGGTCGCGATCATCTTGCGAAGTACATCGACTGGAGCATGACCCATTCTCGCATGTAGATCGGCACAACTGGTTCCACTTGTTGTCACATTCGCTGATCGTTGAGTCGTCCGAAGCCAGTAGAGTCCATCCACGAGATCCGCTGTCGCCACCACTTGCTGTGAGTTCTTGAGAGTCACATACATCTTGGACCCGTCAAACACGACTTGAAACTTGCCATGGCTGTTAATCTGTGGCACCGAGAGCAGGTTCTTGCTCATACTTGGAACATATAGCGCGTTCTTGATTTCGATCTCACGCTCTTCACCGTTGGGCAGAACCACCTTTTCCATGATGGTTCCCACACCCTTGATGGCCACCTTGTTGCCATCAGCCACCAAGAGTTCGCCCTCATTGCGCTCTGCCAAACTTGCGAACTTGGTCTTGTCGTGGCAAATGTGGTGCGTTGCACCACTGTCGACGGCCCACATTCCAGACACGTCCTTGCTCGTCGAAACTCCACATTCGAACGAGACTGCAAACGCCACTCGATCGTAGCCATTGCCTTCATCATGATGTCCCCACTGGACATTGTTAGCCCCGCGTCCACGACCATTGCCGCCGCGTCGGGCTCTGTTGAATGGTGAAAAGCTTGACGACCGAAACTGGGAGTGATGCTGGGAGTCTACTCGGAAGACCGGAGAAGACACTTGGGGGGTAGATGGAAGATTGGAAAGTGATTGATTATCGGGGCTTACTACTTACTACATGATTTATATGTGGTGCACATATAAATCATGTGAAGCGTCTCATCATCCTACGCGTCTAATCAACTATGGTAATTACCGTAAGAACTACGTCGTAAATACTAAGCTGAACAGGCGGTTCGGATTGGACCGGTCACGGTTACCAATACTGGTAGAAACCGATGACCGTCAACACGCCCCCTCAATCCGAACTCGCACGAATGCCGAGAGCCGTCGTCAAGTCCTTGTGACGAGGTCCCGAAAGTCCCTTGGTCATGATGTCCGCCATCATCACGGAAGTCTCGCAATACTCGAGCTGCACTTCCCCGCGCTTGACCTCATCACGGATGTGATGGTACTTGATGTCGATGTGCTTGGCGCGGCCATGATTCACCGGATTCTTCGTCATCTTGATGCACGACTGGTTGTCTTCACGGATGACGAGGTCCGGTCCTGGTTCGTTTGCGGCCGCCAAAATCTCGCATAGCAGGCGATGCACCCACTTGCCTTCCTGGATGGCCAGACTCAGTGCGATGTATTCCGCTTCACTCGTCGACAGCGACACACTTGACTGCTTCTTGCTTCCCCAACTCACAGGAGCACCCATCAGCATGAAAGTGTAACCCGAAGTCGACTTGCGATCAGCGTGGTCGCCGGCCCAGTCCGCGTCCGAGTAGCCACGAAAGTCGATCTTGTCGCTTGGCTGGAATCGGAGTCCGTGCGACTTGGTCCCTTGCAAGTAACGAAAGATGCGCTTCACCGCCGTCCAATGTTCTTGCTGCGGATTCTCCATGTAGCGCGAGACGTACCCCACCGCATACGCAATGTCCGGGCGCGTCGCAGTCGTCAAGTGCATCAAAGCTCCCACAGCTTCACGAAACGGAACGTCGATCTTGGCCGCTTCGGTGCTTGCGACAAGCCGAGTGCTCAAGTCGACCGGACTTGCTGTGGCCTTGCACTCATCCATGCCGAAGCGCTTGAGGATGTCGTTGACATACCGTCGCTGGCACATTGTCACGCTGCCATCCGATTCGTCCACCAGTTCGATGCCCAGTACAAAAGTACACTTGCCACTGTCGGTCATCTCGAAACGCGTCTTGAGGTCGGCCTTCGTCTGCGCAATCAACTCGAGCGAGCTGCCGGTGACCAACACGTCATCCACGTAGACCAGCACGAGCACACAGTGACCGTCGACAACCTTGATGTAGAGACATGGGTCGAACGCCGACGCTTCGAAACCGATGGAGCATACGAACTCGTCGAAAGTCTCGTTCCACACACGTGAAGCTTGCTTGAGACCGTAGATCGCCTTCACCAACTCGAGACAGTCAAAGTCGTCATCCATCTCGACGCCTTCTGGTATCACGCAGTACACCTTCTCCTTCATCACTCCGTAGAGAAAGGCTGTCACCACATCGAGTTGGGCCAGTGGCCAGTCGAAATACTTGGTGATCGCGATCACCATACGCAGTGTCACGTACTTGACCACGGGCGAGAACGTCTCTGTGTAGTCGATGCCGTACTTCTGCTTGAAGCCCTTGGCAACGAGACGCGCCTTGTATTTCTCGACCGATCCATCCGCTTTGCGCTTGATCTTGAACACCCACTTGGTGCCGATCGCGCCTTGGCCTCTTGGCAGTTTTGCCGCACGGAAAACTCCACGAAGATGCATCGACTTGAGTTCCGCCTTCACAGCATTTCGCCAGTGAGTTTGATCAGGACCATTGATCGCGTCTTGAAAAGTCACAGGTTCTGCTAGGGTCCGTTGCTTCCACTGCGTTTGCACTTGCACGCCAAAATGTTGGAGGCGTCGAGTCGTCATCTTGATCGTACACGCTTGCATCTTCTTCGTCATCAGACATCGTTTCTGGAGCACTTGATCGTCGTTTCTGGGGACGGTTGGAGACGTGTTCCGGCGCACTTGCTTGTTCCAACCCAGTTCGAGGGCGAGCTGAACGTGACATGCCGGGTCTTGCTTCACTCTTGCGCTTGCCAGTCTGCTTGTAGACGGTTTGACGCACGTCGTCCTCGTTGATCGCCAGGAGGTCGAGGTCCAACTCCGCATCTTCATCATCGTCACTTGGTCGGTCCATCGAAAAGTCAAAAGTCGATTCGTCGAAGGTGATGTCACGACTGATCACCACTTGGCCCGCCTCAATGTCGTACACTCGATAAGCTTTTGACGCTTCTTCGTAGCCCATGAACATCCCTTCACAAGCCTTCGGGTCCCACTTCAATCGCTTCTCCCTTGGTGTCAGGATAAACGCCCGACATCCAAACACGCGCATGTGCTTGACACTTGGTTTCGACTTGTACACGATCTCGAACGGAGTCTTGTGGTCGATCTTGGGTGAAGGCAGGCGGTTCTTGATGTAGATCGCCGTCATTGCCGCTTCAGCCCAGAAACACTTCTCCAGCTTTGCATGATGCAACAAGCTGCGTCCGATCGTGACGATGGTCCTTATCGCGCGTTCTGCGGTGCCGTTGGTCTGGTGTGCATACGGCACCGTGATCTGTTGTTCAATACCATGATCTTCGTAGAAGGTCTTGATGGAGTTGGTCGCAAACTCATGCGCTCCATCGTGCCGAACAAACTTGATCTTCGTGCCGAACTGAGTTTGAATCTTGATGATGTGGTTCTTGATACAGTCTTCACTCTCAGACTTGGACCGCAGACAGAAGCCCTTCATGCAACCGCTGGCTTCGTCAACCACAAGCAGTAAGTATCTGCTGCCGCCGATCGAAACTTGTTCCATTGGCCCGCAGATGTCGAAGTGCAGCAACTCGAACACACCATATTGGCGTTTGTCACGGTTGGTTGGGAATGGTTTTTGAACCATCTTTCCTTGCTGGCAACCGCGACACACACTTGGACCAGTCGAGTTGAGAGGTGCCTTGGCGTCCTTGATCATGCCAGTGGCCACCATCTTGCGCAGAACTTCGAGGGGTGCATGACCCATGCGCGCATGCAAGTCGATGGTCCCATTGCGTGTTGCTGCATTTGCCGATCGTTGAGGAGTCCGCAGCCAGTAAAGTCCATCGACGAGATCCGCTGTTGCCACGACTTGTGTGGAATTCTTGCGCTTCACTTGCATCTTGGATCCATCGAACACGACTTGGAACCTGCCACCCTTGTTGATCTGTGGCACCGAAAGCAGATTCTTGCTCATACTTGGTACGAACAGTGCGTCCTTGATCTCGATGTCGAGTTCGTCACCATTGGGCAGAACCACCCGTTCCATGATGGTTCCCACACCCTTGATCGCAGCCTTGCTGCCATCAGCCACTGATAGTTCGCCTTCCTCTCGCTCATTCAGGCTTGCAAACTTGGCCTTGTCGTTGCAGATGTGATGCGTCGCACCGCTGTCGACTGCCCACATCCCTGGCATATTCTTGCCCGTCGAAAGTCCAGCCTCCAGCGAAACCGCGAACGCAACTCGATCGTAGTTGTCATCGTAGTTGCTGTTGGTTCGCCACTGAACGTTGTTGGCTCCGCGTCCACGAGCATTGTTGCCGCCGCGTCGAGCTCCACCTTGATTTTCGTCCTTCTGCTTGGTCCAGCACCGCTCCGCCGTGTGCCCCAATTTTCCGCAGTATGTACACTGGCGAGGTTCACGCTCGGCACTGAACGCCTTCGCCGCGTCTTCAGTCTTCACCGATGTCGTCTTGTCACCTTGTCTCTTGATGTGCTCATTCGTGAGCACTCTCACGACGTCTCGCGATCGCAGTTCCGCGCTGCTCATCTCCAAGTTGAGAACGACGTTCTCGTAGCTCTTGGGGAGGCTGCGCAACAAGCAGATCGCCACGTCCTCGTCCTCCATCTTGGCGCCGATGCTGCTGAGCTTCGCGCTGATGTTGAGGACTTCGTTGCAATGATGCATCACATTGCCGCCTTCCGCCATCTCCATGCTGAACAGCTGGCGATTCAAGTAGATGCGTCCAGCCTTCTGCGACCCGCCGTACAGCGTCTTCAAACGCGCCCACGCGACCCACGCCTCTTCACAGTCATCAACCACGTGATGATAATCCGCGCTCATGTGCAGCAGCATCAAGCCGAACGCAATGTTGTTCGTCTTGATGTAGTCGTCACTGGCGCGAGGATCGGCGAAGGTGGGGGTGGTCTCCCGGTTCACCACGTGCCACGCCGACTTGGTCAGGAACACGCCACGCATGTAGCGGCTCCACGTCGCGTAGTTGTCGCCGTCGAACTTGTCGATGGAGACCTTGGTGGTGGCATCATGAGCAGAGGACATCGTGCTTGGGCTCATAACCTGTTGAATGGTGAAAAGCTTGACGACCGAAACTGGGAGTGATGCTGGGAGTCTACTCGGAAGACCGGATAAGACACTTGGGGGTAGATGGAAGATTGGAAAGTGATTGATTATCGGGGCTTACTACTTACTACATGATTTATATGTGGTGCACATATAAATCATGTGAAGCGTCTCATCATCCTACGCGTCTAATCAACTATGGTAATTACCGTAAGAACTACGTCGTAAATACTAAGCTGAACAGGCGGTTCGGATTGGACCGGTCACGGTTACCAATACTGGTAGAAACCGATGACCGTCAACAGGCTCCCCGACCTTCGTTCTTCTGCTTTGTCCAGCAACGATCCACCGTGTGTCCCACCTTGCCACAATACGTGCATTGGTAGGGCTCACGCTCGGCGCTGAATGCCTTGCTTGCATCTTCAGCCTTCACCGTAGTCGCTGTCGTTGTCCCTTTTTCTCCTCGACGCTTGGCATGCTCATTCGTCAGGACTCTCACCACATCTTGAGTGCGAAGCTCGGTGCTGCTCATTTCCATGTTGTGCACCACATTTTCGTAGCTCTTCGGAAGACTGAGTAGCAGACAAATTGCAACGTCTTCGTCTTCCATCTTCGCACCTATGCCGCTAAGCTTGGCGGAGATGTTGAGGACCTCGTTGCAGTGATGCATGACGTTCGCGCCTTCAGCCATCTTGATACTGAAAAGCTGTCGCTTGAGGTAGATGCGTCCTGCCTTCTGCGACCCACCGTACAGCGTCTTCAGACTTGTCCACTGTTGTAACTTGAGCGCGAGGCGAAGAGAAAACGAAGCGGAGAGACCGGAGAGAACGAAGCAGAGAACACTTGCTCACTTGAGGGAGGATTCGAAAGTGATTGATTTATAGGTCTTAACTTCTGCCTACCCTAGACTGCATCCAATCACATGGTGCATCTAATCAACCTGATTTACACGCGTCCAATCATCCTACGCGTCTAATCATCTCTGAGGTAATTACCGATGTAAAAACTATCTCGTAAGAACTACGCGCTAGGTTCGGATTGTACCGGTAACCCTCAATACGCCCCCTCAATCCGAACACGCACGAATGCCAAGCGCCGCCGTCAAGTCCTTGTGACGCGGTCCGTGAAGTCCCTTCGTCATGATGTCCGCCAACATCAACGTCGTCTCGCAGTATTCAAGCTTCACTTCGCCGCGCTTGACTTCATCACGGATGTGATGGTACTTGATGTCGATGTGTTTAGCGCGGCCGTGGTTGACCGGATTCTTCGTCATCTTGATGCACGACTGGTTGTCTTCACGGATGACGAGCTCGGGTCCTTCTTCGTTTGCAGCCGCCATGATCTCGCACAGCAAGCGATTGATCCACTTGCCTTCTTGGATCGCCAGGCTGAGCGCGATGTACTCCGCTTCGCTTGTAGACAGTGACACACTTGGCTGTTTCTTGCTGCCCCAACTCACCGGAGCACCCAATAGCATGAAGACGTAGCCGGACGTCGATTTGCGATCAGCAAGGTCACCGGCCCAGTCTGCATCTGAATAGCCACGAAAGTCGATCTTCGCACTTGGCTTGTAGCAGATTCCATGCATCTTGGTGCCTTGTAGGTAGCGGAAGATGCGCTTTACTGCAACCCAGTGTTCTTCTTGGGGTTTCTCCATGAACCGTGACACAAAGCTTACAGCATAGGCGATGTCCGGTCGCGTTGCAGTCGTCAGATGCATCAAAGCACCCACTGCTTCACGGAATGGGACATTCACCTTGCTTGCAGAGTTGCTTGGAACCAGTCGAGAGCTGACGTCCACCGGACTTGCCACAGCCTTGCACTCATCCATTCCAAAGCGCTTGAGGACATCGTCGACATAACGGCGCTGACACATAGTCACGCTGCCATCTTCACCGTCCAATAACTCGATCCCAAGAACAAATACACACTTGCCGCTATCAGTCATTTCGAAGCGTGTCTTGAGGTCGTTCTTGGTGCGCGCAATCATCTCGAGCGAGCTTCCAGTCACCAAGACATCGTCCACGTAGACCAGCACAAAAACACAATGGCCTTCCGAAGTCATGATGTAGAGACATGGATCGAATCCCGACGCTTGAAAACCAATCGAGCGTATGAACTCGTCGAAGGTCTCGTTCCAAACACGCGAGGCTTGCTTGAGACCGTAGATCGCCTTGATCAGCTCGAGACAGTCGAAATCACCTTCCATCTTGACGCCTTCCGGAACAGCGCAGAACACCTTCTCCTTCATCACTCCATACAGGAACGCAGTCACCACATCGAGCTGGTCGAGGGGCCATCCAAAGTGCTTGGTAATGGCGATGACCATTCGCAGCGTCACATACTTGACCACGGGCGAGAACGTCTCCGTGTAGTCGATGCCATACTTTTGGCGAAAACCCTTGGCCACAAGTCGTGCCTTGTATTTCTCGATCGACCCATCCGCCTTGCGCTTGATCTTGAAGACCCACTTTGTGCCAATGGCGCTTTGTCCGTTGGGTAACTTGGCCGCACGAAAGACACCGCGAAGCTTCATCGAATCGAGCTCCGCATCAATTGCCTTGCGCCAGTGTACTTGGTCCGGGCCAGACACTGCTTCTTCAAATGTCGACGGCTCCGAAAAATCGACCGCTGCTTCGACGGCGTTTGCACTCGCATGCCAAAACGCGGAGGAAGTCGGTGTGTCATGTTGCTCCTCCGACTTCCTTTCTTCATCTTCGTTGGCTCGACGTGAAGAGAGGTCATCCGGCGCACTTGACTCTTCCAATCCGGGTCGTTGGCGCACTGCTCGGGGCATGCTTGCGTCGTCATTGTCGTGACTGGGTTGGGCCTTGCGCTTTCCTGTTTGTTTGAAGTGTCTCGGACGCGGTTCTTCATCATCAAGATCGATCGATTCGAAGTCCAGGCCATCAACATCGTCATCGGAAATCAGCATCGACATTCCAAAGGCCGACTCATCGAAGTTGACATCGCGACTTATCATCACCTGCCCCGCTTCGATGTCGTAAACTCGATACGCCTTGGACACTTCTTCGTAGCCCAAAAACAATCCAGCCCGGGCCTTGGGATCCCACTTGAGTCGTTTCTCCTTCGGGGTCAAGATGTATGCTTGGCACCCAAAAACGCGCATGTGCTTGACACTTGGCTCAGAATTGTAGACAATCTCGAACGGTGTCTTGTGTGGAATCTTGGGTGACGGCAAACGGTTCTTCACATAGACGGCCGTCATTGCCGCTTCAGCCCAGAAGCACTTGTCCAACTTGGCATGATGGAGCATGCTACGACCGATGGTGACGATAGTTCGAATCGCGCGTTCAGCAGTTCCATTGGCTTGATGTGCGTATGGCACCGTGGTTTGTTGCTCGATGCCTTCGACTTCGTAGAAATCTTGAAGCGAGTTCGTCGCAAACTCGCGGGCTCCATCGTGTCGCACAAATTTGACCTTCTTGTTGAACTGCGTCTGTATCATCGTGATGTACTTCTTGATGCACTCTTCGCTCTCTGACTTGGAATGCAGACAAAAACCCTTCATGCATCCGCTGGCTTCATCCACGATCAGCAGCAGATACTTGCTGCCACCCAGAGATTTTTCTTCCATGGGTCCGCAGATGTCGAAGTGGAGCATCTCGAAGGTGTTGTAGGTGCGCTTGTCACGGTTGCTCGGGAATGGTTTTTGGACCATCTTCCCTTCTTGGCATCCTCGACACACACTTGATCCATTCGGCTTGGAAGGGATGTGAGCGTCCTTGATCATGTGGCTTGTCACCATCCTGCGAAGCACGTCGACTGGAGCATGGCCCATTCGCGCATGTAGATCAACAGCGTTGCTGAGTGATGTCGCATTGGCCGATCGCTGCGTCGTGCGAAGCCAGTAGAGTCCGTCTACAAGATCCGCAGCTGCCACCACTTGATTGGAATCCTTGCGAGCGACGTACATCGTATCCCCGTCAAACACCACTTGGAAGTTGCCGTGCTTGTTAATCTGCGGCACCGAGAGCAGATTTTTGCTCATGCTGGGCACATAGAGCGCGTTCTTGATCTCGATCTCGCGCTCTTCCCCGTTTGGCAGAATCACCTTTTCCACGATGGTCCCCACACCTTTGATGGCCGCCTTGTTGCCATCAGCCACCAGGATCTCGCCATCATTGCCTTCGACCAAGCTTGCAAACTTGAACTTGTCGTGGCAGATGTGATGTGTTGCCCCGCTGTCAACGGCCCACATTCCTGGTCCATTCTTGTTCGTCGAAACTCCGCATTCGAACGAAACTGCAAACGCCACTCGATCGTAGCTGTTGCCTTCATCATAATGTCGCCACTGGACATTGTTTGCCCCGCGTCCACGACCATTGCCGCCGCGTTGGGCTCCTCGACTTTCATCCTTTTGCTTCGTCCAGCAACGCTCTGCCGTGTGCCCCACCTTGCCGCATTATGTGCATTGGTAGGGCTTGCGCTCGGTACTGAATGCCTTTGTCGCATCTTCAGTCTTCACCGTTGTCGTTGCCGTTGTCATCTTCTCGCCTTGTCGCTTGAGGTGCTCGTTAGTCAGCACCTTGACCACATCTTGCGTGCGCAGCTCTGCATTGCTCATCTCCAAGTTCAGAACCACGTTCTCGAAACTCTTCGGGAGACTGAGCAGCAAGCAGATCGCAATGTCTTCGTCTTCCATCTTGGCACCGATGCTGCTGAGCTTGGCGCCGATGTTCAAGACTTCGTTGCAATGGTGCAAGACGTTGGCACCTTCCGCCATCTTGATGCTGAACAGCTGGCGCTTGAGGTAGATGCGTCCCGCCTTCTGCGACCCACCATAGAGCATCTTTAACCGCGACCACGCTGTCCATGCTTCTTCACAGTTGTCGACCACATGGTGGTAGTCGGCGTCCATGTGGAGCAACATCAACCCGAACGCGATGTTGCTCGCCTTGACGTACTCGTCGGAAGCTCGCGTGTCGGTGAAGGTTGGAGACGTTTCGCGGTTCACGACGTACCAGACTGACTTCGTCAGAAACACGCCGCGCATGTAGCGACACCAGGTTGAGTAGTTGTCCCCATCGAACTTATCGATGGAGACACTGGCCGAGGTGTTGTTGGACGACATGGCGCTTGGGCTCATAACCTGTTGTAACTTGAGCGCGAGGCGAAGAGAAAACGAAGCGGAGAGACCGGAGAGAACGAAGCAGAGAACACTTGCTCACTTGAGGGAGGATTCGAAAGTGATTGATTTATAGGTCTTAACTTCTGCCTACCCTAGACTGCATCCAATCACATGGTGCATCTAATCAACCTGATTTACACGCGTCCAATCATCCTACGCGTCTAATCATCTCTGAGGTAATTACCGATGTAAAAACTATCTCGTAAGAACTACGCGCTAGGTTCGGATTGTACCGGTAACCCTCAATATCCACGCAACCCAGGCTTCCTCGCAGTTGTCCAGCACATGATGGTAGTCCGCGTTCATGTGCAGCAGCATCATACCAAACGCGACGTTGCTTGCCTTGACGTAGTCATCGGACGCTCGCGGGTCGGTGAAAGTCGGAGTCACTTCACGGTTGACAACGTGCCAGACGGACTTCGTCAAAAACACACCGCGCATGTACCGGCTCCACGTTGCGTAATTGTCTCCGTTGAACTTGTCAATGGAGGCGTTGCTGGTGGACGACATGGCGCTTGGGCTCATAACCTGTTGCATTGTAGATCGGAGCGAGGAAAGCGGAGCGAACGGAGCGGAGAGACCGAAGAGAGTAGAGCAGAAAACACTTGCCCAATAGTTCGAAGATTCGAAAGTGATTGATTATCGGGGCTTACTACTTACTACATGATTTATATGTGGTGTACATATAAATCATGTGAAGCGTCTCATCATCCTACGCGTCTAATCAACTATGGTAATTACCGTAAGAACTACGTCGTAAATACTAAGCTGAACAGGCGGTTCGGATTGGATCGGTCACGGTTACCAATACTGGTAGAAAACCGATGACCGTCAACAAATGCAGCCAAGTCGTCGGGATGTCAAGGGGGCACCAAGTCGTACCTCTGGCACCTTCGGCTTGGCCACATAGGTCATGATGGACTCAATTGCATCGTGACGAAGAACATTGGAATTGGCATCGACATATCTTCGGTGAAGAAGTGGGACGTGTGTGAAGGTTGTGCTCTGGGAAAACAGACTCGAGTGCGCTTCCAATCAAACACTACAGCTCGCACCTCCAAACTCCTCGAAGTGATTCACAGCGACGTATGCGGACCGATGTCGATGGCAACTTTCAGTGGAAAACGGTACTTCGTGACATTCATTGATGACAAGTCAAGATACTGTGTCGTCTATCTGCTCAAGAGCAAATCTGAAGTTGCGGCGAAGTTCATGGAATACGCTGCGATGGCCGAAACGCAAACCGGAAAGCGCGTGAAGTACCTTCAAAGCGACAATGGGGGTGAATACAAGTCCGACAAGCTGGCACGATTCTGCGCGGAACGGGGAATACAACAAAGGTTCACACCCCCATATACTCCTCAGCTAAACGGAGTAGCTGAGAGAATGAATCGCACGCCGGTCGAGTGTGCGCGTTGCATGATGGAACACGCTGGACTGGGAAAGAGCTACTGGGGTGAAGCAGTGATGACGGCGATGTTTCTTCGAAACCGCTGTCCAACACGTGCCATTCACCAAGACAAGTCTCCATATCAAGTGTGGACGATGAAGAAACCGATTCTGGCCAACCTTAAAGTGTTTGGATGCCACGCGTATGTTTAAGTGCCTCAAGACAAACGCGCGAAGTTCGACTCCAAGTCATCACTCTGTCGTTTCCTGGGATACGCCGAACACCAGAAGTCATATCGATTTGAGGAAGTGTCAACAGGAGCGATCAAGATCAGTCGCGATGCCACATTCATGGAAGACAAGTTTGATGAAGGTCCGCGCAACTACAACGATGAGTCAAGTGTCGTTGAGTTTGATGATCATGATGAGGACGAAGAAAAAGAAGAAGGTAAAACTGACGACGAAATGGACTCGAGCGACGATGACAACGAAGACACCAGGTCTTCGAAGAGCAACATCAAGAGACACACGCGCACTCAATCACTTGAGAAAGCTACCGTCATTCCAAGTCCCAAGCGGAGAACATACAGAGGTCCGTCGCTTGAGCATGTGTCAGCGGCTGCAATGGATTTTGAAGCAGCCTACATCGTTGATTCAGTGGGGGAAACGCCGACTACATTCAAGTCGGCGATGGAATCAAGCGACTCCGGCAAGTGGAAAGAAGCGTGTGACTCGGAGTTCGATTCGCTTCAGAGAAACGACACGTGGGAAATCGTGCCTCTTCCGAAAGGTCGCAAGGCCATCGGGTGCCGATGGGTTTTTCGTGTAAAGGAGAATCAAGATGGCGAAGTTGAACGTTTCAAGGCAAGACTTGTGGCCAAAGGATTCTCACAGAAATTCGGAGTTGACTATGAAGAAACTTTCGCACCGGTGGCCAAGTTCACATCGATTCGTGTGGTGCTCAGTATGGCGGCTAAGTACGGCCTAATGCTACATCAGATGGACGTCAAGACAGCGTTTCTTAACGGCTCCCTCAACGAAGACATCTACATGGACCAGCCGGACGGATACCTGGATGCAACACAGCCGGACTATGTGTGCAAGCTAAAGAGATCACTCTACGGCTTGAAGCAATCGCCTCGCATGTGGAACCAAACAATCGATGGGTTCATGATCAAGATGGGATTCAAGAAGTGCGAATCGGACCACTGCATCTACATCAAGCGAGACGACCAAGACATGATTCTCGTGGTGCTCTACGTCGATGATCTCATCCTGGCCAGCAGCATCAACGAACTCCTCAAGTCAACCAAGATGGCGCTGAGCAAACGCTTCGAAATGACGGATCTCGGTGAGCTCGATTACTTTCTCGGCATGGAGATCAAGAACGACCGTAAGACGGGAATGGTGACTGTACAACAAACCAAGTTTCTCAAGTCCGTGTTAACCAAGTTCGGAATGGATAACAGCAAGCCAGTGAAGACGCCTCAAGATCCCGGCCTGAAGCTAACCAAGAACATGTGTGAACAAGAATGCAAGCACGAAGACACCATGTGCAACGTGCCATATCGAAGTGCTGTCGGAGGCATCATGTATCTCATGGTCGCCACACGTCCGGATCTAGCTGCTGCAGTGGGATCGTTATCCCAGTTCTCGTCCGACCCATGCCCGACTCACTGGCAAGCTTTGAAGCGTGTGCTGAGATACCTGCAAGCAACGCCCAATCATGGTCTTGAGTTTACACGTGAAGAAGGAAGCCGTATCTGCGGGTACACCGACGCAGACTGGGCCGGCGACATTGAGTCAAGACGAAGTACAAGCGGCTATGTGTTCATGATGAGCGGAGGATGCATCAGCTGGAAAAGCCAGAAACAACGGACGGTCGCGCTATCTTCAACAGAAGCAGAATACATGGCGCTTTCCGAAGCAACCAAAGAAGCAGTATGGCTCAAAGTGCTTTTGGGGGAACTTGGTGAGATGACAAGCGACGAAGCGATCAAGATGTATGAAGACAACCAAGGATCAATCGCTCTCGCCAAGAACCCGGAGTTCCATAAGAGAACAAAACACATCGACATACGCTACCATTTTGTGCGTGAGAAGGTGGAATCAGGTGAAGTCGTTTTGGAGTATTGCCCGACTCAAGATATGCTGGCAGACATGATGACCAAGCCGATCGCCGCTGTACAATTTGAAAACATTCGCGATCGACTTGGGATCCAAGGTGCCGCAGCTAACGAGTCGAGAGGGAGTGTTGAAAAGACAGCGGCTGTGAAGAAGACACCTCGTCAAGCTGCGTCAAGTGTTGAAGCAAGTGGAAGACCAAGCTTCGCTATACCGGTGGGTACCGGTATGTACCAGTAAGGGCGAAGTCAGGAAATGACGTCACTGGATGACGTCATTGCATGACGTCAGTGGGTGACGTCAGTGGGTGACGTCACTGGATGACGTCACTGCGAATAATAGGCTTAGAGGTAGTATTCAAAGTTGCGAACTAAGTACCTATTATAAATATATATTCACTTTGCGTTTTGCACTCGGACCAAGAAGTCTAAAGTTCATCACCTTCGTCATGATGTCCGCTAACATCACCGCAGTTTCACAGTACTTGAGCTTCACTTCACCGCGCTTGACCTCATCACGGATGTGATGGTACTTGATATCAATGTGCTTGGCACGGCCGTGGTTGACTGGGTTCTTCGTCATCTTGATACACGACTGATTGTCTTCATGGATCATGAGTTCCGGTCCTTCTTCATTGGCAGCCATCACGATCTCACAAAGCAGACGATGAATCCACTTGCCCTCTTGAATCGCCAAGCTGAGTGCGATGTATTCGGCTTCACTCGTGGACAACGAAACACTTGGCTGCTTCTTGCTGCCCCAACTGACTGGCGCACCGAGTAGCATGAACGTGTACCCCGATGTTGACTTGCGGTCGGTAAGATCACCAGCCCAATCCGCATCCGAATATCCACGGAAGTCGATCCTTGCACTTGGCTTGTAGCAAATTCCATGCGTCTTGGTGCCTTGTAGGTAGCGAAAGATACGCTTAACTGCAACCCAGTGTTCTTCTTGGGGATTTTCCATGAACCGCGACACATAGCCCACAGCAAACGCAGTGTCCGGACGCGTTGCAGTGGTCAGGTGCATCAACGCACCAACAGCTTCGCGAAAAGGAGCATCGACCTTGGTAGTTGCATCACTTGAAACAAGTCGAGAGCTCATGTCGACTGGACTTGCGACTGCCTTGCAATCATCCATGCCAAAGCGCTTGAGGATATCATCGACATACCGACGCTGACATAGTGTCACACTGCCATCTTCACCGTCCAAAAGCTCGATCCCAAGAACAAACGCACACTTGCCGCTGTCCGTCATTTCGAACCGCGTCTTCAGGTCGTTCTTGGTTTGTGCAATCAGCTCGAGTGAGCTTCCAGTCACCAAGACGTCGTCCACGTAGACCAGTATAAACACGCAATGGCCGTCCGAAGTCTTGATGTAGAGACATGGGTCGAAGTCCGATACTTGAAATCCGATGGAGCACACATACTCGTCGAACGTCTCGTTCCACACTCGCGACGCTTGCTTGAGGCCGTAAATTGACTTCACCAATTCCAGGCAGTCGAACGTACTGTCAAGTTCGACGCCTTCAGGAATCACGCAGAACACTTGTTCCTTCATGACGCCATACAGGAAAGCTGTCACCACATCAAGCTGGTCGATGGGCCATCCAAAATGCTTGGAAATTGCGATCACCATTCGCAGCGTCACATACTTGACCACAGGCGAAAACGTCTCCGTGTAGTCGATGCCATACTTTTGGCGGAAACCCTTGGCCACAAGTCGTGCCTTGTACTTCTCGATTGACCCATCCGCCTTGCGCTTGATCTTGAACACCCATTTTGTGCCAATGGCGCGTTGTCCGTTGGGCAGCTTGGCTGCACGAAACACACCGCGAAGTCGCATTGACTCGAGCTCTGCATGAATTGCTTTTCTCCAGTGCACTTGGTCTGTTGTAAGTGCATGATGTTGAAAAGACAGCGGCTGTGAAGAAGACACCTCGTCAAGCTGCGTCAAGTGTTGAAGCAAGTGGAAGACCAAGCTTCGCTATACCGGTGGGTACCGGTATGTACCAGTAAGGGCGAAGTCAGGAAATGACGTCACTGGATGACGTCATTGCATGACGTCAGTGGGTGACGTCAGTGGGTGACGTCACTGGATGATGTCACTGCGAATAATAGGCTTAGAGGTAGTATTCAAAGTTGCGAACTAAGTACCTATTATAAATATATATTCACTTTGCGTTTTGCACTCGGACCAAGAAGTCTAAAGTTCATCAGGTTATGAGCCCAAGTTCGTCAGACTCTGAAACCGCCAACAATTCAAGCTTAGCTGCCATGGACGCCTCCTCCCTCCGCATCTCCAAGTTCGATGGAACTAACTTCCACGCCTGGAAGTTCAAGATGCGGATGGTGCTTGAGGAGCGGAACTTATGGGAGGTCGTCAGCGGTGAGATCAAGGCGGAACAGTGCGAGACTCAGTTGGACCAAGCGACGTACAAGAGGAAGTCAAGAAAGGCGATGGCAGTGATCTGTCTAGCCATGGAAGATTCCCAGCTACCGTTGGTCCGGTCGGCAAGTGGTGCATGCGACGCATGGTCAAGGTTGGAAGACCACTTCGAGAAGAAGAGTCTTGCCAACAAGCTGTTCTTGCGCCGTCGCTTCTTCACGACAATGATGGAAGAAGGCGACGATGTGCTCGAACACATCAACAAGCTCAAGACGCTGGCGGAACAGCTAGAAGCGGTGGGGGCTCCAGTCTGCGAGGACGATCTGGTGATCACACTCCTCGGCAGCCTGAGTGACTCGTATCAATTCTTGATCACAGCTTTGGAGTCGCGCTCAGACACTCTTAGCTGGGAGCTCGTGACGTCTCGACTGCTTCATGAAGAAATGAAGCGGAAGGAGCAAGGAAGTAAAGGTGATGAAGCTTCGCAAGGTCAAGCGTTCATCACAAGGGACAATCAGCGCAAAGGGCGACCAGTGAAGAAGTCCTGGCCGTGCCACAATTGCGGAAAGATTGGTCACTGGATGGCGGAGTGCCCCTCGCGCATCCAAGAAAACACGGAGAGACACCGGCCACAGCGTGCTCAAGACAGCGGCGACCGCTATCGATCACAACGTGCAAACGTCGCTCAAGAAGAAGACTCGGGCGACTACCTCTTTTCGATCGGTGAAACGACATCTGCGAAATCGAGCGACATCTGGCTGGTCGACTCCGGGGCGACGCAGCACATGACGTGCTCCAAGAAGTTCATGCGGAACTACAAGGGGTTTGACGCTGTGGATGTCCATCTCGCGGATGATGGAATCGTCCAAGCAATCGGCAGTGGGGACATTGTCATGTCGATGAAGACACCCCAAGGGATGAAGAAAGGTGTGCTCACAAACGTGTGGCACATCCCAAAGTTATCCAGAAACCTGTTCTCGGTCGGCCGCTTCACCAAGGATGTCGGCCCAGTGACGTTCACGAAGGATGGGTGCTATGGAGAAGCGAAAGGGACCAAGTGGAAAATTGGTGCCCGTGAAGGTAAAGGACTGTTCAAGCTGCAAATGACTCCAGTGGCGCCGGAACAAGCAAATGCAGCCAAGTCGTCGGGATGTCAAGGGGGCACCAAGTCGTACCTCTGGCACCTTCGGCTTGGCCACATAGGTCACGATGGACTCAATTGCATCGTGACGAAGAACATTGGAATTGGCATCGACATATCTTCGGTGAAGAAGTGGGACGTGTGTGAAGGTTGTGCTCTGGGAAAACAGACTCGAGTGCGCTTCCAATCAAACACTACAGCTCGCACCTCCAAACTCCTCGAAGTGATTCACAGCGACGTATGCGGACCGATGTCGATGGCAACTTTCAGTGGAAAACGGTACTTCGTGACATTCATCGATGACAAGTCAAGATACTGTGTCGTCTATCTGCTCAAGAGCAAATCTGAAGTTGCGGCGAAGTTCATGGAATACGCTGCGATGGCCGAAACGCAAACCGGAAAGCGCGTGAAGTACCTTCAAAGCGACAATGGGGGTGAATACAAGTCCGACAAGCTGGCACGATTCTGCGCGGAACGGGGAATACAACAAAGGTTCACACCCCCATATACTCCTCAGCTAAACGGAGTAGCTGAGAGAATGAATCGCACGCTGGTCGAGTGTGCGCGTTGCATGATGGAACACGCTGGACTGGGAAAGAGCTACTGGGGTGAAGCAGTGATGACGGCGATGTTTCTTCGAAACCGCTGTCCAACACGTGCCATTCACCAAGACAAGTCTCCATATCAAGTGTGGACGATGAAGAAACCGATTCTGGCCAACCTTAAAGTGTTTGGATGCCACGCGTATGTTCAAGTGCCTCAAGACAAACGCGCGAAGTTCGACTCCAAGTCATCACTCTGTCGTTTCCTGGGATACGCCGAACACCAGAAGTCATATCGATTTGAGGAAGTGTCAACAGGAGCGATCAAGATCAGTCGCGATGCCACATTCATGGAAGACAAGTTTGATGAAGGTACGCGCAACTACAACGATGAGTCAAGTGTCGTTGAGTTTGATGATCATGATGAGGACGAAGAAAAAGAAGAAGGTAAAACTGACGACGACATGGACTCGAGCGACGATGACAACGAAGACACCAGGTCTTCGAAGAGCAACATCAAGAGACACACGCGCACTCAATCACTTGAGAAAGCTACCGTCATTCCAAGTCCCAAGCGAAGAACATACAGAGGTCCGTCGCTTGAGCATGTGTCAGCGGCTGCAATGGATTTTGAAGCAGCCTACATCGTTGATTCAGTGGGGGAAACGCCGACTACATTCAAGTCGGCGATGGAATCAAGCGACTCCGGCAAGTGGAAAGAAGCGTGTGACTCGGAGTTCGATTCGCTTCAGAGAAACGACACGTGGGAAATCGTGCCTCTTCCGAAAGGTCGCAAGGCCATCGGGTGCCGATGGGTTTTTCGTGTAAAGGAGAATCAAGATGGCGAAGTTGAACGTTTCAAGGCAAGACTTGTGGCCAAAGGATTCTCACAGAAATTCGGAGTTGACTATGAAGAAACTTTCGCACCGGTGGCCAAGTTCACATCGATTCGTGTGGTGCTCAGTATGGCGGCTAAGTACGGCCTAATGCTACATCAGATGGACGTCAAGACAGCGTTTCTTAACGGCTCCCTCAACGAAGACATCTACATGGACCAGCCGGACGGATACCTGGATGCAACACAGCCGGACTATGTGTGCAAGCTAAAGAGATCACTCTACGGCTTGAAGCAATCGCCTCGCATGTGGAACCAAACAATCGATGGGTTCATGATCAAGATGGGATTCAAGAAGTGCGAATCGGACCACTGCATCTACATCAAGCGAGACGACCAAGACATGATTCTCGTGGTGCTCTACGTCGATGATCTCATCCTGGCCAGCAGCAACAACGAACTCCTCAAGTCGACCAAGATGGCGCTGAGCAAACGCTTCGAAATGACGGATCTCGGTGAGCTCGATTACTTTCTCGGCATGGAGATCAAGAACGACCGTAAGACGGGAATGGTGACTGTACAACAAACCAAGTTTCTCAAGTCCGTGTTAACCAAGTTCGGAATGGATAACAGCAAGCCAGTGAAGACGCCTCAAGATCCCGGCCTGAAGCTAACCAAGAACATGTGTGAACAAGAATGCAAGCACGAAGACACCATGTGCAACGTGCCATATCGAAGTGCTGTCGGAGGCATCATGTATCTCATGGTCGCCACACGTCCGGATCTAGCTGCTGCAGTGGGATCATTATCCCAGTTCTCGTCCGACCCATGCCCGACTCACTGGCAAGCTTTGAAGCGTGTGCTGAGATACCTGCAAGCAACGCCCAATCATGGTCTTGAGTTTACACGTGAAGAAGGAAGCCGTATCTGCGGGTACACCGACGCAGACTGGGCCGGCGACATTGAGTCAAGACGAAGTACAAGCGGCTATGTGTTCATGATGAGCGGAGGATGCATCAGCTGGAAAAGCCAGAAACAACGGACGGTCGCGCTATCTTCAACAGAAGCAGAATACATGGCGCTTTCCGAAGCAACCAAAGAAGCAGTATGGCTCAAGGTGCTTTTGGGGGAACTTGGTGAGATGACAAGCGACGAAGCGATCAAGATGTATGAAGACAACCAAGGATCAATCGCTCTCGCCAAGAACCCGGAGTTCCATAAGAGAACAAAACACATCGACATACGCTACCATTTTGTGCGTGAGAAGGTGGAATCAGGTGAAGTCGTTTTGGAGTATTGCCCGACTCAAGATATGCTGGCAGACATGATGACCAAGCCGATCGCCGCTGTACAATTTGAAAACATTCGCGATCGACTTGGGATCCAAGGTGCCGCAGCTAACGAGTCGAGAGGGAGTGTTGAAAAGACAGCGGCTGTGAAGAAGACACCTCGTCAAGCTGCGTCAAGTGTTGAAGCAAGTGGAAGACCAAGCTTCGCTATACCGGTGGGTACCGGTATGTACCAGTAAGGGCGAAGTCAGGAAATGACGTCACTGGATGACGTCATTGCATGACGTCAGTGGGTGACGTCAGTGGGTGACGTCACTGGATGACGTCACTGCGAATAATAGGCTTAGAGGTAGTATTCAAAGTTGCGAACTAAGTACCTATTATAAATATATATTCACTTTGCGTTTTGCACTCGGACCAAGAAGTCTAAAGTTCATCACATGATGCACTGGATTCGACTCCAGAGATTCGACCCATGATAGGGTATGTCTAGAATGTTCTTTAGGGTTCTATGCATTATTATAGGTCGTACGGCAGCTAGACGTATGGATAGTTCTCACTTGTAGATTGACAAACCACTGATGAGGCCCCCGGCGGGGGGCCGAAACGCGTCTGGTGCGCGGTAATATACAAGTCATTTACTTTACTTAACTCCTACTTCTTACAGGTTATGAGCTTAAGTGCTCGCTACAGACACCTCACCAAGGACCAACTTGTGCGAGGGACACCCCGTCAGAGAAGGCGCTCGATGCACGAGTAAGGCGCCGAAGAATTCATCGACAGGGATCGTTGACGGTGCGCGTGCAGTCGAAAAGGGTTTGTGCAAGGGTGGTGACGCGAGATGGTCTGAATGCGCGAGTGCTATCGAAGGAAGAGTCAAGTCAAGTGGTGACAAGTGTATTTGTGGTCAAGAAGAAGTGGAAACTACATCCAAGGCGAACGACGACTACGAGATGTCAAGATGTGACATGGTGCTGGACGATGGGGGAGCTGGAATACCTGGAACGCTCGGTATCATCGAGGTTGGCTGGAGCGCAGGGCGCAAGACTCAGTCAAGATTCCCATGGTGCACGGATGCAGCAGTGAGGATTACAGGCGGGTCGATACCAAAGTGGTCTGCATCTCATGTCGTCGAGGGGGAGTGTTGTAAGTGCATGATGCACTGGATTCGACTCCAGAGATTCGACCCATGATAGGGTATGTCTAGAATGTTCTTTAGGGTTCTATGCATTATTATAGGTCGTACGGCAGCTAGACGTATGGATAGTTCTCACTTGTAGATTGACAAACCACTGATGAGGCCCCCGGCGGGGGGCCGAAACGCGTCTGGTGCGCGGTAATATACAAGTCATTTACTTTACTTAACTCCTACTTCTTACATGGTCAGGGCCGCTTACTGCTGCTTCAAATGTTGAGGGTTCTGATAAGTCCACTGCTGCTTCAACGGCATTTGCACTCGCACGCCAAAACACAGGCGGTGTTGAATCACCAGAATCCTTCGTTTCTTCGTCTTCTTCTTGTCGTGAAGAGTTGTTTTCCGGCGCGCTTGACTCTTCTAGTCCTGGTCGTTGACGCACTGCACGCGGTCGTGGAGCTGCTGTATCTTCATCATTGAGTCGGTTCTTGCGCTTGCCTGTTTGCTTGTACTCCATTTGACGCAGCTCTTCGTCATCAAGATCCAGCAATTCGAAGTCCAGGTCATCGACATCTTCATCAGTGATCGGCAGTTGAAGTCCAAAGGTGGACTCGTCGAAGTTGACATCGCGGCTGATAACCACCTGCCCCGCCTCGATGTCATAAACACGATATGCCTTCGAAACTTCTTCGTAGCCCACGAATATGCCAGCGCGAGCCTTTGGATCCCACTTGAGTTGATTCTCTTTAGGCGTCAGTATGTATGTCTGACACCCGAATGTTCGCATGTTCTGCTTTGTCCAGCAACGATCCACCGTGTGTCCCACCTTGCCACAATACGTGCATTGGTAGGGCTCACGCTCGGCGCTGAATGCCTTGCTTGCATCTTCAGCCTTCACCGTAGTCGCTGTCGTTGTCCCTTTTTCTCCTTGACGCTTGGCATGCTCATTCGTCAGGACTCTCACCACATCTTGAGTGCGAAGCTCGGTGCTGCTCATTTCCATGTTGAGCACCACATTTTCGTAGCTCTTCGGAAGACTGAGTAGCAGACAAATTGCAACGTCTTCGTCTTCCATCTTCGCACTGATGCCGCTAAGCTTGGCGGAGATGTTGAGGACCTCGTTGCAGTGATGCATGACGTTCGCGCCTTCAGCCATCTTGATACTGAAAAGCTGTCGCTTGAGGTAGATGCGTCCTGCCTTCTGCGACCCACCGTACAGCGTCTTCAGACTTGTCCACGCAACCCAGGCTTCCTCGCAGTTGTCCAGCACATGATGGTAGTCCGCGTTCATGTGCAGCAGCATCATACCAAACGCGACGTTGCTTGCCTTGACGTAGTCATCGGACGCTCGCGGGTCGGTGAAAGTCGGAGTCACTTCACGGTTGACAACGTGCCAGACGGACTTCGTCAAAAACACACCGCGCATGTACCGGCTCCACGTTGCGTAATTGTCTCCGTTGAACTTGTCAATGGAGGCGTTGCTGGTGGACGACATGGCGCTTGGGCTCATAACCTGTTGCATTGTAGATCGGAGCGAGGAAAGCGGAGCGAACGGAGCGGAGAGACCGAAGAGAGTAGAGCAGAAAACACTTGCCCAATAGTTGGAAGATTCGAAAGTGATTGATTATCGGGGCTTACTACTTACTACATGATTTATATGTGGTGTACATATAAATCATGTGAAGCGTCTCATCATCCTACGCGTCTAATCAACTATGGTAATTACCGTAAGAACTACGTCGTAAATACTAAGCTGAACAGGCGGTTCGGATTGGATCGGTCACGGTTACCAATACTGGTAGAAAACCGATGACCGTCAACACGCCCCCTCAATCCGAATGCTCACGAATCCCGAGAGTCGCCGTCATCTCCTTGTGGCGTGGCCCGTGAAGTCCCTTCGTCATGATGTCCGCTAACATCACCGCAGTTTCACAGTACTTGAGCTTCACTTCACCGCGCTTGACCTCATCACGGATGTGATGGTACTTGATATCAATGTGCTTGGCACGGCCGTGGTTGACTGGGTTCTTCGTCATCTTGATACACGACTGATTGTCTTCATGGATCATGAGTTCCGGTCCTTCTTCATTGGCAGCCATCACGATCTCACAAAGCAGACGATGAATCCACTTGCCCTCTTGAATCGCCAAGCTGAGTGCGATGTATTCGGCTTCACTCGTGGACAACGAAACACTTGGCTGCTTCTTGCTGCCCCAACTGACTGGCGCACCGAGTAGCATGAACGTGTACCCCGATGTTGACTTGCGGTCGGTAAGATCACCAGCCCAATCCGCATCCGAATATCCACGGAAGTCGATCCTTGCACTTGGCTTGTAGCAAATTCCATGCGTCTTGGTGCCTTGTAGGTAGCGAAAGATACGCTTAACTGCAACCCAGTGTTCTTCTTGGGGATTTTCCATGAACCGCGACACATAGCCCACAGCAAACGCAGTGTCCGGACGCGTTGCAGTGGTCAGGTGCATCAACGCACCAACAGCTTCGCGAAAAGGAGCATCGACCTTGGTAGTTGCATCACTTGAAACAAGTCGAGAGCTCATGTCGACTGGACTTGCGACTGCCTTGCAATCATCCATGCCAAAGCGCTTGAGGATATCATCGACATACCGACGCTGACATAGTGTCACACTGCCATCTTCACCGTCCAAAAGCTCGATCCCAAGAACAAACGCACACTTGCCGCTGTCCGTCATTTCGAACCGCGTCTTCAGGTCGTTCTTGGTTTGTGCAATCAGCTCGAGTGAGCTTCCAGTCACCAAGACGTCGTCCACGTAGACCAGTATAAACACGCAATGGCCGTCCGAAGTCTTGATGTAGAGACATGGGTCGAAGTCCGATACTTGAAATCCGATGGAGCACACATACTCGTCGAACGTCTCGTTCCACACTCGCGACGCTTGCTTGAGGCCGTAAATTGACTTCACCAATTCCAGGCAGTCGAACGTACTGTCAAGTTCGACGCCTTCAGGAATCACGCAGAACACTTGTTCCTTCATGACGCCATACAGGAAAGCTGTCACCACATCAAGCTGGTCGATGGGCCATCCAAAATGCTTGGAAATTGCGATCACCATTCGCAGCGTCACATACTTGACCACAGGCGAAAATGTCTCGGTGTAGTCGATGCCATACTTTTGGCGGAAACCCTTGGCCACAAGTCGTGCCTTGTACTTCTCGATTGACCCATCCGCCTTGCGCTTGATCTTGAACACCCATTTTGTGCCAATGGCGCGTTGTCCGTTGGGCAACTTGGCTGCACGAAACACACCACGAAGTTGCATTGACTCGAGCTCCGCATGAGTTGCCTTACGCCAGTGCACTTGATCCGGGCCGGTCACTGCTGCTTCAAATGTCGACGGTTCCGACAATTCCACTGCTGCTTCAACAGCATTTGCACTCGCACGCAAAACACAGGCGGAGTTGAATCACCAGAATCCTTCGTTTCTTCGTCTTCTTCTTGTCGTGAAGAGTTGTTTTCCGGCGCGCTTGACTCTTCTAGTCCTGGTCGTTGACGCACTGCACGCGGTCGTGGAGCTGCTGTATCTTCATCATTGAGTCGGTTCTTGCGCTTGACAGTTTGCTGATACTCCATTTGACGCAGCTCTTCGTCATCAAGATCCAGCAATTCGAAGTCCAGGTCATCGACATCTTCATCAGTGATCGGCAGTTGAAGTCCAAAGGTGGACTCGTCGAAGTTAACATCCCGACTGACAACAACCCGCCCCTCCTCGATGTCAAATACACGATATGCCTTGGACACTTCTTCGTAGCCCACGAATATGCCAGCGCGAGCCTTGAGATCCCACTTGAGTCGCTTCTCTTTAGGCGTCAGTATGTATGTCTGACACCCGAATGTTCGCATGTTCTGCTTTGTCCAGCAACGATCCACCGTGTGTCCCACCTTGCCACAATACGTGCATTGGTAGGGCTCACGCTCGGCGCTGAATGCCTTGCTTGCATCTTCAGCCTTCACCGTAGTCGCTGTCGTTGTCCCTTTTTCTCCTTGACGCTTGGCATGCTCATTCGTCAGGACTCTCACCACATCTTGAGTGCGAAGCTCGGTGCTGCTCATTTCCATGTTGAGCACCACATTTTCGTAGCTCTTCGGAAGACTGAGTAGCAGACAAATTGCAACGTCTTCGTCTTCCATCTTCGCACCGATGCCGCTAAGCTTGGCGGAGAAGTTGAGGACCTCGTTGCAGTGATGCATGACGTTCGCGCCTTCAGCCATCTTTATACTGAAAAGTTGTCGCTTGAGGTAGATGCGTCCTGCCTTCTGCGACCCACCGTACAGCGTCTTCAGACTTGTCCACGCAACCCAGGCTTCCTCGCAGTTGTCCAGCACATGATGGTAGTCCGCGTTCATGTGCAGCAGCATCATACCAAACGCGACGTTGCTTGCCTTGACGTAGTCATCGGACGCTCGCGGGTCGGTGAAAGTCGGAGTCACTTCACGGTTGACAACGTGCCAGACGGACTTCGTCAAAAACACACCGCGCATGTACCGGCTCCACGTTGCGTAATTGTCTCCGTTGAACTTGTCAATGGAGGCGTTGCTGGTGGACGACATGGCGCTTGGGCTCATAACCTGTTGCATTGTAGATCGGAGCGAGGAAAGCGGAGCAAACGGAGCGGAGAGACCGAAGAGAGTAGAGCAGAAAACACTTGCCCAATAGTTGGAAGATTCGAAAGTGATTGATTATCGGGGCTTACTACTTACTACATGATTTATATGTGGTGTACATATAAATCATGTGAAGCGTCTCATCATCCTACGCGTCTAATCAACTATGGTAATTACCGTAAGAACTACGTCGTAAATACTAAGCTGAACAGGCGGTTCGGATTGGATCGGTCACGGTTACCAATACTGGTAGAAAACCGATGACCGTCAACACGCCCCTCAATCCGAATGCTCACGAATCCCGAGAGTCGCCGTCATCTCCTTGTGGCGTGGCCCGTGAAGTCCCTTCGTCATGATGTCCGCTAACATCACCGCAGTTTCACAGTACTTGAGCTTCACTTCACCGCGCTTGACCTCATCACGGATGTGATGGTACTTGATATCAATGTGCTTGGCACGGCCGTGGTTGACTGGGTTCTTCGTCATCTTGATACACGACTGATTGTCTTCATGGATCTGTTGAAAAGACAGCGGCTGTGAAGAAGACACCTCGTCAAGCTGCGTCAAGTGTTGAAGCAAGTGGAAGACCAAGCTTCGCTATACCGGTGGGTACCGGTATGTACCAGTAAGGGCGAAGTCAGGAAATGACGTCACTGGATGACGTCACTGCGAATAATAGGCTTAGAGGTAGTATTCAAAGTTGCGAACTAAGTACCTATTATAAATATATATTCACTTTGCGTTTTGCACTCGGACCAAGAAGTCTAAAGTTCATCAGGTTATGAGCCCAAGTTCGTCAGACTCTGAAACCGCCAACAATTCAAGCTTAGCTGCCATGGACGCCTCCTCCCTCCGCATCTCCAAGTTCGATGGAACTAACTTCCACGCCTGGAAGTTCAAGATGCAGATGGTGCTGGAGGAACGGGACCTATGGGAGGTCGTCAGCGGTGAGATCAAGGCGGAACAGTGCGAGACTCAGTTGGACCAAGCGACGTACAAGAGGAAGTCAAGAAAGGCGATGGCAGTGATCTGTCTAGCCATGGAAGATTCCCAGCTACCGTTGGTCCGGTCGGCAAGTGGTGCATGCGACGCATGGTCAAGGTTGGAAGACCACTTCGAGAAGAAGAGTCTTGCCAACAAGCTGTTTCTTGCGCCGTCGCTTCTTCACGACAATGATGGAAGAAGGCGACGATGTGCTCGAACACATCAACAAGCTCAAGACGCTGGCGGAACAGCTAGAAGCGGTGGGGGCTCCAGTCTGCGAGGACGATCTGGTGATCACACTCCTCGGCAGCCTGAGTGACTCGTATCAATTCTTGATCACAGCTTTGGAGTCGCGCTCAGACACTCTTAGCTGGGAGCTCGTGACGTCTCGACTGCTTCATGAAGAAATGAAGCGGAAGGAGCAAGGGAAGTAAAGGTGATGAAGCTTCGCAAGGTCAAGCGTTCATCACAAGGGACAATCAGCGCAAAGGGCGACCAGTGAAGAAGTCCTGGCCGTGCCACAATTGCGGAAAGATTGGTCACTGGATGGCGGAGTGCCCCTCGCGCATCCAAGAAAACACGGAGAGACACCGGCCACAGCGTGCTCAAGACAGCGGCGACCGCTATCGATCACAACGTGCAAACGTCGCTCAAGAAGAAGACTCGGGCGACTACCTCTTTCGATCGGTGAAACGACATCTGCGAAATCGAGCGACATCTGGCTGGTCGACTCCGGGGCGACGCAGCACATGACGTGCTCCAAGAAGTTCATGCGGAACTACAAGGGGTTTGACGCTGTGGATGTCCATCTCGCGGATGATGGAATCGTCCAAGCAATCGGCAGTGGGGACATTGTCATGTCGATGAAGACACCCCAAGGGATGAAGAAAGGTGTGCTCACAAACGTGTGGCACATCCCAAAGTTATCCAGAAACCTGTTCTCGGTCGGCCGCTTCACCAAGGATGTCGGCCCAGTGACGTTCACGAAGGATGGGTGCTATGGAGAAGCGAAAGGGACCAAGTGGAAAATTGGTGCCCGTGAAGGTAAAGGACTGTTCAAGCTGCAAATGACTCCAGTGGCGCCGGAACAAGCAAATGCAGCCAAGTCGTCGGGATGTCAAGGGGACACCACGTCGTACCTCTGGCACCTTCGGCTTGGTCCACATAGGTCACGATGGACTCAATTGCATCGTGACGAAGAACATTGGAATTGGCATCGACATATCTTCGGTGAAGAAGTGGGACGTGTGTGAAGGTTGTGCTCTGGGAAAACAGACTCGAGTGCGCTTCCAATCAAACACTACAGCTCGCACCTCCAAACTCCTCGAAGTGATTCACAGCGATGTATGCGGCCCGATGTCGATGGCAACTTTCAGTGGAAAACGGTACTTCGTGACATTCATCGATGACAAGTCAAGATACTGTGTCGTCTATCTGCTCAAGAGCAAATCTGAAGTTGCGGCGAAGTTCATGGAATACGCTGCGATGGCCGAAACGCAAACCGGAAAGCGCGTGAAGTACCTTCAAAGCGACAATGGGGGTGAATACAAGTCCGACAAGCTGGCACGATTCTGCGCGGAACGGGGAATACAACAAAGGTTCACACCCCCATATACTCCTCAGCTAAACGGAGTAGCTGAGAGAATGAATCGCACGCTGGTCGAGTGTGCGCGTTGCATGATGGAACACGCTGGACTGGGAAAGAGCTACTGGGGTGAAGCAGTGATGACGGCGATGTTTCTTCGAAACCGCTGTCCAACACGTGCCATTCACCAAGACAAGTCTCCATATCAAGTGTGGACGATGAAGAAACCGATTCTGGCCAACCTTAAAGTGTTTGGATGCCACGCGTATGTTCAAGTGCCTCAAGACAAACGCGCGAAGTTCGACTCCAAGTCATCACTCTGTCGTTTCCTGGGATACGCCGAACACCAGAAGTCATATCGATTTGAGGAAGTGTCAACAGGAGCGATCAAGATCAGTCGCGATGCCACATTCATGGAAGACAAGTTTGATGAAGGTCCGCGCAACTACAACGATGAGTCAAGTGTCGTTGAGTTTGATGATCATGATGAGGACGAAGAAAAAGAAGAAGGTAAAACTGACGACGACATGGACTCGAGCGACGATGACAACGAAGACACCAGGTCTTCGAAGAGCAACATCAAGAGACACACGCGCACTCAATCACTTGAGAAAGCTACCGTCATTCCAAGTCCCAAGCGAAGAACATACAGAGGTCCGTCGCTTGAGCATGTGTCAGCGGCTGCAATGGATTTTGAAGCAGCCTACATCGTTGATTCAGTGGGGGAAACGCCGACTACATTCAAGTCGGCGATGGAATCAAGCGACTCCGGCAAGTGGAAAGAAGCGTGTGACTCGGAGTTCGATTCGCTTCAGAGAAACGACACGTGGGATATTGTGCCTCTTCCGAAAGGTCGCAAGGCCATCGGGTGCCGATGGGTTTTTCGTGTAAAGGAGAATCAAGATGGCGAAGTTGAACGTTTCAAGGCAAGACTTGTGGCCAAAGGATTCTCACAGAAATTCGGAGTTGACTATGAAGAAACTTTCGCACCGGTGGCCAAGTTCACATCGATTCGTGTGGTGCTCAGTATGGCGGCTAAGTACGGCCTAATGCTACATCAGATGGACGTCAAGACAGCGTTTCTTAACGGCTCCCTCAACGAAGACATCTACATGGACCAGCCGGACGGATACCTGGATGCAACACAGCCGGACTATGTGTGCAAGCTAAAGAGATCACTCTACGGCTTGAAGCAATCGCCTCGCATGTGGAACCAAACAATCGATGGGTTCATGATCAAGATGGGATTCAAGAAGTGCGAATCGGACCACTGCATCTACATCAAGCGAGACGACCAAGACATGATTCTCGTGGTGCTCTACGTCGATGATCTCATCCTGGCCAGCAGCAACAACGAGCTCCTCAAGTCAACCAAGATGGCGCTGAGCAAACGCTTCGAAATGACGGATCTCGGTGAGCTCGATTACTTTCTCGGCATGGAGATCAAGAACGACCGTAAGACGGGAATGGTGACTGTACAACAAACCAAGTTTCTCAAGTCCGTGTTAACCAAGTTCGGAATGGATAACAGCAAGCCAGTGAAGACGCCTCAAGATCCCGGCCTGAAGCTAACCAAGAACATGTGTGAACAAGAATGCAAGCACGAAGACACCATGTGCAACGTGCCATATCGAAGTGCTGTCGGAGGCATCATGTATCTCATGGTCGCCACACGTCCGGATCTAGCTGCTGCAGTGGGATCATTATCCCAGTTCTCGTCCGACCCATGCCCGACTCACTGGCAAGCTTTGAAGCGTGTGCTGAGATACCTGCAAGCAACGCCCAATCATGGTCTTGAGTTTACACGTGAAGAAGGAAGCCGTATCTGCGGGTACACCGACGCAGACTGGGCCGGCGACATTGAGTCAAGACGAAGTACAAGCGGCTATGTGTTCATGATGAGCGGAGGATGCATCAGCTGGAAAAGCCAGAAACAACGGACGGTCGCGCTATCTTCAACAGAAGCAGAATACATGGCGCTTTCCGAAGCAACCAAAGAAGCAGTATGGCTCAAAGTGCTTTTGGGGGAACTTGGTGAGATGACAAGCGACGAAGCGATCAAGATATATGAAGACAACCAAGGATCAATCGCTCTCGCCAAGAACCCGGAGTTCCATAAGAGAACAAAACACATCGACATACGCTACCATTTTGTGCGTGAGAAGGTGGAATCAGGTGAAGTCGTTTTGGAGTATTGCCCGACTCAAGATATGCTGGCAGACATGATGACCAAGCCGATCGCCGCTGTACAATTTGAAAACATTCGCGATCGACTTGGGATCCAAGGTGCCGCAGCTAACGAGTCGAGAGGGAGTGTTGAAAAGACAGCGGCTGTGAAGAAGACACCTCGTCAAGCTGCGTCAAGTGTTGAAGCAAGTGGAAGACCAAGCTTCGCTATACCGGTGGGTACCGGTATGTACCAGTAAGGTCGAAGTCAGGAAATGACGTCACTGGATGACGTCATTGCATGACGTCAGTGGGTGACGTCAGTGGGTGACGTCACTGGATGACGTCACTGCGAATAATAGGCTTAGAGGTAGTATTCAAAGTTGCGAACTAAGTACCTATTATAAATATATATTCACTTTGCGTTTTGCACTCGGACCAAGAAGTCTAAAGTTCATCAATTTCGAACCGCGTCTTCAGGTCGTTCTTGGTTTGTGCAATCAGCTCGAGTGAGCTTCCAGTCACCAAGACGTCGTCCACGTAGACCAGTATAAACACGCAATGGCCGTCCGAAGTCTTGATGTAGAGACATGGGTCGAAGTCCGATACTTGAAATCCGATGGAGCACACATACTCGTCGAACGTCTCGTTCCACACTCGCGACGCTTGCTTGAGGCCGTAAATTGACTTCACCAATTCCAGGCAGTCGAACGTACTGTCAAGTTCGACGCCTTCAGGAATCACGCAGAACACTTGTTCCTTCATGACGCCATACAGGAAAGCTGTCACCACATCAAGCTGGTCGATGGGCCATCCAAAATGCTTGGAAATTGCGATCACCATTCGCAGCGTCACATACTTGACCACAGGCGAAAACGTCTCCGTGTAGTCGATGCCATACTTTTGGCGGAAACCCTTGGCCACAAGTCGTGCCTTGTACTTCTCGATTGACCCATCCGCCTTGCGCTTGATCTTGAACACCCATTTTGTGCCAATGGCGCGTTGTCCGTTGGGCAGCTTGGCTGCACGAAACACACCGCGAAGTCGCATTGACTCGAGCTCTGCATGAATTGCTTTTCTCCAGTGCACTTGGTCAGGGCCGCTTACTGCTGCTTCAAATGTTGAGGGTTCTGATAAGTCCACTGCTGCTTCAACGGCATTTGCACTCGCACGCCAAAACACAGGCGGTGTTGAATCACCAGAATCCTTCGTTTCTTCGTCTTCTTCTTGTCGTGAAGAGTTGTTTTCCGGCGCGCTTGACTCTTCTAGTCCTGGTCGTTGACGCACTGCACGCGGTCGTGGAGCTGCTGTATCTTCATCATTGAGTCGGTTCTTGCGCTTGCCTGTTTGCTTGTACTCCATTTGACGCAGCTCTTCGTCATCAAGGTCCAGCAATTCGAAGTCCAGGTCATCGACATCTTCATCAGTGATCGGCAGTTGAAGTCCAAAGGTGGACTCGTCGAAGTTGACATCGCGGCTGATAACCACCTGCCCCGCCTCGATGTCATAAACACGATATGCCTTCGAAACTTCTTCGTAGCCCACGAATATGCCAGCGCGAGCCTTTGGATCCCACTTGAGTCGATTCTCTTTAGGCGTCAGTATGTATGTCTGACACCCGAATGTTCGCATGTTCTGCTTTGTCCAGCAACGATCCACCGTGTGTTCCACCTTGCCACAATACGTGCATTGGTAGGGCTCACGCTCGGCGCTGAATGCCTTGCTTGCATCTTCAGCCTTCACCGTAGTCGCTGTCGTTGTCCCTTTTTCTCCTTGACGCTTGGCATGCTCATTCGTCAGGACTCTCACCACATCTTGAGTGCGAAGCTCGGTGCTGCTCATTTCCATGTTGAGCACCACATTTTCGTAGCTCTTCGGAAGACTGAGTAGCAGACAAATTGCAACGTCTTCGTCTTCCATCTTCGCACCGATGCCGCTAAGCTTGGCGGAGATGTTGAGGACCTCGTTGCAGTGATGCATGACGTTCGCGCCTTCAGCCATCTTTATACTGAAAAGTTGTCGCTTGAGGTAGATGCGTCCTGCCTTCTGCGACCCACCGTACAGCGTCTTCAGACTTGTCCACGCAACCCAGGCTTCCTCGCAGTTGTCCAGCACATGATGGTAGTCCGCGTTCATGTGCAGCAGCATCATACCAAACGCGACGTTGCTTGCCTTGACGTAGTCATCGGACGCTCGCGGGTCGGTGAAAGTCGGAGTCACTTCACGGTTGACAACGTGCCAGACGGACTTCGTCAAAAACACACCGCGCATGTACCGGCTCCACGTTGCGTAATTGTCTCCGTTGAACTTGTCAATGGAGGCGTTGCTGGTGGACGACATGGCGCTTGGGCTCATAACCTGTTGCATTGTAGATCGGAGCGAGGAAAGCGGAGCAAACGGAGCGGAGAGACCGAAGAGAGTAGAGCAGAAAACACTTGCCCAATAGTTGGAAGATTCGAAAGTGATTGATTATCGGGGCTTACTACTTACTACATGATTTATATGTGGTGTACATATAAATCATGTGAAGCGTCTCATCATCCTACGCGTCTAATCAACTATGGTAATTACCGTAAGAACTACGTCGTAAATACTAAGCTGAACAGGCGGTTCGGATTGGATCGGTCACGGTTACCAATACTGGTAGAAAACCGATGACCGTCAACACATCCGTGATGAGGTCAAGCGCGGTGAAGTGAAGCTCAAGTACTGTGAAACTGCGGTGATGTTAGCGGACATCATGACGAAGGGACTTCACGGGCCACGCCACAAGGAGATGACGGCGACTCTCGGGATTCGTGAGCATTCGGATTGAGGGGGCGTGTTGACGGTCATCGGTTTTCTACCAGTATTGGTAACCGTGACCGATCCAATCCGAACCGCCTGTTCAGCTTAGTATTTACGACGTAGTTCTTACGGTAATTACCATAGTTGATTAGACGCGTAGGATGATGAGATGCTTCACATGATTTATATGTAGCTCACATATAAATCATGTAGTAAGTAGTAAGCCCCGATAATCAATCACTTTCGAATCTTCCAACTATTGGGCAAGTGTTTTCTGCTCTACTCTCTTCGGTCTCTCCGCTCCGTTTGCTCCGCTTTCCTCGCTCCGATCTACAATGCAACAGTCCATCCACGAGATCCGCTGTCGCCACCACTTGCTGTGAGTTCTTGAGAGTCACATACATCTTGGACCCGTCAAACACGACTTGAAACTTGCCATGGCTGTTAATCTGTGGCACCGAGAGCAGGTTCTTGCTCATACTTGGAACATATAGCGCGTTCTTGATTTCGATCTCACGCTCTTCACCGTTGGGCAGAACCACCTTTTCCATGATGGTTCCCACACCCTTGATGGCCACCTTGTTGCCATCAGCCACCAAGAGTTCGCCCTCATTGCGCTCTGCCAAACTTGCGAACTTGGTCTTGTCGTGGCAAATGTGGTGCGTTGCACCACTGTCGACGGCCCACATTCCAGACACGTCCTTGCTCGTCGAAACTCCACATTCGAACGAGACTGCAAACGCCACTCGATCGTAGCCATTGCCTTCATCATGATGTCCCCACTGGACATTGTTAGCCCCGCGTCCACGACCATTGCCGCCGCGTCGGGCTCCCCGACCTTCGTTCTTCTGCTTTGTCCAGCAACGATCCACCGTGTGTCCCACCTTGCCACAATACGTGCATTGGTAGGGCTCACGCTCGGCGCTGAATGCCTTGCTTGCATCTTCAGCCTTCACCGTAGTCGCTGTCGTTGTCCCTTTTTCTCCTTGACGCTTGGCATGCTCATTCGTCAGGACTCTCACCACATCTTGAGTGCGAAGCTCGGTGCTGCTCATTTCCATGTTGAGCACCACATTTTCGTAGCTCTTCGGAAGACTGAGTAGCAGACAAATTGCAACGTCTTCGTCTTCCATCTTCGCACCGATGCCGCTAAGCTTGGCGGAGATGTTGAGGACCTCGTTGCAGTGATGCATGACGTTCGCGCCTTCAGCCATCTTTATACTGAAAAGTTGTCGCTTGAGGTAGATGCGTCCTGCCTTCTGCGACCCACCGTACAGCGTCTTCAGACTTGTCCACGCAACCCAGGCTTCCTCGCAGTTGTCCAGCACATGATGGTAGTCCGCGTTCATGTGCAGCAGCATCATACCAAACGCGACGTTGCTTGCCTTGACGTAGTCATCGGACGCTCGCGGGTCGGTGAAAGTCGGAGTCACTTCACGGTTGACAACGTGCCAGACGGACTTGTTGAATGATGAAGAGCTTGACGACCGAAACTGGGAGTGATGCTGGGAGTCTACTCGGAAGACCGGACAAGACACTTGGGGGGTAGATGGAAGATTGGAAAGTGATTGATTATCGGGGCTTACTACTTACTACATGATTTATATGTGGTGCACATATAAATCATGTGAAGCGTCTCATCATCCTACGCGTCTAATCAACTATGGTAATTACCGTAAGAACTACGTCGTAAATACTAAGCTGAACAGGCGGTTCGGATTGGACCGGTCACGGTTACCAATACTGGTAGAAACCGATGACCGTCAACACGCCCCCTCAATCCGAACTCGCACGAATGCCGAGAGCCGTCGTCAAGTCCTTGTGACGAGGTCCCGAAAGTCCCTTGGTCATGATGTCCGCCATCATCACGGAAGTCTCGCAATACTCGAGCTGCACTTCACCGCGCTTGACCTCATCACGGATGTGATGGTACTTGATGTCGATGTGCTTGGCGCGGCCATGATTCACCGGATTCTTTGTCATCTTGATGCAGGACTGGTTGTCTTCACGGATGACGAGGTCCGGTCCTGGTTCGTTGCGGCCGCCAAAATCTCGCATAGCAGGCGATGCACCCACTTGCCTTCCTGGATGGCCAGACTCAGTGCGATGTATTCCGCTTCACTCGTCGACAGCGACACACTTGACTGCTTCTTGCTTCCCCAACTCACAGGAGCACCCATCAGCATGAAAGTGTAACCCGAAGTCGACTTGCGATCAGCGTGGTCGCCGGCCCAGTCCGCGTCCGAGTAGCCACGAAAGTCGATCTTATCGCTTGGCTGGAATCGGAGTCCGTGCGACTTGGTCCCTTGCAAGTAACGAAAGATGCGCTTCACCGCCGTCCAATGTTCTTGCTGCGGATTCTCCATGAAGCGCGAGACGTACCCCACAGCATACGCAATGTCCGGGCGCGTCGCAGTCGTCAAGTGCATCAAAGCTCCCACAGCTTCACGAAACGGAACGTCGATCTTGGCCGCTTCGGTGCTTGCGACAAGCCGAGTGCTCAAGTCGACCGGACTTGATGTGGCCTTGCACTCATCCATGCCGAAGCGCTTGAGGATGTCGTTGACATACCGTCGCTGGCACATCGTCACGCTGCCATCCGATTCGTCCACCAGTTCGATGCCCAGTACAAAAGTACACTTGCCACTGTCGGTCATCTCGAAACGCGTCTTGAGGTCGGCCTTCGTCTGCGCAATCAACTCGAGCGAGCTGCCGGTGACCAACACGTCATCCACGTAGACCAGCACGAGCACACAGTGACCATCGACAACCTTGATGTAGAGACATGGGTCGAACGCCGACGCTTCGAAACCGATAGAGCATACGAACTCATCGAAAGTCTCGTTCCACACACGTGAAGCTTGCTTGAGACCGTAGATCGCCTTCACCAACTCGAGACAGTCGAAGTCGCCATCCATCTCGACGCCTTCTGGTACCACGCAGTACACCTTCTCCTTCATCACTCCGTAGAGAAAGGCTGTCACCACATCGAGTTGGTCCAGTGGCCAGTCGAAATACTTGGTGATCGCGATCACCATACGCAGTGTCACGTACTTGACCACGGGCGAGAACGTCTCTGTGTAGTCGATGCCGTACTTCTGCTTGAAGCCCTTGGCAACGAGACGCGCCTTGTATTTCTCGACCGATCCATCCGCTTTGCGCTTGATCTTGAACACCCACTTGGTGCCGATCGCGCCTTGGCCTCTTGGTAGTTTTGCCGCACGGAAAACTCCACGAAGATGCATCGACTTGAGTTCCGCCTTCACAGCATTTCGCCAGTGAGCTTGATCAGGACCATTGATCGCGTCTTGAAAAGTCACAGGTTCTGCTAGGTCCGTTGCTTCCACTGCGTTTGCACTTGCACGCCAAAATGTTGGAGGCGTCAAGTCGTCATCTTGATCGTAGACGCTTGCATCTTCTTCGTCATCAGACATCGTTTCTGGAGCACTTGATCGTCGTTTCTGGTGACGGTTGGAGACGTGTGCCGGCGCACTTGCTTGTTCAATCCAGTTCGAGGGCGAGCTGAACGTGACATGCCGGGTCTTGCTTCACTCTTGCGCTTGCCAGTCTGCTTGTAGACAGTTTGACGCACGTCGTCCTCGTTGATCGCCAGGAGGTCGAGATCCAACTCCGCATCTTCATCATCGTCACTTGGTCGGTCCATCGAAAAGTCAAAGTCGATTCGTCGAAGGTGATGTCACGACTGATCACCACTTGGTCCGCCTCAATGTCGTACACTCGATAAGCTTTTGACACTTCTTCGTAGCCCATGAACATCCCTTCACGAGCCTTCGGGTCCCACTTCAATCGCTTCTCCCTTGGTGTCAGGATAAACGCCCGACATCCAAACACGCGCATGTGCTTGACACTTGGTTTCGACTTGTACACGATCTCGAACGGAGTCTTGTGGTCGATCTTGGGTGAAGGCAGGCGGTTCTTGATGTAGATCGCCGTCATTGCCGCTTCAGCCCAGAAACACTTCTCCAGCTTTGCATGATGCAACAAGCTGCGTCCGATCGTGACGATGGTCCTTATCGCGCGTTCTGCGGTGCCGTTGGTCTGGTGTGCATACGGCACCGTGATCTGTTGTTCGATACCATGATCTTCGTAGAAGGTCTTGATCGAGTTGGTCGCAAATTCATGCGCTCCATCGTGCCGAACAAACTTGATCTTCGTGCCGAACTGTGTTTGAATCTTGATGATGTGGTTCTTGATACAGTCTTCACTCTCAGACTTGGACCGCAGACAGAAGCCCTTCATGCAACCGCTAGCTTCGTCAACCACAAGCAGTAAGTATTTGCTGCCGCCGATCGAGACTTGTTCCATTGGCCCGCAGATGTCGAAGTGCAGCAACTCGAACATACCATATTGGCGTTTGTCACGGTTGGTTGGGAATGGTTTTGGACCATCTTTCCTTGCTGGCAACCGCGACACACACTTGGACCAGTCGAGTTGAGAGGTGCCTTGGCGTCCTTGATCATGCCAGTGGCCATCATCTTGCGCAGAACTTCGAGAGGTGCATGACCCATGCGCGCATGCAAGTCGATGGTCCCATTGCGTGTTGCTGCATTCGCCGATCGTTGAGGAGTCCGCAGCCAGTAAAGTCCATCGACGAGATCCGCTGTTGCCACGACTTGTGTGGAATTCTTGCGCTTCACTTGCATCTTGGATCCATCGAACACGACTTGGAACCTCCCACCCTTGTTGATCTGTGGCACCGAAAGCAGATTCTTGCTCATGCTTGGTACGAACAGCGCGTCCTTGATCTCGATGTCGCGTTCGTCACCATTGGGCAGAACCACCCGTTCCATGATGGTTCCCACACCCTTGATCGCAGCCTTGCTGCCATCAGCCACTGATAGTTCGCCTTCCTCTCGCTCATTCAGGCTTGCAAACTTGGCCTTGTCGTTGCAGATGTGATGCGTCGCACCGCTGTCGACTGCCCACATCCCTGGCATATTCTTGCCCGTCGAAAGTCCGGCCTCCAGCGAAACCGCGAACGCAACTCGATCGCAGTTGTCGTCGTAGTTGCTGTTGGTTCGCCACTGAACGTTGTTGGCTCCGCGTCCACGAGCATTGTTGCCGCCGCGTCGAGCTCCACCTTGATTCTCGTCCTTCTGCTTGGTCCAGCACCGCTCCGCCGTGTGCCCCAATTTTCCGCAGTATGTACACTGGCGAGGTTCACGCTCGGTACTGAACGCCTTGGCCGCGTCTTCAGTCTTCACCGATGTCGTCTTGTCACCTTGCCTCTTGATGTGCTCATTCGTGAGCACTCTCACGACGTCTCGCGATCGCAGTTCCGCGCTGCTCATCTCCAAGTTGAGAACGACGTTCTCGTAGCTCTTGGGAGGCTGCGCAACAAGCAGATCGCCACGTCCTCGTCCTCCATCTTGGCGCCGATGCTGCTGAGCTTCGCGCTGATGTTGAGGACTTCGTTGCAATGATGCATCACATTGCCGCCTTCCGCCATCTCCATGCTGAACAGCTGGCGCTTCAAGTAGATGCGTCCAGCCTTCTGCGACCCGCCGTACAGCGTCTTCAAACGCGCCCACGCGACCCACGCCTCTTCACAGTCATCAACCACGTGATGATAATCTGCGCTCATGTGCAGCAGCATCAAGCCGAACGCAATGTTGTTCGTCTTGACGTAGTCGTCACTGGCGCGAGGATCGGCGAAGGTGGGGGGTGGTCTCCCGGTTCACCACGTGCCACGCCGACTTGGTCAGGAACACGCCACGCATGTAGCGGCTCCACGTCGCGTAGTTGTCGCCGTCGAACTTGTCGATGGAGATCTTGGTGGTGGCATCATGGGCAGAGGACATCGTGCTTGGGCTCATAACCTGTTGAATGATGAAGAGCTTGACGACCGAAACTGGGAGGGATGCTGAGAGTCCACTCGGAAGACCGGAGAAGACACTTGGGGGTAGATGGAAGATTGGAAAGTGATTGATTATCGGGGCTTACTACTTACTACATGATTTATATGTGGTGCACATATAAATCATGTGAAGCGTCTCATCATCCTACGCGTCTAATCAACTATGGTAATTACCGTAAGAACTACGTCGTAAATACTAAGCTGAACAGGCGGTTCGGATTGGACCGGTCACGGTTACCAATACTGGTAGAAACCGATGACCGTCAACAGGACTTCGTCAAAAACACACCGCGCATGTACCGGCTCCACGTTGCGTAATTGTCTCCGTTGAACTTGTCAATGGAGGCGTTGCTGGTGGACGACATGGCGCTTGGGCTCATAACCTGTTGCATTTGATGAACTTTAGACTTCTTGGTCCGAGTGCAAAACGCAAAGTGAATATATATTTATAATAGGTACTTAGTTCGCAACTTTGAATACTACCTCTAAGCCTATTATTCGCAGTGACGTCATCCAGTGACGTCACCCACTGACGTCACCCACTGACGTCATGCAATGACGTCATCCAGTGACGTCATTTCTGTTGAAAAGACAGCGGCTGTGAAGAAGACACCTCGTCAAGCTGCGTCAAGTGTTGAAGCAAGTGGAAGACCAAGCTTCGCTATACCGGTGGGTACCGGTATGTACCAGTAAGGGCGAAGTCAGGAAATGACTTCATTGCATGACGTCACTGCGAATAATAGGCTTAGAGGTAGTATTCAAAGTTGCGAACTAAGTACCTATTATAAATATATATTCCTTTGCGTTTTGCACTCGGACCAAGAAGTCTAAAGTTCATCAGGTTATGAGCCCAAGTTCGTCAGACTCTGAAACCGCCAACAATTCAAGCTTAGCTGCCATGGACGCCTCCTCCCTCCGCATCTCCAAGTTCGATGGAACTAACTTCCACGCCTGGAAGTTCAAGATGCAGATGGTGCTTGAGGAGCAAGACCTATGGGAGGTCGTCTGCGGGGAGATCAAGGCGGAACAGTGCGAGACTCAGTTGGACCAAGCGACGTACAAGAGGAAGTCAAGAAAGGCGATGGCAGTGATCTGTCTAGCCATGGAAGATTCCCAGCTACCGTTGGTCCGGTCGGCAAGTGGTGCATGCGACGCATGGTCAAGGTTGGAAGACCACTTCGAGAAGAAGAGTCTTGCCAACAAGCTGTTCTTGCGCCGTCGCTTCTTCACAACTATGATGGAAGAAGGTGATGATGTGCTCGAACACATCAACAAGCTCAAGACGCTGGCGGAACAGCTAGAAGCGGTGGGGGCTCCAGTCTGCGAGGACGATCTGGTGATCACACTTCTCGGCAGCCTGAGTGACTCGTATCAATTCTTGATCACAGCTTTGGAGTCGCGCTCAGACACTCTTAGCTGGGGAGCTCGTGACATCTCGACTGCTTCATGAAGAAATGAAGCGGAAGGAGCAAGGAAGTAAAGGTGATGAAGCTTCGCAAGGTCAAGCGTTCATCACAAGGGACAATCAGCGCAAAGGGCGACCAGTGAAGAAGTCCTGGCCGTGCCACAATTGCGGAAAGATCGGTCACTGGATGGCGGAGTGCCCCTCGCGCATCCAAAAAAAAAACACGGAGAGACACCGGCCACAGCGTGCTCAAGACAGCGGCGACCGCTATCGATCACAACGTGCAAACGTCGCTCAAGAAGAAGACTCGGGCGACTACCTCTTTTCGATCGGTGAAACGACATCTGCGAAATCGAGCGACATCTGGCTGGTCGACTCCGGGGCGACGCAGCACATGACGTGCTCCAAGAAGTTCATGCGGAACTACAAGGGGTTTGACGCTGTGGATGTCCATCTCGCGGATGATGGAATCGTCCAAGCAATCGGCAGTGGGGACATTGTCATGTCGATGAAGACACCCCAAGGGATGAAGAAAGGTGTGCTCACAAACGTGTGGCACATCCCAAAGTTATCCAGAAACCTGTTCTCGGTCGGCCGCTTCACCAAGGATGTCGGCCCAGTGACGTTCACGAAGGATGGGTGCTATGGAGAAGCGAAAGGGACCAAGTGGAAAATTGGCGCCCGTGAAGGTAAAGGACTGTTCAAGCTGCAAATGACTCCAGTGGCGCCGGAACAAGCAAATGCAGCCAAGTCGTCGGGATGTCAAGGGGGCACCAAGTCGTACCTCTGGCACCTTCGGCTTGGCCACATAGGTCATGATGGACTCAATTGCATCGTGACGAAGAACATTGGAATTGGCATCGACATATCTTCGGTGAAGAAGTGGGACGTGTGTGAAGGTTGTGCTCTGGGAAAACAGACTCGAGTGCGCTTCCAATCAAACACTACAGCTCGCACCTCCAAACTCCTCGAAGTGATTCACAGCGACGTATGCGGACCGATGTCGATGGCAACTTTCAGTGGAAAACGGTACTTCGTGACATTCATTGATGACAAGTCAAGATACTGTGTCGTCTATCTGCTCAAGAGCAAATCTGAACTTGCGGCGAAGTTCATGGAATACGCTGCGATGGCCGAAACGCAAACCGGAAAGCGCGTGAAGTACCTTCAAAGCGACAATGGGGGTGAATACAAGTCCGACAAGCTGGCACGATTCTGCGCGGAACGGGGAATACAACAAAGGTTCACACCCCCATATACTCCTCAGCTAAACGGAGTAGCTGAGAGAATGAATCGCACGCTGGTCGAGTGTGCGCGTTGCATGATGGAACACGCTGGACTGGGAAAGAGCTACTGGGGTGAAGCAGTGATGACGGCGATGTTTCTTCGAAACCGCTGTCCAACACGTGCCATTCACCAAGACAAGTCTCCATATCAAGTGTGGACGATGAAGAAACCGATTCTGGCCAACCTTAAAGTGTTTGGATGCCACGCGTATGTTCAAGTGCCTCAAGACAAACGCGCGAAGTTCGACTCCAAGTCATCACTCTGTCGTTTCCTGGGATACGCCGAACACCAGAAGTCATATCGATTTGAGGAAGTGTCAACAGGAGCGATCAAGATCAGTCGCGTGATGAACTTTAGACTTCTTGGTCCGAGTGCAAAACGCAAAGTGAATATATATTTATAATAGGTACTTAGTTCGCAACTTTGAATACTACCTCTAAGCCTATTATTCGCAGTGACGTCATCCAGTGACGTCACCCACTGACGTCACCCACTGACGTCATGCAATGACGTCATCCAGTGACGTCATTTCCTGACTTCGCCCTTACTGGTACATACCGGTACCCACCGGTATAGCGACGCTTGGTCTTCCACTTGCTTCAACACTTGACGCAGCTTGACGAGGTGTCTTCTTCACAGCCGCTGTCTTTTCAACACTCCCTCTCGACTCGTTAGCTGCGGCACCTTGGATCCCAAGTCGATCGCGAATGTTTTCAAATTGTACAGCGGCGATCGGCTTGGTCATCATGTCTGCCAGCATATCTTGAGTCGGGCAATAATCCAAAACGACTTCACCTGATTCCACCTTCTCACGCACAAAATGGTAGCGTATGTCGATGTGTTTTGTTCTCTTATGGAACTCCGGGTTCTTGGCGAGAGCGATTGATCCTTGGTTGTCTTCATACATCTTGATCGCTTCGTCGCTTGTCATCTCACCAAGTTCCCCCAAAAGCACTTTGAGCCATACTGCTTCTTTGGTTGCTTCGGAAAGCGCCATGTATTCTGCTTTTGTTGAAGATAGCGCGACCGTCCGTTGTTTCTGTCTTTTCCAGCTGATGCATCCTCCGCTCATCATGAACACATAGCCGCTTGTACTTCGTCTTGACTCAATGTCGCCGGCCCAGTCTGCGTCGGTGTACCCGCAGATACGGCTTCCTTCTTCACGTGTAAACTCAAGACCATGATTGGGCGTTGCTTGCAGGTATCTCAGCACACGCTTCAAAGCTTGCCAGTGAGTCGGGCATGGGTCGGACGAGAACTGGGATAATGATCCCACTGCAGCAGCTAGATCCGGACGTGTGGCGACCATGAGATACATGATGCCTCCGACAGCACTTCGATATGGCACGTTGCACATGGTGTCTTCGTGCTTGCTGTTATCCATTCCGAACTTGGTTAACACGGACTTGAGAAACTTGGTTTGTTGTACAGTCACCATTCCCGTCTTACGGTCGTTCTTGATCTCCATGCCGAGAAAGTAATCGAGCTCACCGAGATCCGTCATTTCGAAGCGTTTTCTCAGCGCCATCTTGGTTGACTTGAGGAGTTCGTTGTTGCTGCTGGCCAGGATGAGATCATCGACGTAGAGCACCACGAGAATCATGTCTTGGTCGTCTCGCTTGATGTAGATGCAGTGGTCCGATTCGCACTTCTTGAATCCCATCTTGATCATGAACCCATCGATTGTTTGGTTCCACATGCGAGGCGATTGCTTCAAGCCGTAGAGTGATCTCTTTAGCTTGCACACATAGTCCGGCTGTGTTGCATCCAGGTATCCGTCCGGCTGGTCCATGTAGATGTCTTCGTTGAGGGAGCCGTTAAGAAACGCTGTCTTGACGTCCATCTGATGTAGCATTAGGCCGTACTTAGCCGCCATACTGAGCACCACACGAATCGATGTGAACTTGGCCACCGGTGCGAAAGTTTCTTCATAGTCAACTCCGAATTTCTGTGAGAATCCTTTGGCCACAAGTCTTGCCTTGAAACGTTCAACTTCGCCATCTTGATTCTCCTTTACACGAAAAACCCATCGGCACCCGATGGCCTTGCGACCTTTCGGAAGAGGCACGATTTCCCACGTGTCGTTTCTCTGAAGCGAATCGAACTCCGAGTCACACGCTTCTTTCCACTTGCCGGAGTCGCTTGATTCCATCGCCGACTTGAATGTAGTCGGCGTTTCCCCACTGAATCAACGATGTAGGCTGCTTCAAAATCCATTGCAGCCGCTGACACATGCTCAAGCGACGGACCTCTGTATGTTCTTCGCTTGGGACTTGGAATGACGGTAGCTTTCTCAAGTGATTGAGTGCGCGTGTGTCTCTTGATGTTGCTCTTCGAAGACCTGGTGTCTTCGTTGTCATCGTCGCTCGAGTCCATGTCGTCGTCAGTTTTACCTTCTTCTTTTTCTTCGTCCTCATCATGATCATCAAACTCAACGACACTTGACTCATCGTTGTAGTTGCGCGGACCTTCATCAAACTTGTCTTCCATGAATGTGGCATCGCGACTGATCTTGATCGCTCCTGTTGACACTTCCTCAAATCGATATGACTTCTGGTGTTCGACGTATCCCAGGAAACGACAGAGTGATGACTTGGAGTCGAACTTCGCGCGTTTGTCTTGAGGCACTTGAACATACGCGTGGCATCCAAACACTTTAAGGTTGGCCAGAATCGGTTTCTTCATCGTCCACACTTGATATGGAGACTTGTCTTGGTGAATGGCACGTGTTGGACAGCGGTTTCGAAGAAACATCGCCGTCATCACTGCTTCACCCCAGTAGCTCTTTCCCAGTCCAGCGTGTTCCATCATGCAACGCGCACACTCGACCAGCGTGCGATTCATTCTCTCAGCTACTCCGTTTAGCTGAGGAGTATATGGGGGTGTGAACCTTTGTTGTATTCCCCGTTCCGCGCAGAATCGTGCCAGCTTGTCGGACTTGTATTCACCCCCATTGTCGCTTTGAAGGTACTTCACGCGCTTTCCGGTTTGCGTTTCGGCCATCGCAGCGTATTCCATGAACTTCGCCGCAACTTCAGATTTGCTCTTGAGCAGATAGACGACACAGTATCTTGACTTGTCATCAATGAATGTCACGAAGTACCGTTTTCCACTGAAAGTTGCCATCGACATCGGTCCGCATACGTCGCTGTGAATCACTTCGAGGAGTTTGGAGGTGCGAGCTGTAGTGTTTGATTGGAAGCGCACTCGAGTCTGTTTTCCCAGAGCACAACCTTCACACACGTCCCACTTCTTCACCGAAGATATGTCGATGCCAATTCCAATGTTCTTCGTCACGATGCAATTGAGTCCATCGTGACCTATGTGGCCAAGCCGAAGGTGCCAGAGGTACGACTTGGTGCCCCCTTGACATCCCGACGACTTGGCTGCATTTGCTTGTTCCGGCGCCACTGGAGTCATTTGCAGCTTGAACAGTCCTTTACCTTCACGGGCACCAATTTTCCACTTGGTCCCTTTCGCCTCTCCATAGCACCCATCCTTCGTGAACGTCACTGGGCCGACATCCTTGGTGAAGCGGCCGACCGAGAACAGGTTTCTGGATAACTTTGGGATGTGCCACACGTTTGTGAGCACACCTTTCTTCATCCCTTGGGGTGTCTTCATCGACATGACAATGTCCCCACTGCCGATTGCTTGGACGATTCCATCATCCGCGAGATGGACATCCACAGCGTCAAACCCCTTGTAGTTCCGCATGAACTTCTTGGAGCACGTCATGTGCTGCGTCGCCCCGGAGTCGACCAGCCAGATGTCGCTCGATTTCGCAGATGTCGTTTCACCGATCGAAAAGAGGTAGTCGCCCGAGTCTTCTTCTTGAGCGACGTTTGCACGTTGTGATCGATAGCGGTCGCCGCTGTCTTGAGCACGCTGTGGCCGGTGTCTCTCCGTGTTTTTTTTTTTTGGATGCGCGAGGGGCACTCCGCCATCCAGTGACCAATCTTTCCGCAATTGTGGCACGGCCAGGACTTCTTCACTGGTCGCCCTTTGCGCTGATTGTCCCTTGTGATGAACGCTTGACCTTGCGAAGCTTCACCACCTTTACTTCCTTGCTCCTTCCGCTTCATTTCTTCATGAAGCAGTCGAGACGTCACGAGCTCCCAGCTAAGAGTGTCTGAGCGCGACTCCAAAGCTGTGATCAAGAATTGATACGAGTCACTCAGGCTGCCGAGAAGTGTGATCACCAGATCGTCCTCGCAGACTGGAGCCCCCACCGCTTCTAGCTGTTCCGCCAGCGTCTTGAGCTTGTTGATGTGTTCGAGCACATCGTCGCCTTCTTCCATCATTGTCGTGAAGAAGCGACGGCGCAAGAACAGCTTGTTGGCAAGACTCTTCTTCTCGAAGTGGTCTTCCAACCTTGACCATGCGTCGCATGCACCACTTGCCGACCGGACCAACGGTAGCTGGGAATCTTCCATGGCTAGACAGATCACTGCCATCGCCTTTCTTGACTTCCTCTTGTACGTCGCTTGGTCCAACTGAGTCTCGCACTGTTCCGCCTTGATCTCACCGCTGACGACCTCCCATAGGTCCCGTTCCTCCAGCACCATCTGCATCTTGAACTTCCAGGCGTGGAAGTTAGTTCCATCGAACTTGGAGATGCGGAGGGAGGAGGCGTCCATGGCAGCTAAGCTTGAATTGTTGGCGGTTTCAGAGTCTGACGAACTTGGGCTCATAACCTGATGAACTTTAGACTTCTTGGTCCGAGTGCAAAACGCAAAGTGAATATATATTTATAATAGGTACTTAGTTCGCAACTTTGAATACTACCTCTAAGCCTATTATTCGCAGTGACGTCATCCAGTGACGTCACCCACTGACGTCACCCACTGACGTCATGCAATGACGTCATCCAGTGACGTCATTTCCTGACTTCGCCCTTACTGGTACATACCGGTACCCACCGGTATAGCGACGCTTGGTCTTCCACTTGCTTCAACACTTGACGCAGCTTGACGAGGTGTCTTCTTCACAGCCGCTGTCTTTTCAACATCGCGATGCCACATTCATGGAAGACAAGTTTGATGAAGGTCCGCGCAACTACAACGATGAGTCTAGTGCCGTTGAGTTTGATGATCAAGACGAGGACGAAGAAAAAGAAGAAGGTAAAACTGACGACGACATGGACTCGAGCGACGATGACAACGAAGACACCAGGTCTTCGAAGAGCAACATCAAGAGACACACGCGCACTCAATCACTTGAGAAAGCTACCGTCATTCCAAGTCCCAAGCGAAGAACATACAGAGGTCCGTCGCTTGAGCATGTGTCAGCGGCTGCAATGGATTTTGAAGCAGTCTACATCGTTGATTCAGTGGGGGAAACGCCGACTACATTCAAGTCGGCGATGGAATCAAGCGACTCCGGCAAGTGGAAAGAAGCGTGTGACTCGGAGTTCGATTCGCTTCAGAGAAACGACACGTGGGAAATCGTGCCTCTTCCGAAAGGTCGCAAGGCCATCGGGTGCCGATGGGTTTTTCGTGTAAAGGAGAATCAAGATGGCGAAGTTGAACGTTTCAAGGCAAGACTTGTGGCCAAAGGATTCTCACAGAAATTCGGAGTTGACTATGAAGAAACTTTCGCACCGGTGGCCAAGTTCACATCGATTCGTGTGGTGCTCAGTATGGCGGCCAAGTACGGCCTAATGCTACATCAGATGGACGTCAAGACAGCGTTTCTTAACGGCTCCCTCAACGAAGACATCTACATGGACCAGCCGAACGGATACCTGGATGCAACACAGCCGGACTATGTGTGCAAGCTAAAGAGATCACTCTACGGCTTGAAGCAATCGCCTCGCATGTGGAACCAAACAATCGATGGGTTCATGATCAAGATGGGATTCAAGAAGTGCGAATCGGACCACTGCATTTACATCAAGCGAGACGACCAAGACGTGATTCTCGTGGTGCTCTACGTCGATGATCTCATCCTGGCCAGCAGCAACAATGAACTCCTCAAGTCGACCAAGATGGCGCTGAGCAAACGCTTCGAAATGACGGATCTCGGTGAGCTCGATTACTTTCTCGGCATGGAGATCAAGAACGACCGTAAGACGGGAATGGTGACTGTGCAACAAACCAAGTTTCTCAAGTCCGTGTTGACCAAGTTCGGAATGGATAACAGCAAGCCAGTGAAGACGCCTCAAGATCCCGGCCTGAAGCTAACCAAGAACATGTGTGAACAAGAATGCAAGCACGAAGACACCATGTGCAACGTGCCATATCGAAGTGCTGTCGGAGGCATCATGTATCTCATGGTCGCCACACGTCCGGATCTAGCTGCTGCAGTGGGATCATTATCCCAGTTCTCGTCCGACCCATGCCCGACTCACTGGCAAGCTTTGAAGCGTGTGCTGAGATACCTGCAAGCAACGCCCAATCATGGTCTTGAGTTTACACGTGAAGAAGGAAGCCGTATCTGCGGGTACACCGACGCAGACTGGGCCGGCGACATTGAGTCAAGACGAAGTACAAGCGGCTATGTGTTCATGATGAACGGAGGATGCATCAGCTGGAAAAGCCAGAAACAACGGACGGTCGCGCTATCTTCAACAGAAGCAGAATACATGGCGCTTTCCGAAGCAACCAAAGAAGCAGTATGGCTCAAAGTGCTTTTGGGGGAACTTGGTGAGATGACAAGCGACGAAGCGATCAAGATGTATGAAGACAACCAAGGATCAATCGCTCTCGCCAAGAACCCGGAGTTCCATAAGAGAACAAAACACATCGACATACGCTACCATTTTGTGCGTGAGAAGGTGGAATCAGGTGAAGTCGTTTTGGAGTATTGCCCGACTCAAGATATGCTGGCAGACATGATGACCAAGCCGATCGCCGCTGTACAATTTGAAAACATTCGCGATCGACTTGGGATCCAAGGTGCCGCAGCTAACGAGTCGAGAGGGAGTGTTGAAAAGACAGCGGCTGTGAAGAAGACACCTCGTCAAGCTGCGTCAAGTGTTGAAGCAAGTGGAAGACCAAGCTTCGCTATGTTGAAAAGACAGCTGCTGTGAAGAAGACACCTCGTCAAGCTGCGTCAAGTGTTGAAGCAAGTGGAAGACCAAGCTTCGCTATACCGGTGGGTACCGGTATGTACCAGTAAGGGCGAAGTCAGGAAATGACGTCACTGGATGACGTCATTGCATGACGTCAGTGGGTGACGTCAGTGGGTGACGTCACTGGATGACGTCACTGCGAATAATAGGCTTAGAGGTAGTATTCAAAGTTGCGAACTAAGTACCTATTATAAATATATATTCACTTTGCGTTTTGCACTCGGACCAAGAAGTCTAAAAGTTCATCAGGTTATGAGCCCAAGTTCGTCAGACTCTGAAACCGCCAACAATTCAAGCTTAGCTGCCATGGACGCCTCCTCCCTCCGCATCTCCAAGTTCGATGGAACTAACTTCCACGCCTGGAAGTTCAAGATGCAGATGGTGCTGGAGGAACGGGACCTATGGGAGGTCGTCAGCGGTGAGATCAAGGCGGAACAGTGCGAGACTCAGTTGGACCAAGCGACGTACAAGAGGAAGTCAAGAAAGGCGATGGCAGTGATCTGTCTAGCCATGGAAGATTCCCAGCTACCGTTGGTCCGGTCGGCAAGTGGTGCATGCGACGCATGGTCAAGGTTGGAAGACCACTTCGAGAAGAAGAGTCTTGCCAACAAGCTGTTCTTGCGCCGTCGCTTCTTCACGACAATGATGGAAGAAGGCGACGATGTGCTCGAACACATCAACAAGCTCAAGACGCTGGCGGAACAGCTAGAAGCGGTGGGGGCTCCAGTCTGCGAGGACGATCTGGTGATCACACTCCTCGGCAGCCTGAGTGACTCGTATCAATTCTTGATCACAGCTTTGGAGTCGCGCTCAGACACTCTTAGCTGGGAGCTCGTGACATCTCGACTGCTTCATGAAGAAATGAAGCGGAAGGAGCAAGGAAGTAAAGGTGATGAAGCTTCGCAAGGTCAAGCGTTCATCACAAGGGACAATCAGCGCAAAGGGCGACCAGTGAAGAAGTCCTGGCCGTGCCACAATTGCGGAAAGATTGGTCACTGGATGGCGGAGTGCCCCTCGCGCATCCAAGAAAACACGGAGAGACACCGGCCACAGCGTGCTCAAGACAGCGGCGACCGCTATCGATCACAACGTGCAAACGTCGCTCAAGAAGAAGACTCGGGCGACTACCTCTTTTCGATCGGTGAAACGACATCTGCGAAATCGAGCGACATCTGGCTGGTCGACTCCGGGGCGACGCAGCACATGACGTGCTCCAAGAAGTTCATGCGGAACTACAAGGGGTTTGACGCTGTGGATGTCCATCTCGCGGATGATGGAATCGTCCAAGCAATCGGCAGTGGGGACATTGTCATGTCGATGAAGACACCCCAAGGGATGAAGAAAGGTGTGCTCACAAACGTGTGGCACATCCCAAAGTTATCCAGAAACCTGTTCTCGGTCGGCCGCTTCACCAAGGATGTCGGCCCAGTGACGTTCACGAAGGATGGGTGCTATGGAGAAGCGAAAGGGACCAAGTGGAAAATTGGCGCCCGTGAAGGTAAAGGACTGTTCAAGCTGCAAATGACTCCAGTGGCGCCGGAACAAGCAAATGCAGCCAAGTCGTCGGGATGTCAAGGGGGCACCAAGTCGTACCTCTGGCACCTTCGGCTTGGCCACATAGGTCACGATGGACTCAATTGCATCGTGACGAAGAACATTGGAATTGGCATCGACATATCTTCGGTGAAGAAGTGGGACGTGTGTGAAGGTTGTGCTCTGGGAAAACAGACTCGAGTGCGCTTCCAATCAAACACTACAGCTCGCACCTCCAAACTCCTCGAAGTGATTCACAGCGACGTATGCGGACCGATGTCGATGGCAACTTTCAGTGGAAAACGGTACTTCGTGACATTCATTGATGACAAGTCAAGATACTGTGTCGTCTATCTGCTCAAGAGCAAATCTGAACTTGCGGCGAAGTTCATGGAATACGCTGCGATGGCCGAAACGCAAACCGGAAAGCGCGTGAAGTACCTTCAAAGCGACAATGGGGGTGAATACAAGTCCGACAAGCTGGCACGATTCTGCGCGGAACGGGGAATACAACAAAGGTTCACACCCCCATATACTCCTCAGCTAAACGGAGTAGCTGAGAGAATGAATCGCACGCTGGTCGAGTGTGCGCGTTGCATGATGGAACACGCTGGACTGGGAAAGAGCTACTGGGGTGAAGCAGTGATGACGGCGATGTTTCTTCGAAACCGCTGTCCAACACGTGCCATTCACCCAAGACAAGTCTCCATATCAAGTGTGGACGATGAAGAAACCGATTCTGGCCAACCTTAAAGTGTTTGGATGCCACGCGTATGTTCAAGTGCCTCAAGACAAACGCGCGAAGTTCGACTCCAAGTCATCACTCTGTCGTTTCCTGGGATACGCCGAACACCAGAAGTCATATCGATTTGAGGAAGTGTCAACAGGAGCGATCAAGATCAGTCGCGATGCCACATTCATGGAAGACAAGTTTGATGAAGGTCCGCGCAACTACAACGATGAGTCAAGTGTCGTTGAGTTTGATGATCATGATGAGGACGAAGAAAAAGAAGAAGGTAAAACTGACGACGA